CCCATGACAGCAATAAAACTCCGAGTCTACCTAGGTAGTATATCCAATGCTCTTTAGGACTCTATTTCAACTTGAACTCGCCCAAAGCCCGTATTAGCTGATCAGATGTCGGTAAAACATGATGACCCCCCTTCAACCAACTTACACTAACACGACAACCCTTCTCCTCCATCTCCCGTTGAAAAACTTCAACCCGGGCCTTAGATACAAACTTATCCACCTCCGCCGGGAAAAGAAAAACCAATTTACCACAAATATCATCCGTAAACCTCGACGCAAACCCACTCGTAACAATACCCGGCTCAACCTTTGACCGAAATCCCGAAGGAAACGCCTCATGCGCAATAGCATCCGGATACCCAAGACGACAAACCAAATCACTCAAAGGCCACGGAATCCACGCCACCAAACCATCTACTAGAGAATCCAAACTCGTAACTGGCACAATGCCAATGGCACCTACAACTCTAGGCCGAGCTAAATGACCAGCTAAACCCAATGCACCCATTGAACGACCGCAAATAACGATACGGGCTTTCGGATACTTTTCGAGTGTCCAGTTGATGACAGCTTCGTCGTTTGCTATGGCGGCAATTTCCATTGCGCCGTCGACATTTGGTACGAATGAACTTGCGTCGTAGCCGACGAAATCACGGCCGATGACTGGTATCCCGTTCTCGAGGAGGGGTTGGAAGATTTCTTTGGAGAGATAGCGTGTTGGTCGGAGGTTGCCGTGGAAGAAGAGGAGGACTAGGTCCGAGTCTGAGGTCGAGTCCGGATCTGATGATACGGCTTGGGTTGGATATTCGTGAATTCCGACTTTGCTTCCAACTGCGGATGTTATTGTGTAATGGTTGCCGGGTAGTTCGTCGCCATTCCGTCCGAGATAGTCGTACTTTAAGGCTCCTGCGTTACCGACGAAGAGTTGGTTATCGAGGGTTTTTGCGAGACGTTGTGTCAGCCAGTCTGGTGTTGATTCAGGAGTGTTGGACTCGCGAATGGTTTCGACTGGGGTTGTTTCTTGGTTTGAAGGTGGTTCGATCATTTTGAAGGAGTTGAAGAGTCTGTTGCTGAGCAAGGGCGAATACTGGTCAAGACTCGAAACTATGTCCTCTATCTAGCTGGTGTACTTCAAGTATGCAGTGGAGAACCGCTCTTTATTTAACTGCTCAGGTGTAAGCTCCTAGGGCCGCGTGATCAACTTATGAAAATAGTAATCTGCGCTAGGGACTTGGCGGTGGGGCGATGCCCTTGGAGAGTCCATTGTCGAATATCAACTTGAATTAAGACGTAGTAAAGAATGAATCTTGGAACATACAAAGAGACTTCCAAGGGTTCAAAATTAATTGTCTGAATTTATTCCATTAATCATATCAAAGGATCTACAAGCAACTTGAACTTGAATTGGATGTGTATGCAAAAGGTCACCGATCTCGCATTGGGAATCAATGAAACAGTAAATAAAGAAATCCCCAGCGCCACTCTGCAAGAGCCCAAATTCCCAAACAACTCCGCGGATCAAGTAGATCCAACCCATTCTGTTCATGAAATTCATGACTAACACGTGTTCCGATCTAAGGTAACGGACCTATTATAGACATGGTACATACTAGCCCGTCAAAGACGGAAGCTTACATCCCACGCCTCTTCCAGAACAGCGTGGACATCCCGACTGACAAAGATCTCTTCCAGGGTAGCGGCACCGCTGGCGATCTTACTAATATCACTCTCGAGGACCAGACCCTGTTCGTTGGCCAAATGCAGCAAGCAGATGAACCCGAAGGAGGTGCTGATATCCCGCAGTGTTTCGACAGGATAGACCGCCTTCAGGTTGTTCATGATCTTGGTGAACCGAAGACGGCCATCACCCCCGAGGTCAATGGGCTTCTCTGGGCTGTTTTGCTGGGGTGTGGGTGTAGGTGGCGTGGGGTCGGCTTCACTCTCAGGTTCGGCTGGTGGTTCGCTTGAGACGGCACCTGGTTGTGAAGCGGAGGTGAAATCTGTAGCAGCGATGAGGCGCTCACCCATGCCTCTCCACATTTCGTTCTTGAGACGTCGAACGTCAACCTTCTTCGCTACACGTGCATAGTTCACGTAGTCAGGTCGGGCGCGACGTGCGCCCTGGGTAACCAACTGCGAACCGTATCCGCCCTTGCTTGGTGTCGCACCGACCATGTTCAATAAGGCGGAGAGTCCGGTCTGTCCGCCAGCATCGCCAGCTGCCGTACCTTGGGTACCATCGCCAGGTGGGGAGAGCATCTCCCGTGCGTCTGCGAATGGCAGGTTGTCATCGTCGTCGTCGAGGTCCATGCCATTAGGGAAAGCAAGACCATCATCATCAGCGAAGAAGTTGGCATCATAGGCACCAGGGGCACCTTCTTCATCCACATCTTCAGTCTTGTGATTCGCCCAAAATGCCTCGTCCATGTCCACGTTGCCGGATGTTTGGTCTGGCCGGTTGTGGTTGATCCGTCGTGACATAAGTTTCCTTGAGCCCATTTGAGCTTTCGGCTTCAGGAACAGCCGAAGTAGTTGACGGGAGTTGAAGTGTTTATCGTCAGGCAATAGATTGCGACCCTTAGTCTTCCATTGCGTCTTGGGTAGGGAAATGGCGGAATTGGAGCTGGCAGGAGTGTAAATCAACTCCGCGAGAGATGGATCAAGCGACGCTCCGAAGTCGATTTCGAAGGGCTCCTTCTCTTTGCGTTGCTTTGGTGCAGCGGTAGTGCTGGCGGCTGTGTGGTCCTTGATTCTCCGAATTTTCCAGTGCTCAGGACCAGCCCAGTTCTTGGAAGCCGCATTGTCGAAGTAGCTGAGGATATTCTCATGGTCTTGCTTGCTAGGCTGATGCGACATGGAGATGGCGTAGGCGTCTTCGTTATCGAGGTCTTCATCCCCATCGGCATTTTCACCATCCTCCATTCGGTGAACCTTGAGCATCGGCTCCAAAGCAGCCTCACGAGCCCATGCCTCCCCTCCATCACCGAAACCGGTGTCGCCGCTAAGGTCAAAACCAGCCAAGGTACCATCGTCATCATCGAAACCGACCGCGTTGTCGTCATCAAGCATAATCCCTGAGGGTTCTTCAACTCCGTCTTCATTCTTATCCTGTCGCCATTCCTCGGGTGCTTTGAGGAGTGGGATGTCCAGTGAACCGTTAGGGTCACCCAGGTTGAAATTCTTCAGGGAAGGGCAGATATCCTGCTCGTCTAAATAATCCAGGTCGGGGAAGAACTGGTTGGCCAGAGTGGCGAGATCGAGATTCGGGTCATCTTCAAAGGTTTCGCTGGCTTTCTGGATATTATTCGCCTTGTTGTCCTCGTTTTGTAGCTGCTCTTCGGCTTGCGCATCGGAATCCTCAGACTCTTGTGGATCACCCTCGGCTGTCTTAGCACTGTCATCCACAGCGTCGTCGCTGCTATCAAAAACGATTCTTCCCTGGCCATCGATAGCAAGGTGGTTCAGCAGCAATCCTTTGGCACCGCCTTCGTCGAAATCAGCAGATGCCTTCTTGAAGAGCGGATCCACCGCAAACTCCAGCTCAAACTTCTTCAGTTGTAACGATGTAAATGACGGGGCAAGCGTAGCTTCATGTGAGCGATTCTGTAGAAACTGGTCAGCGAATGCCCATTCCCATAAATTGATTGCAGTGCGTAGTGAGACAAACCTTCTTACGCGACTTGCGGGTGCCTCCATCTTCACCGTCTTCATCCTCGTCTCCATCTTCTCCCTCGGCGTCGGCTTCACGGCCTCGCTTGTCACGGCTATCGGCCAAGCCACTCAGAAGCTTTCCAGTCTCGGTTGCGACACTATCCACACGGCTAGTGTAGATCTTCACACATCCATCGAGGGTGCAACTGGCCTTTTGGAAGTTGACACCGTCTCCTTCTTTCAAGAGCGACATATCGTGGAAGTAGTCGATCAGGGCGAAGTTCCAGGAGTTGTTTGCGTTGATCTTGTTATCCGTTGCCATCTTCATCCACTCTTCGAAGTTGGCCAAAATAGGCACACGTTTCATCGGAGTTACACCCCGACCACTGACATCGCTTTCGCGACCACGGTGACCGGTCGATCCCCGAGGTGTTGCGGGGCTGTCACTCCCTTCGCGGTTGTAAGATGTGTATCGACGGGGGGGCATGGGTGTCTTGACGGCGGCCTTAATCTGATTCATCTGGCGGTCATGAAGGGCTTGTCTGGCTTCCTTCCGAGCCGCTTTCTCGCCCATATCATCGTTAAGAGGTACCCTGATAGTCTGTTAGAATCCGGACGCTCCACGTACAACAGACTGCGAATGGATGCGACATACTTGATAGGGGAGTTCTTCTGAGGTGTCGAGGCGCCGTTGGAACGGCGATGATGCGCCTTGTTGACTACACGAGGCATGATTGCGGTTTCCCCCAGCTGGGAAGATCGAGATGCGCTGGATGTTTGGTTGCTGGTTGCGATAGCCGGTCGTGGTTGCAGCTGATGGAGAGGGGCGGGCACAAACAATGTCAACAAACACACACCCACGTGACTTGCCTATCGCACGGCAGCGACGACAGTCGCGCCTCCCAAACGGGTGATCACGTGAACCTTCCTATCTACCTTATCACGTGCTGTTTGCCTAATCCATCAGGTGTCTAACCTGGTCATCGCCCCCCATTAACTTTGGGTCATTGGAGCCTACTGGCAAACCCTTCCTTGAATACTACTATTACCTGGCGATTTCCCTGATTTCTTCAAGATCTATCTGCATAGCCACAATTCGGCACTTCTGGTGGTGGCTTTGCATAAACCCAAAATGCAATAGACAACGCATCGGCCCACTCTTCGCTGTGCAGGCTGACATCACCGAGCTCACCGCATTGGCAGCTCAGCTCCTCACGTTCATGCCTGGTCAATGGAGGGGGTACACGCGACTGAAATAACTCGCTGCTTCGCTTTCTCTGCATAAACTGCAGGTAAATGACTATTCCAGGGCTTCATCAGCTCACAATGCAGCAGTGTCCGAAGCCATAATGCTTCAGTCATCACCCTCCTTCCTGCGGCCGGCCCGCAAAGCGCCTCGGTACTCTGTTCGGCCGTTTTACACTTCGCTAGCCGTTTTTACAACACTTGCAATATTGACCTTGCTTATCGCATGGGTTGGAAAGGGTCAAGCGCATCGTACCACAGCGGGCACACTTCTTGTCAAGCGTGATAACGAGCCAGAGGTATGACAACAATCCCGTATAACCAGCCTCTCCCTAGGCCTCCTGAAAGCTAATTCTTGCGCTGTGTGACCTGGATATAGTGTCGTCTCGTACGTGAAGTCAAAGATCAATGTGCATATGTCCGTGAAAATTGCCCCGATCACCAAGATGGCCTATTCTCTTATTTACAGCTATACTACTGCGCCCTCCCGAATGCGAAGCCGCTTGCGTTCCTCATCTTGATTCTCTGGTTATCGCTCCTATTCAGTACCATCGGAATCGCTGCTAGTGATTTCTTATGTATCGACCTGAGTACATTAGCGAGCATTTTGGGCTTGAGCGAGAGTCTCACGGGCGTTACTTTCCTCGCATTCGGCAATGGAAGTCCCGATGTTTTCTCAACCTTCGCCGCCATGCGCTCGAATAGTGGCAGCCTAGCCATTGGTGAATTGATTGGAGCTGCAAGTTTCATCACGTCTGTCGTGGCCGGCTCCATGGCTCTAGTTCGGCCGTTCAAGGTCGCGCGAAGAAGCTTTGTCAGGGATGTTGGTTATTTCGTGATCGCCGTCGCCTTCAGCATGTTTTTGCTAGCCGATGGACGACTTCATGTCTGGGAATCGGCTGCAATGGTTGCTCTATATGTCTTCTACGTTTTTATGGTTGTGACATGGCACTGGTATCTGGTTCGGCGTCGGAAGCGTCACGAAAGGGACATGGCAGCACGAACACATTTTCATATCCCTGACAACCAAGAGCTGGAGTATGAGCAACCTTTGGATGACGATGACCCGGGTGTTGCATCAGAGTCACGCGAGTCTCGGGCCCTTCTCCTCGGTGCATCCACTGATGACTTTGATCTACTGGAACGCGCCGAGAGACCCCCCAGTTGGAAGGAGGAAGAGGACGACGAGGACGACGAAACCCGCAACCGGTATTTAGCCGAGATTCGAGACAATATGCATGTTTATCGACCTCCGAATCGATCAAGACGAAACACTTTGAATCCGATCCGAGCAAGTCTTGTGGGTGCGCTGGAATTTCAGTCCGTGCTGCACTCGCTTGAGAAATCGAGGAATATCAGACACAGGCCGACAAGCAGCCTGGGCAGCTATTCGGACGAAGGCAATGTGTCTTCTCAGTCTTGGGACACCAGATCTGTAGCATCCCATCCTCGTGCTACCCGGCCGCCCGGGCCTAACGATCGCCTGTCGCCGCGTAGCGCGGAAGGCTCTAGGGCTCGAGCAGTGTCAGCCAATGATGCTGATAGACTGGAACTGGACCCCAGTGTGCTAGGTCGTGGTCAAGAGGAGGTACCACAGCTTACTGTTAGACGACCTTCTGAGGAGGTGCCCGCTCGAGAATCTGTGCAGCCACCTCGAATCGATACCAACGTGGCAATAACGCTCTCTCCCTCGGCATCTTCACAGCCATCGCCAAGCGGAAGCCCCGTTGCCGCGAATGCTCCCCAAACACCCGATCTACTAGCTCCACCTGGTGCTTTCAGCTCTCCCAACTATCAATCAAGCACGACTCATGACCGATCGCCACAAGCAGTCTCGCCACGAGGCACTAGTGGCAGCTATCAATCCATGGCCGGTTTAGAAGGCTCTTCGGCGCCGTTCCCGATATATTTCGACGATACTTCCGCTCCATCATCGTGCGCACCCAGTATTCGTCTACCCAATCCAGTGGCTAGTCCAGCAGAACAGCTCCTTGTCCATGATCCCTTTGGTGATAGGCTCACGGATAGCTCTTCATGTCGGTTGAGAAAATGGTGGCCTGATTCTGTCTTACCTCCCCCTCAGCAACTTGCATGCACACTTTTCCCGACACTGGCTGGCTGGAAAGGCAGAAGCATCATGGGACGTTTTCTAGGCATAGTTGCCGCACCAAGTGTGTTTCTCTTAACAATCACTGTACCAGTCATCGAGCCCCAGGCTGCAGAATATGACGAACCAGACCCAATACCGGCGGTAGTCATCGAACAAGTCGATGCTGATAGACCTGCTCCAAGGATAAGACTACCAGCCGACAGCCCTACTCTTCATCCCATGGGACATGGTCGTCATGATTCCATTCCTGAGATATCAACGACACATCCTCATAACCACAAACATTCGCATGACGACTCTTACAGGCGAACCCGTTGGGACTCAGAGCTACCAGCAGCACCCCCTCCAGCAATTGACCCAGAAGCGTCCGCCAAGGACTGGAACCGCTGGCTGGTCTCAATTCAACTGTTCACGGGCCCATTCTTCTTCACCCTGATTGCGTGGACTACCGCAGACACATCCCTCAATCCACGCAACTTGATCCTCCCAGGCCTGATATCTCTGCTCTTCTCTTTCATCTGCCTCACACTCCTAATCATCACGACACGCAGTCGTCCATATAACCGACTCTCCCCAACAAACCACTCAGAGCAGCAGCACAATGCTACCGCTTCAGATCTAGAACCACAACCACAACCTCTCCCATACTCATGGAAACCCGTCCTCTCCATGCTCGGCTTCCTAGTCGCAATATCCTGGATCGCAACAATAGCCACCGAGGTTGTCTCCCTCCTCAAAACCATCGGCGTAATCCTCGACATCTCAGACTCCCTCCTCGGCCTAACCGTTTTCGCCGTCGGTAATTCCCTCGGCGACCTCGTCGCCGACATCACAGTCGCAAGACTCGGATACCCAGTCATGGCGTTGAGCGCCTGCTTCGGCGGACCCATGCTAAACATCTTACTCGGTATCGGTCTAGGCGGGTTATATATGACTCTCAATCGATCGGATACTCCGTCTCGCCGTGATGAGATCTTTGCTGGCGGGAGTGGAGGCGGCCTTACTGCTGCGGCAACCTATCATATTGAAATCTCCAAGGTCTTGGTCATCAGTGGGGCTACCTTGCTTGTTGTCCTGGTTGGTCTTTTGATCGTCGTTCCGCTGAATGGTTGGCGCATGGATAAGAGGATTGGGTGGGGGCTTATTGTTGTTTGGTGTATTAGTACCATTGGCAATGTGATTGCCGAGTTAATATAAAGACTCATACGCATACTCACACTCACTCACACACCACTTGTGCTTTTCTGCTGTTTGCGTGCATGCACGTTCGGGTTTTGCCCTCAAGCTCATGTGGTGTTGTTGATTTGGCAAGATCATGCATTTTTCATCTCTTTTTTTTTTCGGGTTTATTATATCATATCTTTCTCATTTTTTCATTCTCCATTCATTACCTAGGTATGGGAGGTGATTTGAAGTCTATAGCATTCATTATATTCAAGTTAGCTTGGCTATTCCTTGTGATCGTATGCCGGCCACTATGTTCAACCCTTTTTGTGGTAACAGTGTAATTATGACCACTCAATCCTCGGTATATACCATGCTGTCTCATAATTAGACCTGGGGGTGTGTTTGAATAGTGATTAGGGGTTGGCGTAAATGAAACTATGATCCATCCATTCATCCACTGTAGAGGCACAAATTCAGTCGAGTCTAGCAATCTTTTACAACTTTTTGACCCATTCGCGAATTCGCCCACAATCCCAAGTCCAATACACGCGACGTATCTTAATAAAAAACACCACGCTAGTGACAGCGACACCATTCATTTGGATTCCCAACTCCATTCAAAATACCCAGGCATAGTCCACATTTCCGAGGAAGAGGTGGACTAAAAGATAGTTCGTAATCTCCAGACCTCTTCTTTTTCTTCTTTTTGCGCTTCGCCTGGCCCTTGTCTTCCTCACTATTATTGGAGCCCTTGGAGTATTCTCCACCTTGGGGTAAATTATTCACAGCGAGCGATTTTTCGCCCTGAACACTGGCACCTTCACCAACTTTTATCGCGGGCTTGGGGCATGCTTGGGAAATTTTAGTGGCAGGTAGAGGACCTGTGATTCTGTCTAGATCTTGCCTAGATCGTTCTTTTGCAAGTGCCATATACTCCGCTACCCTTGGTTGGACTGTCTTTTGTGCTTGTCTCGGGTATACCACCCCTCCCGCTGTCCGGGACTACGACCTGTATTCTCCGGACTTGAGGCTATTGGTTGGTTTGGGGCTCTTATGTGGCCTGGAGCTGCTATTTGACGTAGAGCTGTTGGTTGATATGGAGCTGTTGGTTGATATGGAGCTGTTGGTTGATATGGAGCCGTTGGTTGATATGGAGCCGTTGGTTGATATGGAGCCGTTGGTTGATATGGAGCCGTTGGTTGATATGGAGCCGTTGGTTGATATGGAGCTGCTATTTGAAGTGGAGCTGTTGGTTGATTTGGAGCTGCTGTTTGGCTTCCACTCGGAGCTGTTGCCTGATATGGAGCTGTTGATTGATATAGACCTGTTGGTTGATATGGAGCTATTACTTGACGTGGAGCTATTGCTTGATATGCAGCCGTTGGTTGATATGGAGCTGCTATTTGAAGTGGAGCTGTTGGTTGATTTGGAGCTGCTGTTTGGCTTCCACTCGGAGCTGTTGCCTGATATGGAGCTGTTGATTGATATAGACCTGTTGGTTGATATAGACCTGTTGGTTGATATGGAGCTATTGCTTGATGTAGAGCTGTTGGTTGATATGCAGCTGTTGGTTGGCTAGTACTATTAGCGAAAGCTGGATCGTCTTATTAGTCAATGTGCTGAGGGGAAATAGTGACCATAGGAAGTTGACTGACTACTAGCTGATGGTTGTGCTTGAAGCGCTTCTGATGAATTTGGAACACCGGATGGGGAATGAGCCAAGGCTGACTGCAAACCTAGGGTTTTGCGAAATTTCCACCATCCTTGTTGAATTCGGTTTCTTTTAGATTTGGAGGGTTGTTCGGAACCCGGACTCAAATTCATTTCCGCTCAGAGTTGAATTTGAAAGGCTCAATTTGATAATCGAACTCTTTGAAGTTTCAAATTCTATGTACTATAGTATAAGGGTGGAGTAGGCCATGAGAACTTGAAAAACACCGTGGCGCATTATTCGCTTGCAGATCAAGTGATTATATACGAGGAGCCGCAACCCCTGATACTCGGCCATATTCCCTCAAATCACCACTCCCTCCGGCTCGCATATACGAAGTTGTGGGGTCTGAGAGTCAAAGTATCCAATCATATCACTGAAAAGTGGGAAAGCGATGGAAAAGACACGGAGAGACACTAGTCTCCTCATATTCCTAGCCGCTAAAATGAGGGGGGGGACCAGGTTGAAGCCAAAAACAGCTAGGGATTTGTAGCCCGGAGGGTAACCCTATCGCTTAGCCCAATTCACAGTTGTTACAAACCTCGCAGAAAGAGGGGTATAGAGGGGCCGGTAGCTTATAATGGGACATTCGGATGGCAACGATTTCCGGGACGTGAATATGCTGGGAAGTTTTGTGCAACTACTAGCCGGATGGGTTAAACAATAGTTCCTATGACCTGTACCGGCACTCTGGTAAGGATCTCAGGAGTAGGGTAATTGGTTCGGCGAGTGATTAGACTAAGGACATTTGAGCACTGTATCTACTTGAAGAGGAGGCCTAGGGGAGTGTGAAGGGAAAGAAGTCTGCTTCATGAGAGTGGCTGGCTGGTTGCTGTGTCTGTCTAATGATCTATAAAATGAAGCTTATATTCCAAGGCTGTTACGGGTAGGTACAAGAAGTATTGTTTTCCAGTATCATCCATCTGATTAGGGTTTGAAAAAGAATATCTGTTTTCAACATGGAACTTTGGAAGGCGGCGATTTCGGGCGCTGCTGTATACATTTTGTAAGCCAGTTCTCTTCAAATTGTGATATGATTGATGTCTGTTGATCAAGATTTCGGGAGGTGAGTGAGGAGGGTTCGATATCTAGGTGTTTACAGGTTACATTCCATACCCGGCGTATCATTTATGATCTTCCCCAAGGTTTGGATTATATCCTAGGTCAAGGTTGCAGTCTGTTGACAAACCGGACATGAATTGAATTCTCATTATCTTGCTTAGTAGATGCAGAACCGTTTTGGCCATGGATGGGCACCTCTTCAGCTTACAACCTTTAGAAAGTACCACTCCTAGGAACACACTAACACAGAACAATTCAAGTTATAAAAAGTGAGAGCAAAAAAAGCAACCAATAAGTATTGTAAAGAATTACATAAAGAGTCAACTACCACCAACGCACACAACATCCATGGATATAACTAACTACCCAGCACCAAGTCGAACCTAAACCTGAACCTAAACCTGAATTTGAATTTGAATTGAATGATCCGATCCGATCAATCCATTAATTCCACAAAGAATATAACAAGTCCAGACTCTCAACTACCTTTCTCTCTGTACAACTATGTTCCAAAGGTTCGATTATGACTGCCTCTGCCTCCACAACGAAACAAAACTTACAACACGCGACCAGCAGACGAGCTAGTGCTACGGTCGTTCGTCTTCGTCTTCCTCAATCCCGTTCCGGCCTGGATGGAAGCTAGCAAAGCTGAGCGGTTGTCACCGCCACCTCCAGCTCCAGCCGCGGCAGGGGGTGGGGGTGGAGGAGCTGCTGCTGCAGGGGAGGTGGGGGTGGAGCACCAGGGGCCCCAGAGGGGGGGTGGTGGGGGCGGTGCTGCGGGTGCAGAACCCATTCCTGGGGGAGGAGGCGGTGGTGGAGGAGGGGGTGGAAGACCAGCTGGTGCGGCAGGAGATGAGACATCGTCACTGGCGGGCTCGGGGACAGCTGCGGGTGCGGGGGGAGGGGGGGAGGAGGAGGAGCGATAGGGCTCTCTTGGACCGGGGTGGTGTATTCGGAAGAGGGCTTGTCTTCGTCCATGGCGCTTAGAGGACGGGGAGGGGCCATGGTGCCGAACAAGATGCTAGCAAGCTGTTTGGCGCTACCACCTCCTGGACGCTCATCGTCGTCGTCAGATGAGTCTGCGTCGGAGCCGGCGGCGGACCAGTCATCGTCTTCCTCAGGGCGAGCACGGCTCTTGCGCTCCAGGGGGCCGGCACCGGTGAAGGTTGGCTTGATGGCTTCTTGTTGCTGGAGACGGTGGAAGGGGTTCGTGGACTGGGCTGCAGGAGGTGAGGTCGCTGGGGTTGAGTCTGCAGGTGGCTGGCTCTGGCCCAAGGACTTGTAGTAGGGGTTCTTGGACTCGGCATCGGGGGTAGCTGCTGGCTGGGAGCGAGTGCTCTCAGGAGATGTAGGCTGGGGCTCGGGGCTGAAGGCCTTCTCGATTTCTTGCGCGGGGGGCTCGGGGATGGAGATTGTAGGAACGGGTGGCGGCGCACTCAGAACCTGGCTCTGAGTGGGAGTGCTGTGCTGAGGAGTGATATCCTCAGGGCCCTCGTCATCTGAAGAGCTCTCATCGTCGATGCCCTCGAGTTCAAGCTGCAATTGCCGCTCACGCTCCTTGGCAGCCTCGAGTTCGGCACGCTGGGCTGCAAGACGAGCTTCGTTGTCCTTGGCTTCGCGTGCAGCTTCGGCCTTGCGGCGCTTCTCCTCTTGCTTCTTAACCTTGCCCTGTCGGACTTGCTCCTCGAGAGCACGGAGTCGGGCCGCTTGGGCTTCCTTCTCTTTCTCGAACTCGTCCACGTGCGATTGGGCCTCGCCCCTAGTATCAAATTAGTACAAAATTACCGATATAGAAGGTTCACTCGAAGCTACTTACTCAAGACGCTTGGTCTCTGCCTCCTGGGCCTCCTGTTCTTCCTTAATGGCCTGTTCACGAGCAGCATGTTCCTTGGCAGCCTCATCCGCCTTCTTCGAGTCAGCTTGACCGGCACTATCGGTCCGGGCTCTGCGAGTAGGAGGAGCAGGTGGGGGCTTCTTGCCCGCCGCTTTGGGGGCAGCTGCTGCGGGTGCAGAACCACCCTTCTCCTCGGCCAAACGGCGTGATCTCTCTTGCTCCCGCTTGGCATCTTCCTCCTCAGCACGTCGCACGCGCTCCTCGCGCTCCTTCTTCTCCCGCTCCTGGCGTTGCACAAGGGTCTCTTCGGAGCTGGCAGGCTTCAAGCCAGCAGCAGCCATGCGCTCGGCAATACGCTTCTGTGCGCGTTCCCTAGCAGCAGCAACGCGGTCCTCGTGTGTATTTCCGGGTACAGAGCTTGAGGAGTCGGTAGATTGAGGCATAGAAGGACGAGCCGGTGCCTCCTCGGCAACAGGGGTGCGACGCTGCTCCTGGGTTGAGCGCTCACGACTGGGCATTGTGTTAATATAGTTATGTAAAGAATCGATAGGGTTCAACTTACTCATCCTTGCGCACATGCGCGGTCTTGCTGTTGCGACTCAAATCGTAGATGAAGTCACGAATGATATCCTCCACGCCAAGGGCATCCTCCCAACGACGCTTCTCGTGTTCGCGTGTGGAATTCTCGCCTTCGTCGCGGAGACTGTCCTCAAGGCTGCGGGTAAATTCCCGAACGCTTTCCTCCACGTCACGGGTCATAACGTCGTTACGCTCTCGCTCGGCCTTCACGTCAGCGCTCTCGCTCTCCAAGCGGCGAGCAGCCTCGCCGTCATCACCCTCCGCGGCGGGAGCAGGACGCCCTGACAGTTCAGCAGCACGAGCCTGCATACGCGCGCGAGCGCGAGCCTTGATCCGATCTGCCTCGGTAATCGCACCGCCGGGTCCAGTACCAACAATGTTACCAGCGCTGCTGGGGTGTGCCTTGGCATCCTTGAGGCGGAAAAGTTCAAGCTTGGCCTCAGCAATCTCCCGCTCAATACGTCGAACATCGGAAGCAGCCTGCGGGACCTGGTCTTCATAGCCTTGGAGCTGACGACGGAGGGATCGGCGCTCGGCTCCACTGTCAAGCTGACGGAAGCTAGCATTTGGATGGGTGTCGATGTCGTCTTGCACACGACGAATCCGTTCCATGAGGCTCTCTGCTTCACGGCGGTCCCGACGATCATGGACATCATCATCCTCAGCACGGTTCTCGTCTTGGAAGTCAACAGCATCAAGCATAACCTTAGCTTCGCGAATCTTCTTTCGCAGCTGGTCAGGACTGAGATCGTCGCCCTCGGAGGTTTGGGAGGAAGGAGCCGGGGATGGTGTGCGAGCATCGTTACCAACACGACGACGGGCGCTTGAACGGTAACCGCCTGCAGAATCATTGTTCTTAAACATGGTCGCGTCCTTGCGACTGGCTCCAGATTGGTTATTGGGGCCACCGCGGAAGGAGTGGTCCTTCAAGTAGCTGACTCCCGTCTTCTGAGGCTGCAAGAATGCCCCAGTGGTCTTCCGGGTCTCGGCATCTTGAGACAGAAGCGACTTGACCGTGCCGATGGAATCATTCAGGTGCCTAGTAGAGGGAGGAATGAGCTCGGGGGGCAGGCGAGCAGGAACGGGATATCCGTTCAGAGCTCGGTAGATCAAGTGCATTCCCACGGCGAACTCGTCCATGTTCAGACGTCCGCGGTTGGTAGGATCGGCCAAAGTCCAAATCCGCTCGAGGTCGTTTCGGTTCAAACCACTCTGACCCATGATCTCAATGGCAGTCTCGCCACTAATGAAGCCCTTTCGGAAACCATCCCAGGCGCGGAAGAGATCGTCATAGATCTTCTTTTCCTCCTTAGTGATAGCCCAGGCAACCTTAGCATTTCCGGAAAGATTGGCGGTAGTGAAGCCACCTTCGCGACCGGGTTGGGGCATGAGTTGCTGCTTCATGGCCTCGATATTAGGGAGACCCTGCGAGGGCGTGTTAATGAAGCCCCACTGCCCAGGGATACCCGTCGGTTGCGCCTGTAGACCGCCAGTCTGGGCAGGGCTCAGGCCGGAGGCGAATCCAGTAGGCATAGGTGGCATTGGAGGTCGGGGACCACTGTATCCTGTGGCTTGCGGGTTGGCCATGAATCCAGTCTGCTGGGGCTGGAGGAATTGCGACTGGTTTTGGCCTGGGAAACCGGTTTGCTGAGGCTGCATGCCGGTCTGCTGGTTGAAGAAGCCAGTAGGTTGCGCAGTGAGTTGGTTCAAGAGCTGTGTGTTGCTTGGTTGTTGAGGCTGAGGCTGCTGGACTATAGGGGGTGTGGAGTTGTTCTGGAGCACAGAGCCATCGAAATTAGGAACATTAGTACGCTGGGCCGGCGCGGGCTGCGTGTCGGGGACATCGAATGAGATGATGTCGACCATGCTCGAGACCTCGTTCTTGATGGTATCTGGCAATGCGGAGGGCAGCTCACGGCCAGTCAGGCGCAGATTACATAGATACATTGCCAATGCGAATTCAGGGAAGAAGAGCTGGCCGGACTTGGTAGAGTCTGACAGAACCCAGATCTTGGAAAGATCAGTGCCCGTGAGCTTAGAGCGCATCAGGAGATCCCTCGCTTTGTCGCCATCCATTGTTTTGCTATCGGTGACTGCGGACTTGAACAGCTGCTCAAATTTGGCCTGGTCCTGGGCGGTAATGAACGACAGTCGGATGCTTGGGATGCGGGCGCCATTCTTTGGGGGCACTTGAGGAGGGGGGCCTGAGGCGCCGGTATCTTGGAAGGAGTTCGCGATTTCGCTCGAGGTCTTGGGCCGGTTAGGGAGGCCTGTCGCTTGAGCGAGGTGCTGTTGCGGGATGGGTGGCACGGGGGGGCACAGACGGCTGTGCCTGAGCCTGGTTTTGCTGGAATCCGGTGAATTGAGGCTGGAAGCCCGTCGGCTGGGGTTGTTGGGGCTGTCCGGGGTACCCAGTGAACTGCGGCTGGAGCTGTTGTCCCGCGGGGAAACCGGTGGACTGAGGTTGGAGCTGCGCATTACCAAATGGTGAGGGCTGGCCGGCAAAACCGGTCGGCTGAGGCGCGAATCCCGTTGCTTGGGGCTGCATCGGTTGCTGCTGTTGTCCCTGAGGGAATTGCGAGTATTGGGGTTGCTGCTGCTGCTGCTGTTGCATGAATGGTGCCTGGCCGGGTCGGCCACCAGCACCACCGCCGACGAAGGAATTCGACGAGGAGAACATTATAGACACGGCGCTCGCATGGACAAAACAGATGCAGAAGAACCTATGAGAGATTGGCGCGAAGAATGAATGAATGTAGAGGGGGTGGGTGTCAGGAGCAACGTAAATGACGCCGTCGCAGGGACGCGGAGGCCCGCCCGGCTGATTAGTCAGGGGTTCACGGTCCACCAAAAATAGACAGCATAGTACAGCAGAGTATACTACACTGAGTATTTTATAATAGGCGATCGCTTGTGTTAAGTGGGTTAAATATGTTGTATTCAAGTGTAACGTGATTTATAATGTTTGCCCAATTCTAATAATTGTACAAGAAGCCATTCCCATGCCAGTATTGACCAGCATCCATATCATAGTTAGGCCCGAGTCTATCAAAGTCCATAAAAAGACAAAGCAAAAGACTCGGTTAACCTAAGTATCAGTATTCTTGCAAGTAAAGCTATTGCTATTGGAATTGGCACTAATAGCCGTACCAGAAGCATACAAACCCAGCACACAAAGAATAAGCCCAAAGCAAGCGATAGCCATATTCAAAACCATAAGAGCAATCTTCCTCGGCGAAGCAGTCCACTGACCATAATTAAGATGCAACCAATAAACGCCCGAGAGACCATAACTAAACCAACTAGCAAACAGAGCGCTAATCAATCCATTCAAATCACTAAAGACGGGAATAGCCTCGGCAATAATCCACGCAACAGTCCAACAAGAGATACCGAGACCGACCCAAAGACCGACAGAGCGCTTATTGCGCTGGTGGAGAAGGTCGGATTTCATGTTCGTGCAGATGCGGAAGTAGATATATTTGAGACCGATGTGGCCGTTTACGACGCCGGCACCGATAATTGTTGGGATGGCGATTCCAAAGGCTATCTTGCTCATTAGAGGGCCGGCGGAGTTAAAGGCGGGGGATGTCACTTCTGTTCCGATGTAGAAGTAGACGACTATGGCGACGGTGAGATAGAGGCAGATCTCGAAGCCTTGGAGCATGAAGAGGGACTTTTTGAAGTTCTGAGGTGTTTCCATTTCGGCGATTAGACCGAAGAAAGCGACGTGGGCGCAGTAGGCGAATACGATGTTTGAGACGGCTTGGAAGCCTGTGTATAAGGTGGTTTCTGTGGTGGCCTGGATAATAGTACCAGGGGGGGCTTTCGATTCCGACGGAAATCATGGTGATCATGACTGCGGTCAAGATACTGAGGAATGAGACGAAGGACATCCAGATCATGCCTTTCATAGTACGTGGCAGGCAGAGGACGATGGAAATGACCATGCCGATTATACTAAAGAGTATAGAGCAGGTGGCGTGGTTGGTGACAGTATTCATCATAATGCGGAAGGTGAGGATATGGCTTCCCATAATGAAGAGACAGAAGAGAAATTGACCAGTACCGAAGAGTTCGCGGCCGAACTTTCCAAGTAAGATCTCTCCGGCATCACCCAGGTTCTGAATGTGTGGGTACCGTTCGCGAAATAGGCCGATGTTATAGCCAGTGTAGGTTGCGAGAAGTCCGAGGCCAATGATCAAGATAACGCCGGGGACTATGCCTAGGATTGCCATAGCAGAGGGTAGTGAGAGTACACCCAGCGAGACTGACTCGCATATCATGAGCAGACCACATTGCCTAATAGGTAGATGTCGCGTTAGAATATCTCTCTTTTTCAATTCGTTTGAGAGCCTGCTTCATTGGATACGTACCACCACTTCAATGTTTTGTACTTGATTTCGGCATTCTCCTCGTTGCCAAAGGCATCGTGGACTTCACCAGGCTTAAGCTGACCTTCCTCTTCATAAACAGACTCATCCTTTCTCTCCACAATCTTGTCATTCTGGTAAACGGGCGGTGCGGTATTGACCTCCATTCTGGCCAAATTGTAACACAAAGTGTGTTAAAATGATAGGTATCGAGAATAGCCTTAATTAAATGTTCCACAAACCCATGAAGTGAGAGGAATAGAGTGATAGAAGTGAAATCTGGGGGGAATCAAGCCCTCTTTATAAGTTTCCGAAGATCTCATCCTCGCATGGGATACTCATTTCCCCAGTTTTCTCCGCAGGCAAATTTCTCGACTCCTATAGTGGAATTATCACCAATCAACAGCCAGACCCGTGAATCTAATCCCGAAGAATAAGATTTAAGTTAAAAAAGCCGATAGCTTAGCGGTCTTTCCCCGCAGATAACTGTCTTGGCGTCGGTGAATTTGAACCTTGATATGGGTATCCAGTTGAATTTCCCGACAAATTTCCCGACAATCCTTCAAAGATACAGTAAGGACACGATTGGTCTCAACCGAAAGTTTTTTCGCCCATTGGTTGAGCCCTATCAGTAGATTTGTTATTATTTGAGGTCCATTTAATTAGGTTTATGTCAAACCAACCCTTCCAGACCTATGAGTCGCTACTGAGTTCTCGTTTCCACAAGGTGACTTTTATTGCAGAGGCATCCATTCTAGATACATGGCATTGAGGAAATGCAATTCATAACTATTATCATGAGTCTTCGACGGGACTTCGGACTAAAGCGTGCGAGCCACTGCGTGCCAGTCAGGGCAGGTCAGGCCAGTGTGAAGGGGGAAAAACAAAAACAAAGAAAAGGACAACCCCAATCTTCTAAAAAGCAAAGAAAAACAAAGCATATGAAATCTTAGCGCCGCTCCATGCGCCAGATGAAGAATCAAATTCACAATTGCACCAGAGTCTGAAAAAGCGAGACTGCCGACCCTACTCTACTCGACAGCAGCCTGTTGCTGATTAGCCGCATTGGCCATCTTGCGCAACTCGTATTCCTTGGTGAATTCTCGGGACAGAATTCCCAGATCCTTGATCAGAGCTTGGCAGGCATTGATCACTGCGTCGCGAGGGGTGACTTCGCCATCCGTCTGTACGCGCAGTTGGAAGTTGGGAGTAAGAGGGTGGGGAACCTGCTCAAGATATCAGTCTGGTAGTCCTTGACATTACATTAAGACAAAAGGGAATGCGAATGACTTACGCGGTAAGCGGAGAAGATAACGTGCGAGGTCTTCAGAAGACGGGTGCGGAGCATGTTGGCGAGGGTGTGGTCTTCCTTGTGGAAAGTGAAAATTGCGGCGGAGGGGAGACCTGGTAGTAAGGTCAGTTTTTGGTACTAGGGCTGCGGGGCGGTTCAGGAGAAATTACGGGTGTCAACGTCGACATCGATCTTGTTCTCACCAGGCGCGAGCAGAATAGCCTCGTAACTGGGACAGAATGTCAGTAGGTGCGCATTAAGCAAAGCCAGACGTGCAATGAAAGATATTCGCAATGAGTTCAACGGGGGAAGGACAATGCCACAATTCCAGAGTGTGTGGGGGAGGGGAGGGGTCTGGGTATTAGATTCTCTTCCTTGAAACTGACACATCAACGCCATTAGTCTGGAGGCCAGGAGGAGCCCAGCGCCCGACCGGACGCCCAGGACGTCCTGCAAGCTCCCGCGCAAAAGTGACGCTGCTGGGCTCAAAGGGGAGTTCCGAATTGTGGTTTGCCATAGGAGGAGGTGGGAGAGGTATTCCCGGGGGCATTGGGGGAAGGGAATCCCCGTCCATCGTGTTGACAGTCCCGATCCCAAGCAAATGATATGGGAAAGAAGGGAAGGTGCGAAGAGGAGGGTTGTGGCCGTGGAGCAAGTGAGGCAAGTAAGGCCAGAAACCAGGCAACCCTCCATCGCACCTTCCTGGACATGACGGCTCCAGGTCACCGGCTTCGGAGGCAGCAACAGCCCTCGGGTTCCCGAGAAAGAGGTAGGCCAATCCACCGAATTCAGTTGGAAGGAACAAGGAAATAATCAAATGGGCATATTTGCAAAATCAAAGGTAAGGGGATTATTGCACACGCAGATAAATCAACTAGTACTCACCGATCCGGCGCGTTCATGATGCTGAGATCTTAATTCTTCAAGGTGGAAAATGTTATGTAAGGCGAAAAGTGATTCTTTTCGACGTGGGGTTGGTTTCAATGTATAGGATTTATAACCAAGTGAACCAGGCAAGTATTTCGACGTCAAAGGTCGAGATATACGACTTCTAGCAAGGCTGTTTCCAATAAAGCGCTTGCCAGTGATTAAAAGGGACCCGCTTCGATGTGCGGTTGATATTCTCAAAAGTGCCAAGGCTGCCCCGGGCTTGGGTTGATGGCGGCTAGTAGAGACGCAGCTCGTTCGGTCGAGACGATTGTACTGTTGAGTTTGATGGAGCTGGTGGAAAGCCTTGTGGCGTTGGATTCGGAGTTGATGTTAAAAAGTGACGGGGCCGCGATCAAAGACAGATGCGCGATATCAAACACGTGATTTGAGGACTTCCCCGTGACTGGCACGTGATAGCGCTAACCCCAAAATGGTTGTGGTAGTTCAATGTCTTGAACCTGTATATTGCAATTAATGAGTACGAAAACTGTCTAACTCCTACTTTATAAATTATTGATTACCTACTAGTACCTCAGTAAAATTGGCACGCGGGTTGTGTAGGGGTACCTGCCCAGGTGTGCCCGAATGGTTGATTTGGAGCGACACTGGCAGTGCCGATCCTCTACAATACCTGTTGTACACCTGAGTATCAAATAGTACAACAGCGGCAATAATATGAAGTGACCTTGGAAATGATTGTAAAATTAAGAAGCTCATCTTTCATCATGAATAAAACTTATTCCCATATATCAAAATCTCAAGTATCTGAACAATTTTGTAATCCGGCGAAATTTCAAATATATATCTGCCCAGGTAAGTTCACCCACTGCCTATTACCTCGGTAGTTAGTAGTAGCCACCCAAACCCCGGGGCCACCAACTTGAAACTTGAAATTGATCGGACTTTTTACTACCTACTAGCACTACTACTAGGTTCAAGTTGACTCCCGGGGAACTTGCCCATTGGCAGATAATAAAAATTAAGATCATATCATATCATATAGTATAATCGACCCAGGCCGAAATGTATTATGTGAGAGAAGATAAAATGCCCGGATAATATAGAGAGAACGAGATGCAAAAACAATGATAATGACAATGATCCAAAAGATTCTCGACAGAAAAAAAAAACAAAAAACAAAAACTGCACAGGAAAAAACAACAAGATAAATAACTTGAAACTCAAACGCCATGCCATTCCTGCGCCAATGCCAGAAAAAAAAAGGGAAACACAAAACAAAACCATGAAAATATGGAAATATTGGGGGACATATGTTCTCGTACTAATGATGATTGATAGAGTTCGCTTCGGTTTGCTGGGCTTTGCTTCGCTTCGCCTCACCTGCCTCGATGGGGATGGATAATTCATAGTTGGAGAAGACCCGGACCCGCCTGCCGCCCGACGAGACGAGAAGAGACGAGAGACTGTTGCTTGACGATAGACAATTCCATATGGAATATCTAGATCGTATTCAGAGTCATGGGTGTAATAATAAATGGATGGTGGGTTGTTGCAGTTGTTGTTTTTCATGTAATGTCATGTCATATCAAGTGAGGCGAGGCGAGGCGAAGCGGAGATGAGAGGAAAACATCAAGAATGGGCATAGTGTTTCTATACAGCGTGGTTGTTGACTGTGACTGTGATTGTGATTGGTGGTGGTATCAATCCAATCGAGCCGGAGAGCTTTTTTGGTTGGGGACGGGTTGGGTTATCCTGGGACGGATTGTGTGGGGGTACTCAATGCACAGCACCCAACAAATCGCCAAAGGAAGAAGTAGTCCTCTTCATCTTCCAGCTATTCTTCTTCTTATCACGTTTCTTCATCATATCAGCCCAACCCTCGTCCTCATCGTCATCCCCAGAGCCGGACTGAGCTTGATGACGGCCCGACGGAGACTGGCCCGTTTGTGAGACCGGTCGCACGGTAACGGTAGCCATGGTCGTGGACTTTGCGAGGCTAGAGTGCGAGCGAGACGCGGACATGGGGGGAGAGATGATTTTCATCATTCCAGATTTTCAGATGCGGTGATGTTCCGGGCCGTTCGTTCTCGTTATTAATAATCGAGACGGGGCGGTAGCGGGATGCCAGACCTGCGTTGCTGCGCTCTGATGGGGCGATGGAGGCGGCGTAGCCGGGGTTCTTGTTGGGGAATGGGTAACCGGTCATATTGGGCATGGGAGAACCGCGGCGATTGGCGATGTTGTTGGGATCGAGGAGGCCGAGGGTTCGTTGGTCGAAGTTTGGCTGGGCGCCGCCGGCTGCGTTTGGCATGGAGACGGGTCGTCCTCCGCTGATTGATGGAGGACCGGTGGGAATGCCTGGCATTGGCATACCTGGCATACCCATTCCGGGAGGCATTTGCATGCCCGGCATCATTGGTGGCGGAGTGCCTTGTCCGCCTTGCAGAGCCATCATGTTCCGCATAAAGTCCATTTGCATCTGCACCATCTGCGACATCTGGTTGGAGAGGTTCAACTGGGCTTGCTCTGATTGGGAGATTTGAGCCTGTTGTTGAGGCATCATCGAATAAGGACGAGGGATGCCACCTCCCATTCCACCCATCGGATCGAACATTGCCTGAGTGTTCGGGCTACCTCGCCTAGCGGCTCGAGCCCGCTCCTCATTGGCAATCACGTTAATCAGACCTCCAGGAGGAGGTGCTGGAGAGGATGCACCCCCATATACCGAGCCTGAGCCACCGCCAAAAGCGAGTGATTCGCGATTAGACTCCCGAAACTAGACCAGCGCCCACGTAGGGCTCTGGCGGCAGGTTGCGTGCAAACGCAGGCAAGTTGTTTCTATTATAAGGGTCGGCACCGTGGATGGAGTGAGCAGACGACGCATAAGACGGCTGCAATGACGCGCGAAGGTTCGGGTTAGAGCTGGCATTGTTCAGACGAGTGGGTGGTCTGTTACGATTAGGGAATCCGTGGGCGGCCAGGATACCAAGCGGGACTTCGTCGTCGTCTTCCTCGGTGCTTTTGCCGCTGGAGGATTTGTCACCCAGGTGGGAAAGGCGGTTTGAATTGAGATTGGGGGTGCTGCTGCTTGCACCGCTCATCTCGGGGCGAAGTGACGGTGAAGGACTTTTCTGACCTGTCACCTTCATCATCTGTTGCCGGTATACAGAGAGATGGGCCTCCTGCTTTCTGCGCTGTCGCTCCGTCTCGCGCTGCTTCTCGGCCTCATCTTCCTCGTCATCGAATTCATCATTGACAGACTCATCATCACTCTTCGTCGCGCTGCTATTGGAACGACGTAGTTCCTGCTGCTGGCGGTAATGTTCGAATTGGGATGGGGTCATGACCTTGTTTCCCGGGGAACTTCTCTTGGGCACGCTTTCAGCGAACTGAACAGCCAGGCGGCCATGGTCTGCAATAGCTGGATCGGGGGATTCGCGACCTGAGAACATCGATTCTGGCTCCTGGTCTAGGTAGCTAGGACTGGCACTAGCTGCCTTGCCTTTGTCGAGATAAGGTGTTGCGTTGGGTGAAGGACCACCGTCGGTCCAGAGCAGAGATTTTCTGACCAGGTTGGCGTCTTCGTCTTCAATCGGGCTAGCGTCCCCTCCGTAAGAGTATACTCCACTCCGGCGCAAATTCGAGAAATTGGACTGTCTTCGGTTGGGGCGTTCGAGGGCACGATGGGAAGTGGTAGCACCGAGGGCTTGGTTGGGGCCGGGTGATTGTCTGCGAAATCCAGTCACGGTGTCGGCGGAGGATTGAGCTGGCGAACCGGTATCCCTTCCTCTACCGGCATCTTGATCATTAAGAAGGCCTTCCTGGGAATGATGCCTCGAATGACGACTGTCCCATGAGTAAGGGGAGGGCTCAACGGGAACTGAGCGGTCTGTACTAATAGGCGGGGGTCGTGCATTCCTGCTGGCTTGAAACTCGGGAAGGGCTTGCGTAGGTGGAGAGGAGGAGTACTATATCATCCATTAGTTATAGATCCCTTGCATGATAAGATTAAGAGCCTCCGCGTACCTGATTAGGCCGTTGAGGTTGAGGGGAGGGGTCCCGCAACATGGCGCTATCCCTTTTTCCTATTTGGTCGAACATCTTTCCAAAATCGTCCGACCCTGCCCCTGAGATCCCAGTGCGAATCTGGAAGTTTTGGCGGAGTCGCTGTATCGTTGGTACTTCCCGACACCGTCCGTTCCCTCGTCTCCTCCGGCGGCGTTGCATGACGGGGGAGGAGCGGGAGGTCCCGAGTTCGAATTTTTACTAAATCGACCACCGAAGGAGAAGGTTCTCCCAGCGGCGGCTCGTAGGGCCCCGGAAAGTGGAGGTGGGACGGGTATATCGTGGATTCGTGAATGCGGGGATGCAGTGTCATCGGATGGGATCTCTGTGGAGGAAGGAAGGGTGGACGAGGAGCTCAGACGAGTTGACGTCGAACTCTCGTATGTTGCACCGCTATGACGTTTCCGGGTCAGACGCATTCTCAGGGAATCCAAAGGTCGAGCGTGAGGGTGTTCATCATACCGATTCTTGTCCAGGGGCTGCTCGGTACCCGCAAAGATATTGTCATCTTCCAACATGGATGGCACCACATTACCCTCGCTCATGCGTTTGGTGAGCGGAGCGCCGTCGGTCATCGATCTATGAGGTCCCGGACGTTCAAAGACCCTGAAAGAGGACTGCGGGCGTGTCTCCACGTCCTCCAGGATGTTTCCGGAAGACTTGCGTCGTTGGAAGCTCTTGGGCAGCTTCATGGGCATTGTGAGTGGCTTGTTGGCCCTAACGCAGGAAATCGCTTTAGAATAATGCAAATGTATTAATGAGTGCTCCGGGTATCGTGGTGGTGTGCGCCCATCAAGGTTCTGCTTGGGCGATCCTGGGACGGAGCAGTGGAGGGATTATCGGGAGGGACTCGGGGAGTTGGATGTGTCAAATGCAAGTTGACAGCCAGCGAAAAAACGACGTGTCTAGTAACGGGATTGACGATCGGCCGGCGGTCGCAAGGGGAGAGCAACAAAAACAGCGGGTGGGGAGAGGTTGTTGATCAGGGGATGGGCAGTGGTAGTGGGAGTGGTACTGGCAAAGGCAAAGAATTGCAACGAGTCAGTCACAAAGGAAGCTTCTGGCACGGAGTTAAGTTCCCGAAACACCACAACACAACACAGTTTCCTTAGCGGCTGATCAAGGCCCATTCAGAATCCACAGCGATCGGGTGATGCAGGCGACACACACACACCTTGGCAGTTCTGGAATGATTGGAGTGATTGGAGTGGGATTGATTGATTGGGTTGGATTGGAGTGGGATTGACCCTTTGGTGGGAGAGGAGGGATGTTGGTAACCAGGAAGAGGAGGAGAAAGTGTGAAAGTGAAAGTGAGAGAGAGAGGGAGAGAGCGAGAAAATTAAGACGGCCAAAGAAGGAATTCCGGCAGTGTGAGACCTCAAAGCAGACTTGTAAAGGACGGTTTCACTTGGGCTCCGCTCGAGATTGACTCCCGAGAAGGACGAGCGAGTCAGATCGGAATGGGGAAGCAGCCGGTGGGGAGTGGATCAACAGGGACTTTTCTCGGGTAGAAGACTGGAGACAGACAGCTGAGAGACAGCGGGTAGCTGGGAGCAGGAAGAGTCAAGAATGAGGCAAAGAAAAGAATGAAGAATGTAGAGGCAAGAATGAAGAGAAAGAAAAAGTCAGCCGTTTGAAGGAAGGCCAAGAGTCAAGAGTCAAGAGTCAAGAGTCAAGAGTCTAGTCCCTGCATTATTGCCTCTTGTGGCTGTAGTGCAGTGTGTATGTATACAGTATACAGTATACAGTAAACACTAAACAGTAAACAGTAAACAGTAAAAAGTACTCAGTATACTAAGACTAGTATACTAAGTACAGTATATTGTACAGTATGCTAGTAAGTATAATACCACTGTATATGCACAATGATGCACTCGTCCATCTCGTCAGGCCAGACCATGTGAAACCTTTCTTCTATCAATAGCGAGAGGGTGGTGCCCTTTTGCCGCCTAAAAATAAACATTACTAAGCGAGGGGTGACCAATCACATTCATCCATCCACACATCCGGTACTAGCACTAACTATATTTACTAGACCGAGAAAAATTCACATTCTCGGAAATGTTCTGGGCCGTTTCGAGCTGGAATGTAGTCGCAAGCTATCTACGAGGCATACGGAGTAGGTATAATAATACTAAAGCCCTAGTCCTACGAGTGCAGTATACAATTCCCATCCGGTCTAGGGATATCATTTGATACCGGCCTTGATAGATCACCAGTCACCAGTCACCCGCTTGCACTCCACATTGGCCCGACTCGACCGTACCACCTGCCCTGCCCGTCACACTCGGGTCTTCCATCAAGCTTGGTGTAACAAGGATAAAGATACATATACATGCTATAGGATGCTACGAGGATGGAGTACTACAAATAAATAAGAACTGGAAGAAATAGTACAAACACAGAAACAGAATAAAATAACTCGAGATCGCTACAAAACATGGAATGGTGGAGCACCCCCTCACGAGGATCCACAAAATGAGTCGATCAACACCTTCCCTCGCCACCCAGTCCTAGTCCGAGTCCCATCTATCCGAGTCCCAAATTAGGGTGATAAAAAACATACGAGTATCGTACAGATTGCCTAGCTTAGATTCAGTTTTGACGCAATCTTCCTCTCCTCCTCCTCCTCTTCTTCCTCACTTATCCTCCACACAAACACAAACACAACCCCAACCCCAAATCCAATTCCAAATCCATCCCCTCTCCTACAACCCCCACAGCCAAATAATATCATCTCTTAGATGACCTATTTAGCAAAGTGAAGATCGTAATTCAACCACTTCCGCGCAACAACCCCATCAACATCCAAGCCGGGCGTACCGTAAGTCAAAGGCGCATAGAAGATAAATCCCCAAATCGTAACGCCAAGAATAACGGTCGTCGCCGCCCAAGCCGCAATAACAGACTTGCCCCCCATGCGTTCCTTCGCAGTGACGAATCGGCGCACACTCCGGCTCACCCGTCCCTTAGCTTTGCCAGAGGGATCATCGGCAGGTGGTGCGGCGGTGTCGGGATCGAGTGGCTGCAGGTTGAAAATAAACTCAATCAGTGCACCAGTTACCATTGTCGAAGCTAGGTGCGAAGGTAGGTAGTGGTGTAGGAAACGTTGGCGGCCCATTAGCCAGAAGGGGAAGTAGTGGGCGGCCCAGCATAGGAATAGGAAGCCTGTGCTGTTGTACAGGCGTGAGCGGGTACCGGGGCCCCAGACTGAAAAAAAAGAAATAGAAATGGTTAGAAAATTATTTACGGTGAGCCAATCAATGTCTGAACTTACTTTCTTCGAGAGCGTCAACGCCACGGCGGAGTGAGAGCTGGTCGGCGCCAACAATGCCGGCGAATACGGCGAGGAGACTGCTGGCAATCCACCATCCGATGGGGTTACCGAGGAAGTAAATCTGCTCACGGGTGTCGTTCTTGGTCCAGAAGCTGACACCGCGAAGCAGGAAGGGCCACTGGAATGGCTCGGTGGCATAGGGGTGGCTGCTGGTCAGGGCATTGTTATGGTGGAACATGGCACCCTGTAGCTCGAAGTACTTGCGCAGGAAGGAGATCTGCTTGGGCTTGCGCTCCTGGCGGACCAGGCGAGGGCTATCAGCCTCCAGACCGTCAATGGTCTCGGCGAACCACACGTTGCTGGATTGCTGGATGTTCTTGTTGCCGTTGATCTCGGCCTGCTTGAAACCCCAGTCGGGAAGCGGGGTGGTGTGTGTCCACATGGCAACTCGGGTTGGCACATGAACCAGCTTGAATAAGCTTGCAAAGGTGCGGAACTCTTGCTCCGGCTTGCCGTTTTGGATCTGGATCTCGAATAGGGTGTCGTTGTGGCGGTCGCCGGTGGCTAGTTCTTGCGAGACGGTGGTGAATTCCTGGTTCGTTGGGAAGAAGGGTGAAGCCACATCGTGGGTCAGGAGGACGGTGTCAGTGCCCACGTGGCGGAGTTGAATAACATCTCCGTTCAGCACGCTCTTGGGCTGACCGTCGTCCGTTAGGGGCTTGGTGGGAAGAACTTGCCACAGGTTGTTGGTGTCGTTGTGGGGGTATCCAGTCACCTGCTGTCCCTGGCTGGAGATACGGCCATCGTCATATCGCAGGGGGTAGGTCTCGTAGTGGCTGTGGAGGAGAACCTTGGTGTCCTTGTGGCGCATGGTGATGCTGTCGAAGTACTGCACACCGACGGACTGGGCAGTCATGGCATTGTCGCTTAGAGTCTCCTGGAACTCGGGGGACATGAACTCGTCGCCGGGCCCGGAGCGGGTAAGAATGGCGAAGTGAACCTGGAACCAGAAGAGATAAAAGAAGAATGGGATGACAACAAGGCCAACGCCACGGGCAACAAAGTGCTTGCCGAAGCTGACCATATCAAGTGCACCCTGGCGGCGATTGATGTCCAAGAGATTCCACAAATCGACCAGGACCGCTGCACCAATGGTGACGAAGGTGAAGACACCGACATACTTGGTGGAGATGACGCAGCTCAGGGAGAATCCAGTCAAAAGCAGCCACTTCCACCACTTGCGTCCAAATGCCTCATGGCGCAGCTTGTAGAATTTGACGTAGCATAGAACACTCAGAGCCATACTCAGAACCAGGGTCGCGTCCAGCAGAATGAGGCGATCCTCGGCAATGTGGGCATTGTCGAACACCATCAGACCGGCGGCCAGAACACAGGCAGGCAGAGAGTATCCAGATTCCCACATGGTCAAAAACACGACGGGAATCGTAAGGGCACCAAGGGTGGCAGGCATAGCGCGCAGGGCGACATACGGGACGTTGTTGTCGATGTACGAGTCACCGATGTTCTCGAAGAAGAAATGGCCATCGAATCCAATCAACCAGCCCATCAACGCGAAGAGTAGCTTTCCAAACGGCGGGTGGACATCGAAGAAGTACATGCGTTGGAGATAGTAAGAGGCGAACTAGATAGATCAATTGCAATTGCGTTAGCTCGGCCAATCCCCCTTTGCGTTGGACATCATCGCGCCGCGGAGATTCGAGTAACGTACCTTTCCAAAGTGAACCTCATCAAAAACCACCTCGTTGGGGTAGTCAATGCGCCAGAAGCGAGTCGCAAAGGCCAGCACGGTCAGAATGGTTATGGCCAGCCAGTAATCCCATTCCGAGTGTCGCTTGCCGGAGGCGACCATCGCAGCTGAGCCATCATTGGAGGGGATGACGGGGGTATCCTTCTTGCCACCTCTCTTGCGCAGAGAAGGCGAGGATGACATGATGGGCGAAAAAAAAGGAAAGAAAGAAAATATCAAGGGAAGAGAGCGACCGTGAAACTACCTAAAGTAAATAGACTTCCGAAAACGCTCAACGTTAGCACCGAATCATCGAATTGCGAGGAAGGGGAGAGGTCTCGCGGGGAAGAGGTGATGATAGACTTACCAGAACCACCAAATAGCATGGCACTCAATCAAACGAGTGCCAGAAGAAGAAGGGTGGAAAGGAGATGGTCGGACGGGGGCGGCGTGTGAGGCTGCGTGTCCTTCTTGTTGGAGAGGGCGGTGGCCCGGGCGCACATCACCGCAGCCCTACCAATCACAGCCGGGACGCCGGTATAGAAGAATGAGCTGACGGGGGCGCTTTATGCTTTCGGACATGTCAGAATAGAAGTGGATAATGGATATATTTGGATATAATAGAATTGACGTATAGAATAGAAAAATATGCAGTTTCTGACGTTCAATAATGCTCCCAACCCCCCAGAATGCATCTACTATGATAATTTCGTTCCAAATATACACCGACATGCCAAAAACAAGTCTCGTAGCTCATGGGTATCAGTCAAGATAAAAGCAAAAAGAAAGAAAAAAGCAACAACCAAACACTAAATCCTCACTCGTTATCTGTCATATTCAAAAGTTGCACCTCAGTCTGAACCAGAGACTGGAAGTCGCTTCGTGACATGCCCGTCGCCTTGGCCAGACGGAATAGGCTCTTGATACTGGTACTGATGTGTTGCTTCACGCCTACTTCGTAGGTAGACTGGCTCTCCGCTTCCTGCTCCAGCTTCGCGACAGCATCGGAACTGCCCGAGGAAGCAGATGCAGGGCGGGGGTGATTGAGAGCATGGGCAGCCGCCTCATTGGGGATGTTATCGTGGGCGTAACCATTTGTGCGAGGTCCATTTTCCGGGCCCTCAGATCCACCCATTGATGAACGTAGTAGGTTGGCGAGAATATCCCCATTCAAAGACGAGGGCCCAACCTCTGGCTGTTCCTCAGTCGGATCATGGCTATCCATGGCCGGTTGTACGTCACCGTACTGAGAGAAGTACGATGCTTCAGAGAGTCCGGAGGGACCCTTTGACGAGGATGCTGGTGCGGGGGTCTTCACATTGGGTGTTTCCCCGCCGCCTGGAGTGGCATCATACTGAGCCCAGTAATCATCGTCATCGTCATCTTCTTCGTCCTTGGCTTGTTGTTCACTGTTTGACTTTTCGTCCTTTTCGTCCAAAATTTCTGCCAAAAGCCTGTCCTTTGCTTGTGTGGTTGCTTCGCTAATGGAAGAGGCCCAGGTGTTTTCGTCGTCGGCTGGGCTCTCGCGCGGAAGTAGTTCCGCCACGCGCCAGCCGCGGCCATGTTCGTCGGTGGGGCACCATAGGTAGATCACGGCGAGACTGTACTCCGGCAGCACGACTAGTGACTGGAGAGTCTCGTCGTCAATCCGTTTGTAGGTTGCCGGCATGTCGTCCGTGAGCTCGATCTCGCCGGAGACAGGGTGCGGCTCAAAAGTGGTGCTGTCGACGATGCTCTGGAGACGGTCCGCCTTGGCGGGCTCCCAGCAGAGAAGCTTCAACCATGACTCGTCCGGGGAGGTAGATACTGAGGTGAGAATTTGGAGTCGTTGGCGGAGGATTGGGGAGAGGAGTGGGAGGAGGGCTGGTGGCGGGCGTGGAGAGACAAAAGCTGTAGGAAGACAAGCGAGGAGAGGAGGGAGCAAAGCTCGAGAGTCGGGAGAATTGATGAGCTCGACCATAGTCACAAGACTTGTAGTGAGTGACTTGAAATCCGGGGGTGTGGAGAGAAAGAGAAAGAGAAGAGGGGGACTCTGGGGAAGTGAAGTGAAGTGAAAGCTCCTCAGTTTCTCAGGCCGATCCATTCGCCCGAAGCGTGGGGCAGCAGCGGGCCGGAAGCTTACTGGCTGGAGAGGTCGGACTATATCTTCACTTCAACTTGAAGTTTTCTATATGCCAGTGACTCGTATAAATAGCATAAATCATGGGTATAACTTGGAATTAGCTGATTCTAGGTATAGGTTGATCTTTAACCCCACTCAGTAATCTGTTTGACGTTACAATGGAGCCAGACCATGACTATGACAGTCTTTTGGTGGTACCTTCGGCTCAATGTGACCCTGCAGATGCATTGGGAATAGAATCAACGAAGTACCCCGCAGCCTCTTTCAAATTATCGGTATCGGTACCGGAGAGGTCGGGTACTTGGCTGCTCGGCTTTGGGCTGATTTCTAACTCCTTGCGTTGCCCTTCCAGGCTTTTATTTCTTCTTTCTGTGGGGGTACCTTATCGGTCCAATGAAACAGCCCATGGGATGCTTGTTTAGCTCCAGACTTGTCTTCCTAGCTCCCGGTACCTGCGGCATAACCAATAGCTCCGATTTGCTTCCAAGAATGCGCAGATCCTGGCAGGGTACATATTCATGGTCGGGATCCAGAGGCTTCGCACAATCTGGCTACTAGCAACCAATACTTACTTTTGGTAAATTTGCAATAAGAGCTATACACATCGTAGGAGGGAGTTGATCATGCGTTCAGGGTCCGCCATTTATTTATAGGCTAGAATGCACTTGTCGCAACTTAATTTATGTTCCTGTGCCACGCCCTCAATCCCCTCCAACTCCTTCCACAACATCTATCTCTCATCCTCGTGAATGATATGGCTGGTCGCCCTTGAGGAAAACCAGCCTTTAAACAGTACTTTCTATTAAGAAATCCAAGCCCTGGATTCTTTCGCATTTGAGCACCTTTCACGGTCACGTTGACGGAGGATATAGGCAAATTTGGACCACCCTTCAACCGAGACTGTAGACCAACAGCGGTGAAGGCTGGTCGCTGGGTTTCGTGACCTGAACCTCATTCCCATTGGATGGATACTAATCCGCGAAGATATTCCGGTACTCGAATTGATCTCGGGTATCTCATATGATTCTTAGAAGTTAGATCCCAAGCGGAGGATACATTTCTTTGTTTCATAGAGCACTAAGTATCTCCTCGGGAATAGAGTATCATTTTGACTGAATGTTCACGTCGTGTGTCGAAAAATGGCTAGACTGTAGTATTTCCGTAAATTGGGGTTAACCTCGTACTCTTTTATTGTTGTCAGAAACCTAGACACCAAGATACGCTAGACCTTAAGTATAGAATAAAAATAGGAAGTTTCCAGTTTCTTATAAATATGGTTACTTACTGAATTAAGTTACATACCATAACTAGATACGAGTATAAGACAGCACTAACCGTGTTTTGGAGTAAGCCCCGGGACTGGTATCAATCCCAATGCCAAGATCTCACAATGCTATCATGCTAAATACCCTCACAATAACCGTATTTCCATACAACAATATTGTACTCCCACAAGTACATGACTTAAGTCTCGATACTATACAGGCAATCCATGGATCAGTGCGAAAATGTCAGAAAATCAGGCAGCAAGATCAATGGGCGGACTCGCTCACAATTATAACAGGTCTTATCCTTTCATCGCCGGATTCTTACGCCAATGCCGGAATCTTGAAAGGTGAGTATTTGAGGATAACAATATTGTATAACTAGTCAGAGTCGGAAACAATCTCACACCCCCCAAATTGTCTACTGAGCCACATCGAAACAAGTCACAATCTATAATCGGCTATAAAAATAATTCCTGGGGATACTCGTAGAGCTGCTTTACTGGTAAAGATTACCTAATATGCAATACACGAAACTCTCACATTTGTAGCGTTCGTACCCCTCCTCGAAGAGCCCCGCAATTATCCTCTTCTCCCGTGATAGAATTCCCACGACAGCATCTACTCGACAGATCTACCACCAGAGAGATGTCTGGCGCAGAAGTGCTTGCTGTACTTGGCGCTACATCTTCCGTGATAACAATCTGCGAGACTTGTGTTGCGGTTGTCAGATTCATCCAGGAATGCCAACCAACTGAAGCCATTGCGGTGATCGAGCCCCAGCTTGTTCTACTTTTGCATATTATCAAACAGCTGAAGCCTTTATACCTGGATTCGCCCGGTCATGACATAGTTGCAGTGCTTTCTGGATGTGAAAAAGAGCTCCAAAACCTAAAGAATCTTATTGAAGATTACTACACAACATCTTCACTGTCACTGTTCAAACGAACTCAGAAATCTTTCAAAATTCCGATTTGGGAAAGAAAGATCCGACAGAATTGGACCCGCATTCAGCAATACCAAATGAGCATTGGTCTATACTTGAATTTCTATAGCACGAAGCAACTGCTCAATGCCCCCCGTACTGAAGCTTCTTTATTTCTCGTGCCATTCCACCAATCGAACAACTTCTATGGCCAGCAAGATATTCTTGATCAAATCTCGAACTCTATAAGATACTCTACTCAATCCCCATGTGTGTTTTCCCTCACTGGATATGGGGGTACGGGCAAGACAGAGATTGCACGCGAATTTTGTCTTCGAGAAAAAGAAGCATATCAAATGATCATCTGGCTCAATGCCGCTGATGAGACGAGCTTCACAACTAGCATCCTCGACTTTGCGAATGCAGTCTCAGTAAACCAACGAAAATTTAATGACCGCGGAACAAGCTTAGCATACATCCAGGATGTTGCCAAAGATAGAACGCAGCCATGGCTTTTTGTACTTGACGGCTGGGACTCTGCAGATCAAAAATATAATATATTCCAGTTCCTCGCGGATGGAGGCCAGCGCGACGTCATTTTGGCAACGACAAGACATCCGAAGCCCTGTTGGGGTACTCAGATAAAAATTCAGCCTCTCTCTAATGATGATGGGGCGCGATTCTTTCTTGGGTTTTCTCATTCGCCCGGCCAAAATCAAATGGAAGCTGCAAGAATGCTTACCAGTCGAGTAGGGGGCCTACCATTGGCTCTAGCTCAAATGAGTGGTTTTATGAAATCTCAGGGATACACCCCTGAGGAGCTTCTTACATCATGGGATAGTGGGGAAATCCTACAGCAAATGAAAAGCACAAGCCCAGTCGCAGAGTCGATGCTCGCTATCCTCGAAGAACTCAAAAGAGAAGACTATCGTCTAATCGAGTTCCTACTGCAGCTGTCATTGTTTGCTCTTCCTGTGGAGTGCATTTTCCGGGACTATTTTCTCTTAATTCAGTCCCGTGCTGAATCACTTCCCTCGTTTTATCAATTGTTTGTCCATAAGAACCAATGGAGCTCCGAACTTTTCTTTCACGCCGTCATGAAGTTTCGTACACTCTACCTTGTCGAACAAAGGGTTAGAGAGAATGGAGTCATGGTTCTTTCAATCCATAGAGTCATAAAAGAATTTCTGCACAGGGAAGTTTCACAATCTAAAATCATTTTTGGTCCTCAATTGATGCTACAGACAACGGCAATCATAGCTGCTCCTCTGGCGATCCATGATTGGGATAAATCTTCTATTTGCCCGAGAAATATCTTTCGTGAAAATATCATGGAGTGCTTTCAACAGCGGATATCCATTCTCAATAGCCCGGACCTGATAAAAAGATATAGTGGCATCTCAGAGGGCTATCAAACATCTCTTGCCGCGTTTCTTGCCAGGTATAGCAACGAAGAAGAACAAGCTCGGAGCCTACTTCTGGAGTCGCTCAGCCTGCAGTCTGCCTGGCTTGGAGAGTCAGCATCCCTGACATGTACAACCATGACATGGCTAGCACTACTATACCTTGAATGCATGTTGCTCGATGAAGCAGCAATCACGATTGACAGGTTAAATACGGCCGAGTCCCAGGCGTCTAAACCTCAGAAGACTCATTTGGTGGATGTGCAGCTTCTGAAAGGCCACTTGCAAATGCGAAAGCAGAACATTGCTCATGCTCTATCCATATTCGAGCATTGTACCGAACATTATGCTCAGATAACTGGGGTTTCATCTGTTGGCATTGTGTCCGCTCTTGTAAGCGGTGGCGAAGCTATGTTGATACAGGGAAATGTCGAAGATGCAACCCAAAATCTTTATGATGCAGAGAATATACAGAAAGCGATAGACATCCCACACGCCCTTGTATTCCGCCTAAAGTGGAATCTGGCACGCCATAGTTTGCGCAGGGGGGATCATATTCGCGCCACCAGCCGCTACAAAGACCTGTGCGATGAACATGAACTCAATAATGATTCAGTTGGTCCCCCTTCTCGCCGATTGGCGTCCCTTCGTTGTGAGCTTGGTGATGTATATTTGGACTTGGGTGATGTACAAAAGGCCAAGGAGGAATACGACATTGGAAAAGCCAGTGCAAAGCGGAGGTCTAAGTCTTGGAAGATTAATCTGAAGGATACTTCGCAGTGGCTCTTATACGCGTCATTGGAGAGAACAAAATCCTTGCCATTAAGGGGATGAAAGACTTTCTTATTAATTCATTCCCTTTTATCTATACTCAATTTTCGTATGGAATATCACTTATTTTGTTTCACATCATATGGCACTCGTCGACAACGGATTTTGGAAATCAAAAGACTCAGGGAGAAACTGCAGCGGAGTTGAAAAGGAGGTTCACCAAAGAGCAGGTAAATAATGGCAAGATTTCAGCCGCGGCCTACTAGGAACCCATTACAAAGCTCTCGAGGTTAGCATAATATTGGAAAATTATTATGTCCATTCAAGCGCCTTTCAAGGCCGACTGCTTTACTCTGCCGTCTATATAAAGAGTTGGATTGGCCTTTTTCGTGTCTGCAGTAAGTCAACAATCCTTTGATCGGAATGAAATGCCCTGGACATATTGATCATGTTCATGTGAAGGACTACGACCTCGACGGCGAGTGGAACAAACACATCAGTACACCTGGGCAGAATGTATTGGAAGAATGCAAAGGGTAACATCATATTTGCCGTTAGCAAATGCTGGTTCGTAAGAGCTTATCCGGGAGAACAGAACATAACATAACATAAAAACGGACATGTACACAACGAACGCTAAACCCGATAAAAGAGCGATCACTTCCAAGTATAGACTGACTTAGTGTTAGTACGAGTATTGGTAAATGTTCCGGTGGCTGCAGCCTTCCCTATATTATGTGAGTATCTGTGCTTCGTCCATTTTCCTTCCACATCTCTCAAGTCAGAGGGCAAACCAAGAAAGAATGCCCGTCTATATCATCGATGGGGAAAACCCCGAGGTACCTGCTTGGGGAGACACTCCATTGAAAGTCTTTTCCCCTCTGAATGGGACAAATCTCACCCAGGTCCCTCACAGTCCGACGAGTCCCCCCCGACCGTCGCCAAAGGCTATTACGCCAATTTCTCGCCCTGCGAGATGAAAGTAGATTGGTGAATACCTCCTTTATAGCCTTATCTGTCGGGTAATTGTCCAACCTCTCCCACTGAAGCTCAAATAGATGATATCCTCCGGCCTATACGGCCTGAGGCACTGCGTACTTGCGCTCACAATACCGGTGCTGAAGCGGGATGCTGGCTTCGTCTCTGTTACACCAATGAAGAGGGCCATGAGTCACTATGGTCTGCCAATGAATCCGCAGAGTGGGTTACTTATGAGGGGGTAGTGCTCGATGATGAAAGTATTTTTGGAGGACTTGATTTGGCAGCCACCCTTGAAATATATCCGGAGCGTATCGCGAATGAGCGTGTTGATCTTGAGCTTAAAGAGCAAAGCCTCAGGGAGGCCGTTGAATATGCCGAAGAGGGCCAGTTGGATGACAACCCCCTAGAGAGGTAGGCTCTATACCAGGGCTACTGTGTTGTTACTCATCTCTATGTGGAGGATGAGGTGGCGGTAAACGGTGGAGGCTTGTTACGCGTATTTTTAGATGATCGTGGGAATGTGGTGAGGCAGTGGTGGGTTGAGAATGATGGATCGGAAGATAATTATGATGGGGCTTGGCATGAGGGCCTTTGGAGAGAGGCCTTTGCATCTGGTTACGGGGAGATTGGTCCTGCTTATCATGAGGGTGGGAGCCGAGGGCCCCCATACACCTCTTGTTTGCACTGAAAGGATTGCTGAATATTGTATAACCATTTCACAGTTCTATTCCTGGAATTCTGCAATCGGTGATGGTTATAAAAATCTTAAAACTGAATCTTGTGTTTGTGTTGGGGTAAAAGGTGGCACGGCTTCATCTTCTACGACTACCAAAAGGCCTAGGTTTACCGGTGACGACACCACGCTTAATCTAACTGAGACTCTGCCAGGAACCATTGATACGTATAAGAAGTATTATTAGGTTTTGAGTGATTATGGTTGCTATGACATCGTCATGATATTACTCTTAAGAATATCTTAATGCATGTACTCCGGTACCCGTCCTCAATTCTCTACAACTCCTTCCACAACATCCACCTCTCATCCATATGAATGATATCACTAGCCCCCCCTTGGGGCAATCTAGCTGTTGAACAGTATTATATGGTAAAAAGTCCTGAATTCTTCCGCATTTGAGCGCTTTTGATGGTCCCTTTGACTGAGTATAGACAACTTACCAGTGAGACTATGTTCTTCCCAATTGAATACTGCGTTGTGGTCCGGTGCCTTGAGACCGTTTTATTGGGACTAGCTATCGGCTCTCGCCACTCAAATAGTATAAACTTTCAGGCATTAGAGTAATATTTTGGATGTTGTGTGTCGAGGCATGGCTAGTATAACTAATAGATGTGTTCACCTGCAAACGGCTCCTTACGGTTCAAGTCTGCATCAGCAATGCAGCCCCCACTGCCGATTTCTAAAGAACCTTGTCCTAGGTGACGCCCTGTCCTACTCCAACTTACCTAGGCCATTTCCCTCGCAGTTAAGAACGTCGCTTTTTCTTTGTGCTTGGTGACTATCCCATCTCTTGTCTTTCCGTATCCACACTCCATATACTGACTTCACCATGTCTGATGTGGAAGACCAGACTGGTCCCCTGTGGGGCAGGCTAGGTGTTGAACAGTACTTGATTGTAGGATAATTGATTTATATTTGTACCCTTGTCGTCGCGCTAATCTGGCATAGACAAACTGGGATCATTCTTCTGTTGAAACGCCAGACCATCAGCGGAAAGGACTTGTGTCTAGATTTCTTAATACCCCCCTTGAGCCGAAAGAAAACTGCGAAAGAAAGACCACAAGAACTCCGTTACGAGAACCCACAGCGGAAGAAATTGACACGATTCTTCGCCCTTACCGCTGCGAAAATCTTCGGCGGCACGCTGATAACATATACACGGATGGAGTATGTCCCATGCTTCTACGCACACATTATGCCAAAAACGCAGATGAGAAAAATCGCCACGACAAAATGATGGAGACATGGATTAATGTGAATCAATTTGAGGAAGAAGCTTGGTGGGCGGTTCTTGATGATGTGAATTTATTTGATTTTGGGTCTGAATGGCGTCGAATTTACGATGTTTTACCAGAGATTGCATACCCTGTTGATTTTAGGATGGTTAAGGAGGGCGATCAGAATATCTTACGGGATAACTATACTGAGCCACAGCATCACGAGGGGACGCGGGCGTTTTTCAAAAGAGATATCGCAAATGCGAAACAATATGACCCTGAAGCTTGGCATAACGATCGCGAATCGGTGATCGAGGCTATCGATACGTTACAGAAGGCCGCTGCATACACATATATTGTCATTGCAGATGAGAAAGCGTTTGAAAGCGGATGGTTATGCGTTGTTTATCTCGACGGTCTTCAAAGAATCATTCGCGAGGGTCGTATTGATCCTAATAATGACGATATTGGCAATGTTGCAGGCTTATGGGCAAATTGTTGCGAGCTACTGGGGTCAGAGTTTACATCAGTCAGTGAGAAGTACCGAATCAATGGTGAGATAGGGAAGGTATTATATCAATTAACGGAGGAGAATCTCGCAGACCCTTAACTTGAAGCTTGCTCTAGTTAGAAATCCAAAGATTATGCATTTAATACCAGAATAAGTTTTTAAATTCGGATTGAATCATTAAAGAGGTGAGTTTAGAAATGAAGAGGGACTCAAGAACACGGAGACAGAGGGTAAAAGATAAGAGGCATATTATAGTTGCCCGTCCAGGCAAGACGAAAAGAGAGGGCGCCTAGATGGAACTACAAAGGGGAGCCATTTTCGGTGATGGTTGTAGGCGGTATCGCATTGAATAGGCGCCAGGTTCGTTGAGAGTGGGTGGGAAATGGCCATGCCTGGCGCTGTAAGCAGCTATTTTTGGTATCGATTTTACAGGCCCTCATATTCCAGTTGCAGATACTAGTGGCTACCAAAATAATAGGCGCCTAAATGCCAATTCAGCTTAGTAAATACTATGCTAGAATCTTTTAAGTACCACCTAAACACAGATGAAGAAATACCATATTGACCAAAAATACCGTTATGGAGACCATATTTTAGAATGCCTGGTGGGAGGGGGACATGGCTAATTCTGTTGAGGCCTATGCAGAGGAGGATGAATAGCATAAAAGTGGTGGATGGAAAGATAGAGAGGCAACTGCTATCTAGGTCGGGACAAAGGGCATCCTGGATGCCGGAGACCTGCCAGCCTTAACACATTATCTCACAGATCTCCAAGGAGCTCCTCATTCAATTGATATAATTCGCGTCCAAGGTCACCATCAACAAGATATCTCTCCGAGATGGTCGAGTGTTCCATAAGGTCAGCTGTACACATCCATATCCCGACGATATTAGCGATATCATGTTCTTCATCAATCCGACCTCCGCGGACCACCCTTCGTAAGCCGTCTAAATAAAGCACTAGGAGACTTCCAGATCGAAAGGCTTCCTCATCTGCAATAAGTATATACGTGCTTGAGGCCATTCTCTGTAATCCCATTCCAGCCGATTCAATGACTGAATTCGGGTCGCGATGCCACGCTTCAGGGTCCTCTTTTTTCATGCTAGCAAGATCCCTTCTGAAATAAGAATGCATTTCCTTGAAATCGGTTGGCTCGAGACATCGTTTAACTGAAATTTTTCCGTTGTAAGGGAGAAAGTTTTCAGTTGAAAGCGGACCAGCGAGCTCGGGGAGGATGTCATAGATTTGACACCAATCTTCAGGACCCGGACCGAAGTTGAACAAGTTCTCATTGTCGAGAACAGCCCACTCGGCTTCTTCACAGAATGTTTCCGAGTAAATCCACTTTTCCATTTGCGCATCATCTTTAGCTCGCTGGTCCTCGGCACTATAATAAGTACGCAAGAGATGGGGACATATCTCATCTGTATATGCATTCATTGCATGCCATCGCAGTTCCTCTGAGCGATAAGGTCGAAGAATTATATCAATCTCTTCCGCTGTAGGCAGCCGCAATGACCCAAGACTAGTATGAACCGGAAGGCGCTCCGGTATATGAAATAAGTCAAGAGGAAGGATATTGATGCTAAGAAATTCAGTGACCAGCCTGCATCGTTGCTGGTCTGGGGTTTCGGTCGAGGAGGAATCCCAGTTCAGCGTTGTAGAGTTAGCAAGATACCAAAGGGAAAGATCACGATAGAAATCTACCATAAAGTATTGCTCGATCGCTAATCTGCCCCACGCGGGCCCTGTCTTGTCAGACATGACGATGAAGGGTGAAAGTTCCGTACTCAGTTGCAGCCGCGGGGCATTGGGGAAACACCATTGAAGTAGGTTACGCCAAGATAAAGAGCAGTGACTAAGGCAGACACACAACTATTAACTAACAGGTCTACGTTATCTTTCATGATCTGTAGGCACAAATATCCCTGAATTAAGTTATTGAAGAGAAAAAGGGTATATGGTATATGGCAGACAAAAAGTGCAGCGTCAAGAGATATGCGAGACAAAAAACAGTCGAAAGCAAAACGGTGGCATTCGGCCTTGCAGGAGACCCCCCTTTCGCTAAGCAACCCTATCATTCTGCTCCAGCTTTCCAACTAGTCGCTTCATGCCCGTCCACTCATCAGCAGGTACTTCCTCGGAAGGACCGCCTAAGCCCTTGCCCACTTCAAACACCGTAACCACGCCGTTGAGTCCACCGGTAGCGATACGTCTACCTTCGCGTTCTTCCCAGGCAACCTTGTTAAGACTACGGGAGATCCCGCCATTGGAGCCACGGGATGGACTAGTGCGTACAACTGGGACTTCGGTGTCTGTGTAGAGATCCCACACTTCCAAGTTTCCGGCGCCGTCAACAAGAGAGAAGACGCCAGGTCGGTGTGGGGACCAACGTGCGTCGTATACGACGTCCTCACGAGTGATGTCCAGAATGGGCGAAACGACCTGCGCGGCGGCTGTGCCGGAAGTGACAGAAGCTGTTGTGGCCGGTGCCCGCACACGCCAAAGTTTCACACTCCAATCAAGACTGGAGCTCAGCATCAAGTCACCCAGATCGACGGGGCCGCGAGCAGGGTGGAACGCGGTGGACATGATTGGGGCGGCGTGGCCGCGGTAGGCAAGGCGATGGTCTGTGCCGGCCTTGGCTCCAGCGCGATCATATCGGTGGCAAGGATAGATACCACCCTCTTCGGTACCGACGATGAAGAATGTCGGGTCAGACTGTGGGAATGACATGGTTGTTGGTGCGAGGTCTTCCGTCTTGGATGGAGGGGGAGTAGTCAACTCGAGATACTCTTGGGGCTGGGAAAGCATATCGACTGTCCAGCCACAGACCACTCCATCCGTTGAAGAGGTCAAAATATTGTGCGCATTCTGGGTACCAATGATAGAGATACTGTACACAGGGTGAGTGTGTCCAGATCCAGTCAATGGTGTCTTTTGAACGGGAGCACCTCCGCCGGCACGAGAGGAGCGAGTATCCCAAAGAAGGACTTGTCCCGAATATGAGCCTCCAACAATGAGATTAGGATGGAAAGGAGAGAATTTGGCGGTAAGAATGTCGGAAGTAGAGTGGAAAACATATTCGGGGCGTGACTGCAGATGTTGATTCCAGACCTGCACCAAACCGTCCGGCTCATGGGGAGCAGATGGGTTCTTGGTGTAAGATGCCAGCACGAGTTCAGGGAACTGAAAATCGGATTAGTTGAGATCGGATATGGTTCTCGAAATGAAACAAGACGTACCTTGGGAGAGAAGCTAATGTCACTGATCATGCGCTTCTTACTCCATCGCTCGTCCCAAAACTGGCAAACCTCTCGAATGCCCCTCCTTTTCTTGCCAGTTTCTTCGTCCTCTTCCAGGTCTCCATCTACACCACCCAGTTCGTAGTCTGCAAGAACATCGTATTCCTCATCGAGAGCCCGCTCAATGACCTTTGCGGAACGCTCCACAAAGTCCAGGAAATCGTCCGATGAGGTCACAGCTTTGAGCTCATCATCTTCAAGTGTACGCATGGGATATCGCAGGTCTGACGACTGTGCGGCCGTGGCATCTTGCCCGGTTTGTTTGGTCGCCTGCAATTCCTCCTCAATCTCGGCACGAATCTTTTGACGGATCTCCTCGTCGCGCTCACGACCCCGTCGACTAAGACGTTTGTTCGATCGTGAAGTTCCGGCGAGCTCTTCATCATCTGAACCAATCGACTCATCTGGGTCTTCTGGGAAGTCTAGGCCGTCTGTTTGGACACCCTTGCTATATGTGACGACTTCTGGTTTGGGTTCAGGGGGCGGCGGGGCATGAGTTTGGGGTTGAGCTTCGGGCGTGGAGGCATTGTAGGGTTCGTCCCCGACAGTCTGGACGGCAATAGACTGGGACTGAGGTCTGGACGAAGGGGTATAGGTTTCGGCGTTCTCTCCACTCAACTGGCTGGCGCTGAGTACTGAAGTCGGCCGACTTCCTCGGCGCGACTGGTCCTCAGCACCATGGCTAAGGGAAGCTGACCCAGGACGGTCCACCAGACGCGAAATCAAATCATCAAGTTCAGCTCTGCTACCGGAATGACTGGGAACCGGTGAAGCGATCTAATATGACCCAGTTAGTATCCCTATGTGAGCTCCTTAAGTGGTATCTCCGGGGCTGCATACCTCTGAAGCATCTCCGACGCTGTTCCGGTTGGTGGTGAACTCCCTTTGACGGAGATCGCGCTGTTTTTTCAACTCAGCAAGCTTAGCCCGCTTGGCCAGGATCTCATTCTTGCGCTGTTGCATGGACGACATCGTGAAATCATACGACCCGGTCGAAGTATTGTAGCTGTAGTAGCGTGTTGCGCTTTATTTACGGGATGACATAAGCGGGCAGGGCCCGAACGGCGCCGGAAAAACTCGCGCAGACCAGGGACGACTAAACCTCGCCTTGCCAAACCCGAGGATTCACTGCCATTGACGGTCGACTCTTGTTAAACGATTTTCCGATTTCCCACTCCTTTATTTAACGTCGCATTCCCGTCCTCCGGAGATTCACAAAAATGGCTAGCCAAGGTGTCAACGTGAGTATCATCCGTATCTTCCCCGGCAGGGACCGATGGGACACGCCCCCTCCCAATGCGAAATCGAATGTTGACCATCTACCTTCACTTTAGGTCCTCCGCTACTCGGCTCTCGTTGCCGGTCTCGTCTACGGTGTTTACCACCAGTCCTCCATCAACTCCCAGACTAAGCGCGCCGAGATCGAGCACGAGTACACCCGCAAGGAGCGTCTGATTGAGCAGGCTAAGGCCGAGTGGAGGAAGAAGACCCAGCCCCAGGAGACCAAGACGCAATCCTCCGGCCGTACGTGACCCTTTGATACCATTGATTCATTCTCGTGGAATGATGGCACTCGCCGAGGCCGAAGGGACCGAAAGAGCTCCCAATTCCAGAGACACAGCGCTAACTGATGGTTGCTACGTTACAGTCATTACCGATTTCGCGGACCCCAAGTTCGACCTCGAGGCCTTCCTGCAGGCCAAGTTCGCTGAGAACCCTTAAATGCGATGAATTAAATAGAGTGGAGGAATGAAAACGCATCTCTTTGCGAAACTCGCACCTCCCGTCCCCAGGGTATTTTGAGTATTTGCTCGGGTCCATTTACTGTACGATTGATCGGGTCTGATTTCTCCCCGAGTTGCGACATTGCGAGCGAAAGACGGAATGGTTTCTTTTGGTTTCGTTTTCTTTACTTTATCGTTTTAGACGTTATCATTTTGGTCCTGTACATACCCTGGGCTGTGTCGTGCGCCTGTACAATACAGTTGGACCTCAAGAGCAAAAGATCGTGTTAAGCATTCCGGCGTTATAATACTGGCTTCCGTGTTCGACTAGCCAGTCCGTAATCAAGTGCTATGCTTTCCTGTCCTAAACTCCGACGATAGATTGTAGATGTACCATTCCATGAGCTCACCTTCTCGCCCTTCTTGCAGCCGTTTATCGCTTCTTCATGTCCCGTAATAATATGCTTCAACATATACTCTAACGATTTCCTAGCATTGCCATTGTCTCACGAATGCCGCGGGAGGGTTGGCTATCGGTAGGCGGTACAGTGATCGGAGATGGGTACAGCAATTGAGTCTCTGGGTTCCAGGTCCACCCGCAATCACTGAACTTTTGAATGATTGTCTGGTCGCCTTTCTCTGCAGCCTGAATATCTAGCCCCAGGTATCCTGCCGCTAGAGCTGGTCGAATCGCTTCGTATGAGGTGCTGACCGCGATCAAGGTTTGGTCTTGAAAGAAATCTAGAGCACGGATATTAGGAAACCGGCAAAAAAGAATTTCCCAGGCCAAGTACATACTTTCATATCTTTGCACCAACGGTTGCAGGGTTTCTGGCCACGGTAACCCACGAAGGATCTGATAGACCAGACCATGTTCGTTCTGCCAGATTGCTCGCAGCAAATTCAAGCAATTTTGTAAAGAGGGATCGTGATTCTTTAATGTTTCGGGCATTCGCTGGGTAAGTGCGCGCGCTTCTGGTCTATTTTAGGTCGAATTATTAGCGACTACATCATTCGGAGTATGATGGGGAGTATTTACATTTGTTTGGTAAGAAGATGAGCGAAGAAGAAGCCAGAGTAATACAGGCACAGCATTTCAGGATCACCTGCACCTGTCTCAGCGCTGCCACTACCAGCATACATGAGGCAGGCATCTGATTCGTATTGCGACAGAATCTCGAAAAGCTGTGAGGGAGGAGCATTTGAGAGGATGACCTTGGAGATCTGCTCCTTGGTGAGAGGAGGCAACTCCATCATATAGCAGTAGATCTGGAATAAAAACTCTGTACTCGTATGAATTCAGGAGTATTTTGAGCTTCACAAAGCTGAGATGTAGGTGTGTGGTGCTTGGTTGTTGAATGGATGATGCGGGGAGCAGTCGGAGGTGGCGTCGGGGAAAGGCGCCAAGACCTTCAGAAGTGACCACCTTGCGCAGCTCTCCCTCTTGCAACCTTCCCACCAGGCAACCCATTGGCAGCTCTGCCCCGTTCGTTTCTTGTTTTCATGATTCATCTTTGTTAATTTGGACTTTGCTCCTTCTTCCAGGCCATTATGGCCCAGTCTTCCCTCGATGTCTTGCTGAAAGGCAGCTCCGGCAAGAGCACACGCGGTCTATTGCGGATCATCATCCTGCTCACGATCGCTGCGGCCGCCGTCGCCAGTCGCCTTTTCAGTGTTATCCGTAAGTCAATGACCCTAACTTGACTGCTCGGATATATAATCTAATCTCAATTCTAGGATTTGAAAGTATTATTCACGAATGTACGATTCCCCCGTTCCAGCTCATCCAGCTCACCCAGCCCACGACATCTCAACGGCCAGATATACAAGGATGAGATATTGACCTACTTCAATTGCAGTCGATCCGTGGTTTAACTTCCGAGCAACAAAATACCTTGTCCAAAATGGCTTCTACAGTTTCTGGGATTGGTTTGATGACCGTATGCTTCCCCCTTCCCAATGCTTGCGTGTTGTTAGGTCCCCCCGGTATCACAGAGCAGCGCTGATACAATTCCTTCCCCATTTAGGAACATGGCATCCTCTGGGTCGTGTCACTGGTGGCACTTTGTACCCCGGTCTGATGGTGACCAGTGGTGTCATCTACCACATCCTCCGCCTCCTCACAATTCCTGTCGATATTCGCAACGTTTGTGTTCTTCTTGCCCCCGGATTTTCCGGCCTGACTGCCCTGGCAATGTACCTCTTGACCCGTGAGATGTCTCATTCCCCATCCGCTGGTCTTCTTGCAGCTGCATTTATGGGCATCACTCCCGGTTATATCTCTCGTTCCGTGGCTGGTAGCTACGATAACGAAGCCATTGCCATTTTCCTGCTTGTCTTCACCTTCTTCCTGTGGATCAAGGCTGTCAAGAATGGCTCAATTATGTGGGGTGCATTGACTGCTCTGTTCTACGGATACATGGTTTCTGCTTGGGGTGGATATGTCTTCATCACTAACCTCATTCCTCTCCACGTGTTCGTTCTGCTCTGCATGGGTCGCTATAGCTCTCGCCTTTACATAAGCTATACCACCTGGTATGCATTGGGAACGCTGGGTAGCATGCAGATTCCCTTTCGTCGGTTTCCTGCCTATTCGTAACAGTGACCATATGTCGGCTCTGGGTGTCTTCGGTCTCATTCAGCTCGTCGCATTTGCTGAATTTGTTCGCGCATACCTGCCCGGCAAGCAGTTCCAGAAGCTTCTCACCTCCATGGTCCTGCTTACCTTCGGCCTTGGATTCACTGGTCTCGTCCTTCTCTCTGTCTCTGGCGTCATTGCTCCCTGGAGTGGACGTTTCTACTCCCTGTGGGATACCGGCTATGCTAAGATCCACATTCCTATCATTGCCTCCGTCTCTGAGCACCAGCCTACCGCTTGGCCTGCTTTCTTCTTTGACCTGAACTTCTTGATCTGGCTTTTCCCCGCCGGTGTTTTCATGTGCTTCCAGAACCTGAAGGATGAGCATGTCTTTGTGATCATCTATGCTGTCCTCTCCAGCTACTTCGCCGGTGTCATGGTTCGTCTGATGCTGACTCTCACCCCGATTGTCTGTGTCGCTGCCGCTCTGGCTCTTTCGACCATCTTTGATAGCTTCCTGGTTATGACCAAGCCTACCCCCGAGAGCAAGGAGAAGGCGAACGCGGACAAGTCCAAGGCGTTCTCGTCGACCAAGAAGCCCGTTGTCGGCATCTACTCCTACTTCTCGAAGGCTATTGTGACTGGCTCCCTGACCATCTACCTTCTGATGTTCGTTGCTCACTGCACTTGGGTCACCTCGAATGCGTACTCGTCTCCTTCAGTTGTGCTCGCTAGCCGCCTGCCTGATGGAAGCCAGCACATCATCGATGATTACCGTGAGGCCTACTACTGGCTCCGTCAAAACACTGAGGACAATGCCAAGATCATGTCCTGGTGGGATTACGGCTACCAGATCGGTGGTATGGCCGACCGTCCCACTCTTGTTGACAACAACACCTGGAACAACACCCACATTGCCACCGTTGGTAAGGCCATGAGCTCTCGCGAGGAAGTCAGCTACCCGATCTTGCGCCAACACGATGTCGACTATGTTCTGGTCGTGTTCGGCGGTCTCTCCTCGGTTACTCGGGCGATGATCTGAACAAGTTCTTGTGGATGGTCCGAATTGCGGAGGGTATCTGGCCCGACGAGATCAAGGAGCGTGACTTCTTCACTGCTCGCGGTGAATATCGCGTTGACGAGGAGGCCACCCCCACCATGAAGAACAGCCTGATGTACGTTTTTTTTTTAACCAATTTGATGCATGCAGAACCACAATTTGCTAACCCTATCACTAGGTACAAAATGTCTTACTACAACTACAACTCTCTCTTCCCGGCCGGACAAGCCGTTGACCGCGTTCGTGGCGTTAAATTGCCCGCGGAGAGCCCGACGCTTAACACTCTCGAGGAAGCGTTCACCAGTGAGAACTGGATCATCCGTATCTTCAAGGTCAAGGATCTCGACAACTTCGGCCGTGATCACAGCAACGCTGTTTCATTTGACAAGGATCTGAAGCGCAAGCGCGCGACTAAGAAGAAGGGACCTCGCGTTCTGCGAACTGAGTAAACTCTTCTGACTAGGAAATGATCTCCGTATTTTCTGAATTCTTTTGTGATTGCACTTCTTTCTACGAAAGCAGGGCTTTGATCCCTGTGTTTTCTTTGCGGGTGATATGGATATACTTGAGTAGAAATAGCTTCGCATAGTATACAATGAAACCGCTTGGAGAAATTATCTCACCGTGTCTGGTGCAGTAGATACCTAGGGTACTACCTAGGTACTAGTGGGTAAAGAAAGAGAAGAGAAATGTGGATTTCAGATAAGGTCAATGTAATAGTTACTGTCTGCTAGTACATGTTATTCCCAGCAAATCCACCCTGTACAAGATATCTTATCATAGATGCCAATGAATCAAAGCCGCTGAGCTCACAAGTCAAGAATCATGACCTGTCCAAACTAAAAGACTCCATAACCCCAAAGTGCTCCGTTGCTGATTTTCCGCCGAGAGGAGACCGTGTTGGCGGGCCTCTAGGGTTCTTCCCATTCCACCCCTCGCAATCGATGCGGTTATATGGTACACGTAGAAATCACAATTCAATGACCCCCTTTGGAATTGACTCAGTACCCAATTCCTCGAAGGGCCTCGATATTGTATTGCTCTTATTTCTTCTCGGACGAAGCGGGGGTCTCGGGGACCTTTACGTCGGAGAATTCTTCTTGGCCGACGGCCTTGATAGTGTAGGCATCTGTTCAAAGTACGATGGTTAATTTCTCATCCGCAAGAGTGTTTATGTCAAAGATATGGCAAGTTTGAAGAGGTGGGGAGGGTTCGTCGTAGGCAACGGGTGGTATGATCTTCTCTCTGCGCCGGGACGTCTGGGTCGCAGGAGAGGCCATATAACTGGGTATGGGGAGCATTGTCTATCAAGGATTACATACAGACACCGATTGTGAAGGCGAAGAGTCCGAAACCAGTCAGGGCGTTCTTGACAAGGAATGGCCGGCGGGCACGGAGGAGGGCGGCACCGGCACGGTAATCCTTACCGTAGTATGTGGAGTTGAAGCTGTATATCAAAGTCAGTTCAGGGCGAGCATTTCAGTAGGAATTATATCAACTGATCAACTGACATTCCGGCGGCCATGGTGAAAGTGTTGGGTAGGTCCTAAAGGAACGAAGCGCAACGTCGAAGTTGATTTGGTCAGTGCGGAAGATCAAGTCTTGGCAAATGGTCAGCCCATCAGAAGCGGTCCCTGATGCAGATTGCTATTCTAGAGTTATTTTAAAAGTGATTGGACTGAAAGAAAGTATTGTAATATTCCTTAGAAGTTAACTCCTCTTCACTTGTTCTTTTAGATTGTGCTTAGTCGTTCATGCTTAGTCGCTCGTGTTGTAACAATAACTCTGGCGTGCCAGGGTAGACCACCGCGCCCGATATCGATCAATCAGTTCCCCAACTTTTCTCGGCCCCTACGGACCTTTGCTCCTCCCTACGTATCCATCCTTTGTTTCCAGAGCTTTCAAGGCCACAACTCGCCTTCCCTTCAGTCCTACCTCCCCGTGGCCGCCCATCGCCTACGATCTATCGAAATATCTCCAACCATTAGCGCGTGGCTGTCCCCTAGCAGCGCGCTGCTTTGATCGCGTTTCGATCCGAGAAGCAGGCAAACACGCAGTGATCGTCCATTGCGCCGACCTCGTTTCCTCGATTTCCCACCCTCCATAAGATCCTCAGTTAGATCCCACCGTTTCCGCGATGGCTCAAACGGCCGTACAACTCAATCAGCTGAATGCAGCTCGCAACCTCGTCCTCGGCGACGCAGCTCTGTACCCGCAGATCGTGAATGGAATCCTGCCTATCGTCGGGGCTAATTCGAGGGTAGAATTGCGAAGATGGGGGGGGCAGAATTTATGGCTGAGACCTTCTCTAGCCCGGTTCTGTCCGCGCCTTTGAAGGAACAACTTGCGCCTAATGTGCTCCAGACCATTCAAGACACCTTAGCTCTTCCCGAGACAGATGTTGCCGTACTACAGGGCTTGGTTCAAACTGCGGCCAGCTTGTACCCCTTGGTCTTTCGACATATGTATGTTTTGGAGAGTAGTCAAATTGGTTTTCTATACTAACGGTCTTCAGCGTGAATCACCCCGGGGATAATAAGTCATGGGAGACGATGACAACGATTAAGGAAGACATCTTGCGAAAGATGGATTCTTTCCCATGTCCAGTCAAGATCTGCTGCGTCAAGTTCCTACAGCGCGTGGTTCAAGTTCAGACACCAGGACTGATTTCGGACCCAAGGGTATGTTCTATAAGTTTACCTTGCGCTGCCCCCTCAATGCTGACCTTTCTTATAGCGACCTGAGCAAAATGAGACCTCACTGGCCATTGTTCCTCGTACTCATCCTGTTCTCAAAATCTCTCACCTCGAGGCTGAAGCATCGGGCCTGCTTGATCGACTCTTGGGCGTTTTCCAAGAAGAGACATGGTACGACATCATACCCGTGACATTCGATAGAAAAACGTTATACTTACCCCCTCCTAGTGATGCGCTAATCGTCAATGCAACTTTGAACTGTCTCTCACCACTCGTCCGTACTCGCCAGTCTATCGCCAACAAGATCATCAATACCGTTCTTGAGTTTTTCCCAACTAGACATGTCCGACCCCCATTTACGCCAACCGTCCGAGTCAATGTCAAATCAATGGAGCGCACAGCTAGGGCCTTACTTGTCAACATAATGAAGAAGAACCCGAACCACCCTTACGTGGGTAAGATGCAAATGTACATTGAGCGTCTTATGCAATCCAGACTGGAGGAAGTAGATGACGCATCTCGGAAACGAGCATTTCCCATTGAACCAACAGATGGTTTAGACACCGCGAAGCGTGCTCGTTTGGATGCGCTTACTCCTCCACTTCTCAAGATTCCCCCGCTGCCTCCAGGACCTACGAGCTACGACCAGCTATTTACATTAACCGAGGACGTCGGACTGTCCTCATTTGATGTCAAACAGCTTCCCGCCGAACTCGTCATGAAGATCACGCTGCCTCTACTGCAACATGTTAACCCGTCCACGCTTACACAGGCTGTTGATGTAAGCATCTACATCTGAACATTCTCTGTGAGAGATTTTAGCTAATACGTTTTCAGGCCGTCCGGAATCGACTAGAGACCATAACAAAAGAGCAAAACTTGAAGCGCCAACAGCAGCAGAACGCGACCTCACTAGACGATGACGACGATTATGAGCCAGATTATGAGCCCATGGATGTAGCAGAAGGTGCCGAGGGCGAGGGCATTACTGCGCCAGATCAAGCAGCAGAGCTACAACCAGATCTAGTATCACTGGGTCCATTCGTCCTACCTCAGCCGCCACCTCTCAGCGAAGAAGACGCCGCCGAAGTCGGCCGCAGTGCTGTTTCGCGCGTTTTCAGCATGATTCACTTGACCGAGCCCGATCCAGCATCAACAGCCTCTGGCAAAAACAAAACCCAACAGCTCGGTTTCTCCCGGCTGGCCGGAAGTACTTTTAATCAAGATGCTTGGGTCGTCCTCCTCACGCGCCTTGCCACTCGCGCCCCAGCTGGCCTGGAAGCAAGTGATAAGACTGGCAAAGGGGAGTCGGCGGTTGGATCTCGCAAAACGACGATTTCAGACTCCATTCGCGAGACGCTTTATCGATACATTTTGGAAGACTTTCGTGGTCGTCTTAATATCGGTATTACTTGGCTCAATGAGGAGTGGTACAATGATAGAATACAGATGAAGGCAGCAGCGAAGCAACGTGATGAGAGCGAGGAGTCAGACGAGGAACCTGTTGTCGCGCTTCATTATGATTACTGGGCGACACGACTCTTGGATGGATTTTTGCCATACTTGGATTCGAAGGATATTAAGGTCTTGGTGCGCTTCCTTAGCGAAACACCCGAAATCACTATCCCCATCACTCAGCGCATTGCGAGTCTCGCAAGGGATCCCGAACGTGTGAATCTCTGCGTTCAGGCACTTATGTAAGATTCACTTCCCTTCTCGTCCCCTAATCGCTTTCTTTCCGCAGGACTGACTTTCCCGCTTTCTAGGTACTTGATCATGTTCCGGCCCCCAGCCCGCGATATGTGTCTGGATACACTCGAGGATGTCTATAACACCTGTATGTTTCCCCGGTTTCCACCCGATATCTCCTTTTCAAGCTTTTGTCTTAACTCATCCACTCTCTAGACGAGGAATCTCGACCCGCAGCTGGTAAGGTCTTGTCTAAGTGGCGACCGCAGGCTATTCAAGCGCCGGAGCCAGTTTCCAATGGTACATCGGCACAGCAAGCGGACACACAAGCTGCAGTCCCCCAGGAACCATCAACATAGCGGCACCTCCCTTGCCAAATGGCTCAAATCAGGGACAGAAGCGTTACAGGAACCTGCTTTCGAATTTGAAAATGAGAATGAAGACGAATAGGAGACAGATGAGCCAAGTATGGGGCGTTCTATTCAGAATGCCCAACTGAGTCAGGTATCTGGCTGCAGCAAACGGTTATGTCGTCGGCGACGAATGATTCAACAATGGTGTGTTTTACTGGGTCATAATTGCGGAGATTCTTCCAGCTTTGTATCGATGAGGCTAGTGCTTCTAGAAGGTCTATCATGAGGCCCGGGATTTTGAGAATGCGGGTCAGTGCTCGGCTGATCCGCCGAACCTGACCTTCTTCTACCTGTCAACCAGGTGGAAGACTTGAAGAAAGAGGATATCTATTCCATTTACAAGCGGAAACCTGTTGATGTTCACTGGACATATCCCCACTCTGTTCACAAGCGTCCATGTCTTTTCTAGTTCTTATTTTACAAATATTCTTAACTAGCTAGGTCCATTTAAGTATATCTAGTTAGCGTATTGAGGTTGCTGACGTGGTGGTGTAGCGGGCGATAATTTTGTAAATTACTGGTATTATAGACCTCTAGAGTTCCATCATTTGGGTTGATATTTTGATGTAAATACTAGAGGTCGAATAGATCTGATTTTAGAAAGAGCCCTAGAGACAGTACGAAATACGAGCTTTAGAGAGTATACTGCCATCGGCCTATCGGAATGGGTTCAGACTCGGAGGGATATCATGCATTTTATACCTAGTATTTGCAACAATTCCAATGCCCAGCTCAACGCCCGTAAAAGATACAAAATAGTGATTTTTTTTTCAAGAGAGAGACTTCAAAAGCTCGTCACGTTCATGGCTTCTGACCACCGGCCGCACGATAGGCCGCAGCACGCTTGCTGCTCCGACCCTTGGGCTTACCCTTCGATCCACGACTCTTAGTCTTAACCTTCATGCGAGATCCATCCTCAGTAGCACGGTGACCCTCGAAAACCATCGAGTTACCAGCAATACCACCCTTACCAGCCTCCTTCATCTTAGCTGCACCCGCACGACCAAGGAGCTTGCTGGCGCGACCCTGAAGCGTCTTCTGAGCGAGATCGCCACGACGACCATTCTTGCCTCCATCATCCTCTTGCTTCTTAGCCATCTTGCGCGCACGGGTAACGCGCAACTTGCGTGGTAGCATGGGAGGGTAATTCTTCTCGTTGAGAGAGGAGAGCAGCTTCAACGTTATTCGCGTCGAAGAATTGGACGTAGGCGAAGCCCTTACCGACGCGAGTGGCGCGGTCACGAATCACACGGACGAATTCAACGTTCTTCTTCACTGTTTTCTTGTCCTTGGTGTCTCCTGTGTTTTGGTTGAAGATTCGCCAGAGTCCCTCTTCGATATCAGCGGATGCGCGAGCCTTCTTCTTCTTGCCATTGTGGTCCTCAGTGATACCCTCCTGATCGACGAAGTCGAGATTACCCACGAAGACGCAGCGCTTGTTGTCGATTTCTGCCGGGTGGGCGATGCTGTCGACGCGGATGTGGCGGTCCAAGACAACGGTTCCGTTTAAGGCGGAGGGGGCTTTGCGTGCGCCTTGGATAGTGGTGTAGACGGCGTAGGCGTTGGTGCTGGGCGTGGTATCGTCGAGGATCTCCCGTCTGGCGAAAGATGCGCGCTTGGGGAGACCACCGCCGCTGGCGAATGGGACGGAGCGGAATCGAATTGACTCGACCTTGTGAGGGCCGCTGGACTCGGGGAGGCTGGATAGGTGGGAGGCCAGGTGTCGGAGGAGAGTCTTCTTGGACGATTTGGATTTGATGGCTTCGGTGGAAACGTTGCCTAGGAAGACGGTTCGGCTGGACTTTTCAACTTCGCTGGCCTTTGCGTTTCCGGATACACTCTCGTGAACTGGAGGTGGGGCAGCCTTCTCCTCGTCGTCACTGTCCTTGTCCTTGTCCTCGGACTCCTCCTCGTCGTCAGAGTTGTCACTCTTGTCGTCGGACTCGTCATCAGCCTTCTGACGCTTGGCGTACTCGGCCTTGCGCTTTGCCGCATCTTTTTCTTCCTCCTTGGCGATGCGGCGCATGTAGGTTTCTTCGACTTCCTCCGCAGGACCGCGTTTGCGCTTGCGGCCTTGTGTTTCCTCTGCATTCTCCTCCGCAGACTCGGAGTCGCTTTCTTCAGAGGCAGAGGCATCTTCCATCACATCATCATCCTCCTCCTCGACCTCGTCGGTCTTTTTGGCGGATTTGCGTGCAGCCGCATCCTTTTTGTACTTGATAGTCGGTGCTTGGACGGGTCCAGACTAAATGAGACAATATTAGTACTCGATCTTCGCTTGGGTAGGTCGAATTGGAACGTACGCTTGACGCGAAGAGCGAGGACAATGTTGGGTCCAAAGATGCGCTACCACTGATGAATGGGAGGCCACCGGCGGCTGGCTGGCTCTCCTCCTTAGATTGGGACTTGGATGATTTCTTGCCCATCTTGTATTGTGTGTGGTAATTCCCGGGAAGAAATCAATTTCTTCAAAGGGGAATTAATGGGTTGAGTTGGAATTATATGGGGTGTTCAACGCATACCAATCTAGCCCCGAACTTTTTTTTTTCATCGCGCTTATCGGTCCGGGCGGAGCTGGGCTGCGCATCACATGATTGGAGGACACTCCGGGGCAACAACTCATATACATTATTGTGTATGGGGAGCTTATTGGGTATTTATGGACTCCTGGGGCTTTCTGGATGTATGGGTATTACTAGTAGGAGGGAGATTATTTATTGTTCTCTTTTATGAAGCTACTCCTGATATGGATGGGCACGTCTTGTATTCAAATCACCTCATATTCCTACCTGATATAGCTCTCAGAGTAATATCAATTATATCATCCTTTTTTCTCGACCTCACGGACCTCTTCTGTTATCACAGACTGCATAGAACCATGTGATATAGCCATAGGTCAACTGCCATGCCCTATACGAAGTGCTCTGCTTATGCAACGCCGTCTCCGGCGACGTCAGCCCCACGTGACTCTGGAGGTTTTGCGGCGGTGAGCCTCGGGGCTCGGCAGAACGACAGGACGATTCCTGGGCGCCCCCATCATAGCAAGGTCCGTTCGGTTCTCTCCCCACCCCTGTTACGATTTTACTGCTCGATCTGCTTCCCCCATCGCTCTTGCGAGCATTGCAAACGATCCTTGTTATCCTCCGATTCTTCATGCCGACCGCCTCCCCGCGACCCTCCACTGTGGTCCTGCCCGCTTCCTAGCCGACCTCCCCTCGCTCCTCAGCACCGGCGCATCGGTGATCCGACAGCTTTTACTGGCATTCTATACTTGTGAGACGCGTGGACTTGGTCCTAGTTGCTCACCTGTGTCTCTGGAACACACTGGTGGTGAGAATCGTGCTTGGTCGCGAGCAGCTTTGCTCGTTCCCAGCGGCGCTCCCGGCGCATTGTTAAGACGGTACGTCGCTTGCACCTCTTCGTCCCATTTGTGATCTCTCTAGCTCGCTGGTATGGTGAAAAGAAGAATCTAGCCTGCAAGGAGCTCTTTTTTCAAGGTCATTTGAACGCGCGCAGTTGCCGGCCCTCCAGCCAGCGTCGCTTGCCGGCTTTGGGGGGTGGAGGCGTTGCCGCGATGATCAATCTCCGCACCGCCTTCTCTGGAGGCGCTGACCTACCATTCCCTCCCACCCTACCACTTCCCCTCCACCACCTTGACCCGGGCCCTTTTGACCCTGCTAGCATGGCAATTGAACTAATCAATCATATGGTTGTTCCAGACTCCCCACGAAACCCTTCCCTGGTGGATCGGTGACCTTGACGTCCTACCTCTCCCACCCCCAACCCCAACCGCCGCCAAGCAAGCCCTTTGGCACCATCCTCCCTTACCATACCTCTTCTCCTCCTACATACCGCCTCTAACTGCCCTAGTGCCTCGCACGATTGCAGATGGAGGTAGCCGAAAGCAGAGAGCAAGCCTCCGTCGGTCCAACGACGGGGGCAGAATCTACCATGACCAATGGCGAACGAAATCCCTTCTTGGATGACCCGCTCATGGACGATGGACGCTCTAGCAGCTTGAGTGAAATCGACGATGTTTCAGACGACGAGCCGTCTGACTTTGAAGAGTCTCCTAAACCCGAGAGGCAGCTTGAAAACGACTCGGAGGCGGAAACTGAGCGCCTCGAAGACTCCCCTCACAACATTCGAAAGCGAGACATCGTACTCAGCGTTGGCAGCGCTGGTCCTAGTCCCAGTAAACTCCATCAGTCCACTACCCTGGAGGACGTGGACGAGGAAGAGGAGCATGCGCTGGATGACTCGCCTAGCAAGAGGCGACCCTCTCAAAACAATGGAATTATCGAGGAAGGTATGGAGTTGCTCGATGACGTTGAGCTTCCCGATAGCATTGGGAAGAAACGCAAACGCGTTGAGCTCGGTGACGACACTGGCACAGAAATCGGCGACGATGAGCCACTGAAGAAACGCCGGAGCTCCCTCAAAAGCGATTTGAGCGACCTAATCGACGATGATACCCCTCTCTCCCCAGAGCCAATGATGGATGACCCTACCGCGACCATGGACGACGAACTTCCGGTCGACGACCTTCCCGAATCAGACCTACCCACTGTGACAACTAAAGGAAAGAAGAGCAAAAAGGGTAAACGAAAAGGAAAACGAAATGCAGATACGGAGGGGGATACGGAAGGCGGCGAGCTCATCGCAGAGGATGCTGTTGACGATACCCTCGTCGAAGATGAAGAGCCGGTGGAACGTGTCGAGGGACCCCACAATGCAGACGTCGCTGCCAGAGTTGAAGAAGAATGTAAGTCGCATGCCGCTGGAGCCTACCTGGGATCAGATTTGCTTACATACTGTTCAGCTGCGAAAAAGATGTCTGCGATGGAGTCGTTAGCAACGCTAGAAAAAGAATTCGCAGCGTTGCGTGATAAGTCAGGACCCCTCCCCTTTGCGGGCCCCCTTCCATTTGCTAACCTCTTCTCAGGATCTATGATGAGCGGATCTCGAAACTTAATCGTGAGCTAGAAATGCTGAACGGACCAAACCCGACCCATCCCGAATATCTGCGCCAGATCGAGTGTGTACAACATTACCGGGATGCTAAGCTCCAATACGAACGGACCTTGTACCACTACCGCATGAAATCACTTGTTACTAAGAGCATGGCCGAACGTGCGCAAGCTCTCAGCACCTTCTTCCAAAAAGTTCGGGATGTGCGCGAAGTCCACTCAAGCGCGATCAGCCAGCAATTCTATGCCATCCAGCATGATCGCTTCAAGACCGACGAACTAAGCCCCCACCACATCATCCCATTCCCTACCCGTCGATCTCAACAAATTGCGCACCAAGCTGCGTACAATCAAGAGGTTTCGGTCATGGCAGGTGTTGCAAAATACGTTGGTTTCCCAGCCGCTCCAACCTTGCTAGGAGCTCGCCCATCAGAGCTAGACGACGATTTGGAGAAGATGGGAATTACAGTCGAACCTCGTGTCGTGGCCTCAAGACAATCGCAATCGTCCGCCACGTTACAACCTCGCGGTGCCATGTCAGCCATGTCATCCAATATGTTCCGCACTGCAGCCGAAGCCGAAGAAGCCTTTTTGGAGCAAACACCCTGGGCCAACCCGCAACATCCAATCCATCAGCAACAAGCCCAACACCAATATCCTCAATCTCATCGACCTCAAGGGCGGGCCTTTGAGGCCCCTAATACATCATCATTTGCGACACCCGCAGCTCAGAAGCGGATGGTGGATGTGCATGCTCCGAATGGATCAGCATCCACCATTCCCGAGAATGCTTCAGCTGCGAATTCATCGGCCAACAACACCCCTTACGGCATTGAACAAGACCCGCGACACCCACATCAAGGGTCGTGGCGACATCCGGACTATGACAACGAGCGTAAATCCGGCTTCCGCTCCCAAAGTTCCTCCCCACTCGATGTTCGAAAATCTCAACCACACCCGAGTCACGGCCTTGAGCACCGTTCTCCACTAGCAGACGTCTCTTCCGCCCGCAATCCTCTCTTCTCCCCCCTCCCCCTGCTCGATCAAGTCTGTTCCAACACTCTGTCGGTCCAAAACCAGATACTTCCCCCCTGACCTCGAAACCCGTTGATGCGGTTCATTACCGCCCTCAGCAGACCGAGCTATCAACGGGATCTGGATCAAGTCATATGCCAGCGCGATAAGCATTGAGGAACGAACTGAACCCAACGCTGATATTTCCTTTACGCACCTTCATGACTGAACAAATTCCCCCGACAGAAACGTCCCATCACTTGATCTGTATCGAAACTCCACATTATCCCATCTCCTCAATCTCCTCCCGCCTAATGAAGATTCCCCACTGTTTTACTTCTGCTATTGCTCTCTGCCGGCAAATGTATTCCTGATCAGCGTTCCAACCTAGAAAGAGAGAAGGGTGACATTGTTTGTGTATGAACCGCCGGCTAGGTCAGGTCAGGTCAGGTCTTTCTGAGCTCATGTCACGCACTGCTGGCTTGACCTAGCCGACTCCGATTTGGATGGAAAGAAAATCCCCCAGGTCGAGGCATATACGACTTTGTTCTCCCTATCTCTTACCCATACGGAGGTGTTTGTTATGCGGGGGTATGTGACTTGTCTTGTGTCTTTTTCTCTTCTCTTTTTTATTGTGGATCTTTTCCCTCTCTACTTCGATAGGAGTAACTTTGACTTCTCTTGCATCGGTTGTTTCCTCGGGGGGAAGTGGACCTTCTCTTATTCTTTTTTTTCCTGTCTTTGTTGGCGTTTGTCGGTGTACATACCACGCATATATGTCGGCCTGTTTATGGTGTTTGGTCGAAATGCCCGCAGTCTGGCGTGAAATCTAAACGGATGATTCTAACTTAAGTTCTTTGAATGACTCAGTTGTGTAGACTCAGTTGTGTAGTACTATTTTGCTTTCCAGTAGTTACTGATCCCCCACTGTACTCTAAATAGTACGGCCCCCAAGCATCTCGAAGCACCCAATCACCTGATTCATGCAGCATGAGGCGGGGAACCTCGCCCGTGAGATTCAAGTTGTTGACCCCTCGACCTTTTAACAGAAAATACCTAGGCCCAACCTCATCAACCACTGGAACTGATGCATTTAATCGACATACGCTCCCTTCCGGCTCTGAACCTCCAGGAGTTCGTCGGGAATGAAATACCAAAGAACTATGCCATCCTTTCTCACCGATGGGGCCATACCAAGGAAGAGATATCGTTTCAAGAAATGCTGCATCAAAAAGCCGTGACCACCGACTTAGAGAAGAAAAGGTGGTGGAAGGTTGAAAGCTTCTGTCAACAAGCTTGTGATGATGGTTTTGAATTCGCATGGGTCGACACATGCTGTATCAACAAGGACAGTAGCGCTGAGCTATCCGAGGCTATCAACTCTATGTTCGAGTGGTACCGACAGGCCACGAAATGCTATGTGTATCTGGCTGATGTCAGTAATGTTGAGCAATTGGCTAAAAGTGAATGGTTTCAGCGAGGTTGGACACTACAGGAGCTATTAGCACCGCGCAACATACAGTTTTTCTCGCATGACTGGAATAAGCTTGGGGACAAAAGATCTCTACTTGGGACTCTTGCCGCGATTACAAAATTCCTGAGAATGTCCTTGATGGTAAAATGAGAATTCGGCGTTGTACGATTGCACAGAGAATGTCCTGGGCTTCTCGACGTCAAACAAAAAGGTCAGAAGATATGGCATACTGTCTCATGGGTATATTTGATGTCAATATGCCTCTACTATACGGAGAAGGGGGAAAGAAGGCCTTCCTTCGGCTGCAAGAAGAGATTATAAAGGTCTCAGTGGATGGTACTATCTTTGCATGGACCGACCCGCAAAGCTCTCCAAATGATCTCTTTACTTTTCATGGCCTACTCGCGGATTCGGTGGACTGTTTTGCCGATTCCCACGACATTTTTCTGGGACGTCCGACGTTTTTCACAGATCAGGAGCCATATGCAATAACAAATCTAGGTCTTCGTATTACCTTTCCTGTGGTTGACATTGACGAGAATATCGAACTCACTTCACTCGCTCACATCTACTGTGGACGTCACACTCAGGCTGCAGCCGGCATGAAACGTGGTGTCAAACATCTAGGGATATATCTGGCAAGAGTGGACACCACTTTCTACTACAGGGTCGGTACGAATTGTCTCCCAGTTATAGAAACAGACTGGAGAAGCGAGCCATGGGAGAGTCGCATGATATATGTGCCCCAAAAAACCGAGACCGAAATCTAGAGGAGTGGAGAACAAAGGCCAGTGAACGTTAGGCCTGAATACAGGCTCCGTGATGGATGTCAACACCCAACTGTAGCACACCTGGGCATGAGTGAGCAAAATCATATATGATTTTTGCGTAGGTACTCTTCGATACCTCCATAGAAAATTGTAAATACATGTGAAACATCTCTACCAGGGTATGCGTGTAGATGGAATGAAAAAAATGTATACCTCATACTGATGGCATATGTCATCCCCAAAATCATGTTTGTGGATGGCATGCATCGTCACTGTCAGAGTCAAGAGACATTGAATGGCAGTGAAGCTTGGACCCTAGCTTGTATAGTTGCTTTTGCTCAAGATCTGCAAACTCGGAGAAATTGGATTGATTTACCGCACCGGCTGCATGTTTACACGCTGTCACTTACAGTGGGGCCGTTACTGCAGCGGCTGGCTGTTGGCCTGTGGATCATTCGGAGATCTGGCGGTCTAAAAAGTTAAATCGTCGGTATCAACGGAGAATTAGTATTGTAAGGCATGGGTATATTGTATCATTGTAACTCAGCTAAGAGCTGTATTCATGCTCGGGCACATACAAATTTGTGTGTGTACGAACATAGTTGTTGAGACTTGAGGTTTCAGGCTTATAGCTTAGTTAGCTCGTATGCACCACTTTGTTGTCGTTCCATTATTGGCAGAGTAGCTTCATACCGAAGACACTACACTCATGTCACATTCGATCCACTACCACCCATTACTAGTGATTCTAGCACAAGTACCAGTGATTGGTCATGGAAATGGGCACAAGATTCGACGATTGCCTAGGTAAGATCGGGGTGGGGGGGCGGATGATCACGGAGAATTTAATAGATTAAATCCCTTGGCTACTAGCAGGTATTAAAGATCTGAAGTTCCTCAACTTTGCAAGCTGACCTCAACTGTGAAAGGTGAATGCCAACTTGAAGCACGTGGTCCCGATCAACGTTCACGGTGTGTGTCAGGATTCAGGAACCACAGCTTAAGGTTTACATTTCCGAGAGACGAACTTGAAACGCACACAGTCCACTGGCAGTCTCGTGAAACTCCCCTTCATCCCTTTTACCCCCGAGTCCCTTGTGCATCATGACTTGGTCCAACATGTCCTCGCCACATGCGGGCGCGACCCTCCAGATATGGAGGAGACTCCAGGAATTGAAAGAGAAAAAAGCAGCCATTGTCCTCGACGGGAACAACCTTGATATTGCCTCCATCATCGCAGTAGCCCGCCATGACATCAAGCCTACCATCAGCAAAGACGAACACCTTGCAAAACAACTCGAGCTAAGCGTGAATACCCTCGCCGACTACCTATCTCACCAATACGTTGTCTACGGAGTCAATACTGGTTTTGGAGGAAGTGCGGACACAAGGACTAGTGATGTTCTCGATCTTCAGGTTCATTTATTGCAGCATACACAGAGTGCAATTATTACTGAGGCGGATAAGAACCCGGCCAGCAATTCGGAGCGAGAGCCATCTCATGTCATGCCACCCGCGTGGGTTCGTGGGGCTATCGTTGCTCGTGCCAACCAAAACCTTCGTGGGCACAGTGCTATACGACTCTGCGTGCTTGAAAGTCTTGTGAATCTGCTACACAAAGATATCGCCCCAATGATACCCCTCCGGGGCACAATCTCTGCTTCGGGTGATCTTATGCCTATGTCATATATCGCTGGAGCAATTGCTGGGAACCCTGATGTTTTTGTTCAAATCGGCAAAGGAAAGGGCGCTAGGGTGATCCCTGCTTCGGAGGCTCTGAAGGAAACTGGATTGTCACCGTCTGGACTTGGCCCGAAGGAAGCATTGGGTTTGATTAATGGTACTGCGCCGTCAGTCGCGGTGGCCAGCTTAGTCCTATTTGATGCGCAAAAGTTTGCATTACTCGCTCAAATGCTTACGGCCTTCGCCTCGGAGTGTATGGGCGGGAATGTTGAATGGGCGCAGTCATTTATTCATACTGCACGACCCCATACCGGTCAAGTTGAGGCCGCTAGCAACATTCGGCAGTTTTTAAGTGGCTCTAAGTTCGTTGATGGTCTTGAGTCAAGAAAAAGGACTGGCGAAGGTCTCTGGCAAGACCGGTATTCTACCAGAACAGCACCACAGTGGATTGGTCCATATCTGGAGGATCTGCTGCTTGCCCAACGCCAGCTAGAGGTTGAGCTAAACTCTACCTCCGATAATCCTATCGTGAATCCCACAGGTGGGGAAGTATACTCAGGTGGAAACTTCCAGGCAGTTACCGTTACCTCTGCTATGGATAAGACACGGCTAGCTCTTCAAATGATCGGACGGATGCTCTGGTCGCAAGTCACCGAAATCATCGGCCCCAACACCAATAATGGACTTGAAGCCAATCTTAATCCCAGTGAGCATGAGAACTATACCATGAAAGGTATCGACGTGAATATGTCCGCCTATATGTCTGAACTGGCAGCCTTAACGCACCCGGTCTCCTCCCACGTCATGTCCGCTGAGATGCACAACCAAGGAATCAACTCTCTTGCTTTGATCTCTGCGCGACGAACCATGGAAGCAGCAGACCTAGTCGCACATATGAGTGCTTGCCATATCTACGTATCCTGCCAGGCGGTCGAAATGCGCGCAAACCACATCCGATTCCTTTCAACAGTACATGCGAAATTGAAGAACGCCTCCGCAGACGGCGCTCTCTCTGAATTGAAACTCCAGGATGTACAGACCAAAGCCCTTGCCAAGATTCTATGCCCTATCGTTGAATCAACCTGGTATCACTGGAATGCGAATACATGGAGAGACCGTATACCCCACGTAGTGGACGCGGTCATGTCACCAGTCACTGAATTCCTGGCCTCCAATGAGAACAATTGTACAATGCCGATGCTCATAGCATTCAAGAAGGACTTCCAGAACATGACTGAGAGCACGGCCAACGAGATGTTCTACCCAAGTCCTACAATCGCTCCCTCAGATGTCGCTGCACAACTTGGTCATGGATCTGCCCAGTTATACTTGTGGGTTCGCTCAACGCTCAATATACCCTTGCACTGTGGTCTGAGAGATGACCCTTTGTATAACGCCCGTGAGGGTCTGCCTACAAAAGACAAGAAGACTATCGGGAGCCGCGTGAGTGCTATTTACGAGAGTCTGAGTGGAGGCGGAATGATGGATATGGTGTTGCAGAGTTTAGATATCGTTCGAGGGGAGGTTGTACTCTGTGCTTCACCCTCGGCGCATAATTAATGTTTTTTAGCACATTATTGGTATTATCAAGATACTACATAGAAGAATAGACGGGGTTTCGGGGTTGTCTCTAAGTACCAGCATCCTGACGTCATATAAACAAGTTGGATCGACGTTGTTTCACCTAAACTTTTCGTCCTAGAAAGGCCAATCCCCCTTTTGGGAGGGGGGGGCATCAACCAGATGAGATATATTACCACAAAGTTGCTCTTCTATTTCTCATTTAGTATCAACCTGGCTGGTAGCTCATTGTGGGTAGAGTCGTGATTATTTTGTGTACAGCACATATAAACTTCAAGGGGGATCCATGATGACCCTAGGTGCGGGGTGACTGCGATAAGATAGCCCAGCTCCAGTTAATTTGAACTGGCATTTCCAAGACTTAAATTGCCACTGTACATCAATGTATGGAGATTACATAGCCATGTGGTTTTCCTTGAAATAATCCTGGAAATACTGTCATAAGATCTAACCTTGGAATCAACTTAAAAGGCGATTCGATTCGCGGCTGAGCTCTGGTGGGGTTGCAGCCTGATCTGATCTTCAACCACCCCCCGGCTCTTTATTCTCTCTCTCTCTCTCTCTCTTTCCAATACTATTGATCGCCCTGCAAATACTGCTGGTCTACATTTCTCATTTGACTCCTCTCCATACACGCTGAACCTGGGAGCTATAGCGACAGCGATAGCAAAAGTTACCCTCACCATGCTCCCCCTCCGCTTGCGCCGGGGACTATTCGGACTCTCAAATCGCAACCCAGACGAAAACAACCAGAACAATGAAAACAACAACGACAACGACTCTTCCGGCGAGCAGCCTCAGCCAAGCTCGCTCTCCAAACCAGATCCAGATACAGAGAACTTCTTCCCCACGCTCTGGGACGTGCTCAAAGTCCGATACATGCTCCAATGGAAGCTTAAGAAGCTAGTACCTCCCGAGCTGGTGGACACTATCATCGACCAGGCAGAGTATTGGCCCTCGACGAAGCATGTGATGGAGGGGCAGAGGAGGATTCTTTGGGATCGGGATCAGGTCTTGTTTAAGACTGTGCCGCTTTGCTTTGATAGGAAGGTTTGTTATGGCCCAGCAAAGCAAAACTGATGGCTTGAAAAGAAACCAAGGGGAGATGTGCTAATTAACTTATTTTTGCGTATCTAGTCTCTCGAGGAAGTCGAATCTCCTAAACCCCTACCACACCGCACTGCTCACCCCTGCCGCAAAATCATCTTCCACCTCTCATCTCACGATCAGGGCGGCTCACGGATACACGAGAATATGTATCAGGGATCATTTACCTGGTTCGATGTGGAGGTCATCCGCGAAGCGCATAAGAAGAGGATGTATGTGGATGGCGCGGAGCAGGAAATTTTGGAAGATGAGACGGGTAAAGTGAAGAGACACTTTGAACCGAGTGATGAGCTTTTACTTCCGCGAAGTAGACAATTACAAATGAATGGGGCGAGAGTTTCGGAAACGCAGGACCGTGTCATTATCTGGCATTATCTGGACAATGTGTCGTCTGAGTCTACGGAGGCGCATGATATTGAGCGTACAGAGGGCCGTGGTCGGTATACATTGGACGGCCAATTTGTGCGTGAATTGGAAATTGGGGATTCTGTTGCGCTTTGGGGTCGGGCGAGGTTTGGACAGTGGGCGAATCATGTTTTTCAGGCGAGTGCTAGGGTTTTCTGGGCTGTTTGAGGTGGTTAGTACTAGTAGGAGAGTTCTGTAGCTTGAGGCATGCGGCTGGACTGGACAAGACCTTATCTACTACTTTTGTTACTAGATGTGCTTTCAGGCAATTCTGCAAATGAAATCACTGAAAATAGTCTACTTTGATTATCCCTACTCTGTATACCAAACTAGAATAGGTCTCAGGGTCTAGTTTATCTATAGTCATAGTCATAGTCAGAGTCACAGCCATAGCCATAGTGGACTAGTACTAGACTAGTGCTTCTGCCTGAGGTGTCGAGAATTGCGTGCTCGCCAAGATCGACAACCCGTTGATGTATAAGACTACCAGCACGCCCACCACCAGCTTCCCTTCTTTCTTTCCCCAGAATTGGCCCAAAGATGCCTGGAACATAATGCTGTTCCATCTGATCACTCGAAAAAGAACCCCGACAACCCCCCTGAGGGCTGCCTCCCTTCGACCATGAGGCCATACCCAGGATGCCCATTATTTCCCCCTCTCGCCTCTCGCCGCTCACACGCACCCCCGACACATCCGACAAGCCGACAGGCCGACGACAACCGTCCGCGACAGTGGGGCCCGCTGCGTCAGTTTTCCCTCTCTCGGCCGGCATTAGCCAATTCGAGGACCTCGATAATCAGCTGAGTTTCTGTTTGTCTGGTCTAAGAGGGGTTTGATGTACATTTCGACCGAGAGATGGGATGCATAGACGATGATGATACCCAACTCCACTTCCTGGCCGCGCGATGTGTCACTGGTTTGAGGGTTCCCGTGCCTTTGGCGATGGTCCGACCTGGTTTACTGGCTGTTGGTTGCGTTATCTGCGCTACCAATGATGATCGGGACGGGGGCCAGAGGGCGAGGGTGACGCTTCCCAGGGGATTCTGCCAAACGTTGACGCATTCCTTGGCTGAAATACGGATACTAATCGTACAGAACCAAAAACCCCCCTCCTTTCTTGCGGTGTGCGCCGTGTGACTTTCGCTTTATTTAGATACCCCAATCAATCCAGTTTTTGGTCTACATCTGCATCTGCATTTCCTCTCCTCTTTTCATCTTAAATTCTGTCCCCTTCTCTACTTGCCAGTTTTCCCTCCCCTCCCATTTCTTCAAACGAAACTCCAGATATCTCAAATCCCGCCAAAATGACAACTACCCGCAAATGCGCCGCCGTGGTCGTAGGCGCTGGCCCAGCCGGCGTCGCAGTCGTCGGCAACCTCCTCGAGCGACAACTAGGCTCAATAGCCTGGATCGACCCCAGTTTTGAGTCAGGCCGAGTGAACCGCAAATACCGCGAGGTCCCCAGCAACACCAAGGTCTCCTTTTTCCAGTCCTACGCCACATCCCTCCAACCCTTCCGGACCATCATCGAAAATACCCCGCGCCCAAATGCCTTCACCACCATGGCGAAACTGGACCAGGAAAAGACCTGCCACCTACACTACGCCGCTGACATGATCCGCGGTCTTACGAACGGTCTTGTCAAGATGGAGCAGGTCTATGCTTATCAGGGCTTCGTCACCGCTGCCACTTTGAACTCAAAGGTAGGCCGCCCTCCCTGCGAGACGGGACGCGAGACCAGAAGGTCACAATATCAAAAAGCACCGCTAACAATGACATCACAGCCGGACCAACCCAAATGGACTGTCCGCATCAAACAATCCTCCAACAACGGTTCCGAAGACCTCGAAATCGAAACATCCCGCCTAATCCTCTGCACAGGCTCCCACCCAACAAACCTCCCCGTACCAATCCCAGGACTAGAAATCCACAACCTAGACCTAGACACCGTTCTAAAACCCTCCCTTCTCTCCGAAACCTTGCCCACCACAAAGCCCACCACAGTTGCCGTCGTCGGCGCCTCCCACAGCGCTATCCTGGCCCTGCTAAATCTCGTCACGCTAGCCCAGTCTTCTCACCCGCACCTACGCGTGAAATGGTTCACCCGCCATAAGCTCCGGTATGCGGAGTTCATGGATGGGTGGATATTGCGCGATAATACGGGGTTGAAGGGACTTGCGGCGGATTTTGCGCGTACTCAGCTTGAAGAGGGTGTTTTGGCGGGCTCGGATGCGGGGAAGATTGTTAGTAAGGTTGATTGTGCGGGTGGTGAGGTGAAAGAGAAGGATATGTATCGGGTTCATTTGCCTGGTTGTGACTATATTACCCAAGCTGTTGGGTTTACGAGGGATCCGTTGCCTAAGTTGGTTAAGGGGGATGGGGATGAGGCGAAGCCGTTGAGTATGGAGTTTGATCATGAGACTGGCGCTTTTCATGAGAGTGCCCCATCCGAGGAGAAGATTCCTGGTCTGTTTGGGGCTGGGATTGCGTTTCCTCAGCGGGTTGTTGATCCGTATGGGAATGTTGAGTATGCGGTGGGGTTCTTTAAGTTTATGAAGTTTTTGAAGAAGGTTGTGCCTTCTTGGTAGGGGTGATGGATAGATTGCTTGTTGATTCTATCTGCCCTTTATTGGGGTTTGTCTTGGTTGGATTTTCTTTCTTGTGCTTTCTTGGTCACGGAGCGATACCTGGCGCTTTGGAGTTCTTGTTACTTTTACTTGTTAGAGAATATGAGACCTACCCTAGTCTAATTCTCGTTGAAGACTTCTCAAATATCTTTCTATCTTCCGGTAAGCTGCACGGCATATGGCTCATGGTCCTTTTGCAGCTCTGGAGCATACCAGTAACACCATCGACTTCTATAGAACCGCTCATGTTTGCCTTCCAAACAAACCCCTAGATTATTTGCTGTGCATATCCCCCGATTTCCAATAAATGCAAGGCCTGTTTCTCAATGTTGCTCTTCTTCTGTCTCTCCATCGCTTACTTTATAGCTTATGGTGGTCATCACTAGATCATATTCTCCCTCTATCTTTCAAAATAGTAGACTAACCTGGTGCTTGAAACTTCCACTCCAGGTCAACAACCACGTCAACCATACCAGACATGGAGGATACTGAATCTTTATCAAATTCTTTACACGACCTTGCGATAACGCCTACGCATACCAGTATACCGGACTCGGAGTCATGCGCAGAGGTCGGTTCCGAACAACCGTCTATTACACCAAAGACAGGGCCTCCTTTCGATGGAGCGACCTTCATCATTCGTGATCCCCAAACAGGCCTGGTTATCACACTTGTGGGTGGAAGGTTAACCTTGCTCTCTGGATACAATGACTTGTTGGACAACTGCCGTGATGGACGTGGTAGCCACTGGCGCTGTGTAGAAAGCCAGGGACGCTGGTTAGGCTTCAAGAATACGGTTTCGGGGCAGTTTATCGGGCAATACTTTGAGAATGGCGAATGGCATTTCTGGGCAAAGGATGAATTCCACACTTCTTTACAATTTTTCTGCACCAGGCATTATTGGTTGAGTGGTGGCTATGAGATGCTTGTGAAGCATGGGGATGGCTTCCGTGCGATGAAAATAGGCGGCCCTGATAAAACGAAGCTGGTGGTTGGCGAAGAAGGAGAAAGAGGAACAGCATGGGAGTTTCTGGAAGTTGAACATCCGGTTACTGATGCTTTCTGATGGATGAAGAAACTCTACGAAAATTATGTTATGTTATTTGTTGCCATAGTTAACTACCATTTTTCGCTTAAATCAAAAATGGGTTAGCCCTTTCCTGGGGTTCTCAAAGGTTCCGTATTCAAATCCAACTCAACCGAGCTTATTGCTATACCGATCTCCACATAGCATCGACACCGGAACAATACCAATCAGGGTGATCCTTCCGTCGGTGGTTAATCATTGGGATATGCTTACTTTCAGAGAAACATCGTGTATAGAAACAGCCGCATAAACCTGGTTAGCTGAAATTTATCGACTATGCATATCCTTGTAAACTATCTGAGCAATCCTTTCTACGGATTATGTTTTGATAGGTCGTTGTCCTATTTTGTAATGGGTCTATATAAATCAGGTGCCGAAAGGAGGGGGCCGCACCGTATCCGTCGACGGTCGATAGTCAGGCGGTCATCAATAGATAATCATCTCCTTCAACCTCTGTCTTTCAGACCAGTAAATCTCTCCAAGTTACATCCTCCAGATCAACAATCCCTAACCGTCTCACCATGGATGTCGAAACTTCATCAAACTATTCATCCGACTTTGTACTGACGCCTACTAATACCTACACAAGCCCACCAGAGCCACTCACTGGCGTCGCTCCACCACCGTATGCACCAAGGATAGGTCCTCCTTATCACGGAGGGACTTTCATTATTCGCGACATCCAGAGTGGTTTAGTTGTCTCAGCTACGGATCAAAAAATAGGCTTATTACCTTGGGGCAATGGCGATTTGTTGCTCAACTGTAGGGATGGGCGTGGTAGTCACTGGCGCTGTGTGGAAAACCAGAACCGCTGGTTAGGCTTCAAGAATACAGCTTCAGGGTATTATCTGCAATGCTCTGATGGTGAGGAGAAATTGAAAGATTTCTGCATTCAGCATCATGTGAGCGGTGGTTATAAATTACTTTTGAAGAAGGGGGATCGCCTCTATGCAACGAAGCCAAGCGGGACTGACAGTAGGAAGCTGGTGGCTGTTGGACGAGGAGGAAGAGGATCACTCTGGGAGTTTTTGGAGGTATCTGGAAATTAAATCGGGGATTGATGTTGGTCTACGGATGAAGAAAACTTCAAAATCGTCCGAGTCATATTGTACTAGTACTACTAATTAGTAGTGCTTATTGCTATAGTCTACCACAATACTATACTTTTGCTTACATTGAGATTGGTTTGTTTCTTTTTTCAAAGGTACTGGCACGGAACATGTTTTGTGACCTACTAGAAAAGTAATCTATTATTTGTTGCATCGCATAACATCCTATGTTGGATTGGTTGAATGCCCCTGGAAATGTAGATAAGAGATTTAAGAGTCTCTGCAGACTATTCCAAATATCTTGAAGGAGATGCTGTTGCTTCTAGTGGTGGGGATCTATATCTACGATAATGTTGATTAGAGTAATAGTATGTTATGGCCAGCAACTTGGAGAGAAGAAAGCAGTATCAGCGAATGTTACTGTTGGCAATCTACGAGTCCTTTTCGAGAGACATTTTTCACTTAGTGATAGAAAACGTGAAGTTAACATTTAAACGAGTTTTTGAATAGCAAATGCTTTTTAAATTCCATTTGATGCCGCTGCAGGCAATTGGATCAGCTTGATTACTGGCGAACATCAGTCGATCTAAACCCATTCTTTTCCTGCGAGTATGAGAAGATATTCATGGCCCTCTGGCAAGCTACCCAGAGGCCACTCCCACTGATCCTTTACTACCTCCAGAGCCTCTAATGGCTCCTTGTGGTCCACAAAGAAGTGGGTGTTGACGCCGGAAACCATGCCGCTCGCATCCAGGGCGTCAAATATAGTTCCACAGAGTTTGGAATCACGAATGTAAGGGATCGGTGAGGTAGATAAGACCTTACTGGCAGTCTCGTTAATGAAGCCAAGGTCAACCTTTTCGATGGTTCCTACTCGATGTGAGAATTGCGCAGTATATAGCTTCCGGTAAGACTTACTGCCATAAGCTTTTGCGGCAGCCAGACACGCAGCGGGGTGCGAACTCATTATTCCGTATATGTCATCGGAATTCTTCCCCAGCGCTCGCAAAAGACTGGTTGCAAGTCCCTCTTGGCGGTGATCCTTATCGACGACAAGTTGAGTGATCCAGCAGATTATCAGATTGCCCCACATCCATCGACAAGCAAATACATGTCCGGCGATCTTCCCATCAACAGTCACTCGTACGTAAAAACTTTCGCTCTGGTCGGTGGAGGAGGGAAGGTATTGTTCTCGTAATCGTCGCGCATTCAGTTTGACGGGTTTTACTTATCATTCAAATTAGAGGTTGTCTCCACAAAATAGAATTGTGTTATTCGATCTCACCAGGTGCATGGGATAGTGGCCCTCAAGTTCCATAGTTGCTGTTGAAAAGGTGCGCGGCTTCGGCCAACATGTCGTCAGTCATATTTTCCGCCTTGAAAGTCTCATAGAGTTGTGAATGTGAGGCCATGTTGATTTGCCTTTTGGGACTGTAATCTCGATGAGCACGAGGTAAGGATTGGGGTTGCGTGTAACTTTCTGCGAGTGTGTAGACATGAGGCACCGTTCCTGAATCCTGACGCATACATCAGGGTGGGGCCGTTTATGTATGTGGCCACGTGACTATGATCAGAGGAGGGGGTCCTTCCATTCTAGGAAGGACCTTCTGGTTTGTGATAATTTTGGCTAACCTTTGGAAGTGAGAAATTCCAAATCTTCACAATGGTGCAGACTTCGAGCGAACGGCATGTGACCGAGGAAAAAAGAAATCTCATGACGGTCCAAGACAACGTTTGAAGGCTTCAAATCCATGAGTCTCCTTTGCCCGTGGCATGGTGTCCATAGCATTCCTATTTTGAACAGCCCATTGCTCCCAGCTCAACTCTTTAACTTAATGTTAATTCAGGTCACTTTCAAGGTGCCACTGCTGTAGTACTCGAATAGAATGCCGCTGATAACCACCTGTGGATTACTATTTTGGAGATCGGCCACGAACGGATTGGGGAGCACTACAATGCCATATGGCTGAGCTCTCCCTGTCATACCTTGAAACAATTCGAGATTCTCTTGTTCATATCGCGTAATGCCTGGATGCCGAGGTCGGGGGAGTAGGCGATTGACCACCTTGAGAACATATGGTTTATTGTCGCCCTCGCGTAAAACACAGAATAGATCCCGTGTTCTCAACAATTCTGTAACATTGATGGCTCAACAAGATGGAAATCGACATGCTGGCGGCTAAATTACTCTTGATGGACCCACCGAAACATAGAACTGCAGCTTTTTTGGCTAAATAAACTGATTGTTATGCTGAAACCAGTACATAAAGTCGAAGGGATTGAAAATAAAAGCCGAGCACGTGCAAAAAAGGGCATCAATAAAGCCCGATGCCGATGCCGAGTTTCACGAAAAGCTTAAATTGGGGGGCGGGGTTTCAGAAATCCATTACAGAAGCTGGACCCTGGAGCGAAAACTGGCTTTTTACTAATAGAAAGAATTCCCAAAGAGAAAAAAGCTACAATTCCATCCATAATATACTCGGCTTGTTGGTGCAAATAGCTATTTTTGCTGACTTGCTTCAAGATACCAGTTTCAACTTCGGGAGTCCTAATTTTAATTTTTATACGCCATACAAGATCTTCACGAACTCACAACTCTCGCACTTCTATCTATGAACATGGAAAAGTGGAATCATAAAAATCAAGTTCATTGGCCCGAATCGCGTTCGTGTACATATGGAGACCATGAAGAAAGCACCCAATAGTCAAAGTTCGTGAAGGTGGGCCCAGCCCCTTAGCGTACGTTTCCCATGACACTCGATGTTACCCTACAGCCGTAGCTCATTCAGAAAGTCCAACTCTCCTCATATGCAGCAGGAAGTCGTTATGGCAATGGTATGCATGGTGCGGCTCCTCTCGGGCCATCATTGGATGATGCTATCTAAGCGCGATGGAGTCCAGCAGGACATCTAACGGGGTAGTTTCCATTTCCGGTATCCTAGGTGCGTGATCTCGCCTGTCATTGCTACTCGTATTAGATTCGGTAGCTAAATTGATGAACTGGCGAATCACTTGCATAAAGAAATCTCCACTTTGGAAGGGTTCGTGTGTAGACCGTCGCTTCGAGAACCCCTAGTTCCATGGCCATATCGCAGAATCTGAAACTTTCCCCTCCGCCCCCTCTCGCTCTCTATTGAACTTTCTCCTCTCCGGTATCTTCTTTTATAGCGAGCGTTTATCTCTTTCTTCATGTTTTTGGCTGGAATCTCGGGTCACGTTGGTTGAAGATGCAACCTTGACAACAAATCATTAACGACTATCTGATCAGAGAGCTGATTATAGGTGTTCGAATAAGTGGGACATAGAAAGAAGAGCGACAATTAAGGGGAACGCAATACCTTCAAAATGAGTTCAAGTATGCCTTGGCGGGTCCAAGTCTGGCTATCTTTATCATTTCTATCATCATGATGATTATTTCCATTGTGGCCGTGTCGATGAGAACCTTCGTGCGACTCTATATTGTCCGGGCTTTTGGCTGGGATGACATCCTTATGCTTGCAGCACTAGTAAGTTCCTGGTTAAGAACATGAACCGAGGCTCAAATTGTACTAACTATATTACAGGCCCTGTTTTTGGTATTGAACGTGTGCTCAATTATTGGAGCAAAGAACGGGGCTGGCCGTGATAAAAGTGATTTCACAGATCGTCATGTCTATAGATTAGCTCTTCTTGTGGGTACTTGTTGGAAATAGATGATACTTATAATTCCGGGTCTATTATTCAAGCTAATCACGATGTTACTTTCTAGTATTGGTGGCTCAGTCAAATTTTCTACATCTGGGCGTCGGTTCTTGCCAAGATATCCATCGCCGTCGCCCTACTCCGATTGACGATCGAAAAGATCCATCGGATAGTTCTCTTATGCAACATCGGGCTCTCAATAGCTATCGGCTTCATGTTTTGGATGGTCATGCTTCTTGACTGCCACCCAATTTCATATTTTTGGGATTACGCGGATCCTTCGAAGACAGGAACGTGCATGTCTAAGAGTGATTTGGTCAAAGTCGCATACGTTTACAGCTGCTTGACAATAGTATGCGACCTGACACTTGCGATCTTGCCAATTTTCCTCATTTGGAAATTGCAGATGAGTTATTGGACGAAAGTTGCAGTTGGGGGGAGTTCTCAGCCTAGGCGCGGTGTAAGAAAATTATGCATAATCCTCGGTGTCAGATGCCTTGATCGCTAATGTTGTTGAAATAGTGCGAGTGTCGCGGTCATAGTTCGGTTACCGTTTCTCCGCTTCTATTCCGATACCAATTTCCTACGTGAGTCTCCACATAGGACAGCAGATGGCGGAACATCAGCTCGATTGGCATGATCAAGGTATTCAAAGCGCATGCTGATAATTTTCAAGATTCTACTTACCAAATAGCGATATGGTCCCTTATCGAAACCGGTCTTGGAATCACCGCCAGCAGTCTTTTCACCCTCCGTCCTCTCTTCCGGTGGCTTCGGCATGAGAATTTGTCATATGGTCGACACACCCGCGGTCCTAGCAGAGGATATGATGGAAGGGGCTACAATGAATGCCAACTCTCTAGTCTAAACAAAGATGGCTTGAAGGATTCAAATCCGAGAGTTCCGGCCCCTGTGCGTATACGTGGAAAGAGAGGCAGCGTGATAAGCACCGTGACGCTTCCATCGCTGCGGGATTTTATTACTTCAAGAAGCAGCGAGGAGGTTTTATACCCCGACATGAACCCCTTTGCTTCAACAAATGGCGTCACTGTTCACACGACATTCGAACAGGTCGTTTCAGAGAGAAGCAGATAAATTTTGCTACATAGTACAGGTTGTCTCGAAACTGGTGTCACCACTTCCACTCTGATTGTTTCCCAAACCCAATTGCCAAGATCCACTAGTTCTATCTAGGATACGCCCCCGTATAAGCCCCGGAATATCAACGTTCCTGTACTGGTGACGCCTGCTGTCGCACGCTGTGGCCCTGAAACGAAAGAAGTACGAAGGGTGAAGCGTAAGTTGAACGATGATATGGAAGTCGAAGGATTAGTTTTGATAATGCACCGGAAAGAAACGCACGTACAGTGTGTCCGATAAGACCGGCCATTTATATATAGATACCAAGTGGAGTAATTTGTGACGATTCAACCGCATGTATGCGAAAATATACCCACAAAGTCCAAATAAATTCAACCTTGGAACAGAGGGGTGCATTTATAAAAAAAGAGCTCAGATTTTATATCCTTCAATACCAGAGTCCAGTATACGCTATTCGGTTGACCGGTTTGCAGATTATTTGAACTACCTGTTAAATTAGACAGATCTCCACAGTTGCTATACTCTCGGCCAGTCGCGCAGCGGATCTGTGCGGTAAAAATTGACTATTCTGTTAAAATACCGATCACTTGGGTCTTCACAGATAAAGGCTTATCTTTTGGAAAGCCTAAGCCCAAGTCTCTGACCAAATGAACATTCTCAAATGTAGTCTCGTATAACTCCATATCATAGTGACGAACAACATGGGCCAATACCAGATACATCTCACAGTACGCGAGACTAAACGAGGATCAAAAATTAGCCATATACTGGAAGAGGAACTTTTTGTGGCATAATATTTCAACTTGAAAACCTTGACTTACTTCATCCCTATACACTGCCTACTTCCCTTGGAAAATGGTGCGAAATGCTTGCGCATCTGTTGCTTTTGTTCTGGGGAAGCTTCTGTCCATCGTTCAGGACGGAACGCGTGGGGTTCCGGGAACACAACAGGGTCTGTATGTAGCAAGTATGTTGATTCGCTAACCGGAGTCTAAATTTCTCAGTATATATCAGTTATGTTCCGCAGAATCTGGACTTCCAAGCGCGTACACCTGGAGGAATGGCATATTCTCCGTAAAGTAATGTTTCATGCGGGGCTACTCGAGGCTGTCGAAACGTGACACCAAAAGTGAGTCGGAGACCCTCGTTGATAGCAGCAGTCTGTCAATTCTTGAGTTAGAAATGGCTCTGGACGAGTTTTGAAAGGAGAACTTACCAAATACGGTAGACGCTCCAACTCTGCCCAAGAAGGACGATAGCTAGGTGTGAGCATAACTCCTTTGAGCTCTGATCGCAATTTTGCAAGCATGCTGACATCATTATATAGATGAAACGTAGCGAGCACCAAAACCCTGGTCGTGGTAACAGTACCTGCCAAAAGAAGAACTAGTCCCTCATCCATGAGTCGAGACATGGTTTTCTCCTCCGAAGGAATCGAAGGCGCCGTCAAGCCATCAAATAATGTTTTCCTTTTGCTTATTTCTTTAGTATCGTCTAGAGCATTTCTCGCTTGTGTCTTGATTCCGTTGATCATGTACACGACTGCTTCTGAGCCGGGCAGCAAAGCAGCTGCAAGATTAGGCATCATGAACACAGCCTTCCGAATGAAGGGAAAGAAACGATTCAAATGAAAACCACGGGCCACGATCTCCCCAGAACTTTGCAGATTATTAGCTCGTTCTCTGTTTTCTAAGTAATCATAACTGGTCCCAAACGCATAGAGCGTGATGACGTCTGCAGTCAAGCCGGAGAAGATTGACTCCATCAGAAGAATTTCGCCAGTTCGACATGCGTCATGAAACCGATATGCGACTTTTTCCATCTTTTGAAGAATATGATATTCAATCTCCGTGATTGATGCTTTGGAAAAGAAGTTTTGTATCATATTTTTGCGCTTTTTGTGGAGATCATGGTCAATGGTTGTAATCACTGATTGGGGAGAAACAAATCCCGAGACAAATTGAGGGTCCTTTTCCCGCTTCCTACTACCAGTGCAGTAGATTTGATCATAGAACTCGGCATCTTTGATGTGAATTTCGCGGGGAGTTATACGAACGATCGGGCCTGAATAGAGTCAGTAATCTTCAACCGCGGTAGTAAAGAATAGCTGCCTGACCATAAACCTCGTGTATGCGAGAGATTTCTTGCATGAACATTCCATTTTTGATAATATCAAAATAGAATTCATAGAGATGAGAGCAGGCCGCCAGCTTGGGCCCTGGAAATTTGCTGAGTGGATGAAAGTAGAGATTGTATAGAATAATTACACCGTTGTAGAGAGCAATTCCAAATAGAATCCAGCAAAGGCTCTCGAAGATCATTCTGGAAAAGAAGGGGATTTCAAATCATGAATTAGCAATGTAGAAAGGAAACAGATGGTGAAGTGAGCAGCAAGAAATCGAGATTTCCCAGGGCTTATGGAGCACCACAAGCTGCTATAGTAATATCAATGCCAAACAGGACATGAACAGCCTGAGTCGTCGATCACCACTGCGGAGCATTTTGCACACCGTCTTTTCAATGAATGATTAATAGTATCCACAATGGATAATCGTTCATGATACCGTCTTCTCAAGAAAGTGCAACCGGACTACCCCGAAAGAGGTATACGTAGTTCTGAACCATTTCCCTTTCCCTGCGCTATCTATAAACCAATAATATTTCTGGTAAGCTTCAATGAGACCCATGAGAGTGGACATTCCTTTTACTTCTGGCGTTTACCTTTAGCTTTTACGTTTCCAGGTAAGATCGGCGTGGTCTCGAATTTAGAGCTATAGAACTATCCGAACTCTTTTTATTACGCTGCAGAAGCAGCAGCGCGTCAAGACATCACTTTGAGATGTATAACACGTAATGATATGGCGGTTTGATTGCTGAAATTAACTTCCATACTTTTCCCTCTCTGTCTGTCGCGTTGTGCTTTCATTGTGTGATTGCATCTGCAATGTTGCGGTGGGTCTTGGAGCAGGCCTCGGCGTGAGGACAGGGCCTATACACATGTAGGTCTGATAGTATCAAAGCGCGGAGCTATCGGGGCCAGGACGTGGGGTTAAAGGAGACATGTGATCTTTGAGAGGCGCCTGTTGTTATAGCAATGCAGACAATCAATGAGGCAAAGTGAACCAGTACCCCGTTGGTCATGATGAAAAAGAGGAAATAAGATGCCCTAGCCACCGGTGATTTTGCGCCTTTTGCTGTTCGATAAAGTTTACTCTCTATAATGCAACCTGTAGTCATACTGTGGCGACATTACTGATGTTACACAAGGCCGTGTTAGACAAAAGCAACACTGAAAGAGCGGTGAGGAGTGGCGAAAGACTGCGTAGGAGCGGTAAAAGGTTGGGTAAGATCTCTACAAGTGAGTAGCTCTTGAGTAAAGGCAATAAACATGGCTCATTGTGTCTGATATCATGCTTATGCACTGTAGCCACTTATAAAGCATTGAAAGTTTGCGAGATGTAGCGTCTCGGGTTTGTACGTTAGCTTATTTTCCGCCTCGCCTGGTACGGTCTCGTACTGAACTTTATTCTGGGAACAGCAGACTTGGAACCAGAACCAGCCTAGGGATTTACAGAATGACGGTTCACAAGATATGCCCTGTCTTGATCAGCTATGACACGTTGATGAATGAAAAGTAAAAGCTATTCCATATTTATTGCGTATTTTTCCACTTGTCAAATGCCATCCATTGGTAATCTTAGTAGAATTCATCAAGGTGTGACCTCGTAGGACAGAATCTACATTAACCTCTCTCTGATCATTAGAAACAACAAGAACACAAAGAAAAATTATACTGACAGACTCGCAAAGAATCCCTGCCATTGTGGATACCCATAACATCCGATATTCGAAGTGGTAAATTCAACTACTTCAGGTATAAAGTCTACCAGTATGATAACGCCGACAGGTAGAGCTCCAGTAATCATTGCCAGCCACCAGCCAGAGCTGGCCTTGAATATATGCGTGAAAGTCGCTGGAGGCGTGGGGGTACTTTGAGAGTGTGTGTGCGCACATGTTTACAACTTTCTTTTCATACTCGCAAGCGAGCTCTTTTAACATCTCGAGAGCTTCCGGTGCGGCGATATTTCTTTCCTTCATAAGAACGGTGATTCCGTTCATAATCTTCATTTGCTCCCCTGGACCGGCATGGAGAGCTTCTTTGTGCCAGCTCCAGTAATCGTTCGTCAAAGCAATAGTTGCACAGACGTGCCACAGGATCGGGTCAACCAATTTCACCTCGTCATCGGTCACGTCCAACTCCATAACAAAGCGCATAGTAGGATCACATGGACTGCCAGAGAGTATTGTTATCAGTCAGTTGAAACAAGCATACCACACGTAAATGATATAAAATTCAGAAAATATCAGATACAGTAACGTACCGAATGCCAATGTTTATCGTTCGATAGAGTATATATTCTTCGATAGTTTTAAAGTGGTCGATCGTCTTAGAGTCCACATTTTGCAGCCAATGCTGCCATTCACGCAAGATAGGGAGTGCACGTTTCTTGTCGAAAGACAAAATATCCCTGAGAAATGGAATAGTCAATTTTTCCATCGCGGACGAATCGTGGTGCAGCCTTATGTTCTCGTTCTCAATTGCAAATAGCTTCTCGAATTCTTTGTTCAGCGTCATATGAGCCTAGTTGATGTGAGCCAGTAATCCCGTGGTGCCACGCTCCATTGATAAGAAGATAACTTACCTCGTGGGCTGTCATCGTGTCCGCTTTGTCTGTAGAGAATTTGTAAGACAGTACAAGTCAGCCAGGCATGTAATGTAGGGTCCGCATTCACTTACCATCAACCAGGAAGAAAAGTTCAGTGAACCACAAGGCGTACCTGAGACGCTCAGGCTTTGCCTCGGGGTAGATTGTACCGTCCCAGCTTCCAGCTATAGGGTTACTATTTCCGTAACGAGTCTTCGTGAGGCCATCACCGATAGTGTTCTCCCATTGCTCGAAAAGCTGGTCGGCGACCAGATCACCAAGCTTGTATGTCACGTTACGGCGAACAGGTATATTGGTAAAGGTGCCGTACTTTCGGTGTTCGGAAGTTGGTATAAGCTCAGAGTTGCGGATAGTAACTTCGGAGGAGTTTGTGAAGCTCAGCTTTTTCCATTTTTTCCAAGTGAACTCTTTAATAGCAAGTGCGACCGTGGATATCATGGTGATGAAACGTGCTTCTAGATAGAGTGTTTCGTCAGCACAAAATCTCTCGGCAAGTATGGGGGCTGATATATGTCAATTATCGTTTGTGGCGGTGAACAAGATCGAGATCGAAACTTCTCGTGCGCGACTGATATGGGTCCGATCGACTCGCTTGTACTGTACCTTGGAAAGACGTGAAAAAGCAGATCTTGCCTAAATCCTCCATAAATGTAAGTGGGACTAGCTAATTGTATGACAGAATAATTGGATGAGCTCCGACATTACGTATGACGTGAATATTCATTATGACAGTTGGAAATGTGAGTACGTAAGCTGAAGATGCGGGAAATCTGGAGTTTATTCCTAGTCGCATGCATTTTACGTTTCAGAATGCCCCAGTGGAAGTTACGTGTCACATGGCGCTGTCAATGTCAGGGTGCCCAGTACAGCAGACGCATAGAATTGTCCATTATGATCGATAATCGCCAGGTCAGCAAATCAGTGACGCCGAACGTGAAATTCAATAACAAAGTCTTAAGAAATCTTAGTTAAGAAGAGAGTAGGAACGAGCCAGGACGAGCAAGTCGTAGATCGAAGCCCTATAACCCTAAGAGCTAGGATGGATGGAGCAATACAATGATAGACTCGAGCGAACCAGATCGCGTCTTGGCGTGTAGCGCAAAGGAGAATAGTAAGCTCGCAGAGGCAATCCGGTGGACCCAGGAACAGAGCGTTGGATAAAAATGAGGGGCAAGGAGCAGGACACGAAGCAATCATTGTTTGGTGGGGGGGAGAAACATGCATACACACGCAGAAAGGTGCGTTAAACCCTACAGCCAAGACAGGCCAGTCCGAAGAAAGCAAAATAAGGGTGAGGAAGGAGGCGAATAAACGGCGCGCGTGGCAGGACCACCCATAGGTAACGAGTAATAAATATCGGGTTTTTATGGAAATTTTACATGAAAGGAATTGATTGAAAAGAACCATAATACTCTTGGTGAACAGGAATAGAATATTTCTGGGAGAAACTAATGTTGGTTTGCTGAAGTTCTTCCTTTTCCCCATTGAACTGTAATGAATGGATAAGATAGAAATTAAAAGCGAATATTGAGTGGTTAAACAGTAAGTTGGAGAGAACATATATCGCTACTGATGATGAAGTAATGAAGGGAAGTTGTTCGTACGACCGATCCTGGAAGTGGGAATGAGGTGCAAATAAGGGAAGGGGTTTTATGTGTTGAGCTTTGAATGAGTAAGTAAGTGTCGGGGTATTTTCCGTGATCTCTGGGAACGTCTCTCTGGTGTAGGAGGGCGAGGTTGTGGTAAGGTTTGACCATCGTCGGTTATGTCCGGCCAGGTCATTAACGTTCCCTCGTCATCATTATTCGGGGAAGTGGTTTCTCCCGTAGGGTTGTATGACTATTGGGGGTTTAAGATTGAATTATCTCCCAACACAGCCGCTGGCTTAGGTAAAGAATGAGTATTAGTCTCTGGGGCCAGCGGTCCTAGCGTTTATATTTACTAGTTGTCAGAGATGGCGTGGATGGCAATGACTGTAGATGAGTTGGAAGGAAATATATGTCGTCTGTAATCATAGCTAGCTGGCAGTTGTTCTTGGTAACGCTGAAAATATGCTCGGTCAGAAAAATGTTGGTGTTGATGGTCAGTAGTAGAAAGTTTACCTAATGTTGTCTGTTCTTGAAGTATATAGTAAGGGGGGATATAGTATAGGAGAGTTATGTTAGTATTTAGTTAACCTTTCTGATTAAGAATAGTTATAAGAACAGTTATAACGGGCAGAGCTGCTTTAGGGCAGTATATAAAATATGTATTGGTATCTTCTTGGTTGCCTGGGTGCCTAGAGTAGGTCAGTTTTTGTGTTAGGTGATTGTGAAAATTACTAACCTGTTAACACTATTAGTATGGAGAAGAATGTGGAAGCTCTTATTATCAGAGGAGGTAGCAAGAAAAGAGCCCTATATATAAATAAAAGCATTTGGATGGTAGAGGTCTGGTTGATTCCCTTCATTGAAAAACCGAATCAAAGTGGGAATGTTATCTAGTTTAATGTCGTCTGATTGTATATCTTTGTCTAGTATATTGAGTGATACACACAACTGTATGGACAGGCTTTTACCGGGGTGCGTTAGATCTTGTTCAATATGGTTGATGAAATCATAAATATGAAGAATAGCTGGGAAAGAACTTGGGGAAGGTATAATGGAGATAGAGCGGTTTTATAGGAGGTTGATAATCTAGTAAGATTAAAAAAGTAGTGGATATAAGGGTTAATAGTTAAATAGGAGACAAATGCAGGAAGACATAGAGGATGATCTATATTCATGTAGGTAGCTATGTAGGTGGTTCTGGCAGGATAAACACTGGACGCTAGCAAGAACCAGAACAAGAGGATTCTGAAGATTAGAAGGGGCGATTGTTAGCCAGAACGCTGGCATACCTTTACGAACGAGAAGACCTCGAAGTTCTGCCCGTATCTGTAATTTTTGAAAAAAGGATCCTGGTACTTGGACACCGATAGCAGTGATGTTTTTGAGTAGGCATCGGATTAGCGGAGCTGAGGCGACTTGATTGGTGTTAAGCTTCTTTGCCGTCCTCTGTAGGCGATCTATATTAAGTAACTCTAAATTCCTACTTACAGAGGCCTACTGGGATTGTTTGATGAGAAGAGAATTGCTAAGATACGAATTCTACAGCTGTATAATGTCATATAATAAGTATATGAACGTCCTGTAACAAGCGAATCTGAAAATTAAACTAACAATTTGTACAGATGGCTGGAGAACGACCTACCTCTGGCAATGGTGACGGAGTGCCTAGTTTACGAAAGCAATAAGGGATACAGATATAGCGCAATCGTCCAGATCACCTCTAATCCCCCCCCCCCCCCCCCCCCCGGGAAAAGCGTAGGAAAAGTAGATATAAGATAATAAGGATCCTCCCATTGATTTAGAAGTAATGTTTGGCTATGTATACGGTACTCGATCGTAGAGACTCGTTAATGAGCATTAGCTTACTGAACAGAATGGATTGTGTGGCTGGTGGGGGCAACTTAAGGTTGCGTTCCCAGCGATAGGTTATTGACAAGGGTATACACTGTGTTCAGCAGACGTAGGTCAGGGTTCTGCCGGTCTCTATTCAAGTCAGTGGTAACAGAACCAGTGACTGGAAGGGAATCATCGATAAACTGGTTATAGTTGGGCTCTGTAGTTTGCTAGTTATTTTTCGTAATTATCTTGTTGCAAATTAACACTGTAGCCCGCCTGTTCGTGCTGATCCGTGTTGTCTATATATATTACTTACTGCTGTATGTCTGAAGGTATAAACTCATCGGGTCAGTGGTCGACAGCAGAATGATCAATAGTAACATCGCCATATAAAGGATTATGTCCCACAAGATAGCGAAGAGCAGCAAGTACCTTGTGCTTACAAACAGTGAAAAATAGTTGCAGATCAATGGTGGTCAGGGAATTTTTCCCGAACCAGAAGACTTTGATGAGTTCACCGAAATGCAGGTCAGGACTTGGCAATATTTGAAGGAGAGGTTTTGGGTCTTAAGGTACAACGATAAAATGGCCGCGTAACGCAGAGTAGTTTGCCGACGATGACCGGCCTCCAGGGCGCAGCTTCAAAATCACCCCCACTGGATGGGACTTAGCAATCATGTATTCTTCGGTAAGAGTAAGATCTTTAAGAGCGTCGGGGTAATGCTGGCACAGAACAACATTGATTTTGTTACCAGCGGAGAACTTCGGAACAGAACCACGTAGAAGTGACGCATGGCATCCTGAGCATAGGTTCCAGAAGCCGTCAATGTAGCCGCATCGATCGAGGAAGCCTGCCAATGGCTCTAACACGGGATCCCTGTCAAGAAATTGACGTGTGTCATTACTAGGAATAAGCATGCCGCAAGAGCAACAAGAAATGTCTCGGCTAGAGACAGTCATCTCCTTCTCAAATCGAGCTATAGACTGGCGCACGAGTGGGATGGATATGTTCGGGGGAAACAACCCGGAAGCAAGCACGCGAGACTCATGTTCCTGGACCGGGAATTCAATAGCCCGGTCGATAACGGAAGACTGACTTGTAGATAGTAGAGCTGGATGTATGGATCTTCGACGCTTGAGTTGAGGGGGGTTCGTGGTTGTAGTTAGTGGAGGAAATGAATTTAGGTTAGTGTCAAAAGATATACCAATAGTCTGGCGAAAATCGGAGGGACGCTGCACCACACTCGATCTCCTCAACCTGCAGTTACGACAGCGCATAACACCCGGTCGAGCGGCGAAAGGAAGTCGACGGTCATAGCATGGACTATAATGCGGATTTGAAGAGAGTAAAGCGTCACAAGGCATGCAGCGAATATTTGGAGAATCCGCGGGAATAGGAACAAAGCAGCGCAAGCAGGGGCGTGTCTCCCGTATAGGAGGGAGCAGGGAAAATCGACAAGCGGGACATCTTGGCGATTGAATAGTCGTAGACAGACGTAGTTGACGCCTACAGCCAGAGCAAAGTCGATTAGATAACATTCCGGGGCACGTAGACAAAGGTGAGGTGAGGGGCAACGGAAGAGACAGCGTTCTATTGTAAGAGGTCTCTACAGTGGCGATAAGCGGCATAGGGTTGCAATAAACTGGATGGCAACAATCAGATGATGAAGCAATCAAAGAAGCGGGAGGTGCATAATTATGCACAGCAAACCCTACAGCCCTAAGCCAAGAGGATCTAGTCCGAAGAAAGCGACAATAAGGCAGGTACCACGGACCGCGAAGGCGAATGACAGGCGCTCGTGGTAGAACAGTCCATATACAGTTAAGCCATAATCTTTTGCAACGTCTCGCGCACACGTACGTCCCGTGTTTAAACTGGAAGACGCGCGCTGGGGCACGCTGTAAGCCCTGAAACGACGTGGCATTCGTGGAACTTTGTCTATAGAGGGTGGAAATACAAACACGAGGTATGTGAGGCGAAGAGACTTTACTAGAAATTTCAAGCCCAAGCCGCAAGTGTCTTGGCTTCTGAAGCACGCAACCTAACTCATCTCAACCATAGGTTCGAGGTCGGGAGAAAAGCGGACATCATCAAGACTAATATTCCGAGTAAATGTAGGCCATGAAAAGACCGCAGCCTTGAAAGCTGAACGTAAAGAGAGCAGTATAGCCGGTGAGAATCTTGTCCTCGTCGAGATTGCCAGTTTTAGGTCTAGGATCGCGTGAGAGAGAGTCGAGTCTTAGGTTTCGGAATTAGTCATGTTACTAGCGAAACTTTAGGATTCGATATGCGGAAATCGGTGTAACGTAGAAATCTACCTGCATGTCCTGATATGTGTTTTTATTCCACTCCGCTTTCCAGGCTGCTCCCAGCACCAGCACCACTTTTAGGGACGTACATGAAAAATAGCAACCGAACAGTAGCCAGCGTCTTCACTATCTGACAGATTCCGAATTTTTAATTACAACACATGTTTCCACCAGATCTTTTCTTCTCGTTCTGCCATTGAAGGCTCGATCCCAATCCCGAGCCATCTCGCTGAGCTGTCAGGACTCACCAAAAATTCGACTCGAGCGGCACTGGGAACACCCCACCGCACTGCGATTTGAAGCCAATGAGTGCCGGTTATATGAAAAAGATCAATTGCCATATCCTTTGAATACTCATTATAATTTACAAGGGAGGCACACAGATCGGGGATTGTTCGATTCAGCCCCTTGTAGATTCTATCGTCCCCAGTGCAGTTGCTTGTTAACACCAAGTCCGGGTAAGCTGGGTGTATGTAGGATCCTTCCAAAGTAGAGAAGTTGAGAGGGCTTAGCAAGGGAGGACAAGGGATCTTTGGGTAAAGCTTTGATAGGAAGTCGTCGGAAAGTTGTGTGTCGTTGATCAAGGCATCTCCTCTGTTTATATTGGAGTCAGAAACAATACTACCAGTAATTCAATACCTCAAACTGATGGGAAATGATGTTGCATACCTTGCAGCCCAGTCAAACTGGCTTTCCGCAGGAACACCCAATTCTTTATCGATCAGGTGATAAGCAAGCAAATTTGCCGCAGCATTAACACCGTTCATATTGTTACCTAACAGCACAAGTCCGAAGTTCCGCTTTGGTAAAAGCATAACGCACGCTCCGTACCCGAACTGGGATCCCTCATGGGATACTATCACCTCGCCCTTATATGCTTGTGACATCCATCCTAGACCATAAAGCGTTGGAGTTTGGAATGGCTCAATGGGATTTCGTGATACGATAGAATGGCTGCCGAACAATGTCGCATAACCTGATGGAGAGAAGGGCGGCCCACGTTTCAGCATGGCTGAAGCCCATTTCGCATAGTCCGAAACGGACGACAATATATTACCTGCGCCGCGAATGGTTTCGATAAACACACGATCAGTGGAGGTAATTTTGCCATCTTGGTTGAGATAAAAACCCTGTGAAATATCTCGTTGTGCACTTTGCGCTTCATTGAGGGAGAGATAAGTCTCGGTCATATTCAGTGGCGACCAGATACTATCTCGTAGAAAAGACTCCAGGGACTGGTTCGTCACGGTCTCGATAAGGTGGGAAGCTGCGCTGTACATAAGGTTGCAATACTGCCATTCTGATCGCGGAGAGGCCGTAAAGGGAAGATATCTCATTGACTGTACTGCTTCCTGGAGCGTTATATTAGCAAGCCAAACCCAGTCATGGCGTGGTATGCCAGAGCGATGCGACAAAATGTCGATAATCGTCATTTGCGACGTAGCCCACGGATCTTTGAGTACAAAATCTGCTGGGAGTAGAGTGTGAACCGGTGTATCCCAATTGACGGCTGGAAAATTGATATTATCATCAACGAGAAGTGAGATAGCAGCAGAAACGAAGGCTTTCGTCGTACTTCCCGTGAAGAAGAGAGTGTGTTCTGTCACTGGTCGGGAAGTGAGGGTATCTGACACACCGTAGCCCTCCATGTTTCTTTTGTTAGTTCATACACCGGAAAGCAGCTCGTAGCTGACCATTAAATCGCTCGGTTACTCACTTTGGAATATGTCTTTCCGTGAGACACTGCAACAGCCAGACCTGGAATATTGAAATGCTTGAGTGCCCACTCGACTTTCCCGTCGAAAGACAAATCCAAGGGCGACGCGGAGTGGTATTCATGCCCTTGAAGAGTCTTTTGCGTCTCGGAACCAGCCAAGGAAAGGCAAAAGAAGCCAAAAAAAGATGGCAAACGCATTTCGCGCAAAAGTGATCCCAAAATGACACCACTCGAAAACCAGCTGCGTGTGATCGATGGGGTAAGATGTAGAGCTCACTTTATTTATCTAAACTCGGCGATAATTCCAGGAAGCGGGGAAGCAAAAATTTTAGGTAATCGAAAGAGCTTACTAGTTATTTTTGTTTGGGTGCTAGACACTATTACCATAACGCTGTAATTGAAAGCAGCTATTACTTGTACAGCTCTGCCCGATCTCCAGGGTAACTTGAGAAAGCAAAGTGTGCAGAATTTCCGGAAATCTTTGTCACAACCTGCACACTTTCCTTGTTTCCTGAGACTCAATGCCAAAAAGATTACTAAAGCTTGCGTTGTTTCTATTTCATGGCTAGGCGTAGATCGTTTTGTGGATATCCACTCAAAGAAAGCAGAGCACTACTGTGAAGCCGAAAGAACCTAATAAGTAGAAGTCAGATTCGCTCCATGCTCAGACGGTAGGGGTTTGACACATTGCGGCCTGACCCCGCTCCCATATATAATCGACCACAAGACGGCAAACAAGTGGCAGACCAATGAGAGAAAGACTTCTAAAGGGTGCGTAGCAAAAGTATGCAGGCAATGACTGCGAGGGTATAACAAATAAGCAGCAAGTATGTAGCAGGGGCGCTAGGGTTAGGGAGTCAGCTGTTAGGGTTATGGAGGAAAGAGCCAGTAGACCTGGTCAAAAAACGCCGACACTAACCCAAAATGATGAATTCCTGAAAAGCAATCATAAGAGGGCGTGGAACAAGAAGTAATCAGAAAGTATCGAATCAGAGACGAGCAGTGGATCAGAGTTGCGAATCAGAATCCATGATTTGGCTAACAACAGCCAAAAAATAAGTTCTAGAGAACAGGGGTATCCCCGCCCGCGGAGAATCCCTTTCTCTCACTTCGTTCGTTTCAGGGCATGTTCCTGTATGATCACTCGATTTTGAAATGTTCGTTCTTACGAGATTAACACTCTCGATTGATTTCTTTGATATCCCAGCGACCAGTAGCTTCGACCAGTACCTTGCCCAAAACATTACCTTGTCTATAATTTCTGCTATGGATGAGAATCCATGCTCGCAGCCGTCCTCTGTATATGGTGCTGCGCTGGTACTCTGTCTGACTCTTGTTTTGCGAATTTTAATGGCTGAGAATCGATTTGATGAACCGGATGCTGGATTGATACCATTGTTTGCTTACTTTTTTCGACATTTCTGGTGTAAAGACCCAGACTGGGGTCTTGCATATACCACTCTGAGAACCTATAGGGTCCATCTTCCTCTAACGGCACGCGAAGTGCGGTGGAGAAAAGACGCGATGTGGACATGGTTTCTTACAATTCTTCAATTCAAGAAGGTCAACGAGCTCGATGATGAAGATCTCTTAGAAGAGAATGAACATAAATGGGCACAAGATATTGCCGACTTTGATGACACCGAGAAGCTGCTGCTGGATCCTGCGACCACACAAAAATCCGAATCAGACCTCATCTTAGTATACGGGCGAAACGTCATATCAATCCCAGATGGGGAGGCTCTAGTACCCGACCTAGAGGAGTTAGGGCCTCAGAATGCTTTATGCCTGACAATTCTGGTCCTCCTACTAGGTCTCAATGGGGTTTTCATATCATAGTACTTCCTTATACTGATTCCGCTAGGGCTTTTACCGATGTGGATACACGGTTTGCTTGACAGCGTTGATCTTGCAAACCAACATTTCTTCAACATATTCAACCGACGAGTGTACCAAATCGAACTAGCAGCTCACGCCGGGCGGTTCTAATACCCTGCCTCTAGTAATTGAACAATGCCCAGATGGTCATCAATACCTAGGTAGAGTACAGCCTGGTAGTTATAAACATAAATATCAATTTCGATAATCTGTTCACAAAATTATATGTTCACGAGCCCATTCATAAATCAGCTCTTTAACCTAATCCAATTTACCAAGTAATCATCAATACATCAGATAACCCATACCCATAGCTCGTTCATCCTCATCCTCATTGGCATCACATCAACACTTCACTCCCTCAAACTCATCCAAACATACCCACGACTCAGAAGAACGTAAAGCATCACGAATAAGCAATTAGCCCCCACCAACCAGACCATCACCCCCTAAACCACATCATGATATTCCATAACAAAAGAAACCCATAAAACATAAAGTCCCCCCTCTCTCCTTCATCCCCCATACGGCGAAAAAGAGGGGAACAAACCAGAGAGAAACTTGGCTACATCAAATCATGAAAGCACCAACAACACCAACCCCAGCAAGCATCGCTGCAACCGGCGTCGCAGCATACCCATTAGCAACATTAGTCCCCGTCTGCGTCTGAAAAACATCCGTCCCTGTCGCCGTAGCCCGATATTCACTCTGACTAGAAACCGCCTTCCGATCATACCCGGTAGCCGTAACAGTCCAAGAAGTCGAAGACTGAGACCAAGTCAAGACAGTCCCGGATGGCGGCGCGGTAACAGTTCCCGCAACATTGTGCAAAGTCGAAGTTCCGTTGGAAGGGAGATCGCCCGGTTTATAGAATTTATCACCCGAATCTGTGAACCCGATTTTTTGACAGTCTGTATTTGATAGGGTGGAGTCGCAGCTTGACCAGGCCCAGTTGGGAACTGAGGTGTAGAGGTTTGGGAGGTCGGAGGGGAAGAATATGGGCCAGAGGTCTGCGCCGGCGAGTCTTGGTTCGGTGTGGGGGCAGACGTCCCAGGATCTGGGGGTTGTTAGCTTTTTTATCCAACTTTCTTTTTGGGGGGGAGGGGATGGCGGACGTACGCTGAGATACTAGCACTAGCACCACAGCAAGCACAATCAGAAGCCTGCTTCCCGATATCCAATCCATTCGGCAAATCCGAAAGATCACCCAGATTAGTGGGGATTTTGTTCAGGGTTTGACTAGTGACGTTCTTGATGCAGGAGATTTGTTCCTTGCGTGCTGTGAGTGTCGACTGGAGGACTTTTCCTAGATCACAGGAGCAGCGGTTTGGCGCGTTGTCGGGTGCGGGCCAGAAGGGGATTGGCTCTGTTGCGCTGGGGCAGATTGCGAAGTATTGTTGGACGAAGAGTTGGTATTCACATGAGTAGACCTATTTCCGTGATTGGGTTAATATCAATAATCGAGTTTATGGCTATGGGCGTGTGGCTTCGATAGTGGCGAGGTGAGGGTGGAGGGGTAGGACGTACCTGATTCCAGCATGTCTGCGCCATACAATTGATATAGTCCTGGTGAGAACTACATCCGCAATCAACAATGCAGTTCCCATTGCCGTTGCAGTTTCGGATGCAGGAACTCCAGTCATCTGCTACCTTGCGGTTGCAGGAGGTGTAGTCCGAGCCAGAGGCGCAGGCGTGAGAGGTGATGTTCGTCTGTGCCTGGGAGATCTGCGCGAAGCCCAGAAGGGCTGCGGCTGAGACGGCGAGGTATCGCATGCTAGATGGCATAGTGATGTGATGTGATGAGGCCTGACGAGAGCGAAGCTAGAAGGATCCGATTGGGCAAAAGGGCTAGCTAGATAAATTCGAAGACTAGGACCGCTTCAATGGGGAGAAGGAGGAGGACGGTTTTCCTTTCTTTCGTCAAAGAATCGCTTGCTGATCAACATCGTAAATGTCAATCGGGACGCAGAGCTCATTTATAGCCAGCCCTTCACAAAGGCAAACACTGCACATACCTACACCGCACCGCGTCCATCGGATCTCCGGCTTATGCACAGAGGGAGGGTCGGCGGGTCGATCATTGCAAACCGAGCTGTCATCGTTGGCACTGCTGTCGCATGGTTGTACAGGGGTGGAGATGGAAGGGGACATCCGATTCATGTTTCTTGCCTGGGTTGGGCTGGGCTGCAAGGTGAGTGCAGGGCTATGTATCCATACGAAGTAGTAAAGGTAGTCTGTCATGCCCTAAGCCCATGCAATGGTGCCCATTGACCAATCACAATTCAATCTGGGATCTAGGGTCCGGATCTACTGCATATCTCACATGTAGGCTGTCACTTTTCCTTCCTGTCACTTCGACTCATCAGAGTAGAGGAATAAAGCATGAAGCGGAAGCCCTTCATCTAATCCACTACTGGGTACATCTTGCGTATCCCTTCGCTCCAGTTCTCGGTACTCCGTAAATAGTCGCCGGCTGCATCATATGTTCATCCGCCCTTGCGGCGTCAGCACGAGGTGCTCGTTCCAAGCCCATTTATCGATGATCCTTGCTTCCAGGGGAAAATTTTTGGATCGCGGATGACGGTGTGCTGGGATGACGGGGATCCCTTGATGCGAGGTGCGAGATGGAGATGGAGTGCGAGGGTCGAGACTGACCAGCTCGTATGCGGTGAGAATTGCATGAACGAGAACACTGGGCAGTACAAACTGTAGAAGCATTTTACTGCTTACCGGTCTGGTTTCTAGACCCTCGGAATCCTTCGGGAGATTTATTCTGCCTAGCGAGGCGGGGCAGCAGACCACGGGCATATGTCAATGGGGTTGCGTATATACGGATCCTAAGTACGGAGTACACATGTAAAAGATGGCATTGCGAGGCTGAGCTGGTCGAGATGCCAATGACGTGAAAGTGCGGACCCGACAATTGACATTTTATCGTGGCAGTGGCAGTAGTAGCGGCAGCAGGTCAGAGTCAGAGTCAAGTCAGGCACAGCTAGCCCTGCGGTGTGTGTGTTGTTGTGTGCCTGGACGCCTGAACTGAGACGTCAGATCGGCCATTGCAGTCCTCGCTCCGGACCGACACTTCATACATACATACTAGTATAGCAGTAGATGCATAAATATGACTAAGTAAATCGTACAAATACTGTCCTTCCTCTCAAGACGAGCCCAGATTCACACAGTGACTACCCTGAATCAAAGGTAAGACAAGATGAACATCCGACGTCATCTACCGATATCAGATACGAATCAACCAAAGTTCCGACATCGTATCAGCGAGTGGAGCGCGCTAACACCAGCGGGAGAGTGAAAAGCAAAAACGAAAAAAAAAACATCAAAACGACAAGAATTTCCGCAACTATTGCCCGCTAAAGTCTTCGAGTATTACTTGGCAAGAAAACGGACCAATCAGTGGCCAGAACCGCAAGACGTTCGTCAGTAGGCGGGCAGCGTAGGTTTACGGACAGCTCGCGCAGGGTAGTATACCCCTTTCACTACGTTCCTCCGTTTCAGTAAATGACATCAACCAACCAACCGACCGACTGTAATGCAATTCCAATGTGAAAAGTATAAGCAAGGACAGTGTAAAAAGCATAATGTATTTCTGTGAGTCACCATACTTATGGTGGACGATAGGGGCCAAGGAGTATCGAAATTAGTAATCTCCCCCGCCGATAGTACTTCTCCGCCTAGCCCCGGTCTCCGATCTGAACCATCTCTCTCTTCGACAGCTATTACTATTTAATTATGATCGTTTAAGTTGTCACCATTCAATTATACTACCAAGGTCTATAGGCAATTGCTCAGCCTAGTAGGGCTACTTACGACACAATATAGGTGGATAGGATAAACATTATCGTATATCGTCCCATATTGGCAATGTACCCTAGGATAAGTAGGAGGCAGTCATAGGATAGAGTATATTACTCCTATAATAGCTATTCAATATTACTACAACGCGCTGAATCACTCAAAAATACAACCAAATATGCATGAATAATGAACACCCAAAAGGTCTACAGAGCTTGGTGTATTTGATATGTTTATTATCGATCCTGCCGCCGCTTAGTAGCAACAGTGCTGAAACCGTTGAATAACAAATAACTGTCGAATATTTTTCAATATCAGAGATCCGGATTCATAAATGTCTCACTCTAAACAGTGAATACGCATAATGCCAGTAGGGAACAGGGCGGTAGGCCATTCGTGTAATGAAAAGTCTGAATTGCTAGATATTCTAAAATAGTACATGCTTTTGTGTGGTAGATTACTAAATAATCTGGCTACCCTTGAGTCTGGGTGACCCTAGAGCCACCACATCTTGGCACCACCACATCCTAATTATGTCAGTAATTTTCTTATATAATATCTTCCAAGGTTAGGTGAGATATATCCACATCCTTAAGTCTATACCCACAAAGGCTATGCCAAGATGTGGTGGATCTAGGGTTACTCCTGAGTCTCCGCCGACCTTAGCTACTCACACTGGGATTCGACATGCGTTCGCAGATCTTCGATCCGCCCCATTAATTGCTAAGAATTGCCAAAACGACGCCCCTCTTTCTAATGAAATTCAGCCTGGTGAATGTAGCCTCCCGCTCCAGTTTCAACTCCTTCCCAAAGCTCCATTTCAATTTTTTTTTTGAAAAATACTTCCGATTCCAGCAACCCTCTATTCCAAGCCTCCCCTAGTCCACAGAGCGTTCTAAGATTCACGATGGACTCAGAACAATCTTCCGATCACGTCCAAGCATCAGTCCAAGAAACAAAGACCGTGGAGGATGATCCTCTCCCTCCTCAAAACCCATGGCTGGAGCGCTGTTTGATGAGAATCGGGTTCTTTGAGTACAAGTACAATGCCATGTACGAGCCCCCATTCCACTTCAGTTTTGCATTTCGGACCACTCATGTTGTATTGTCGTCTAGGATCATGGTCTGTGTTGCTTTAAGTCCCTTTCTATTTGAATATCTCATTTGCCGCCGATACTGCGGTATAGAGGATTGTCTTTTTTACCGTAAGACCGCGTCGCGCTGTACAGACATTGTGATAATTCTTTATTTTGTTCGGATTCGGTACTTAGCCTGGTCCGGGCAGGCAACAGACAATCAGAAATACAAGCGCTAAATCCAGCTAGTCAGATACCGCGATCTAGGGGAGCAAATATGATAGGAATGAATCCGGGAGAAAGGAGTACTTGGGGATGAATGTCTTTCCTTTTTTTCCCTTTTCTTTGCAATCGATCCACTAGGCTTGCATTGCTACAGGATAGTATAGAACTTTTCCCATTCAATCCAAATCTTGACAGAATACCAACGACGATATAAGATGTCTCCGCCTCCTCATTTTGACGAATGGTATCACTTTGCAACGTCGCGCAACACCGTTTTGATTGACGAATTCGATAAGATATACCATACTCTGCTGCCTTTTTGGGGGCTTACGCCTAGCGTGATGCGCTCTCGTGTCCGAGAAGACCTTGGTCGGATAAACACCACCTATCTCATGGGAATCGCCATCCGCGAAGGCAGAATCCTTGATTTCGGCAAGGGCCAGGGAGGATTCCAGAGAGATGCGACAATAAAGATCCTCGAGAAGTTCTCTCAGTGGTTACCGGATATAAACTTGCAATTCAACGCTCACGACGAGCCGCGTGTCGTAGTTCCTCATGAACAGTTGCATAGATTCGTCCTTGAGGGCCAAGTGGCGCAATCCCGGTTAAAATCCCAGTCAGACGTTTCAAACCTATTTTCACCGGGGGAAACGGATAACCCAGTGCCGCCAGTACCGGCTTCTACAAGCAGGTGGAACAACATTGAGTTCCAAGAGACATGGCTCTATTCGCGACTTTCATGCCCACCAGACACACCTGTTATGGCGCTAGATGGCAATGCACCGGACAACACAGCCGCTTACGCTATGGAGCCTCTGGGTTTCGTATTCAATCAATCTGCGGCAAGTGATATTTGCAGTAGCCCGTCACTAAGACATCGCCTTGGGGTCTTTCAGCGCCCAAATTCTTTCAAGTTGACGAACAAACTTGTCCCAATGTTTTCCATGTCCCATCCATCTTCATTCCAAGACATTGGTGTTCCTTCGCCCTTTTATTATGGAGATATGTCGAGTTTTGACCCAGAAAGCTCGGTGCCATGGGAAGAGAAGAAGCCCCAGATCTATTGGCGTGGGAGAACCACCGGGGGCCACAGTCAGAGTAGCAGCTAGCACAACCTGCAACGTCAACGTAGCATTGGGAATATGGCCCACCTGCAATCACCTCATTATGTCCTGCATCAGAAGACTGAGTCGGCTTGTACTTCGAAAACCAATACAAATTGGGAGGTCCGGGAAGCGGACAAGTCCCAACTAGAGGGGTACTTCAATGTCCATTTCACGGATATCATCGATTGCGACCAAGACTGCGATGAGGAAAGAGAGTTCTTTGATGATGTTGTGGAACCAGAACCTCAGAGCAATGCCTGGAAATTCCGGTATCTGCTGGATATGGATGGCCATGCATACAGCGGTAGGTTCTACGCCTTATTGCGTAGCAAGGGTGTTCCATTCAAGATGACTTTCTCCCGTGAATGGCATGAAAACGTATTGATCCCATGGGTTCACTATGTACCGGTCAACAAGGATGGCAATGAACTTGCTGAGCTAGTTCGTTTCTTCGAGGAAGATGCCACAGGTCAGGAGATCACAAAATCCATCGGTGAAGAGGGCCAGTCTTGGGCAGCTCGGACCCTTAGAAATGATGATATAGAGGTTTACATGTTTCGACTTCTTTTGGAGTAAGTTCCCCTACCCGCATTCCTATCATTAAGCATGCTGAATCAGATTTACAGGTACGCTCGTGTACAAGATGATAATAGAGAGAGCCTCGGCTTTCGATTATAGAGGACGGATGGTATAACATTTCGGGAGACAGGTTACGTGATGGCGTGTTGGGATGCTTAACCCTATGTAATACAGATAAACTGACTGGACCAGGCGATTAACGGCTCGTTTACAACTATTTTCGAATTCTACTGTATTGTTTTGACTTTGATATCAAATGCCTCATGTAACTACCCGTTAGAAAAACACAGACAGCCATCGAGTATTCGTATCGTGTGCGAGAATCCACAGCGGACACGTTGATACATCCTATCCTATAACCGCCTCCCGCTCACCCTAGGGTATATCGACAATATGGGACGATATACGATAATGATCATCCCATACACCTATATCGTATCGTAAGCAGCCCTACCAGGTTGAGCAATTGCCTATAGACCTAGGCAGTATAATTAAATGGTGACCACTTAGACGATTATAATTAAATAGTAATGGCTGCCGAAGAGAGAGATGGTTCAGATCGGAGGCCTAGGCAGAGAAGTAATAACTATCGGCGGTGTACGGAGTAGAGATTACTAATTTCGACACTCCTTGCCCGCTAAACCGTTAAGTCTCCACTTATGTTGATCCTCATTACCCATATTTCCCCGCCCTTGCTCTGTTCGGACTATTGGTTGAAAGGGTGGGAATGCATGCATTGCAGGCTAGAGACTGCTTCGGTGCTGTCTGGTGCCTGGTTCCATGGAAGGCCATTGAGGGATTTTGACAGGTTTCCCTTTTGTCCTCTTCGTTTTCTTTGTGTGGATATCGGTGCGGGCTGGATCCGTACCGTACCGTACTCTACTCCGCAACACAATTTCTTCCGATTCAATTAAAGTGCCGCGATGAGGGTCAATAAGTCAAGCTCATTTCCGAGACCCACGTTGATCGCGGGTCTAATCAAACTCGTATCTGAACTTGAACTTGGATTAATCCAGACCGCCGTTTTGGGGCGGAAAGGAAAGTCGGGGAAATTGACTATTCTCACGGGTGAGTCTGGGTGTGGGTTGGGTTGGGGGCCAACTTAAAATACTCAGTCTACCACCACACACTCGCAGGCCAGAGGAGTTTTGAGAAAATACTCGTTGTAATAGTAGTAATAGTAGTAATATGATGTAATATTGATTTTATTTCAAAGCCTCCCATCCCTCACAAGAAGGTTAGGTTATCAAGGTCCACATCCACTCCACACACATAAAAACACATACACATTAAACCGACCGGACGTAATTCTGTGCAATGCCAGACCGGGAATAAGTTAAAAAAGAAAGAGAAAAAGGGTAAGATATCAAGACATGGGCTGTACAAGACGTGAAGAAAATAATAAATAGCAAATATAATAACCAATAACCAATTAATCCATTTCCATAACCCTCGTAAACAACCACCTTACATCATCGCAATAGCACCAGCAACCAGGGCCAACATAGCGCCAGAAACGCGGTTAACGCCAGCGCCGTTACCGTTAGGCACAGCGGTTGAGGAAGCAGAAGCGGAAGAAGAGGCGCTGGTGCTGGAAGCAGAAGTGCTGGACTGGGTCTCGGATGAAGTGGTAGCAGTAGTGGCAGCAGAGCTGGAAGCCTTGGTCAGGGTAGTGGCGGTGGTCTTGGCAGCCTTGGAAGTGGTGGTAGTAGTGGCATCGGTGGTGGTGCTGGCCTCAGTGGTGGTGGTGGCCTCGGCGGTGGTGCTGGTAGTTGATGCCTCGGTGGTGCTGGTGGATTCGGCTGAGGTGGTGGTTGTTGGGGCAGCGGTGGAAGTGGATGCCGAGCCGGTGGCACCGACGACGGTGAAGTAGGGGAGGAAGTTGTAGTCGTCGGTGTTCTCGTCATTGATGATTTCAATGGTGTATTCTTTGCCCTTGACTAGGTCGGTGGGGACGGTCCAGGTGAAGGAGCCGGTGTTGTCGATGTTGGCTGTGAGGCGCATGTTAGTTCCGACGGGTCACTTTTCCGTTTAAGGGTTGAGGTTCGGAGGCATTATGATATATCGACCCGGAGGGGGAAATAACATCACTCGCATATGAATCTCGGACTCAGACTCGGAGACTTTGACTTACAGGCAATGGCAGTTCCGGAGGTGGCGGTGGTGACAGAGCCGGACTGCAGACGCAAGGAAATGGTGCTGCCAGACTTGTGGTCCCAGGTCACGGTAGTAGAATCACCAGCAGTGAAGGTATAACCACCGGCAGGGTTGTTGAAGTCATTGTTGGTGCTCTTGGCAGCAACCAGAGCGGCGAGGAGCGAAGTCACGATAATGAAGCGCATGTTGATGGTAGTAGTAGTACTAGGTGTAGGTGGAGTAGGAGTGGGTTTAGAGGTACAAGGGATTGATATCTCAAAGAGCGAAAGAGTGGAAGTTAAGAGTCAAGGAGAGGCAGGGACTTTAGTCCAAGATAATGATCTAAAAAAGGAGTGTACGCGCGAAGCGAAGCGAAAGGCAAAAAAGATGGGCAAAAAGAGGGCAAAAAGAGGCGTAGCTTCGCCCCCTCCGGAAGGCCAGGGAAATCCCATCATTATAACAGACTAACAGCGAACAGGCGAGTGACCTCCCTTTGGTGCCGAGCTAGGAAGGCGCCGGCACTAGCAGGTTGGCAATCACTTGGATTTCACCTGGACTAGTCTTGTCTTAGTCTAGTCTTAGTCTAGGCTTAGCTAGTGGAAGCCATGCTAATCCCTTTGTGGGAGGACGCTAGGGGATATCAGGAAGAGGCTGGCCAGTCTTCACCCAAGGGAAAGTGAATTTTGCTCGTGGATCGCCGCCACGAGCCCTTCCACGAGTATCCACGAGCCTCGCATTGGTCCGAAATCGAGGCTGGGGTGCTGCTTGGCGGTGGTGCCAGCCACTTAGAGCCCTCGCTTGCAAAGTACCTTAATGAAGTGGGGGGGGAAAAGAGGAAAAGAGGAGATTGCAAGTTGGCTAGTGCCTGGCAGCCTAGTGCCACAACCACAGTGTCCAGTAGGATCTAGCCTAGGCAGTCATTTCGGGCACAAAATCATGTGGGGAGAGGAGACTTTGCCCGGAAAAACAACGGGGGAAATATTAGGGCCTATTTTTATGAACGACGTAGGGGACTAAGGGAGGGACTAAGGGACGGTTTTCTCTTGTTGACCCTGCTCCGTTCTTCGTTTATGGAGCATCCTATTCTTAGTGCTTTTCTTGCTAGCTGGTGTTGGTTGTTTATCCCCGAGTCTACTCCGGTGTACTGAGTTCTGACTACTGGTACGGAGCACTACCGCCACTCCCGAACTTGAAATCTTCGAAATGAGGATGCGCATCTGAATGTTTATCATTTTGGGGCTCACCCGCCACGCGGGACGGCCCAGTTGGCATTTGGACTGCTTTCCCTTCCCCATCCCTCCTCTTCCCCCTTTTTGCTTCCTTTTGGGTTGTTTTATTTTTGTTTTTATTTCACCCCTTCTTTTCAGCAGGGGTTCCATGTCGTACAAATGGGGAAGCTCAAGAAAAAAAAAAAGAAAACGTGGAATCATCCTCAACAATTACTACAAGATGCATATCGCATTGCGCTTGATGGTGCGCTAGATAGGGATATCCGATTGCGGGGCGTCTGTCCCAATGGTCCCAGTTGCAGTTCCACTGCCACTTCCACTTCCAGTCTCTGAGGTCGAACCTTTCGGCTCTTCCAAAAGACCATTTTGGCCCATCCAGGCAATGACTTCCATTGCCCGCCGATCCTCGTCTTCTTTTTGCCGGTCCAGTAGCTGTACAGAGTACGAGTTAGTATATCGTTCGTAGTAAATCGTTCGAAATGTAGAGTAGAGTGGAGGAGTCCCGGCGGGGTCCGGGGATGTTGGTGTTGGTGCTCATGCAGCTCATGCAGCCCGAATTACTATTACTCACAGCAGACAGAAGTCCCTTGCGCCCCTTCTCCCTCTTTTCCGGCTTCGCTTTTCGTCGTTCGCCCACGTCATGGGAGAAACTGCATTGATCTCCGCGATTGCATTTCCCATTGCGAGCAAAGTGCCGGCACAATTGCTTCTTGCCTTCGCGAGGCGGCGGGAGAACCTTCTCGGGTCCCTGTCGTCGGCTGCTCGCTTGTTCGGGAGCCGAGTCGCCGTCACTCCCGCTCTCGCTGGCGCTGTCGCTGTCACTGTCACTATCACCCCCACTATCACTATCAGAGTCTAAGCCCGAGTCAGAACCACTAGATGAGGTCCAATCGCCGCTAACATGTCTCTCAGCCTCAGCCTCGGGCAAGAGATCCATGGGTCCGTCCACCTGATCCGCCACGTCAATAGTCGTCCCCATGTCCGCCTCCGCAGGAACAGGTTTAGCGGCAGCGGTCAAAGCCCCCGGCTCTGAAGGCTTGTTCGTCGTATCGATGGTCATGGGATCCGGGACTTCAGCTGGCGTCTTTGTCTCGGGCAGTTTTGTCTCGGGCAGTAGCGCAACATTCGGTTCGGCGACACCACCAACAAGACTATCAGCCCCAGTCTCCTCGTTGCCACCGACGTCCTTCTGCATGGGATTTTGATCCGATCCCAGCTGTTTCTGTAGAGCGGCGACCTTGAGCCGAGCAGCTTCGGCTTCAGCTTCGGCTTTAGCAAAGCGCTTTTGTTCCCGGTCCAAATTGCGCCTGATCTTGTCGGCCTTTCGCTGCGCTTTCATCGCGGCATTTAATGCCGGGTCCGCATTTGGATTATCGCTGGTAGGTTTTGACGCTCCCTTTGACTTTTCTTTGTTGTCTTTGTTATTATCGCTTGGCCCCGCTGCGGCTGCAGGCTTCCCATTCATTTTCGCCCTTTCATTCATTTTCTCGCGCCGGACTGCTTCACGCGCATCCTTAGCTTCCTGTGCAACCTTCTTCTTCTCCTCGACCCGTTCTGCAGTGGGGAATTTCTTCCGCCGCTCCGCAATCCACGCCGCGATATCAGCGGATGATTGCAAAGTAGCCGTTCGACCTTTATAGGAGAATTGGAGCGGTGCAGATTCCGAGCCGCAGCCGCCTTGCGCTAACTTTGACTCTTCATCCACGTCTTCTTCGTCCTCGCTGGACTCGTGGTCTTCTGTCTTGGGGGTTAGACCGAGCTGGTTATGTTTCCGCTTGCGCTTTTTTGGTTTCCGAGTCGTGTTTGCGTTTAGGTCTGCGACTGGTGGGGGTTTGCAGGGCAATGGGTTGCCGAAACTTGGGACTGCGGGTGCGGCGGGGGTTCGGGGGGCGGTGGATTGGGGTTTATTAAATGCGGCGGAATGGTCGCGTTTATGGGGTGGTCTTGGTTTCGGGTTGTGATTATTGTGGTTGTTGGGTTGGTGGGAAGGCCATGATCCTCGTCCGTGTCCGTGTGTGTGTGCATGTCCATGTCCATGGTTGGGTGTCGCTCCTCCGTATGGTGCCGGGGTAGCGGGTGGTACATCAGATCCCCAGGGCGACCCCATGACTATGGGACCATTCTGCGGCGCATGTTGATGGGGGACATTTGACGGGTATGGTTGTGTAGATTGCGGAGGGTAGGATGCGGAGGGCGTAAGACCGGGAGTCGCATTGTAGTGGGAGAGAGGTTGATAGGCCGATCCAGCGGGTTGATGAAAGGTTTGCGGAGGTTGATAGGTAGGTGTATTTTGAGGATGCTGAAAATTTGACTGGGTGTGAGTGTGAGGGAGGGGCGGGGCCATGTACGACGTCGCCGAGACTGGTTGAGATGGATAGCCGTAGTTCGCAGGCGCGTAGTTGTAGCCCGGTGTATTGTTGTTGCTGTTGATGTTGCTGTGGTTGTTCTGGTTCTGATTCTGGTATTGCTGGCGGTTCCCATTCGAGTGATTTCCTCCTCGGCCACGATTTCCCTGGCCTCTTCCACGTCCTCGTCCGCCACGAGCATTCCAGTGTTGACCATGCGGCGGCGCTGGATAGGCGGAGGAAGAAGTGGAAGAAGCCTGGGGAACTGGCGGAGGAGGTGGTGGCGGGGGGAACGAAAATCCCTGGGAACTCATGATCCCTCGGAGAGCCCCACCGTGAGATCGATTTACACCATCACGCGCCGAAAAAAAAAAGCAGCTCCAAAAAAAAGCTTGAATCGGAGTTGCGCTTGAAGTTTTCTTAGCTTTCGCTCTTTCTGACAGCTCCGGGTCACGTGATGGAAGAGGATCCACCGGCTTGATTGGCGACAGGCTTTTTGGTTCTCCGATTCTCTGTGCAAGAGGGCATCGCGCACGGCCTTGGTTTGATATTTCATTTGGATCTCTTCCACACTCGCATATCCTTGGTCGTTTTATAAGGATCCCTTTTGTTCCGCTGGGTCGCTGCAATCATGTTTATCCTTGTATGTTGAGGACGCGGCTGAAAACGGGATATCTTTTCACTGACTGCTGCACTAGACCACCATCTCCGATCTGATCCAGATCTCACCTGAAGACTTTTCGAAGCTCAGTGCTGTGGCTATTGAGGACAATATTAATGAGAAATATGCCAACAAAGTACGTACCCAGTCTGGGTCAATTCGGTCAATTTCCGCTTTTCCGGATTGTACTGACTCCGCTCCTAGGTAATTCAAAAAATCGGTCTATGTGTTAGCTTCTATGATCTTTTGGAGTCTTCAGATGGCTTGATTGGTCATGGAACTGGTCTGGTGAATGTAAATGGTACTTTGAGCCCCTTCTAGATTTATTTGTTCTGGTGACGGCGGCTAACCTCTTGATAGTGAAATTCCGAGTGATTGTCTTCCGGCCTTTCAAGGGCGAAATCGTGATGGGCAAGATCTCCAGTGGAACCGAGCACGGTATTAAGAGTATGAACGATCATTGTCACAAACTAATTTTTTTTGAGCCTGGACTAACCAATTCATTTACATTTGCAGTTGCCGTCGAGTTCTTTAACGATATCTTGATTCCACCGGAGCTTCTTATGCCGGGCGCCAGATTGTGAGTTGATTCCCCAATTACCGATCTAGGATCCAACTAGAATCTCCGCCTCAACGCATTACTAATTCAATCCAGTGATTATGTGGATCAAGTATGGATCTGGGAGAACGAAGAAGGCTCAAGCTTCTACTTCGATGTCGGCGAAGTCGTCCGATTCCGCGTCGAAGCGGAAGAATGGCACGATCAGATCCCCAATGCTCCCGAGCTGGCGGACGGTGCTACATCAGAGCGAAAGTCACCTTATTCCATTATTGTATGTTTTCACCAGACGGAAACTGAAACTAGCATCATTCTTGTATTCTGCCTTCACGTGCTAATCAATTTTCAGGGCTCGATGCAAATGGCTGGTTTGGGTCCCATTACCTGGTGGTGAGGAAGGGCCACCCGGGCATATCATTTTTCACATATCTGTGTTGCTACTTGTGGGATGCGCGGGCACTTTACATTTCTTTCATCAAAATTAGATACCCATGTCGGCGGTTGAGCGGAGACCAACGGCGCAAAATTAATTCAAAATATCACTGCATCTTGTGTGTAGTAGATCCTAGTATTCTCCACGTACAATGTTGCAGAAAATGACTATGCTTTAGGCTCAAGTAGCTTAGCAATCGTCATTTGATCAAAACGAGCCGCCAAAGTTGACGGCGTCTGCCCCGTTTCATCTTTCACGTTGATATTCGCCCCTCTCTCAAGAAGCAGGTTGACGATATGTTCGTGACCATGCTTGGCAGCCAGAAAAAGTGGTGTCTTCCCTTCTGAATCCTTGGCTTCTATATCCGCCCCCCTGTCAAGTAGCAGTCCGACTGCCTGTTCACGACCGTATCCAGCAGCATCGAACAGCGGCGTTCTAAAAAAACGTCCAGACTTGTAATCCACGTCCCAATTGTTATCAAGTAGCACCTCAGTGATAATTGCATATCCCTCTCGAGAAGCCCATTTAAATAAACCACCACCAAGCCTCTCCCAGGGTTCAGAGACTTCCGCGTCTCCCCGAATGAGTAGCCTGACTATGGACACATGTCTCACCTCAACAGCGTACTCCAATGCTGTTTTACCGCTGCTTCTGAAGTCGATTCCTGCTCCATAATCAAGAAGTAGTTTGACACTCGAGTAATGTCCATTTTTAGAGGCACATATGAGTGGTGTGCTATCATCAACGCCTATCCAACCTGGCGCACCGCCCTTTGTATCTGCCCCATTTTCAATCAGCAGTCTCATGGTAGATTCGTGCCCACCCCCGGATGCCAACATTAATGGCGTTGGGTCAACATGTCTTTCTCTTAGGTCGGCCCAAACGTCACTCCGTGTCAGAAGTAACCATACGAGATCATGACGTCCATGTGCTGCTGCATCTGAGAGCTGTTTTGAATTATTGTTTCTCATGATGTCTCTCAACGAATTCTCTGTGTAAATGTCATCCTTTGATATGACGACATCGTGTTCTCCCTGTCGTTTTCGTATCCGCGTCGCGCGACGGACCTGAAGACAAATATCTCGAAACGGGCGTTCAGATGATTCAAAATTTGCCAGATCAATCCTCTCCAGTTCATCCGTCCAAACCCTTTCAAACCGCTTTATTGAGAATAAAATATCCCGGGCAAAGATAGCAATGTATTCAGCGCTGTAGATTTCTTTGCAGTTGAGAATTACCATTCCCAGTCCTTTTCGCCCTATACCCATAAAGCGAGCATATAGATGGACCCCTCGATTATCCACAGTAAAGGGGTCATCAAGAGATCCGAGCGGGTTCGCCTGGACGATATTATGGGAGTTGGCAAAGGCTGCAGGAGAAGTGGGAAAGCCATCAATACTACTCTTTGATCGCCAAGCGAAAATACTGTGGTCATTCGAAATCTTCATAATTTCCTGCTGAAGACGGATGAAAGCTATTTCTTTTTCTCCGTAGACCAAAGGCATGTTAATCCCAAACAATCCCATTAGAGAATAAGCGCGATCCTCAATCCTGGAGGTTTGTCGCCCTGATGCCCAGGACATTCGTTGCGCGATACTGAATTCATCAAGATCCTTTTCATGAAGGAGAATATCAACAGGTATACCCGTAGACTCTGCGACCACTTTTTGACGGTCGGCTGTGAGTTCTAGCATCGTCCAATTCTCGTCGAAAAACACCACTTTTGACGGAGCGAGCAATTCTTGAAGCGTCCACCCCGACTAAACCATCTGCTCTTCTCAAAGGGCTTCTCGGTCGGTACATCAGCGAGAAAAGCATAACAGACAGCGGCTTGCTCGTACCAGTAGTACATCGAGTTGATGGCTTCTGAAAGCTCTGCACTGCTGGTCTTGTCGATGCAGCAAGTATCCACCCAAGCATAATCCAGACCTTCGGCCTTTGCCATCTCGCAGCATCGTTCGATTTTCTTGTACCCTTCTTTCCTCTTTGCGTCGGGTCCGCTCATCTCTTGAAGGCTCACTTCTTGCCCTTTGACCCAGGTATGTGAAAGGATGGCGTATTCTGGGATATCTTCGTCCCAGAATTCGACGATTTCGAAGACTCCATTCTTGGACTCTGTTGTTTTCAATAGCCGCAAGGTTTGGTATGTCTTGGCTTGGTTGCGAGTTGGGTTATGTATTTTATTTGAAGCGGATTGAATGGGATATTCATTGGATAATCAAGAATAGGATCTAGGTGGTAACCAAGGGGCAGTGATTTCCGTGGGGGAAATGAGGCTGAGGAATGATACAGGTGAGCCGGGCGCATATATGAGACAGCTAATTCGTTACAGTGATTCTTACATTGCCCATGTCGCTGCACGTGATAGTCACTGCATACACTGACATCTATTAACTACTGAGAGCCTCTCCCCTTATACATCTGCCTCACGAAAGTGAAGCCAAACGTTAGAATCATAGATCGTTATGTTTATGATGAGGCTATGGATTGAGGATTAATGGGCCTAATTGGTAATAACTGCATTGAAGCCATGAAGTTCGGCAATCTAGATTCCCTCACTTTAACTGGTTCCCTTTTAACCTGTTCCCTCCCACTTTAATGCAAAAATTTCAGGACGAGATCAAAAGTAACTTGTAGCATTGATAAAAGTGGAAAATCTCGAGAAGTGAAAAACAATCATAGGAACTGTGATACTTTTGCAATCATCACTCGAGGTAAGTTTGTGGTCTCAGTAGTCACTTTATTACTCTGACTAACTCAAAGATATATATAGCATTGTATATGAACAACTACTACAGTGATGAAAGAATGATGAAGCTGCTTCCCAAGGAACTGCGCCCAGACAAGGTCAACGGTCCCAGTGGCCTAAGTGACAAGAAAACGTGAATACAAACGTACAAATATAGCCTACCTAGGTAGGGTTTTAAGACTGCACTCCCATTGTTTGTTCATTTCATTTCATTAACAAGATATTCACTACAAAAATACCAAATTACCACTTCATGTTTGCAGACATTTTTCTTGAAAAGTGCAGGTTAATGGTCGGGGTAGTTTTGAGCTGCCAGGACCATAACTTTCAACCAAAGTTAAACCATACTACATTTTCGGTCCTCAAAAATCACTCGCCTAAGAGCACCACTATACTTAATTGTATATATTTAACTGAGACGTATTTAAGCAGCAAAAACAGTAATACTTAGAGAGATAGAGAGAGCGGCGATGTGTGTAGAATCCTTAGTTTAGTCCGCCCTGGACGCTATCGGCTGCCATAAACGTGACCCAATCATTCAATCAAATAATATCTAGATATTCCCTTCATAGTGTCACATGTGTAGTAAATAGTCTCTCAAAAGAAAAATTGAAATAATAGCCTTGAAAAAGTACAATCCAAAAGCCCAAAAATAATTGCGTGCCGTGGCCTGACTCGCCACTCGCCCCCACTCCCTCCTTTCCGTTGGCCCCCACTCGCTCTTTGGCAACCCATACATAATTCAGGACTGGAGTATTTGAAGCATCCAGTCGCTCACCTGAGTTCCATCCTCTTGAGTTCACACCCACTCCCACTAGAATGCGCCAGCGCCATTCTTCCACATAAAATTTCTGATTCTCGTTCTACTCTAGTTCTACTCTCTTGAATCATGGCGCCCTCCGACGAAGTGTGGAATTCCAAGAAAGAGATCAAACTAGCACTTGTGGGTGATGCAGGTGTTGGGAAGGTAAGAAACATTTTCTTGTTCATATCAAAATAGCTGACCATATATTTAAGACAACCTGGGTATCTGAACTTATTGGCCCGGAATTACCTGCCAGGGCCACCGCGACCGCCGAAATTGGCTACAAGCGTCGCGGGTACTACTTTCCAACTGTATGTTTCATTTGCTTAATCTAAAGCATCATTCTACTAGGTGCCAGTCCGCTCTAACATATTCGTGATAGACTATTGGTACTTTCTTTCTCAATATATGGGATATATCTGGATCCCATACTACTACTGCTCAGGAGAGGGCTCAATGGATCCATGATAGTGATGCCGCTATTATTATGGTTGATCTAGCCGACCGGGCAAGTATCGAAAATGTAGTATATTGGTATAGTATGTTCTCCCAGTTTCATTTGCGCCATATTTATATCTGGCTTTGAGTTCACGGTTCATTAATATCTGATCTTGTAGGAGAGATTCTGTCATCTCGGAAACATTCCGATAAATTGACATCGCTACCAGTGTTAATCTATTGCCGGAAGGCCTATAAAAAAAGCGATAAACGTGCAATAGATCCAACAAAAATCTTTGGGTCCGATGAAATGGGGAACATGCCAGTTTTATACGAATCATATGTAGATCTTGCTGGACCCGAAGTGAACCAGATGGAGGCGGCCCCGAGGGGTAGCCGGGACGAAAGACCTATTAAATGGATTTTGGAGCAACTTATCGGTCAAAAGGTGGTATGTTATTTGAACCTCTTTATCCCTCGCTGTGACTCTATTGCGGCAGCATTCATTTACCTTTACCTTAGGAAATATTCATAGGTTGTTGCACCGGCATTCCGGCTCCAACCCATAACCCGGAATTAGAAAAATACAAGGCTGAGATGGACGAGGCAGCAAAGGATTTCCGGCTGCCCGATGAGGACGACGGGGACTTGTAATTAATGAAGTTAATTTGCCCTTAGTCATTTGATTGGGGTTATGATCAATTCAAAGCCAGTTTCAGCACAACATCGAGTTTTTATCTAACTTAACTACCGAGCCGTCATCTGGCCCTAGTATAGTTACCACTCTCGACAAAGTGATTCCCATTTCTCAAAGAAAACAATTTCAGGTACAAATACAGGGGCTGGGCTTATCTTGACATGCTCTGGTGTCCGGAATACGTTATAATAAAATAAACAAAAATTTGATTTCGTCCACGGCCAAGCTGATAAGATTCCTACCTAAGTGCAAACAGAAGTACGAGTAGAATCAGACCAAGTACATGGATTACTATTCTGAGTGCACTGTAATGTAATTGTTCAGCCATAATTTAGCAATAGGGGCGATAGGCTCACTTGGTGGTTCTCGTCACATTTTGTCCAGTAGCGGTATCCGTTGATTGAAAAACTGCATTTTTGCTGACGTCCTGCGGAACAAGACTGTTTATAATTAGCGCTTTTTTATTGGTTCTAGGACGCTTGGGTATGAAGGGTAAAGGTACGCCGCGGTATATTTTGTTGATTCCTAATATTCCATCAGATTTATTTGCGTCTCTTCCATCCGATATAACGGGAACAGGATGATCGTCCGCGGATAGATCCGGTGATAGAGCGGCCTCAAAGGTGCTCCGACATGCTAGCGAAGCTGATATAAGCCCTGTTAAAAAGAGAAATTGCATTTTTGTTCCTTTGATCGGAAGAACTCCAACCTTGAACGCCGGCAGGTTCTGTCCGGGGAAGGGCTGCGACTAATATAGCATTGATTGACAGAATTTGGAGGACGGCGTGCGTGAGCAGCATGTTACGAAATAGTGTCCGAGTTTATCTGAATATGCGCTGTTCAAAATTAATCATCAACAAAACCCAGACCGAGGCCTTTTTATACATCTTATTTTAGGATGTTAACTAGCCTGCTAACGAATTTGGCATTTCTTGCTTATGTGTCTTATCGGATGGACAGTGTCACGTCGGGAAGTTACTTGCGATTTGTGATAGAGCAATCGTATCTGTCGTGATAAATTTGTGTATGCAAATTTAGTAGCAGAGGTATAAGCGGACCAGTGACCTTGATCCCATTGGTGTCGCTCTATCCAAAGGGGGTGTCGCTCTACCCGGGACCTAGTACTCCCAAGTCTGTGACACATTTAATATGCCACTATGCATCCTAAGTTAGTTATTATAATTCACACGTTGATAAGGCTCCTGAAAGGTAGTCCGGAGATATAAAGCAATCTAGCGATTTCAAACCTGGGCAAGTGGGTTTGTGATCCGATATTATTTTTCTCGCTCAGCTTGAAAAATCAGTGTGGCAGTCGTACTAGAATTCCAATCCACCCTTCCCACCCCTATCGCGTGACACTAAAGCAGCCGTAACCTATGTCTAACCTTGGAACCCGGGAGGCACCTACCCGGCTACTAGCCACAAACAAGTCACAATAAGTGCGCCCGAGGAGACAGGGAGTCCTACTCTTCACGTCCACCGGTCGTACTAGCATTGGCCAGATATACTAGTAGCTGAATAGAGAAATATATAGAACGTTCAAGTATGACCAACAATGCCCTGTTTCATCCAATCTCAGCATATATTGCAACCTAGTATATTATGCAAGCCCTAGAGTCTATACTAACTCTAGCCATTGTTCTTTGGCTGCAGGTCTTGCAGCATATCATCAGGACACAACGACACCATACCAACAAAGACAAGAATATTTTATTGGAAATTGCTTACCACTCTTTTAATGCGGTGTATCCTCAAAACACCTTGTTGATTTAACTGTATGTAAGCCGGCAGACATGCTCGTCAGAACATAGACTGGCTAGCACTTCAAGGAGTGATTCATGATGAAAGCAAGAGAAAGGGAATAATAAGAAAAAGATAATAGCAAATTTCCCCCACTCCCAGATCATCATCAATTATCTTTTTTGATCATTTTCACTAGCTCACTAGCTACAGCTTCCATCCCTTTCAGATTTGGATGAAACATCGGACCACGTTGGAACAGCAACCGCATACTAAGCCCTTCTACCCAAGGCTCCTGGCTACCAAGTGCATGATTTTGACTGATAGTGTGCATTGGCACTCTGGTACACCATTCAGATCGACTGGAGGCCACTTTCTCGTAAGCGAATTGTAGTCCAGAAGCAGTATTGCGGTGATGATCAATTCTTTCTTGGCCAAACGCGACATCCCGTCCGGGCGTTGTCTCAGTGCCGAAGAGAGCCAGATACTCCACGAGAAAGATATGAGCGTTAGGAGTTTTCTGGTGTATTTCATCGATAACGCCGCCCATACGGTCGATAAATTCTTCGCTTGAAATGGTACTCGCTGCCGGTTCATGCTTGGGGGTTCTAAAGGCCCGAGTGACGATGGCCTTGATGGCGTTGATAGCACATATAAAGAAATTCATGGTTTTTCCCACCAAGGTATTATCCCATGTATCCTTGAGAACTTCGCCAATATAGCCAAGGTCATTTCCTCCGGCTGTTATAGTAATAATATCCACGTCGTTGGGTATTTTCGATATTTGTGGCGCGAACGTGGTCTTTGAGAATGGGGCGGATTGTTGTTCCGTTGTGATATTGAGCAGTGTCGCTCCAGATGAGGTCAAATCAGTGAGCTTGGCGCTCAATGCACCTGCTAGGAGGGGGGGTAATTCTTAGTGGAACGCCGGGCTGCAGGAGGCTCATCTTGGGGGTAGGATGCCAGGGCCAGCGGCAAAGGAGCTTCCGAGGCTGGCGATATGAAGTTGATCGGCCATGTGGCAAATATTTGCTTCCGGGTGGTGTATATCCCAGGATTTAGGTTATGGGCCTTTGTTACTTTGCCAAGCGATTTTAGATGACGGTAAAATGGAAAGATTTGTTGACTGGAAAGCTGGGTGGGCTACGACGCGTCGTCGCCCTGGGCGGAGAGCCGACATGCAGATCTCGGCTCCCCACAATCCTCCCGTTGTGGGGCGGGAGATCTTTCGAGGAAAGGAGAAGAAACCATATCCTTGATCTCTGGGAAAAGGATATCTATGCGCGTCTTTTCTCATTGAATAATCACCAACCCTGATATCCCGGTCTCGCTTTGCTCTGGATGCCAAGGTGAGATGCAAACGAACAGACTGGCCCATCTTGTCCACTTTGGTGTAGCCTTCATGAGGATGAAGGGTGGGTTCTGATACTTCCCCAATCATTGGAAAATTGCAAAGTATCGGTATCGTTTAATTCACCCCATGGTATTGGAACTTGAATGTCCCTGGAGTGACTTTGATATAGTGTTGCAGACATGACTACGTCTTCTACTAACTAGTACTACCTAGTATACATGCCAATGCCTCGCCTTCCTAGCTATCCTTCTTTATTGCGATGCCGATTCGTGGTTCCTTCTTAATATTGCCATCCCCTTCCACTCTCCCCAATAATTAGCAGTCTTGCATATAGAACAGATATGGTGAATGCTGGGAACCCTATCCCAACTTGCCTCGGCTCCGGTGGCAAGTTCCGGATCGGGTACAGTGCGCATACCACAGTCGAGATCGAAATTTTTAAAAATAGCGTTTAGCCAATAGAGTTAGAAGAAGATTCTCGCATCAATGTGACTCAAGCTACATCCCTGGATATAGGTATATTGATAATATTAACACTAGTAATACTAGTATCATGATTGTTAATCCGAAACTGTTTAGTATGACCAATTACGCCGAAGACTCCGAGTGATCGGGCAAAGCAGACTTTTCGCCGACAAGGCGGTCGCGGCTCCATCCGGCCAAAAGAGGCCAATTGTGGAGTAATCTGCATCTCACGACCACTCACAATGAGACGATCGATCACAACCCACCTGAGTTTGCTGCAGGCAACGTAAGAAAAATTAGTGACAGTCCACTGAGTCCACTGGATTCAGTTCCATAGTTAGAGCTTTCAAACTTTTTTGTGACCTTCCCAAACAGGGCCCAACAAAGCATTGTTTCAATCCAATCCGGCCACTCCAACGCCTCCCACGTTTCGGTGCTTGCTAATCAAAAACCCTTTCAACCTTTTGAGTTACCTTGTCCAAAGGCGGTAAATCTCATCTTATCCTACATCAATCACGACATACAGCTCTCCAAGCAAGCCTTTCTTTTAAACTCGCCTCTTTGCTTTTTCTTCGACTTCTACTTCTCTTACAATTGCATTAATTGCAACACACACATCCGTCAACATGGGATCTACTGAAAACACTCACACCACCGAGCGTCGCTTTGGAACATTGGCCGTCCACGCCGGTGCGCCTCACGACCCTGTGACTGGTGCGGTCATCGCTCCCGTATGTTATGCGCTCTCCCTTGATCCAACCACTTTCACTAACAATGAGGCAAACAGATCTCTCTGTCCACCACCTTCGCTCAGACTAGCGTCGGTAGCCCTGTCGGTCTCTACGAGTACACTCGTAGCTCCAACCCCAACCGGTCAGTCATTTATTTCATGTAAATCCCACCCTACAGCAGTACCAAATAACTAACTTCTTCACAGCGACAACTTTGAGCAATCGATTGCCGCTCTCGAGAACGCCAAGTACGCCCTTGCATTCTCCTCTGGCTCTGCCACTACTGCTGTTGTCCTGCAATCCCTGGCCGCGGGATCTCACGTTGTCTCGGTCTCCGATGTCTACGGTGGTACCCACCGCTACTTCACTAAGGTCGCCGCCGCCCACGGCGTTCATGTGACCTTCTCTCCTACCATTGAGCTTCACGTTGAGGACCTCATCCGTCCCAATGAGACTAAGCTCATCTGGATCGAGACCCCCTCCAACCCCACCCTCGGCCTGGTCGATATCCAAGCCGTTGCCGAGATCGCCCACCGCCATGGCATTCTCGTCGTCGTCGACAACACCTTCATGAGCCCCTACGTCCAGAACCCGCTCGACCACGGTGCCGACATTGTCGTCCACTCCGTGACCAAGTACATCAACGGCCACTCTGTTAGTTCTTCCTCAATTCCAACCACTTTGAATCCTTTTAACTAACATTCTCCAGGATGTCCTCATGGGCGTTGCCGCCTTCAACTCCGAATCCCTAAACGAGCGTCTCACCTTCCTCCAAAACGCCATCGGCGCCGTCCCTCGCCATTCGACTGCTGGCTCGCGCACCGTGGTCTAAAGACCCTGCACCTCCGCGCCCGCGAAGCCACCAAAAACGCCACCACCATCGCCGAGGCCCTCGAAGCATCCCAGCATGTCATTTCCGTCAACTACCCAGGCATCGACTCGCACCCTCACCGCGCTATCGCACTCAAGCAGCACCGCGACGGTATGGGCGGCGGCATGCTCAGTTTCCGCATCAAGGGCGGTCAGGCCGCAGCGCACAACTTCTGCAAGTACACTAAGATTTTCACTCTGGCTGAGAGTCTTGGTGGTGTTGAGTCTTTGTGTGAGGTTCCTTCTAGCATGACTCATGCTGGTATCCCTAAGGATCAGCGTGAGGCTGCGGGTGTTTATGATGATCTTGTTCGCATGAGCTGTGGTATTGAGGATTCGGAGGATCTTAAGGATGATGTGCTTAAGGCTTTGGAACTTGCTGCTTCTGGTAAGAATGGCAGTGCTTAAAATGTTCGGGTTGTTTTGTTTTTTTTATGGGTATGGCCGGTCTTAAATGATGCGGTTTATTGCATTTGCCTTTTGCATGCATTGTGACGAAATTAGATAATAGACGATTTTCCTTGAGGGGTGTTGTTTTGATACCCCGTTTACTCTTCAAATATTTTTCCTGTGTAGAATATTTTGGCGTAGCAGAGCCTCCATGATTAGTCTTGTCGCTTGGGAGACAATTATGTGATCAGCTGTGGTGTAAAGTATCTTACCTAGTAGCAGCGCCATGCAAACTACAAATCTGGAGTCGAGGCAGATCCATGGATGTAGCATACCCGTCCCGCAGACCAACAACTTCACAGTTCCCGAAAAGGACTAGTATAATCCATTGAGAGTACCTTAATGATCTCAAACACAACTTGGTATTTAGTTAAACTTCTCACTTCTATTACCATACATTGTTTCGACCGATCTTCCATGGCTACCACCACCACCACTACTACTACTACTACTACTACTACTACTACTATCACCATGCACACTCAACCCGCACTAATAAACACCCTCTGCCAAAAAGGCCACCACCTCCTCACAACAACAAGCACAGAGCGCGCCATAAAAGCCTACATGCGCCCCTCCAGACCATACAAAGACGAAAACACCACCCACGACTCAACAGCTCTAATAAACCTAATATCCAACTTCCACGCAGGAACCATGTCCTCACGAGAAAGCAAAAACCTTCGACACATCCTATGCACACGTCTAGACCTCCATACCCGAGTAAATCAATACGTCAAGATACTAGGTATCGATTATCTACCACCGATTGAAGTATGGCGTGAAGGATCACTTGCGCATCTGGGTGTTCTTTTTAGTCGGGAGGGATTCCAACGCATTTATTCTATTATTATTGATCGGGGTTGCTGGGTATTCCTCCTGGTGAGGATGGACATGCGGTGCTGTATTATTTGAAACCGGTAAGGTATCTTGCGGCTGCGTTTTGCGTGGCTGGGTTTGGGGTTAGAGATGTTGAGAGGGCTGTTGGGGAATTGTGGGGGTTGTATGAGTCGCGGACGGTTTATGTGCAGTCTCATAAATGCCGGAGGTTGGCACTGAAGAGGGTTGGTTCTGATGGGTTTGGGTATGATCGGTATCAAGGTGATACTACTAGGAGACATGTGAATTCTTTAAAGAAATGGTTGAGGGGATTGAAACGTTTTGGGGATTCGATGCTTAATGATTTGGGTAGTGCTATTGTGGTTTAGACTTTTACTGAAAATTTTGGTAAAATAGGTATTAGCTAAACGGATAGCATAGTATTCAAAGTTCAAGTTGATATATACAAATTAGAACCCTTGGGGCTCGCTATATTCACAGTCTAGTATTTGAACAATCCATCTTCCCCTGCCGTTCTCAGAGAGCACCTGCATCAAGCCTGGAAGAAAGAGCCAAGGCGAAACGCTCATCATTATACCATACCACATTAGCCATAAGCAATGGCATACCCAATTCGAACTTCAAGCATTCATAAAAGCCATTGGTTCCCTTCAAACTTGAACCATTCAGCTGTCAGCTCCCCTTTCTCTAATCCACCCAGCAACAATTTTCTGAACCACCCGATCCATAACCCCCATCGCTTTGAAAAAATCATCAAGTTTCTCATTCAGAGAGCGCATCTCCTCCTCCTCCGCATGACTATTGAGACTGTCCCGCTCCTTCATCAGATTCCTTATATGTCCATCTATCAATTTACTGAAACTGATAAGGTGCCCTAGAATGTGCTTCTCGAATGCCCTGGATCTGTTTTCTATCGCATGTCTGAATTTGGTAAAATCCTCTTTGCTCACTTCGGGAGGTCTCTGCTCGATGGCCGCGACGTTTGCCTTCAGGGCATTGATTTCGCGGAGTAATGTATGGCAGTGATGGCATGATGGAGGGAAATTGTAGTTTATGTTCACAGGTCCTCCGACCGGGTATGGGGTAATGAGTGGGTGAGGATTTGTCATCTTTTTTTCTTCATTCTGTTTTCAAGTTGGTTATGGAGTTTGTCTCACAGGATCATGCAGCACGATACGAGATATGTATGGTATCGAGGATAAGAATTAGGAAGAATGAAGAACTTGAACTTCAAATTCCAGGCTGCTACCCCAGTTTTATATTGATGAGTCATATTTCCTTCCTTGACAGCCGTTCTAGATTAGTATTTCCAATATTTAGGTTGCATTGCTTAAAATATTCTTCCATGGAACAGTACTAGTAGTATCAAGCTACTATACCGAATTGAGACGAGATGAGGCGGTTCGGCCTTGAAGCTAGTAATCTCCCCTTGCTCCGAGAACACGAATGGACCAGACTAACGGATATATTCCAGATACGGAACTGGTCAAATATTAGTTGAAGCACAATATTCCAAGGTCCCAAATACCCCGTAGCTGTAGATAGTTTTTTGCATGCCCAATCGGGCAAGTGGGTGAAGATTAGTCATCATTTCCGCCCGCCGCAATTTTTGGTATGCGGCAACGAGAATCCCAGAATAGATAGACTCACGGCTTTTTTGACATCGGAACGTCTCGAAAAGGTGTTGAATTAGACTTCTGGCACCAGGAATTGTACCAGTCTTCTGAGAACGGCCTCTTCCGCCACCAGTCCGCTCCAATCGTCCCGGGACAGCGCTCATTCTGAACCAGCTTTGAGAATGGCGTTTAGCTTCGGCTTTGCTGGAGATGATATCGACATCGATGATACTGAAGTTAATAATGAGTCTCCATTTGTTCCTGCTGCCGCTGGACAAGGGGCAGGCAATTCTCTTCCTGAGTTGGTGAAGGCCAACAAGCATGACATGGATGAATGGGTAAGTCTTTTCGAGAAATTTGTATCTTGTATCGCTTTTTGCAATTTACTCTGTTGTGGAATCTGAAATGGTCTCTGTGACTGAGTGTAATTTTAAGCTATTTTGTTCTTGATGTTTCGGATTCACATCCCGCGTTCTCGTCTTCGAAATACTATCTATCACTTCTGGATCAAGTCTAATTGTCAAACAGCTCTCCATTCTGCCGTCGCAAATATATTATAACCGACTAGAAATCGGCGGCACACAGATAGTCATCGCCCGTCGGGAAATATTCGATATCCGCACTCAATTGATGGCCGAAGATAACGAAGGACACGACAACGAGGAACTCATCTCCGGCCTGGAAGAAGGCGACTTGAAGCCCAATTTCTACGAAGGCGGTTTCAAGACGTGGGAGTGTGCTCTGGACCTAGCAAAACTAGTCACAAGTGAAAACGCGACCACCGAGTCCCCAGTATCACAAACTACTACCACTACTACCCATACCATCGAGGTTCGTACATCCCTGCATCAACATCTTACCGTGACCTTTGACTGTGGACCGCATAGCTGACGCCAATACCCCTGCACGCAGCTTGGTGCAGGAACTGCAGTCCCATCACTGGCTCTATTCGCGCATGCATTGAGCCAGACAGAGGCAGTGGAGAACGGGACTCCAACTCGGAAAACCCATTTCACATTCGCAGACTACAATGACTCCGTCCTGCGTCTCGTCACACTGCCTAATCTCATTTTGACCTGGCATATTATTACCCAGTCGCAGGATGCTACATCGGTAGTTGAAAGCCAGGATGGTGCTCTCCCGGCTAATACGACCCAGGATGAAGAACTGGATATCACGCCCGAGCTACTGGATACCTTCAAGGCTGACCTTACGCGGCGGGGTATTTCCCTGAGCTTCATTTCTGGTGCCTGGTCCCCTGAATTCGTGGAGCTTGTGTTTTCTTCGCCTTTCGGAAGTGGGGACGATTGTCAAACCTTGGTTCTTGCCAGCGAGACGATCTACTCCCCTCTATCACTGGTTGCGTTTTCCGAAACTCTTCTGGCGCTACTGCGTCGCTCTAGCACCGCTTCAAGCAAGACTCGAGCTTTGGTGGCTGCTAAGAAGGTCTACTTCGGCGTGGGAGGGGGCGTTGATGAGTTCCTTGCCACTCTGAAGAATGTTTGTGCTGATGAATTGGAAGCTCAGCAGAAGGTGGACATCCAGTCGGAAGGTGTTGGCCGAGTTATATTGGAGGTTACACCAGTCGGAAGTGGCGCGCAGTAGATTTATTACAGTAAAGTCAATTGAAATTGAGCCTTTTGAATGCAACAACCAAGGAGTACAAAAATACCAGTGTGAAGAATTCAAACAAATGAAATTCAAGGGATCAGATGTCGGATTGAACTTTCAAATCCTAACGTATATGTACATGTTTTACCTCATTGCGCATGTCTAGTGCAAGACAGCCAACCCAAACAGAGAGAAAAAATAATAAGACTCGACTCCATCCTCTTCATCGCAGATACCTTAGACCTGTGTCCGGGCAACCCGAGCCTTCTCGGTCTCCTGGTTCTCGCGCTCGTAGTGGGCAATGACCTTGCTCAGATCGGCCTGGGAGCCGGGGGCAAGGTTGATGATGGGGGCAACATTGAAGAGACTAGAAGAGAGAGGGGAAATTCAGTCAGTCAAATTAGTCACACCTAGGTCGGACCCGGAGCGGGAGGGAAATAGCGGTATCACATACTCATTCTGTCTCAAGGGAACGAATTCGCGGGGTCCTTCACTTTGAAGCAGGTGGCGGTCCTCGGCAGCCTTCTCCATAACTGCGGTGCGAATGGCGTTACGCTGTTCGAAGACCTCTTGGGAAGGGGTCCACTTGGCAATGAGGTCGGAAATGAACGACTCGGAGCCGGATTCCTGTTGCGCCTTGGTGAAGCGGTAGATGAGGTATGCGGAGACGATGCTACCGGCGGTGACGTAGAAGCTGCGCTGTTCAGTGGAAACCACAATGTTAGCAATCCGATTTCGTGGCATTGGCGGTCTGTTGAGACTGGGACTCTTGAGTCTTCAGAGGTTCGGATTGGCGGGGAGGAAGCTTACACCGAGGCCTTCGTTCACGGGCTCAGCGTGGGCGTGGGATGAGCCGAAACGGCGAGGAGCCTGGGTGCGCAGCACCTGCCGCGTCGAGGCAGCACAGCTTCTGGCGGCGAACATGGCTGTTGGGGGATAATTGAGGAAAGTCGGGTTGGTGATGACCCTTTCCGCCGCGATGATAGGATGAGGTTGCGTGCCAACAAGATCACGTGTTTGGAGATCACGTGCTGAGCACTCTACTGGGACTGGGTGTGGAACTGCTGTTCCATACCGCCTTGACATCGCGAGGCGGTGTAGATTGGTCTCGCTAGTACTGCTAGCGTCTGGGCCGTTGAGTCGGAGTGGAGTGTACATTGACCACCTGGGCGGGACCTAGATTTCCATATTCCAGAACCCATTCCGGTTCTTTACATCTTCCCCTCTCTCTTCTATTATTGATTTCTAGATCTATGCAATGCAATGTGAACCCCGCTGCCATGAGAAATCATCCTGCATATGCAAGCCCATCGGGAATCAAAGCGCCGGGTCCCTGGGGGTGGATGTGATGGGCTGAGATGACAATGCCTCATTTCTTCTTCCCTCCTCCCCCCTAACAGAACTAACAGCACTATTTTCGAGCAGGGGCCCATTGGACCCATCGTTTCTTGCCCATCATTGCGGGTTTTGCAGGTCGTGTCGGGCTGTCGATTGAACATGTCAGCTTTGAGAGGGTCCCCACTATGGCCCTACAGTTTACTTGTTCGTCCTCGCCTGATTTTGTTGGTGCCCAATGCCCCCATGGCGCACAACAATTGGTCTCTCTTCGGTCCGAAGTTGAATCTGTTCGCTTCACATTCCGAATACTGGGTCTGCGGATCAGCGTTGCGCTACAATCTCCATCTATTCGGCCTGAAGATGGGTACCAACGCCCACTAAGGTTCGGTCCGCTGCGGTCTTCCCAATAGGGTCGCACATTTCAAGTCTTCCATAGTCGCTTGCAATTGAATTCTCCTTGTCACCCTTTGCGCCCTTCTGACTTCTTCCTTTCTTACTGGATATTGAAATTGAAATTTGGACTTGCCCGAATTGTCTGCGTGCTGGAACGGGCAGCCTTGCCTTCGTGTATCGCACCGATTTGTGCCCACTCGTCTGACTGGATAGCCCAGTCATTGACTCCCTGCCCGATTGTCGCGTATTCGACGCGGCCTTGACTCAATATTCTTAGCAAATTGAGCCCTAGTACCCCTTAGTCTGGCTAGCGTTTGGGCTATATCTTGAAGCACCGCCTGGCAACTTGCAAATGTACAGTGCAGACCGAAGACCCATGGTATCACCAGACCCGGAAATTTACTCATCAAGTTATTATATTTATTGCTCACAGTGATCTTATTGGAAACACGTCTTTCCATCATCAACCCATCCACCCAGAGACTTGGGCACGCATCACTCAATCACCATGGGAGCCGGTGGCAAGAAGGCGAAAGCCAAAGATAAGAATGGGAAGGCTGGAGCAAAGCAGAAAAATAAGAACACCAAGAGTCCTGAAGCGACAGCAGAAGACCAGACGACAATTCAATCCTCGACTCCTGACAGCCCGGCCCCTGTGGTACAAGAACCCGAACTCGGCCAAGCATCGGAACCAGTACTTGAACAAATCTCAGAAGCCGTCGAGCCACTTGAACTTGAACCTTCTCCAACTCCAGTCGACCATGAGGAACCTGAGAAAGTCTCATCTAAACTTGAAGAGCCCTCAGATCAACCACCCTCTCTGAAGGAGACCCAAACTGACACCGAAGGTCCCGTGTCAACCGACCAAGACACGACCGAGGTTCCTATTGAGCCCGAAGAGAGCCAACCATCAATCGAAGACAGTCACCAGCCTGAGCCTGTCGAAGAATCTGCCAAGCCGGAATCAAGAGAGCAGACGCCTGTCGCGGCTCCAGCTGTCCCATATTCGCCCGTGCCATCGCAAGTGCCACTACCATCACCTTCCCTGACGGAGGCCCGGTTTGTGTCCAGCGCTTCACCAGAGGCCCGATTCTACCCTGCGTCTCCGGCAGTTGTACCCTACGCTTCGCCTGTGCCATACGCCTCGCCCGTGCCGTACGCTTCACCTGTGCCGTACGCTTCACCTGTGCCATACGCCTCGCCTGGATCGTACGCCTCACCCGTGCCATATACGCCGCCCCATCCATACACATCACCTTTCGCATCGCCCTTTGCGTCGCCCTTTGCATCACCTTTCGTCTCACCCATACCCAAAGTCAGCAGTCCGCTGGCTCGTTCTCATTATCCATATATGCCTCCCGCCATGCCTCCAACAATGTCTCCCACTGCAACACCCCCGCCACCTCAAGCACCAGCTCCTCCTATGATGGCACCTCCACCCCCTCCATCAACCAATCAGAGCTATACCTCCGCTGTTCACTCGCCCGTCATGAGCTCTGCCCGGGTCGTTCCACCATACGCCCATTATCCTCCCCCTCAGCCAAGCCCTCAATACATGCACCGGAGCTACAGTGTCTCTGATCAGCCATATGCATCTTCATTCCAAGCCCTCCGGGACCTACCCCTACCGGGCAATGGCGCAACACACGAGAACGGCACTATATCACCCCCTGATAATAATGACGCCGAACATATCGAGCTACTGCAGCGCATCCAATCTGCAATTCCAGACATCAACCGTCTACTGCATGGCTTCCAACACACTCACACCCGACTCAACAGCCGCGAGGCAGAAATGAAGCAGATCGGCAACCAGCACGAGCAAGCATTAATGCACAAAGAATTCTACATCGAAGCACTTCAATCACAAATGAAGAAGACCGCCAATGAAAGTGCCGAAGAATGCGCCAAGCTGAAGAACACTATCAACGAACTGCGTCTCGAGCTCGGAAACTTACAAGAGAAGCAAAGAGATCTTGAAGATGGATTGGCGACGCACCAAAAGTCCAACGAAGAGCTTTCTCAAGGCAAGAGTGATCTCGAAGCAGAACTTGCCACGTTGAACACCAGCATTGAAGAATCCAAGGCCGCGCACGAGAAGGAGCGCGATGAGCAGAAGGATGAGCATACGAAGGCTCTTGCGACGCAGAAGCAAGAACTGACGGAACTCTTCGAGGAGATCAAGAATGAAGACGAGAAGGCTGCTGCTGAGACTCTTGAAGCGCGCGAGAAGGATCTCCGTGAACAACACGAGACTGACAAGGGTGAATGGGAGAAGGAAAAGACACTGATTCAGGAGACTCTTGAAACTCACCGTAACGAACTCGAAGCGACAAAGACAGAACTAGCTTCTAAAATCGCCGCTCTTGAATCCAAGGAAAGCGAATTGGAGTCTCGTCTTGCTGAACTCACCTCGATCCGCGAAGAAGTTGCCGGTAAAGTAGCCGAGCTCGAAGCTAAAGAGAAAGAGCTCCAGAATACTCGTGACGAGAACGCGAAACAGATCGAGATGATCCAAAACACCCATGCGGGCGAGTTGGACTACATGCGTGAGGGCCACGCGAAGGAATTGGCTACCGCTGCTCAGGAGCTCAATAACAAGATTGCCGCTGTTGAGGCCCAGCTTGTCGAGAAGGAGAAGAGCTGGGAAGCTGAGAAGGCGGGCTTGGCCCTGCAGATCTCTGAGAAAGATGGGGAGCTGTCGAGCTCTGAGCGGGAGAAGGAGAGATTGGAGGGAGATGGTCTCGTCAAGGAACAGCAACTTCAGCGTGCGGTGGATGAGATGAAATCGACTATTGATCATCTGGATGGTGATTGCGACCGGCTGAGGAAGACACTCCACAGTCTTGGTGAGGCCACCGATCTTAAGACTAAGGGCGACCGTTTCTTGTAAGTGAGCCAGCAGTCTGAGTTTATCCTTCTTTTCCTTCTTTTTATATTTTTCATGTTTATGATTTATGATCACGATCACGATCATGTTCACCTGGGCATCTCCATGTCCGTCCATGTCATTCATTATTACATCTCTTTTGTCCAAGCAATGACCGATCTATTTCCTTTTACTCCGAGTCTATAGAATGTCGATATCGCCATAAAACCTGAACATGAACATGAACATGAATGTATAAGTCTGATTCTAATAAACCCATCTCTCTAGTACCGACTGTTTCAACCAACTCTCCCAAATGATCCACGACCTCTCCCAAGACCACTTCGCCTACCTCCCCATCGATCCACCAAAAGACATCCTCTCCAAAATCCCCTCCGAACTCCCCTCCTTCCTAGACAACAGCCCGGCCTCCCGCGACCTCCGATGCGCCTACATCCGCCACGTCGTTTCCAAGACCCTAACCTACCGAGTCTTCCAACCCTTCCTATTCACCCTAGGCAGACGCTACGACAAAGCAGACACATTCTTCCAAATGCTGTCGATGGATATTCGCCGTAAATCCGTCCGCCGTGAGGCATTCTGGCGCCAGCAGACTCTAAAAGCAGCATATACGACTTCGGACGCGAAACAATCTATTAACGTCGCTGCGGCGGTGATCGTGGATGAAATTATCGATCATATCAGACATTTCGCTGATCCTAAACATTTGGATTCTCTACTCATCACCGTTCGCAAGATTGTTAAACTTGCGGCTGAAACGTGGCGACATGCTCGTGTTGAGCGAGAACTGGTGTTAGCACTCCTACCCGCGCCAGATGCGGAAGACGTCTCGAATGAGGGGTGGTTGGAGTATGGAGTTGCGAAGGAAGTTATTGGCAGTCCGATTCAGCAGAAGAGTGATCCAACTCGGCATGTCGTTCTAAGGACATTCCCGTGTGTGGTGCGAGAGGCTGCGCATGAGGACTTTGCTTTTGCATCGGGTGAGAGGGCGAATTCGTGCGTTTACTCGGTCGGTGAGGTTCTTTTCTCCGATTCACCGGTTATTATGGCGCGGTTGCAGGAGGTGGCGAAGAAATCTACGGATACGTTGGTTAATGAGGGGGGGTCAGTTGGGGTTGAATTTGTCTCCGCCTAAGACGCCCTCCCAGGAGAATTTGCCGCTGAGGGGGATTGAGAAGTTGGTTGGTATTCATAATTCGCCGAAATTGACGGTGCAGTCTGCGCCGAATAGTCCGAAGGGACAGTTTATGAAGACTTGATGAGATGGGGGGGAGGAGTGGGGGTGGGGGCGGAGCGGAGCGGGATGGGAGGGTGCTTCCTCCCTTTCTGAGACAGGACTATTGTTTCTTTTGTTTGTTTGTCTTTTTTTCCTTGGCTTGTATTTTCCTTTGGAATTGTTGGATATAGGGAATTGGGTGTTTCTGTTTGCAGCGATTGAGCGATTGAACTATTGAGCGATTCGGTGACTTCGTGTGTGACAGTGAAAGTGTAGTGTGTATTATGTATAGGAATGGATCAGCTTGAGAAGCACAAGTAAAAGTAATGCATAGTACACAGTACATAAGTACTCCGTAGCACTGCCATGTATGACGTGTGGAATGTATCAGATTGTCTCAGACCCTGAATCTACCCATACTGTACTGTCCAAATATGCCCACTGGCGTACCCCGCAGGACCACAGTGAACCATGGAGCATACCGCGCCACCCCAAATATCAGGAACGCAAACAAGCTGCAGTTAGTCTTCAGCCCTATATGCTATATGCTATTTGCTCTGTGGCTTTGCCAAAATGGACCCCACGGAATATATTAATAGAACTGGACATACCATACTCTGGCCCCCAATACCTTAACAGGATCTCTCAGAAGTGGCTCAGTAAGCCTGCAAACACTGCAAATATGCGCACAGCCTTGTTTGGTCGTTTCACAGTAGTCTGCCTCGTGGGGTCGAGATAGGATGAAATTTTATGTGAATGAAGTATATAATATATTGTTGAGAGAGAATAGAAAGAAGAATACTAAATACTTTCTATTATTCTGTAATAATTAATTTGTGGTGGCCGAGTGTTCATGTTCATGTGTTCGCAACTCCAGCGCGTAAACCAGCCGAGCGCGCGGGGCCGTCAGGGCGCTAAATGAGGCTCATTTCCATTTCCACCTGCGCATTTCCACTCCTACGAGTATTTCACCACATTCCACTCCCACAAGGCTGACCTCGACTCTCTTGCATGACACAATCGACCCTGGGTATGTAAAAAAAGAAAAGAAAAAAAAGATCATCCCATGCGACCACTTCCTTCATCTCCCTCGTCCTCTAAATCCTTTTTGTACCCCTCCACTCCCTCCGCTCCCTCCACTCTCCCTCTGGCGCGGCCCCCAATTGCTGACACTCCGCAAGCTGACTCTCCAACTCGTCTCGACTCCCCTCTTCAGCTGGGTCGCGCGCATCTTTTCTTTGCCCACGCGCACTATTTATTCGCTCCTGCACGGGGTCCCGATGACCGATGACCGGGTATTTGGATCTATATAACCCCCCCTGAGCGACGGAGTGATCTGTACCCCAATGCCAATTCAACTTTCAGCTTCCCGCTTCCTGGCCCTCTCTCGCCCCCTTCGGATGGTGGCTCGCCCCAACTACCACCTGTCGCATCTGCTTCTGCATGGGCGAAACTAACCCGCGATCATCTGAAAATGTCGAGTCCCCACACTCTTCACTCGCCGGCGGGGCATACCCATCCGTTGGAACTAAACACCTCGGACCCTTATCTCTCGGCGCCTTCCGATCCTGAAGAGTCGGAATTTCAGGCCAGCGCAATCCGTTTGACTCCAGTCGGTGGTAGCCCAGGCCACAGCGTCTCGTCTCCACCTGATGGGGCCGGCGCTGCCTCGGTCTCGGTCTCGGGTCACTCTGCTCAAGGCCAGGGTCAGGCTCAAGACTATCTGTCCCCGCAGAATAACCACTATATCAATCCCAGCGCCTCTCTCTCCCCCAATAATGCCGAGTTTCTCGCTCCCTCCGATATTGATCTTGCCAGTGGCATTGGGACATGGTCGAATGGGGCCGCGGCTCCCTTTGGTGCGGCGGTATCGCCAACATCGACTCACCAACACCAACCCTGGACACCGATCATGGGGATGAATACCTCCTCGCAGTACCTCAACCCAGAAATTACCATCCCGAGTCCAGCTTCCGCAACGGAACATTCTTCGGCCCAGAATAATGACTTCCATATCACCCCGGCGTCTTTTATGAGCCCAACACAACCAGGCCTCGGCATCTCGAACCAACCCTATACACAGCCACGACTCTCCGTTTCCTCTGAGCACGCTCCAAGGCAAAATAATGCATCACCCGCCGTCGGTAGAGGTCGGAGCCCAACTGTCACTGTGGAATATATTCCTCGTGGTGATTCCCCAACTCAAGAACCTAGTGGACACGTGCGACGTGCGAGCCGGTCGTCTGCTCACCTCTCCGTGAGTGGAATTGGAGACGATTCCAGCGAGGAGGGATATGAGAACGATCAACAACCTATCTCATACACTCCTATTGAACGAACAAACGGTCACCATTGGCACGGTCTTGATCCATCGTCGCGAGGAAATGACTACGTCCCAAGCCCGAATGATCTCAAAGGCGACCGAGAGCGCGAGCAGAGGATCGAAGCCATCAGTCGCTGGTCAGAGCGCGTGGGTAGTGAAGCCGGAGATGACGATTACCCTACTCTTCCCCGTCTCGAAGGAAAGTACCGAATAACCGACTTCGCGCAAGGAGCACGGGAGACCGTCCCCTTCAACAAGAAGACTATTTCAACCTGAAATTTGGCCCCACCGGTCAGGCTATCCCCCCGCCTCGTCTCATGCTGCATGAAAGTAGCGAGGATGAATATAGCGAGACGTCCAAAAGTACTGCCGACGCAGAAGAACCGGGCCGATATGACCGATCAACACCAGAGGTATACTCCTCCCTGGAGCAGAAATCGCCGGTAGAAGGCGAATCCCGTCTTTATCCCTGGAACGACTATCCAAAAGGTCCCATTCGAACAGAGGCGATGCAGCCCGACAGTTCGACGGCAGCCATGGTCGCTTTTGAAAAGCGCACGAGAGATTTGGAGACGGCTTCTCTCGCTGCGACTATCGACAATAACAGCATTATTAACTTTGGCGCGAATTTCGAACGAATGAGCATTTATGATGGAGTGCCGAAGAAGCCAGAGAAGCGCAACAGCACTTTCTTGAAGCGCTCCTACCAACAGGCATCTAATATGTTGAAGCGTCAGGCTTCGGATCTTTCGCTTGCCGCGGTCAACTCTCACCACGCAAGCCCAGAGCCAACGCAGCGCAAGGACAGTGGCTCTCACCGACATCGATTGAGTCTGTCCACAAAACACTCACGATCTCCAAGTTTGAGTAGCGCTCTCCTGTCCATGTCAGGCCAGCTAGCTGCGGTCGGCGGCAGTAGTTCGGTTCAGGCCGCATCTCCCAATGCTGAGCCGAGCGCTGGCAGAAACAGTCTCCAGGGTCGGAATAGTCTTCAAGGCCGGAGCAGTCTCCAGATCAAGGCTCGCGGGCGAAGTAGGAGCGAAGTTCCCAGAGCCCCAACACCAGGACTCATTGACTTGATGACCACTCATGGTGGGCCTCCCGTCGCTAGTATTACCCGATACCAACAGCAAGAGCTCAGCGCAGTGCCAACACCAACCAGTGCAGCACCGGAGCCCGAAATGGCCGGTGGTGAAGATGAAGACGACATTGATTTAGCCGAAGACAAGGGCCTGGTAATGCAGTTCCCGCCCATCACGCGTCTGCCGGTGCCCACGTTCGAAGGGTTCAAGGCGCAGATCATGCAATTAAGCCCTGGCTTAGAGCCTGCTCTGATTCATCGATTCGCACATGCACAGGTTCAGCGGTACAAGACCCTTGTCGAGCTGCAGCAGAAGCATTCCGCTGCAGTCGCCAATCGAAACTGCAAATCTGTCAAGTTCTGCAGCGCGCTTGGGGGTCAGCCGGTGCTGTTGCAGCAGCAGATATCGCTCGCTGATGCTGAAGCTGGGCAGACTCAATTCCGCATCACGGATTATAGTCAGGGTGGCGATCAACAAAATGCCACAGGCGAAGGAGCCATCGCTGCAGCGCAATTTCCTCCAGGCGTTCCTCTCCCGCCCGTTGCTCGACTGCCGGCTCAGTTTGAGTGCCCGATTTGCTTCCAAGTGAAAAAGTTCCAGAAACCCTCTGATTGGACCAAGCACGTCCACGAGGATGTGCAACCGTTCACGTGCAGTTTCCCTGAGTGCATGGAGCCCAAGTCCTTCAAGCGGAAAGCAGACTGGGTTCGACATGAGAGTGAGCGACATCGGCAGCTTGAGTGGTGGACGTGCTCGTACCACGACTGCTCGCACATCTGCTACCGCAAAAATAACTTTGTCCAGCACCTAGTTCGCGAGCACAAGATGCCCGAACCTCGGGCGAAGAAGACAAAGGGATCGACGGCCACGGCAGAAGGATCTGCAACTACGCAGCGGGAACAGGAGTTCTGGCAGATAGTCGCTGACTGCAGGAATGAGCCCGAGCAGACTCCAAGCAAGGAGCCCTGTCGCTTCTGTGGGAACGTTTGTAGCTCCTGGAAGAAGCTAACGGTCCACCTGGGGAAGCACATGGAACAGCTAGCCATGCCGGTTCTGGAACTAGCAAAACAAAGCTCGTCCACCCCTAGCCACATCCAAAGCCAAGTCCAAGTCCCGATGGTGGGCGGGTCTGCCGAGTCTCACCACGCACCTGCACCCTTCCAGAACCACCCACACCAAACAGAAGACCCTAGTGCATCAGCACAACTAGCTCGGCAACAATATTCCACTAACGATGTCGGCGGCCCAGCCAGCCACAACCACGCCTTCTTCAACTACTCCGACATACCCATGTCCAATTATCCGTCTATCTCGGGCACCCAGTTATCGATGGAACCGGAATCGATCGACCTTCCCGGCGATCAGTTCCCCAGCTACGGAGGCATGGGGCAATACCATGACCAAGCCACGCTCCACCCACCGACCCAGACCCACCCCCTGCATCAACAATCGTCTTCCTCGTCAACGTATCCACCGCCCTTCAACGCGGTTCCACGCGCCCGAACTCCCGAAACGAACCCTACAATCGTGCAGGGCTCCTATCGCTGACTTCTCAGCTCCCGCCTCAACCTCACCCTCACCCTCAACCGCCGGCCTCGTTGTACTCCGATCCGAGCCAAGCTGGCCCTGCTGGGTATCCGGCATACCAACCCGTGGCGCCGAACACTAATGTCAACGGCTCGTATACATCCGCGTATACAACCAGTTACTCGTCTCAGATGTGATGAAATGATCTACGAATTTTCCCTTTTTTTTAACGTGACGTTATGTTGTGCCTTTTTCTTTTCCTGGCTTCGATTGGCATGCACTTTGCATTTTCTGGGCGTGTGTCTACGTGTCTACCTGAGTACAGTACTCTACATATACCCTTCCCCCATTCGTTTTGTTGTGAATCCGAGTCGTGATCTTCATTTACCCGTTCCTACCCCGTGTCGGCTGATTGTACTCCGTACGTCACGTTTTATTAGTCGTGCATGAGGGAAGGAAGGGTGAGGATTTAACTTTTGCAGATTCTTTTTGGAGATATATTTTATTTCTATTTCTATTTTATTTCTTTTGGTATTGGTATTCAATTTATCGACAATGAATCTTTTTTCTTCTTCTTCGAGTTCTTCTTGGGCTTCTTTTTACCTACATATGTACATGCATACATAGTACACAGTAGTAGTACATAGCTTAACCTTCATTAATTTTTGTACATAGTATTGGCTGCCATTTTCCTACTAGTTCAGATGGACCAAGACCAAGACCTTGAAAAAGTACTAGTACTAGTAGCCAATCTCAGTTTTCCCGGGTCCCTCATGGTATGTTTTCTTTTTCCTATTTCATTCCAATTCTGCATGTTTACTTTTTTTCACGCCTCGATAGTCTCAGACTTTTTCCCCTTCCTCCAGCCCAGGCCAGGCTTCCATTTCTGTTCCACCCCCTCTTAACGGGGGTCACGTAATCGGAGTTAAGCGATTTCCCGCATGCGTGGAATGATGATGGACCTACTGCCTAGCCTAGCCGAGACTATCGCGGGATTGGGATTGTGTACACATATTTTAAGGGGCACTGGCATTGGGGAATTTTGTCTCAGGCGGACAGTGGCGCGGCACGGCGTACTCAATCCGTACGAAATGCATGGCATATGAGCCATCATATTTTCTCAGAGTTTGATCGGAAGTTAGCCGTGCTCGCGTGTTTCAAAAGGGGGGGCTCAGGGCTCAGAAATAAGGAGACTCGGATGTTTGAGCCCTGTGAAGATTAGATTCTTAGAAGGGGTTCCCTACGTTGCTGGGGAAGGTAGGGTAGAGAAGGACGCGTGGATGGCAAGTGTCAGGATGTTTCACGTCTATCCCTTGCTAAACGGCATGGCGTCGGGGAACGAGGGCGTCGATCGTCCCTGTCACAGCCCGATCTGGTCCTTGCGTCTAGTGAGGGTCCAGTTTGGTTCAAGTTTGTGGTTTGGTTTGATTTAGCCACGCTTTTCTATTTGTAGTGGCAGTGGCAGTTGCAGCTGTACGAGTACCAGGTCTGTAGGTGGTGCGGTTGGGTGGTTGTGGTTCCAGCCTCAGCTCTGGGAAATTTGAACGCTGTGGCCTTCGTAGAATAGGTAAGTATGGAGCAGCTAATTTAACTACAGTACTATTGTCGATCTTTGGGTCTGGATAGGTTCGTTCGTGTTCATGCCTTGTTCATAGGGTCCTCCCGGAAGTTATATCCCAACAACTCATCGAATCCAGATACCAGCTGTGCGACCCTAACATGAACTATGACTCCGATAGAGTGGGAGCGTTGGAGCGCCAGATTTCTAGCGCGAAAAGTCAAGCGCACAGAGTCGATCCAGACTGAAGGGAGGGGAGGGGATGGGGACGATCGACCTCCCAACCCGGGTGAATCGTCGCAAGATGCAGCGGGGCTGTGCAATCAAGGGATGAATGACATGCACATTCCACGATGGAAAACTGAGTACGAGTACAGAGGAGAGAGTGTACGAAACTCGCTTTTGCTCTTTCTTGTTTCGTCTTATTTCTCTTTTTTTTTTCCTTCTCCCTTTTCTTCCTAAATCACCACACATTCCGCCCTTGATTGTCCGCGTGGTTAACCGGCTCGGGGCGAAAAGTGGAGTTATTTTGTGTGTGTCTTTCTCGTGAGGTTTTTATTTTATTTTTATTTTATTTTCGCGTGCGCTGGGCTTGCATGTACCTCGTTTTTTTGGCAACGAGGGGCCTACTGCATATAACCTTGTCATCCCCGATTCGATCAGTCGCTTTTTCAAGTTCTTCTCTTTCTGCCAGATGTCACACACTCGTTCAAGTTCTTCGTGATCCTGATCTTCCCGATCTATATACTCCCCTCCCCCATATATCCACATCCACCCGAACCACCATCGATCCACTTCTCTATACTTGCTGGTCTCTACTAGTACTACTCGTACTAAACTAAACTGGCGGTGGGATCTTGACCCAATCACATCATCTACATGGAGGTTCGTGTTAGCTGAAGATCCGTCATCTTCCCACCCCCACCTTTCCTCTCCATCTTCCAGTCATCCCAAAGAACCTTAGGTTCAGGTTCAAGTTCAACTTGTTGACACGGTTCCTTTCTTTTCCACAGGACCCTCAAATGACCTGGCAGGACTCAGGTGATGTCCTTCAAGGCATCATGGTCGGCTCTGATGCCCATAACCCACCAACTCTAACCATGGGCGATTCAGCCTCAACATTACTCGACCTCCACCTAAACACAGACCTCTCATCTCTCGAGGCCCATCCTCCCACTCACAACAACTCCTTCCTGGGCCAGTGGTCCTCCTCATCCACTGAACAAAACTTCTACTACCCCCACTACCCCTCCCGACTCACAAGCGCCCAGGATGCCTGGAATCCGCTACAAGTCACCGGCGTTCCATCGTCCGGGATGTCCTCTCATCTAAACGTCTCACCGGGTGGTGATGACTATGCCTTCCACAAACCCCACTATCGAACCCCGTCTGACAGCGGGAGTCAGTATATGGGCAGCTTGATCTCGGGTGACTCCGGGTATGCTAGTAATAATGGCGCGCCTCAGTCTGTTGTTGCTTCTTCTTACGGTATGGACTCAAGTCCGCATCTTAGTGCTAAGGAACATGGGTTTAAGTTCGGTGAGGCTTTGGCTTTTTATGATCAGCAACAGCAGCCTCATGGTATGGGTGTTGGGAATATGTTTATGAAGGATGATTGTTCTTCGCTTTCGCTTGAGTCGGTTAAGTGTGATCATCCTGCTTGTTCGTGGATTGGAAAATGTCCTTCCGATAAGAGGTAAGTTGTCTTCGAGTCCTCTTCACCATCACTAGCAGGGCCAGTACTAATAGATGAATGCAGGAAACACGAAGCTCGCCACCGGAAATCCTTCAAATGTGACGAGCCAAACTGTCCCCGGAAAGAGGGCTTCGGGACCATCAACGACCTTGCCCGCCACAAGAAATGCGTTCATAATAAAGAACCCGAGCGAGGGCCGAAGATGATGTACCTCTGCTTTGGCAAGAACTGTCCACGTCCTAACAAGCGCTGGCCTCGGCTGGATAACTTCAAACAACACCTGAGCCGCATGCACCACGAAGAAGACGCGGACGCACTACTCAAGAAGTCTATGGACTGGTACGAGAGTGTGACTGGTCATCGCGGCCAGAAAATCGAAGACTCCACGCAAGATGATTCGATGCTGGACATCCCGCATGATATGATGTCCACGCATTCTGGAGATCTAGATGCTGATGGGGATATTGCCGAGTCATATTGCAGTTACGATGCAGTAGATTTCCCATCTTCTCGAGACCCAACCCCGAGACCATTCCAGAGCACACAAGACTTTGAAGTCTCTCCTATCCAACAATCTTCACAGTTCTTGTCCCCGCCACTCGTCAATGACACCCGCGTTGAGCGCAGCAACTCCAACCCAGAAACATTCGTCTCCGATGCCGCAGACAACTTAATCACCGCCATGACGAAGAAAATGAACAACCGCCCCCAAAGACAAAGTCACAACAGTGACGAAGGAATCGAGCTCGAGCCTGAGAATCCAAATCTATCTCAACCTCAGCGTCAGATTCTTCAGAAAGTACTATTAGCAGCCCTCGACCGATTATCAGACGACGCCTCAGCCTCAGCCTCAATCTCAGTCCCACCCGCGCCAGTCTCAGTCTCAGTCCCAGCCCCAGCCCCAATCCCAGCACCGACCGAAATCAAACAAGAAGGGTTCCAATGTGATCTCTGTCCTAAACGGACCCGTCTCCGCTGCGAAATGAAGTAAGTCATCGCTCAAAACACTCTCAAGTTCCATTTCCGTTTCGAATATCTAACAATTCCAAACTAGAAAGCACCAAAAACGCCACGAACGACCATACGGCTGTACATTCCCCCACTGCGCAAAATCATTCGGCAGCAAAGCAGACTGGAAACGACACGAGAGCTCACAACACCTCCACATCACGAGCTGGTTGTGTAATTCAAGTTTACACGAGAACGAGGAGGACTCATGCGGCCGAATCTTCTACCGCGAAGAAACCTACATCCAACACCTAACCCAAGGCCACCGCATCGCGAAAGCGAAATTAAAATATACACTGAACGCGACTCGTCTCGATCTTGCGGATTCACGACAGTTCTGGTGTGGGTTTTGCAATCGGTCCATTTATTTGACTGCCGGGGTGACTGGTGCGGCGGCGTTGGATGAGAGGTTTAATCATATTGATGTTGAGCATTTTAAGAAGGGGAGCGTGGGGGGGGGATTGGCGTTTTCCGAGTTCTTCGAGGACGAGGATTCAAGTTGGGGGTGGGGATGATGAGGGGGAAGGTCAGAGGAGGAAGAGGAGGTGTCCTGGTCTTTAATTCTTTAATGTGATATGATTATTTTGGGATAGATTGATGGGGTATGGATGGTTTATGAATATTTTGTATAATGTTATACCATTTTTTTCATGATTGATATTGTTCAGGGCGAGATTTAGAAATATTGTCTGTAAGGAGGTACGAATGAAAGGGCGATGGTATGTGGGATTTGTGACAGAAGCTCAGAACCCCGAAAGTGGTGAATATTTGCGAATATCTAGAGGTTTGGGAGAGAGCGAAACAGCAACGGTCCGCCTCCACAGATATGATGTTCAACTTCACCCGCTTGTAACAAATAACATGTTTGTTGTCTTGGGATGTCTTAAGTAGTGCCTAGGCATCTGCAGATCTGCCTGTATCGAGTTGCCTCCTCCTCTTTCTCTCATGCTCAGCCTTTTTATCAAGTGCCGCTAAAGATTTCTTCATTGTATCTGAGCTGTTCACACCGTTCATTGTCTCTTTCTCAAATTCCGTCTCAGAAAGCTTCGTCATCCAAATCCTCCCAGTTCTACTCCGCACGGCCATCGTTGTAGTAGCGACGGGTGATGTTGAAGCTGATCGGGTGATGTCGATATTGTAAACATCGCCGCCTGCCCAAGAACCTCGGTAGAATGGCCGATAGTCTGGTGGTATGTAGAACGCTCTTTTCCCCTTAAACTCAATCCATGATAGGTCAATTATTGAGTTAAAATAAAAGCCTAGGTATTCGGCATTGCTAACGACAATCCTTGTGGCACTATCATCTTGGGGGTTTAGATCACTGGTTGGCATAGCAAGGCAGCGGAAGCCAGCAACCAGCCACCTATTATCAGGATCGAAGAACAACCTGCTGGGTTGATAACTGATTGGTCGAGAATCAACAATTGCGATGGTGTGACTGGATGTTCCAGTATGTGTATTCCATATGAAAATCAAATGCTCAAGAGATTGGTTTGAATATCCGTCCGGTCGAAAGGCCCGCGATGAGACGGCCACTAAGCTTGAATCATCGCTAAAAGCGACCTTCTCAACCCACCTAACCCGCCCAAAAGAACCCTCGATCAATAGGGGCTCGACAGTGTGCAGTTCCAGGTTCCAAATTATGACACGTTTTGGATATTCAATAGCCACCAGCCTCGAGTCGCGCGAGAAAAGGATTCCTCCCGCTCGTTCGCGTGATAGATGCCGGCTTTCCGCGGCATTCAATGAATGAGTTCGTGCTCCTGTCTTCACATTATAAATCCTGATGTGACCTTTACTTCCGATGAAAGCGAAAGATTCCATATCAAATGAAAATTTGCCCTTTAAACCACCATATGAGGGTATGCGATGCTTTGTGATCCCAGAGAGTGTTTCTCCTATGACAAAAGCATCGTTTTTTGGGATATTCGACCGACATGGTGCAGTGATATAGGCAAATAGACTCCAATCGTGGGATAGTTCAGGTAATTCAGGAAATGCTATGTTTAGTTGCTTCTCAATAACCCCAGTGGAAGTCTGACTGATTATGACGCGGCTATGTCTCTTCAATAGTGCAACTCGCTCCAGATCGGTTGAAAAGATCGGTTCAGTATCAAGTGCCGCGCGAACACGATTCGGCGAGCCTTGGGACGTTTGATCATGGGACTTGTTTGCCTCGTTCAGCAACATAGTCATATCCCAGATTCTGACGAGTAGATCTGACACTGATGCCAGTAGACTGCTGTCATGCGATAGTGAGAATTGAACGGATGCGGAACCATCCAGCGTCCTGATTGTAGACCAGTCAAAAGTGCTCCAGATTTTTATCTGCTCGTATTTTGCTCCTGATACCAATAGTCTCGAGTCTCGGGAGAATTTTAACGAGTTAACCTGTCCGTGGTGGTCATTTAGGGTTTTCTCGAGCGACCATGAAGCAGTATCCCAGATCGAGACGGCACCCTTGGATCTGCCGCATGCTAACATTCTAGAGTCATGTGAAAAATCGATCGAACAAAATCTTTCGGTTCCGATTCCTGGTAATGATATGCTAAGGCGAGCTGCTGAGATATCCCAAACATTAACCTCATACCTGTTACCCAATGCCAGAAACTGCGAGTTTGGTGAAAATGATATCAAACTTGATTGGCGGCCATTTAGTTTTGGGTGAAATTCTTGGAAGGTATTTGTGAGCAACCACGTTTCTGTTTCCCAGGTGTAGATACCATGATAGCTCCAAGTGGAGGTAGCTAGCAAAGTCTTGGAATCGTGCGTAAATGCTAAATATTCGATCTTGTCGCCACATTGAAGGATTTGCATCAAATTACCTGTCACGACGTCCCAGATTGAGATTTCTTTCTCTTCCCCGTGAGATGATACCAGCAGTCTTGAGTCGTAAGAGAATACTAAGGGAACTTCGCCATTAATATTTTCGGCAGACGCTATCCCTAGCTTGTTTCTGAGAAGCCCTGTGGGCATATCCCAAACTGAAATCGTTCTGTCTGCCGAGATTGATGCCAGAAGCTTGGAGTCATGTGAAAAGGTCACAGCCTTGAATTCTGATACACCTTCCAAGGTCTGAATCAAAGGGCTCCAGGTTCCATCGACAAGCGGTTTCTTCAGTATCCATTTAGGCTCATCCTTGGTAAACAACTTGCGAGTCAAGCTTTTTGGGGGGAGAATAACAGTGCAGAAACGTATGTTTGGAGAGGGGCCATTTGGATGAGGGGGGCGTTGTGAAGAAGAAAGCGGTACATGTCCTGAAGAAGATCCAAAAACATGGGCCACCGTGACCCGTAAAATCCCTATGCAATGTTAGGTTTGCTTGTAACTTTTTGCAGCAAGATTTCACGTAGACTAACTGACTTTCATCAGATTTTGAAGTTGGATAACCGCAATTATTCCATCGCCAGTTGCGCCAATCAGGGACAAAGCTTCAATCCAGTGAAGAAGATGCTTGTTGAAAAATTGGTGCACTTCGCCATGATCTCGGAGTGCATATTCAGCCTCGCTGCATTCTTTGCCTGCCTCGCAAAGATGGTTAGCCCAGTAGATACACGAGTAGCGAATTTGTCTCAGCGGATCAGGATCTGGGGCTTTGATTTCTTTGATAAGGATTCCAGGACAATAAAGCTGGTAAATATCTCGGCTGAGCTGGTTTGACATGGCCTCAATTGAGCGTGAAAAGAGATCGAAATGAGTAGTAGCATAGGATGCCTCAAAGATCGCAGATTCTGCAGTGCTGCTCAAGTAGTCTCTTGCTGATTGGTGAATGAATTCCACGAGATCGTCCTGAACCCTAAAAAATGATCCGCACATAGTCACAAGCTTCTTGACATTCCTAGAAGCACTCGATATTTCGGTGGGTAATCCAGCCAGAACCGATATCTCTCCCAATGCAAGGGGGCGATATGCGAGAGTAGCCGTCGCAAGGATTCGATGACAGAATTCCGGGTTTTTCCAACCGAGATGATTGATCTGGCTTATCATCTTGCCATAGAGCCCTTCAAGCCCGAAGGGTAGACTGTTGAGAACAAAGAGAACATCCCATTCATTGGCCTTCTCGAGTTCTTGAATGACGAGAGCTGCCCAGAGAAAAGTATGAGCTGCCTTCTCACGCATGGTGTTTTGGACCTCATCTCGCTTCTCTTCGTCGTCACTCAAGGCCTCTAAAGTCGCAACTTTGGTTTCAATGTAATATCCCACGGCACTAGCCATATCATCTTGGTTGTCTGTAAGATCCAAATGCAATTGCTTGCTAGGCTCAGCTCGACCGAGTTTATTAACAATGGTTGGCACTTTGCGGCTGGAAACAATCCATTTCACAGAAGGCGAGGCCGATACGTTTTGAGCAATAAACGATAACAGCTGATCCTGATTCGTTTCGCATTCATCAAGTGCATCAATGACTATATATGCCCTTCCGATATTGGGATCACGTAGTATGCGAGCAGCCACTTCTGATAATGCAAAAAAAGAGCTCCCGTCTTCAAATATGCTCTTGTGGCGATCATATATCTCGCGAACGTGGGCTATCAAAGGAGGCCTTTTCCGAATGAGTCGGTAGATCAGGCCTCGTAGAGTAGCTTTGGAAGTATTCATGGGCGCATTTGTACCCTGGCAAAAGAAATAGGCAAGATTAGCCTCCGGGGCCGAATGCTCCAGCTCTTCAATGATGCCTATCAATAGCATCGTTTTCCCGTGGCCAGGATCACCTTTTATCCAAAGGAGTTGTTTTCCGCTGTCATTTTGCAATTGAAGAAAGTTTGGATGGTGCAATATCCATTCATAAGAGCCTTTCAAGAGTCCGCCCTTTACGTGCTCAATATTCTTCATGTGGTGATGGGGATCTGATACTGCAGGATACGAAGACAAAAGTGCCGAAAGGCATTCATTGTCACCGTCATCTGACCAAGTTCTAATCATCAGTCTCACGATCATTCGAATTTTTAATGGGTATAAGCGAATTTGGGATATTTGGAGTACCTGGAGAAGGACCGGTCGAACTTGAATAGTTGATAGTACCATTATTAGTCACGACTTGGCATCCTGAGTTTGTGTCACCAAAGGATACATTGGCTGACATTATGACATAGCAAATATCTTAAAGCAACATCTCCTGAAGGGTATAAAGCGTAATATGAAGTCGGGCGCTTCAGTGGGTGAGGGGCAACAATCAGCCTCACCGTCACATGACTTGACGGCGCTATGAACTGCACTATGATTTGCTCTGCTTTTTGCCCTCTGTGATGGCAAGGAAATGAAAATTCGAGATCTAGATGTAGATAAAATAATGTACAATTGATATATCAGGTTGTCGCTGACTTTTATTTCTGCGCGGCCGCCAACTCGCGAGCCTTCTTCTCCAGTCCAGCCATTTCTTCTAGGAAACATCAGTATCGAATCTCAAACACCATGAAGTTAGAAACAATAAATACCGTTCTTTTCCAGCTTCGACTCATCCATCTCAAGCTTCAGCCAGCTCCAGTAGATAATTTGATAGGTGAGGACTGCCCCAAGGAAGACTTTGCCGAAGGGGCCCATGAAGGTCTTATATTTGGACATCTGGCCACTTGTCAGTCCATCATTATATTCAAAATATGCCTTCATGTATCGCGATAGACATTTGAAGACCCTTAGAAAGTCCTTCCCAGGACACTTACCGATTCCCGATAGGCACTGGGCTTTTCGGCGTTGCGCAGTAACGGCGTTGAAGAGAGGAAGCGCTTGGCTGGCGCACGGGCGGCTAGCCCGAGCCCGAGGCGGGATGCGGAAGCCAATCTTTGGGCTGATTGACGGAGGAGCATCTTCTGAGTTGATGTATGATGTATTGTGGATTGTCTGGAAGTGTTGCGTTGCTGGCTGGGGGTTGAGGGAGCGCGGATATGACGAATGGGGTTTAGCGTTGATTTTGGGTCGGCACGCGTGGTCTTGGCACTGGGTTGAGAGTGACGGAGTGGACTTGGTTTTTGGATAAATTAGGGCCGTAATTGTTCTGAGAGGAGGAGATGCTAAATGAGAAGTGTACCTTGTGAGGAATACTCAATTGTTGCCTGTCACGCATTTACTATTGTACTCCAGGGCTAGTACTACTATTAGCATTATCTATGACTGGATTACCTTATACCCTTGGTATATATTGCTGGCCCATAATTGCCTCCGGCGAGAATATATTTCAACCAAGCTTGGACTTCATGCGAAGCAGCCAATAGAGCTTCACCAAGAGAGTTAAATGTTCAAAACATCCACCATTGAGTATATCTACAGCACTCTTTGACTATTATGGACAGATTCTGGCCTCCGCTCCATTTGGCGCACAGCCACTGCCTGATCTATAGATGAGTCAGCAGTCACATGATATCAGGTCCGGTTGAATTCTGGCGGGCAGGCATAGGAAGGAGCCACAACCCAAATGTTAGAAAGCGCCCAGGAGTGCTTCTTCCAAGTCCCTAACTGTCCTCTGACACCTCCTTTCACCGTCATGATCCCCCGGCCTCCCCATCGCGCCTGGGGCCCGATACACTGCAATCGGGGGTCTATCGCATTGGATATGATTATTTTAAGTGAATGATGAGCTCAAATCAGCTCGCCATTCATCATTTATGGGGGTCGAACTTGGGCATGGGCCAACAGGGTGAAGCCGAAGGTATTCGACTGAGGATGGCCGAGTGGTCCGTGCGGGGATGACTAAACCACCAGCCACACTTTCCCCCTGTGGCTGGTGGACCATTCAGCCCAAGTGCGAGTCCTTTCCGCCCTGGGTCATTCACTGCTCGTGTTGATCGAGATAGATGGGCTGTATTTCTAACTGCTCTGCAATCTGTCACATCTTGCATTGTGTTGCTGTCCCAGAGGTCTCTCCTTGTCTAGATCCCTCTAGTTTGGACGCGTCAAATCTGAGTCCGTGAGACCTCCACCGATTGTTACCGATTGTTACCGGTTGCGCCTCACCATCCCTCCTGTCGCCATCTTCAACTCGTCGATCAGCAATTGTCCCGTGGGTCATCGACTGCGACTGAGGGAACCCTTCTCTGTGGGCTGCGCGCCTCCTACCCCAGTCTTTCTTTCGTCGCCGCAACCGATCTGTCTTATCCTTTGTAAGCTCCCCATCGTGTCCTTGCTATCGCGATGCACTCGACTATCGAGACAATCATCGAATCTCAGCCCATTTTCAACCGATATATCCCCAGCTTGCTGTTTTTTCGCGATTCCTCTGAGCCCTGGCTGACCCAAGTGTTCCACTAGTCTGATCCCTCCCTCTGCCTCGTTCGCCCACCATGCGCGGCGGCAAGCGCACCCTCGAGGAGCTCGCCAACAAATCCGATTCGAACGACGAAGACTACAGCGATTCTCCCGCCCCACGAAGATCAAAGTCAAGCCCCAGAAAGAAACCCGGACACGGACACGCCAAGAAGAGGCGACGTCGTGATTCGAACAATGATATTGTGTCCGATGGCCTCGATCTGAGCGACGAGGATTTATCCTTCAGCGAATCAGAACAGGAACAAGACGACCCTAATGTCCCGCGCAATGCAAGAGGCACTGCGCGTCGAAGAACAACAACTCAATCTCGACCGACGTATGAGGAACCCTCCGACGAGGAGTCGTCAGAACGAGACGAGAATGCCGACTCAGATGCCGACGGAGAAGCTGAAGACGCTATCGATGGATCTTCGCCCAAGAAGAAATCTGCTATCGTTACGTTAAAGCTAAACCCCGAAATCCTACAACAACCACAATTCGCTACTCGAAGAATGACTCGTCGTACCCGTGGCGCCTCAGAGGACATTTATGCCTTGACCAATTCTGGACGCCATATGGAGACCGTTGAACGTGGCACTCTCAGCCCAGAAGCTGAAGGTTTGCGCCGGAATTCACGGGGCCACCGATCATCGAAGCAACCTGTTTTGAGTGAGGTTATGGAGACAACCTTGGAGGTCATGGAAAGTGCGCCTCAGAGCTTTGCCGAAGGTGATACGCCAGCTGTCCCCGACGCCGAGGATAATAATGGTGATGTCGACATGGCCAATGATGATGGGGTCGTCCCAGAGTCCGAGAATGGTGACGCGAAGGTCGAAAATGTCGCGGACGAGGACGAAGATGAAGATGACGAAGGACCTATCTCTCGGCGACGAAGCCGGCCGAATCGGGACCAGGCAGATAACGAAGAGGAGCCTGAAAATGAAGAACCTGAACGCCGTCGGTCTGGCCGCAAGAAGCCATCCTCACAGCGCAAGAACGACGAGAGCGACTTCGAACCAGAGGAAGAAGCTTCCAACGACGAGTCTGTGGATTCACATTCTGCCAAATCCTCGCCTCGAAAACAAAGCCAGGCTCGCGATGAAGAAGAAGAAGACAGCGCCACTGGCCGGCGTGCAGGTTTGCGCAAACGACCTTCACGCCCCCAGTCCGAAGTCGCAGAGGAACTTGCCGAAGAACTGCAAGATCTGCGAGGCGGTCGCCCTCGCCGTCGTATGGCGCAAGAGGTAGTTTACGAAAAGCCTCGTCGGAGCCGCAAGGATGTTGATTATCGCATCATCCGTCCTGACTTGGTCCTGGCAGCCGATGATGCCGACAATGATTTAGTCACCGAGTCTCCATCTCGCCGTGGGCGTGGTGGTGGCGGTGGAGGTTGGCAACGAAGTTTGTTCCCAACATATGGTCCATTCGGCGGAGGTGGGCCTGCTGCGATTCTTGGCCCTCCTGGAGCCCCTGCTGCGACTGGTGGCGTGGAAAGCGACAGTAGTGATGACGAAATTCCTCAGCCTCACCATCCGAAGGGTCATGGCCTAGCTACCGGCGGCCTTGTACCTCAAACTCATTCAGGCGACCCGGCCCAAAATACCTCTGGCACACCAGCCAACTTCGGCAAGGTCAAGGACAAGCAAGCACTGGCTGATGCGGATCCGCTTGGTGTGGATATGAACGTCAACTTCGACAGTGTAGGTGGATTACAGGGACACATTGATCAACTCAAGGAGATGGTCTCGCTTCCATTGCTGTATCCAGAAATTTTCCAAAGGTTCCATATCACCCCTCCTCGGGGTGTGTTATTCCATGGTCCTCCTGGTACCGGTAAGACACTTTTGGCTCGGGCATTGGCAAACAGTGTTAGCTCCGAAGGCCGCAAGGTCACTTTCTACATGAGAAAGGGCGCAGATGCTTTGAGCAAATGGGTTGGTGAAGCCGAGCGTCAACTCCGACTTCTTTTTGAAGAAGCACGCAAAACGCAGCCCAGTATTATCTTTTTCGATGAGATTGATGGTAAGAAGTTCTCCCCATTGTTAAAACCTTTTTTGCTAATCGGTTTTTTATAGGTCTGGCGCCCGTGCGTTCCAGTAAACAGGAACAAATCCATGCATCGATTGTCTCCACTCTCCTGGCATTGATGGATGGTATGGATGGACGTGGTCAAGTCATAGTGATCGGTGCAACCAACCGACCTGACTCTGTTGACCCTGCTCTTCGCCGCCCTGGTCGCTTCGACCGCGAGTTCTATTTCCCACTTCCTAATCTTGAAGGTCGACGTGCGATCTTGGACATCCACACCAAGGGGTGGGACCCTGCCCTCCCCCTCCATATCAAAGATGAGCTAGCCAAGATCACCAAGGGCTACGGCGGTGCCGACTTGCGAGCTCTCTGTACCGAAGCTGCTCTCAATGCTGTTCAGCGAGAATACCCCCAGATCTACAAGTCAGACAAAAAGCTCATCATTGACCCCAAAAAAATCGATGTTATCCCCAAGGATTTCATGCTGGCAGTCAAGAAGATGGTTCCGTCCTCTGAAAGAACAACTTCCTCTGGCGCAACCGCATTGCCGCAGAAGGTCGAACCCCTGCTGCGCCAGGCGCTTGCCGATATCGAGGCTTCTCTCGCTGAGATCTTACCGCAGCGAAAGAGACTTACTGCTCTAGAGGAAGCTCAGTACGAGGAGCCCGCAGATGGAAATGGATTCCGACGAGAACAAATCATGCAAGACTTTGATCGTTCGCGAATCTTCAAACCGCGCTTGCTTCTCCGTGGCTCCCGAGGAATGGGACAGAAATATCTCGCAGCGGCCCTCCTCCATCATTTTGAGGGTCTTCACGTTCAAGCATTCGATCTTCAAACGCTTCTCAGTGATTCAACAAGGTCGCCAGAGGCGACTGTAATCCAGCTTTTCTCCGAAGTGAAAAGAAACAAGCCAAGTGTAATCTACATCCCGAACCTTCACTCTTGGTCAGAAACGGTTGGCCACGCTGTAATATCCACGTTCTTGGATTCACTTGACTCAATACCGCCCACTGATCAAGTTCTACTACTTGGTGTGCTTGAGTCAGGCGAAAGGGAAACGGACCCCGCCTTACTCAAGGAACTTTTCGGTTTCTCCAAGATGAATATGTTCGATATTGAAGCTCCTGGGAACAAAGCACGACATGAATTCTTTGAGAAATTGATCGAATACGTTCAAACCGCCCCAACCGACTTCCCTGATCCTGCAAAGCGCAAAATGCGGAAACTCGAGGAGCTCGAAGTTGCACCTCCGCCACCTCCCACGCCTGAATCGCAAATGACAAAGGAACAGATTAAAGCCCAGAAGAAGAAGGATCGTCAGACCCTCAATCTCCTGAAGATCCGAATTCAGCCGATCATGGACCAGATTAAGAAATACAAGCGTTTCCGGGCCGGAGTGATCGATGAAGCACAAATCCGATACCTGTGGGAAGAGGCGGATCCGAATATTGTGACTAGTGATGTCCCTGTCGACGATCCGTATACCTACAGACCTTTCGAGAAGGATTACGATAAAAACGGCGTTCCTGGTCTTCGCGAGACCGTGTCCGGGAAGTTTTTCTACAATATGGAGATTGTCACAATGGAGAAGCGCCTGTCCAATGGTTACTACAAACGCCCATCTGACTTTTTGGCGGACATCAAGCGAATTGCCAAGGATGCACGCCAATTGGGTGACCAAGAACGACTGTTGCGTGCGAATGAACTTCTATCTAATGTCGAAGTTGATATTTCTACTATCGAATCGGCCGAGCCAGCGCTCCTGGCAGAATGTGAGAATCTTTATCTTCGTGATATGGCTCGTGAAAAAGAGGCGATCGAGCGTGCCAAACTCGCTGCTGAAGAAGCGGAGAAGGCAGCTTCACGACCCGTCTCTTCTAACGGACTCCTTGGTAATACTGAATCAAAGGCTTTCTCTGCCCATGATTCGCGTCCAGTTACACCTACCAAACTGTCAAATGTCAGCTTTGTTAACGGGAACCACAACGGTGGTGGCTCAGATTTGAATGAGTCCGGTTCTCATGCTCAGAGCAATGGCTCCCATGGCGATGGTGACGGCGACGTTTTCATGACCAACTCTGAGGATCATTCTGGCGATCACTCTGGCAGCAAGGATACCCAACACAGCTCGTTCGGACCCTCCGCGCAGCCGAAGCCAGCATACTCGCACACTGCGCCGTCCCAGCAGCTTCGGCGAGAGTCTGGTCTATCCAGCTTTTCACAAAAGGGACCCATGACTCCCATGGCTCCTGGGTCTCAACCAGCTGATTACACAAACGAAGCGTCTACTACTCAGACAACCTCCGAGAAGAAGTCCTCCGAGCAATTGTCCAACCAACAAAATCAGACCCAGAGTCCTCAGGTCTCACGGCACGAGTACCCCGACCTTACGCAATATCCCGATCGAGTCTCGCAGGAGGAACATCTGCCCGATACCCAGCAAGGAGGTAGCAGCCAGCCTTCCCCGCTACCGCGGGACTCGCAAGCCTTGACCCAAGCAGACGAGCATAGCGGCTTGAATGGCAGCCACTCGCAGTCACAGCCAAAGCCACAGCCTCCTCTATTTGATGCCTCCAAGCCCACAGCGAATACGTCCGCCAATCTTCAATCGTTGCTGAATAGTGAGCCGACGCCTGATCTTGTTATTGACCACGAGTACATTATGCACCTGCACACCGAGTTGACTCAGCAAACAAGCGGCTGCTCTGTGGCGCAGCTCGAGCAGGTCAATGCTCGGTTGATGGATTACATCTGGCGTATGCGCGGCGAGTGGAACCGGACAATTGTGGCCAAGGGTATCACCGAAACGTTCAATGCGACCTTGGAGGATATGCAGTCCATGCAGGAGGTCGGGCCAATTAGCCATAATACCAAGCAGCAGATGGCCAATCAGCCATACTAACTGCTGCTGGTGACGGTTTAGAGGCTGTTTTGCGATCATCTTCGTTTTCTTTCCACCTGTTAATACATTTTATGTTGTTTTTTCAAACCTACTGTCATGTCTAGGCCCGGCGTTTCATTCTGTCATGAATAATTGTTCTCCACTATACCGACTTTTTCGTTTCCTTCTTTTCTTTTCTTTTTTTTCGAGGCCGAGTGTGAGTGAGAGAGAGTGGGTACAAGCGAAATGGGAGAGTTATGGGAGGTCCCAAACACGTACATCTAGAAAGAAATGGAAACACGATCTGAATTTTATCAAACTACTGTAGAAGAATCTTCATAACTTCAAAGAAATGTCCAAATTGTTCCCATAATCTTATTGTCGACAGGTCTTTGTGCTGACCTCGAATCTTATACTTCGTGGACATGTGACGTTCGACCCACTAAACACCTGGCCTTTGCGGTCCTGCACCTTGTTTCCGAGACCCTTCTTTCAACAATTCCACCACCAACCTCGAATTCGCTCCGAAATTCTCTCCTGAGATCATGACCAGAGCTTGAACTATCTACAAACCCCCTTTCGACCTCCGGCGCCCCCTTTCTCATAAGATACACACTCTCTACCGCATATCTACCACACCCGCACCGCAAACATGGTGAACTGGCTCAGTCTCGCCGTGCCTTTGGCCTACTTGGGTGTACTCATTGGTTCTCTCGCAACATTCTCTTCTCTATACCGAAAGCGAAAGGCCCGTACGTCTCTATATCTCTCTTTGGAATCCAATCCACTTGTGTCCCGATCCCGTCTTTGCCCTTTACCCCTCGCACTATGTGGGAATGGAATCAAGCGCCGAGCTAACAACACTTCTTCCTTCGCTTTAGAAAAAGCTATGTCCCTGGAACCCTGGTTCCCAGCACACCTCCAACGTGATATTTATTTCTCACTCCTCCACCTCGACCCCTCCTCCCAATCCGAGAAAAAGACTCCCAATGTCCCCGAGTCCGTTCAGAAGGCTGCGCTCCTGCGCCGCGCGACTGAGGATATTCGCCGCGTCATGACTCTTCGTAACCAGAAGCAAGCGCTCTCTGTACTTCTCCAGCGCGGCAGTGTCGGTGATGACCTGTGGCAGCGATTTATGCGGGCCGAGAAGGAGATGGAGGAGGAGGTGCGCGATGTTGTTTCCGAGGTATGATTTCAACCGCTATGGGGGGGTCTTGGAGTTTTCGCTCGGAGATTGCTTTCAGAGCTAGCTCTTCACCTTCGGCCTTGCTGTGAACTTCGTTACTGACTAACTCTTTCTTTCTCCACAGGCAAACGCCTACACTCCCAACTGGGGCCAGACAATCTTCCAATCCGCCAACGAAATGATGAACAACGAAATCTACCGCCAAAGGATCAAAGAGCATGAGGATAAGCTCGACGAGGAGCGCGTTTGGTGGGAGAAGAAGCGCACCAGCGTGAAGGAGAGCTTCATGAAGGAGCTGAATGAGGATGAGACTTCGTCGCCACAGACTCAGTCCCAGACCCAGTCCCCCGCTGCTAAGGCTTCTGAGATCGCACCCGCGACGCCCGCGAAAACGGCAGCTTCGGTACAGGGTAGTGATGATGATGCAGTGTTGGTTGAGGCAGACCCGTCGAGTAACCAGGCTTCGCCGAGTGGTGGGAAGAAGAAGAAGGGCAAGGGCAAGAAATAAATGGCGCACGGGCTTGTACTATTATTTCTTTCTGCTCCTGTCTTTAATCCAATAGTTATTTCATATAGAATTACCATCTGGGTATTGTTTGGGATTTTCAATGTTTTTATTTAGAGACTGGGGTTGTGTTGTATGGCTTTAGTAGTACTAGGATTCATGTTGACAGATCTCGGGAAAAGAGTGCTCATGCATGCGAGTGGGTATACCGTGATTGAGCATAAGTTAAGAGAGGGAAGTGTACATTCCGATTCAAGATTCGACAAGAAGTAATATACAGGCCTGTTTCTATGCAAGGCTTAGAGAATAATTAAGAAAACGCCAGTCCATGCAGTGAACTTCCAAATAAAAAAACAAACCCAGCCTCAGAAATTAAAGCAGTTGGCTGTCATTCACCCCGAGAGGCGGACCGAGATCGATATTTCCAACTTGCATCTCCGCTGCAGCAATGGCAAGCTTTTCTTCCACTCGAGCGGGATCAAGACTTTCTGCACGACTCAGAACAATACGCAGCAGATTAGCCATGATCTCAAGCTGATACTGTTGCTTTTCGTGAGGGTCAAGCTGATCAACACTCAATCCTTGCGTACGCAAAGCCATGGATTTACGTTCGCCAAGCATCTCGAGTAGGCGGGTAACTTGGGTGATGCTCTCTTTGCTTCGGGGTGTTGAGGATAAGCGGCGAAGGCGGCGCTTGGGGGTATCAGTTGGAACGCTTGCTAAGCGGGCTACCTGCAAGACTATCATGCGGGCAGTAGTATCATCTGGTGTATAACCGAACATTGCTCGCATAGAATGCAAAGCAACGAGTGTACCGGAAACATCTTTTGACAGACAGAAGCAGCGTACAATCTGGTCATATAGATCCTTCGAGAACTGCGACATCGTCTCTTGTCGGGCACGCGAAGGAAGCTTTGAATACCATTTGATCATATTGGCATATAGCTCACGAGCAGATGGGAAGCCGGCATCAAACGCAGTGCGCCCGCGATCGTATTGAATCTTGGCACAATCCCATAGACAAGCGTATGTCTCGAGATCGGGTCGGACACTGACAGACATCTTTTGGAACTTTGACCACAGAGATCTGATGTCTTGTTTCCGGAGATCCGCATAGAGCAGATGATTCATGAAGTATGCATTTGGCTGGATTTGGGCATCCCCAAGGCATTTGACCAGGTATTTCACCATGTCGTCATCGCCTCGACGGGTATAGTGAAGAAGCAGAATGGAAAAGGTTTCGATACCGGCAGAAGGTACTTCCCGCTTCAGGAATTTCGGTATCCGGCTGGGATCGGTCACCACTTGATTCGCTTCAAGCTGAGGGGCTGGTTTAGCTGGCTGGAATCGCTCCAAACACCATCGATTCGGTGTTGGATCATGGCCCATCCAAGTCGCTCGGCCTTGTCTCGCGAAGCGGCGTTGCCCTCGCGGAGCCAACCGGCCATTATTCCATTCAGATGCTTGTTATCTGGCTTGATCCCACGCTCGTACATAAGCTCGATTACCAGGGCAGCCGAGTCAACCTGGCCCATTCCAATAAGCTTTTTCATCCAGCTTGCATAAAAGAATCGATTTTGGAACCGACGGGGTAAGAGTGTGAGTGCCGAAAGAGACACCTTGTTGACCGCTTTCTCGTCGATGCTTGAAGCATGGAGATTACCAGCCAGGCCGAGAGCTGCTTTGTAAAGAGCCGTGGAATCGTTGGCTGGGTCTTGCCCAGTCACCATCATGTCCTTGAAAATGGCGACTGCAGTATCCAATCGACCGGCTGTAAGAAGACTAATGCTGACTTTATCATAGTCTTCCATTGTCATGTCTGGACCCAAGAATGTCTTCAGTTGTAGATATAGGGCCCATGCTTTGACCTCGGCTTCTGCCCCTGGGAACCTTCCCCAGGCTGTAATGACTGGTATCAGCACTCGTGGTTGGCGGGTGTTGTCATTCGAAAGAAAAGCCAATGCGATATCCTGGGCTCGTTGAGGGTTGTTTTCAGCCGCGAATAATCGTACACCAAGCATCCAGTATTCTTCCAGGTCTTCCTTCGTTTGAGATAACTTGGTTTGATAAGCTTCCCACTGTTCCAATGCTTTTCCAGGATCACCACCATCGTTCAGAACTTTGATATAGGAGAGGATCTGGGGTGTGGAGAGAGGTTTGTCGATAGCGGCTGCGTCTTGAACGAGGGTTTGGAGGTGTGTTGATCGCGCGGATTTGGCTGAATTGTCGGTAGCTTGTGATTCCCATACTATGTCCATAGCTTCTGCTGGAAGCGCATCGAGGAAGCCTGGAATGGCCTGTTTGCACCGGCGATAGCACTTCCATACCTCCTGCCTGGCGCGTTCGTCCGCTCCATTTGCAGTATATCGTTGTAGCGAGTTCTTCAATCGAATGGCGTAAGGATGAGAATCGGGGCCTTCGAGCTTTGCCTCAGCGAACTTCTTGGTAGCCAGCCTCCGACGCTGTCTGGCGCCATCTTGCCAATTCTCTTCCTCCAGCGCCATTCCGTGGAATTCCTCCTTCAGCATAATATCCAATTCCCCATCGAATACATCGTTTAGCGAAGGTTGCGGTTCTGCAGGGTTCTCTTCGTCATATTTCCGTAGGGCCTCCAGGGCAATCTTCCGGTCGTTCTCTGGCAAACTTTGGATAAAAGGGCTGTCGGGGTCGAAAGGCCCTTTCTCTAACTCCTTGAGTTCTTCTTCAAGCTTCGCCAGCTCCTGCTCAACCTCTTCTCTTTCCTCATTATCCTCGGCTTCGGGGTCAATCTTGCGTCGCTTCTTGCCATCTTGTTCGTAGAAGTTAACTTTGTCGTTTGGCCCGCCAAAGTCGAGACGGCGCGCGGTCACAGCGGAAAAGGAACGTCGGGGAATCGACGGGCTGCGAGCCGTATAATACCACCGAGCTCCTCGAACAACCTGGCGGAGCATATGGAATTAATTAATCGATCATGGGGGGAGGAGGAAAGGTGGGAGGTGGGTTGATAAAGTTGATAAGAGTCGCAGAAGTTCGCCGCACGACTTCCGTCGATTTTCCCCTTTTTCGGGTTTAGCGTCTTCCGCCCTCCGCGAAGTTGCGCCAGCATCAACTCATCCCTCGACGCGCTTCAACAAGATTGAGCCTAGCAATGGATCCAGACGGCCTCGAAGAAGCGCTGGACCTGTCTCGGGACAGGTCTCAGTACCAAGTGAGTTTTGACTTCCCGTGCTCTCTGCAATACGAGGCTAACCTGCTACCAAACAAGGGCGTTTATATCTACCAACCCGCAAAGCCTGGGAAATCCGCCAATGAACCCCCAAAGAAGCGTCGCAAAGTCTCCTCCACCGGTGCCCAAGACCCAAAATCCGACTCGCAACATTTTATACCTCTACTGAATGGAGAGGAGAGCGCCGAAGGTGTACAACAACGACTGAACACCTACAAGCAGCTGTGGTCCGAACAAGAACAGAAGATCCAGGTGGGAAATCGAACAACAAGGGTGCTTGGAATACACCAGCTTACAATTCTCATGTAGGGAATTTTGGAAGACGTGGATGCGGGAGTTCTCACAGACGTGCTGTCTTTCGTGAGAGAGACGTCACCACAAACGTACGGTCCCTAACCACTCGGAGTTATGGTCTCTGTCTAACTTGATGTCTATCTAGGTGCAATGGATGTATACCGACGGCTCTTGTGACAGTGGGATCCAATGTCTCGTCCCTTAGCAGATTGTTATCTCGCCTCAACGATCACTTAACCTCAAGCGGGGAAGGCGGCGTTGTGGTATTGGAGTCGGGCGACGCAACCAATTTGAAGAATTCATTGAAGAACGTTATCCGTGCGGCAGTCACAAACACCGAGGGCAATGATGGATATCAAAAGTTCCTCACAGATCGAACAGTAGGTTTTTGAAGCCACGACATCCACGCATGCCATACTGATAGATAATAAGGGGCCTCGAGTACTCGGATATGATTTGGACTTGCTTAACGATTACGTTCAACGAAAAGGGACAAAGAAGCTGGTTATTGCATTGCGGGATAGTGAGGCATTTGACCCAGCTCTCCTAACAGACCTGCTGTCGTTATTCCAGTGAGAATAATACCAAGACCGCCTTGAGACTGACCACCGCTAATGCATTCCTAGATCTTGGCTTGATCGTATCCCGTTTACTATACTACTTGGTATCTCAACATCTGTTGAACTTTTCGAAACCCGGCTTCCTCGATCTTGTGTCTCTCTACTCCAGGGCAAGCATTTTGAGGTTCAAGATGCTGGTAACTGTGTCGACCGGATATATGAGGCCCTTCAGACCAATCCAAATGGAAAGTTGTGGATCGGGCGTAACATCACGAGCACACTATTTGAAAGAGCAAGCGATTACTTCCAAACCCCAGAAGCGTTCAGTCGTATGGTCAAGGTAAGAAATGCCATATCTTTCCATCGTATGGAGCGTCAAGTTTCTAATATATGATAGTATGCGTGCATGTCGCATTTCTTCGCCAACCCTCTTTCTGCGCTACTCGGAGACTCCAAACGACCCGAATTATTCCAGGGCCGTTTCATCGAGGCTATCAGAAATCTGCCGTCTTTCCGAATGTAAGCACGATTGATATGGTGGCGCAAAATCCTTTTATTAATAAACTCGCAGGTACTGTGAAGACCTGGTGGAAGCTGGCTCGCCTATGGAAGTTCGGAATTTACTTGAGAATGATCGGCATTTGCTCGGAGAGGTTTTCAACCACCTTGAAATCGGCCAGCAAAGAATGCGCGATATATTCCAGGCAGTGACCCTCATCCATGCTTGCCTCCAACATACCCAAGGCACGAAAAAGTCAACCGTATCGGATCTTTCAGTCCGTGCCTTAGCTGGAGAGCTCGGCGAATCTCAGGTCGTTGATGATATGCTGGCTACCGTCAGGGCTATGGATTCCGAGAAACTTGAGGGTGTTCTTGCAACTCTCCCGGCAGCGTTATCCAACGATTCAACCCTTGCGGAGCTCAAGGCGGACTTTGGCACACTGCTGGAGACCTGTCCGGACCAAGAGCCTCTACGCAGTGAATATAACATCAACAGCTCCGTAACCAAGACAACTGTTGTTCAGCAGCGCATTCAGCTCAGCAAAGGCAAGGCCAATCTCTCTGGGCAAGATCTCGAGTATACCAAAATCATTGATCGACTAGTGGCTGCATTGCAAGAATACTTCACGGAAATTCTGATTCGACCACAAGAATTGTTCATGCATGAAGCATTTTTGTTTGATCTGCGCAACCCACTCAAGGATAACTTTGCGCCTCGTCCACGTTTTGCCATCGAGCGTGCAATGGGCAGCCCTTTCGATTATTTGATTTCTTCCTCAGACGCCGATCAAGGCCAAGCCAAGATATCTTCTAAGCAGCCTGCTGCCGCTATCTTATACCAGCTTTATCTGGAATCCGGTGCGTTGGTCAATGTTCATGACCTCTGGCAGGCATTTCTTGCGGTTTTTGAAAGTGAAGAAGGCAAGAAATGCGACGAGCGTATTGTCATGGCTTTGTTCTATGGCGCCTTGTCTGATCTCAAGATGTTCGGCATGGTCAAGAATGCTAGCCGCAAGAAGGCTGACCACTTGGCGAAGTCGGCATGGCTAGGATTATAGTCAAGATATTATATTCTAGATGAATTTCTATTTTCTAGGGATATCAATTACCACAACGAGTTTCAAACATCAATCAATCATATTCCCTAATCTGGGATGGGGTATCATAGACATGTAGTCGAGTTTCAAAAGTAAAAAGGCATAGCCTGCACATGCGCAGACTTTCTTTGGCTGAAAAATGTAGCAAATTTTGTGGTATCATTCTTGGACTGGTCTCTGAATGATATCAGCTCTTCCGAGCGGCCGTCCTCCTTCACTTAATACCATCGCTTCCCTCCGCCGTCGACGAAGTGCTTGCTCTGCAGCGTTGCTTTCTCGATGCCTTCTCGGCGAGGATTCGGGGTATGCACCAGCTGTATCCTCTCCGTCCACCATCCACACATCGCTGTCTGCGTCGTCATCGTCGCCATCTTCATCATCTTCATCGTCATCCTGGTCATTCTCCTCAATCATGCTGCCCATAAGACCATGTTTGCGGAGTTGCTTGATACCATCGGGATGCGAGGTCAATGTTCCAAATATGGAACTCATGACTGCGTCATCTGCCCACCATGCTTTCATGAGAATAGCCACGTCCTGTCGACGTGAAGGCTCGCGCAACGCACAGGGAAATGGGTATTTGCAGAGCCAGCGACTGACAATGCCGGCCTCGATTGCAGCATGGATATTTTCAGGTAGGAGGATGTTCAAGATAGCAAGTGCCTTCTTTTCGCCCACGGGTCTTGTTTTGGGGAGGATAGGCGAACTTGTGGTAGACGTTTGCTCGGTATGTTCGTCCAGAAAATTGCAAAGACAATTGGTCAAGGCTGTGTATGTCTGGATGTCTCGGAGTCGGGTGCAAACGGAAGTTCGAGATACTAATAACGGTAAATAAGCAGCAGCTCCAGCAATCATGTATTTACGGCGGACATACACGCTCTGTTCGAGACCAGAAAGTGAAGTGCGGTCAATGCCCTGCCTTGCCGGAGCTTGTCTTTGGATGCCAGATCGTCCAGTAACAAATCACGCGTTCCACCCTTAGTCGATCGCTCTGAAATGATACGCAGCGCTCTGTTGAATGTTAGTTAGTGACTTGTGGCTTGACTCGACGGGGTTGTCTGTCATACGCGGCTCGGAGGTCATGGCTCGTGCTTTCGGAAAGCTTTAAGAGGGTATCTAGCTTGAGAACTGAGAATATGTTAATATAGGCAGTCGGAGATATATTTGAGCATAAATAGCACTCACCTTCCTCTGTCCCTTCACTGATAATCTTGTCTTCTCGTTCGATATGCTTGATCTCGGTGAGATCAACGACTTGGCATAAGTCCGTGGCGATTCCACGCACGGCGAAGAAAAGCGATATGCCTAAGAACGTCAGCTTCTTCCTTCTCCAAAGCAGACCCAGCCTTTCTCACCTAGGCATAGCCAAAGCACGCCGTCCCCGAGAAAGGAGCCATGATGTGTAGTGTAAGTGGGTGATAATTGGAGATGCGGAGATACGCTCGATGGCCGGCAGAATTGTCACCGCCTCGGTGGATCCATTTTTTTTCTTAATCGTGAAAGCAACGAAAAAAAAAGGAACCCACTCCGCAAAGTCCAGCCAGACAACAATGCCGCCTTCGCAATTGAAGCAGCTGAAGGCTTCGCTTCGGGATAGCGGTGTGATCCGTCCCCAGCAGTCTAAGAAGCAAAAGCGCGAAAATGCGAAGACCGGTGCCTCGGCGCAAAATCGGAACCAGCGCAATGCCGCTCTGCAAGCAATTCGAGATCGATTCAACCCTTTCGAGATCAAGGCTCCTACTAACAGAAGCAAATTTGAAGCGACAACTCGCGATGGACCCTCAACAGCCGCGAAGGGGTATCGTCCAGGTGTCACCAAGTCCTTGGGCGAGGAAAGGGTAGGTTGCATATCTAGATACTTTCTGGGCTGGTAATGTTCATAGCTAACGATCACGAACAGCGCCGTGCCACCCTACTGCAGGAAATGAAGGATCGCCACAAAACTGGTGGATTAGTCGATCGCCGTTTTGGTGAAAATGATCCCACCATGACCCCCGAAGAACGAGCCGCCGAACGATTCGCCAGAGAAAGCCAGAAGAAAATGCGCAAGGAATCGATGTTCAACCTTGAAGATGAAGAGGAGGATTTCCAACTCACCCACATGGGTCAGTCATTGACCCTCGACGGGAAGACCCTCGACGATTTCGATGCCGATGGCCTGGACGGTGGAGAATCTGACGACGAAAAATCGCGAAAACGGAAACGAGTCCTCCCTGAAGATGGGGAAGATGAGGAAGAAGAGGAAGACCAGGACTTCATTGATTTTGGAGCTGAGGGTGATCACCCCGAACGCAAGAAGTCTAAGGCCGAGGTGATGAAGGAGGTTATTGCCAAATCCAAGTTCCACAAGCATGAGCGGCAACAAGCCAAGGAAGATGACGATGATCTACGAGATGAGCTGGACAAGGAACTTCCTGATCTCTTCGAGGCTCTCCGCGGTATGAAGGCCCCGGCCAAGCAAGATGAGCCTGCCAAGCAGGATCTGGCGGCTATGAACCCAGAGCGCGCGGCTATGATGCAAGTACCGGAGCAGCAAGACACAGAAAAGCAATACGATCAACGACTCAAGCAATTCACTTTTGACAAGCGGTCCGCACCTACGGATCGTACGAAGACGGTCGAAGAAAAGGCCGAGGAGGAAGCCGAACGACTCAAGAAATTGGAGGATGATCGACTCAAGCGAATGCGTGGAGAGAACGTCAGTGATGATGAAGACATGGCAGACGACGATAAAGATTCTTTCTTCGCAGGAGATGAGTCGGAGGAGGAAGAGGATGATGCGATGGCTTTTGGTCTTCCAACCTCTTCGACTGTGCCACGTGCCCCCGATATGGGCGTCGAGGATGAGGATGATTTCGTTATCGACGACGACCTTGTTGAGACCAGGTCAAATGTCAGTCTATCTTTGGATGGCAGCGATATGGAGGAAGAGGAGCTTTCAGATGATGACGAGCCCGATGTGGCCGAGCAGGAGGATGAGCTCATCAATGGAATGACTCTCCCAACATCAACAACCGGGACAGCTGTGGGGATCACTCAATCTGCCACCGGTAAATTGGCTTTCACATACCCTTGCCCGGCCGATCACGATAGTTTCCTTGAAATTATCAAGAATGTGCCGGCTCAGGATGTTCCGACAATCGTTCAGCGCATTCGTGCTCTGCATCACCCGCGTCTCAAGCCCGGCAACAAGGATAAGCTCGGCAAGTTTGCTGAGATCCTCGTGGAGCATATCGCTTATATGGCCGATGAGACTGAGGAGCCCTCCTTCGCTGTCATCGAGAACATTCTGCGTCACATCCATTCATTAGCCAAGACACACGCCATTAATGTGGCAACAGCCTTCCGTGCGCGCCTTCGTGAGATATCGAAGGTCCGCCCCCTAAACCTCATCCCCGGTGACCTCGTCGTTCTGTCCGGCATCTCGACAATCTTCCCTACCTCAGACCACTTCCACGCCGTCTCCACCCCTGCTCATCTGTGTATTGCGCGATACCTGGGACAGTGCAACGTCGAAGACTTGACTGACCTGGCAAGTGGTGCCTTCGCTGCAACCCTGATTGTTCAGTACCAGGCCGTCTCAAAGAGATACATGCCTGAATTCATTAACTACGCGTTGAATGCCCTCTGCAATCTGGCTCCTACAGAATTGGCCGCCGAGCTTAGAGCTTTCCCCCCCTCGCAAGATTGCAGAGACTCTCCGCCTGGAATCATCCAAAAAGGTCTCCTCGCGGAAGCTGCAATTCGACGATGTCATCAACTCTCCTAACGACCCCAAGGGCGAGGAAGAACTCAAGCTGTCCCTTATTACTACATTCGCCGCTCTCCTCGGCTCCTCTTCGGACATCTGGTGCGAAAAGTCTGCCTTTACCGAGATCTTCAGCACCGGCCCAAGTCGTCCTCCAGCATATCTCCAAATCTTTCAAGAACAAGGTTTTGCCCGTCAAATCTGCTCTGGACAAGATTAACGCACACCTGACCCAAGCCCATCTCACCCGCCGCCCACTCTTCCTCCACGACCACAAGCCGCTAGCTATCAAATCTGCCATCCCCAAGTTCGAGGAAAACTTCAACCCGGACAAGCACTACGACCCAGACCGCGAGCGTGCCGAGACCAACCGCCTCAAGAAGGAGTACAAGCGCGAGAAGAAGGGTGCCATGCGCGAGCTGCGCAAGGATGCCAGCTTCGTTGCACGCGAGAAGTTGCGCGAGAAGAAGGAGCGCGATTCCGAGTACGAGAAGAAGTACAGGAAGCTTATTGCCGAGATCCAGAGCGAGGAGGGTCGTGCGGCGAACGATTACGAGAAGGAGAAGAGACTGCGTCAGGGCAAGCGCTAATCTACTCTGTAGCCCGGACTCTCTTCTTGTCTCACTCTTTCTGCCAGGATACCTTGGTGGATGCTTATGCATATGTCTTGTTTTCTTTACACATCTTCTGGATAGGTATATACTCTCTTTGTTTTGCCCTTGGGCTGGTGCATGGTTGGGAATTAAAAGTCGAAATACATCGCACATTATCAGTATTAAATCTCTTTGTTACAATAGAACGCTATATCTAGTGCTCTATATTCATAGTTTGCCGGGTAGTATGTTCATTAGCCCGCGGTTGCCATTTAACAAGTGGCAGTCTCCTAGTATTATATGCGAATAGGTACTGGTAGGTAACATTTGTCCATAGGGTGATTTTTCAAGTTCTTGGCCTCGATTTCGCTGGTCATAAAAAGACGCGGGGCTGGCACGCCAGGCTCGAAATTCCGAGACCTCGAGAGTTTCCCTGGTTTCGGATACGAAAAGTTGGCTGTTTATCAGAAACAATTGACAATCGCTCTCATTTCCCTGCTGATTGAAGGATTTTTTTTTCGCATCGCGGTTCCCGTGGCGCGGGGCAGCGTCTGGTCTTGGTCATCTTCCAAATCGATATTTACGCCAACAGGTCTGAAAGTCCTTACCGACTTAATTCGATTATATTCGCTGGATAAAGTAAGATCTGTCTCACCGGAAGTGCCAAGGACATCGCCTTTTGTGTCTGAGTCCAAAATCAGCGTCATCATTTCGCGATGTCCCCTGCGAGTAGCTGTGACTAGCATAGGATCTTCAAGCTCGAGGCCAACCATGTCGAATCAGTCATCGGTCAGTTATCTATCGAGTCTCTCATTCACGACCCTCTCTTCCTGATAGAACAGTTTGTCGACGTCAAGCATAAAATTGAGCATGTGCCCTTTCAATCTCGCCTGCCTTAGAGCCATCCCAAGAGCATCTCTGGCTCCTTCTGCAGAACGATCTGCCATTCTCCGGAGTAGTTCGAGGCAAAACTGGAGCCTATTTGCTTCAGGAATACCCTTATCCTGTGCCACACCAAACAGAGCCAAGTGCCAAGAAAAAATGGGATTCGGAGAGTCCATAAGAATATCAGCCCAATTGTGGCTGCTACCATCGCTTAATCTCGGAAATGACATGCCAGTGCTATGACAGTCTTCTCTCCCATTTTTTCGTGAAGTAAAGGAACAGTGCATAATGATGGTTGTTGAAGGCCCAAAGAAACTCATGTTGATGATATCCCAGAGCGGTGCTTAGATCCTCTGTGAAATAAAAAACAGAATACCTGCCTGAATGGCCTATCAACCCGCTGAACGCGGGTTATTGTGGATGAAGTTGAGTCTATCTTGTTGCGACGAAAGAATTCCATGGAGTTAACCCAATATACGATAATTCACCAAGAGCAGTTTGAAGAGAATGATCAACTCTGATGGGCGCATGAATTATCGCGAGGCTGTGTTCGGGCTGCGCTTACTGGACTTCCTTGATTGGATGAACAATTATGGCATCTAATTGGATAGCTCTTAGGAGGTGCCTGAGGCCACTAATTATATTATTCAAGAACTAGCTCATCGAACCTGGCAGTTCAACCATAATAATTGCCGAATTCGAATTCGAATCTAGGAAAGGATAGAAACTGATTACAGTGAGGCTCTCGTCGTTATTACGGTGTATGTCGGCATTGTGGGATCGTGCCATCTTTTGTCTTCGTTGAGGCTTTCACTAAGATCTGCGCAGCGGCTGACGGTGCGTTATCAACAAGATCTTCATAAACAATTGGCTCCGTGATTAGGCGTGCATCGCGCAGTCCCAGTTGCCAGCGGTTGTAACCATTTCGGAGCACAGAAGTGGTCGTCCACATGCCATTCCGACGAAAGTCGTTGGTAACAGAGACAACGACATCAATTGGAATATCGGAAAGAGTTCGGAGAGCTCATCCTGGAATGATTCTGCATTGTGCAGGAGAACCCAGTCTATACCCTTCTGAAGAGCGATACAGAACCGCTTCTGTGCATCTAGAATCTCTGATGTTATTGTGGCAGTTTCTCGGTAATACACACTCCATGGGACGTCGTCTTGCGTGATCATCTGCATGGCAATAACCACATCAGGGTTGTGCGCGACCATAGCCTGGGCAGAGAGACTGTCGGTAACGAAGTAGTCGCCCATGCCGCCTTGGAATAGATTTCCCAGCATTTCACCACCCAAATCCTGAATATAGTCGACTGATCTCGCATCAACGCCGTTCTCACGCAGCAGCATCTTGAAGAAAAGACCAAAACTGGCTCCACCACTCGAATTTACTAGGACAGTGCGCCCGGCCACTTCGGATACCTCGAAAGCTCTGTCACTGGCACGTCGAATTAAGGCGAGAGGTGCCCGGTTTGCAATCTGCGCAAATACAGTATAGTTCTGTAACCTGTTGCGGTACATAGACGGCACCCAGATTCCCCCAAGGCACATTGTAGCAGAATCATCGGCAAGTGCGTCGAGCACACCGTCCCAAGGTGTAGGGATTTGCACCTTCACGTCAAGTCCCTGTTCCCGGAAGAACCCATGCCGAAGAGCAATGTACTCTGGGAGGTAATTGAGACTATAACCAGTGGCGGCAATGTGGAAGGGTTGCATGTTTAGCCTCTCCCGGCTTTGGGCCCCAGGTTTTGTGGTATATCGGATCAAGTTGTGGGCGAATGAAAAGCGGTATACAAGGCGCTTTGGGGCCGCAATAAATAAGGATCTGCGAAATGGACCCTTCAAATTGTTGGTGTGAGTGCTGGAAAAGTATTCGAGAGCGTTCACTTTGAGACCTTCGTGTCATTCACATTCAACGCTAATGCAGTTGTAGATTTTCTTATCGTCGAAACCTTGCGAGGTCGACCTTGCACGATTTTCGGAGAACCCCGATGTGCCGATGGTCCCGCTGGCTTTTTGCGGGGCAAAATTTCCAAGCCTGTCGTAGGCAAATAATTACCATATCTATGCAAGGTAGGAAGATCCCTGGAATGGCAGTATTCAGCACTTTATTGCACAGAAGATCAAAACCATGAAAGACGTGAATGTATGTGCATTCGAATAACTAAAGCTATCTGGGAGCCAGGCAGCAACGGAGGAAGGCAATATTCTATGCCTGAGGCATAACCGCATAAGTGCCTCAGCAGTTTTTCGATCTGGCTATCTATTTCATTTCATATAAGAGATTAATTACGGGCATTTATCATCACAACTTCAACAGCCTATTCGGGCACCAAAACGATACATTATATGCATGAACAAACATACCTCCTAAACTATCCCATGACATCCCACTGGTGAGTGTAACTCACCTAGCAGAGCTAGGTGAGCGCTCGAAATTCACATTTCTCACGGGTCGCGTGACTTTCTCCCTTTTCTTTCCTGATACGCACGACACTACTCTGTACATACTAACCAGTACTTAACGTGAACTTGCATCAAGAATCCATATAGAGCTTGCTTTCATTTAAATATGAATATATACTGGCATGAATATGTAACAAAGAGATCCCAAACGTTTGGCATGTGTCAAAACTGTCTCCTCCAAATTATTGGTTTATAAATCTAACCGGAAGTAACGTGAAGAGGGCCGTTGCCATCGTCCTTGGGGCATGCGGTATCGGTGTCGTCAGACTCGAACTCGACAACGCAGCTGGCGTCTTGTCCGATAGCAATACCAATGAAATTGGTGTCTGTCTGTCCGTCTCCAGATCCAAGTTCGTTGCCATCACTATCCTGCACAGCACAGCTGTCAGGGTGACCCGCAAAGTCAGCCTTGCAGTGGAACTTGCGAGGAGTGGCCCAACAGTCGCCCTCAATGGTGAAAGTGCGGCCGTCGCCAGTGTTGTAGCAGGGTGAGTGGTCATCGGGGAAGCCCTGGTCGTAAATTGCATCACCAGCGTCGTTGATGATTGCGAACCCAGAGTAATGGCCGTTCTGGTTGCCGCCGGCCGGGCCGGAAATGGTAGAGAAGTCACCAGCCGACCAGACGACCTTGAGGTGCTCGGCATAAATGGGTGCGGCAGCTGCCAGCATATAGAGGAAAGTGCAGAGAGGAGCCATGGTTTTGATTGTGGAGTTGAGGCTTTGTTGATGGAATGGAATTGAGAGCTTGTGTTGTCCTTGGGGCAGCTTCTCGACGGCCTTTTATACCTCGTCGATATCAGATTGCGCCACCAAAATCTGACGCCAAGAAGCTTGCGCCTTTTTTACAGGGGTCAGATACAGTTTGTTGGAATGTAGTAGGAGTAGTGGAGACTTGACAGCCTTGGAACAAAGTATAGAGTTCGAAGGATGGATCATTGAAGCAGGGTTCCACATCTTAGTACCTTCCAAATTCGCCTTCTTATCGTCACATCGACTGGAATCAAGGTAGTATATCAAGACCCAAATAATCGCCGAGCTCTTCAATGAATGGCCCAAGAACATATACTCTCTTGTTCATTTTCCAAGCAGTAGTTGAACGCACTGCCTGTCACCAACTGGACCAGCGACTGTCAATGAAGGCCAAGAGAGACGAAACTTACGACATGTCGGGGAATTTTGATAGCTCCACCAAATGGGGCCAGATTACTCTGGATGGGGCCAAGTATTGTAAGTTGACCCTAATGACTCGAGTCTGACTGTGACGCAACTGACATGGATAATACATCGCTGATCAACGGCGGAATTCAAAGATGCCAAGAGTTCAGGTACATACGACCTGTCCAATGACACCCGGGAAGTGGAAATGTCGATCACTGACCTATCTTGGGGCTGTATACTGTTTGCCTCTAACAACATAGACAGCTAATATTCTGGTAGGGCTCCCTGTATGTGGACTTATCCCGCATTATTCAGCCCTCATCTCAGCGCAGTCTCTCCATGGCCCAATTCTATAATTTTTGACAATTTCACCGACCAAATTCGCAAGTCTCGATCTATTGATGAGCGCGCTCAAGGTTATGACGTAGGATCTGCATAAGCGATTCACATAACCGACTTAGTTTCAGACCCCAAATGGGGCACTGAAGAATAAGCGCTAACACATGCACTATAAGCAACTTGGGGGCAGCTCAAGCTCAATAATGACATCAAAAGTCTGCAAGCCAAACAGGCTTGTCGGTTTGGTCCTGAATACTCAATTTACACTCAATAAACTGGAAAAAAAACCTGCCATTTGTCACAACCTCGACTTAAAATATTCGTGGATGTCGAATCGGACAACCTTGGAATGGAGTAAATTGCTACGGATCCAAAGTTCTTCATAGATCTACTGTCATAGTATCACCTACACATCTTTCTGATAGCGACGAGATTAGATAGTATTCACCGCCGACAATTCTTGTTCTTATGGCCGAAGATCTACGATCTTGGCGCGGAGATTTGTCACGAGGCCCCTTTTTACGGCAATGGGGGCCAAAACTATCATCCTCTTGGAAGGTCCTTAGCCTTCCTATTCCTCGCTAGACCTGAGCCACAACCGGGCCTGCTGAACGTCGGGATCCACTTTCATTCAGAAAGGTACACCAACTCCATTGCTGGGGTATTTGTTTCACTTTGATTTATCGTCCTTTATCCTTGAATGGAAAGGATTATCCATCGTTTAATTCTAAGTTGTATCAGATCCTTTCTCAGTTCAATGTATCTAAATGCCTCAGCTTTATGGTCTGATGTTTCACGGTGATTCTAAGTACATCATCAATTCGAGGTGCATTCCGCTCCAGTGATTTATCCTCCCCTTTAGACTCAAGTGTCCTTCTCGACTCAACTCAACGAATATCATCGGACAAAATCTCCCTCCCCAAATACCCCTAAAGGTCAAGAAATACTCCAGGGCTGGCCATAAGTCATTTGGATGAGATCTTAGTATTGGCCACACTTCCAACACTGCCTGTGGTATTGCTTTATTAGGTCACCATCCTTGTTTGGAGGGATTCTAGAAGGACCACCCTTTTCGCTAATTGGTCCACTCGTAGCACATATTTTGCTACATGAATCAGGGAACCTTTCGATCCTTGATTATATGTATTCTTCTACATATCTTCATACACCTCCACTACGTCCAAGTACCCCCGACGATACATATATGTTCTTGTTTAAGAGGTCTCATAGATATATAGAGGTACTTCCCGCCCACTGCTATCCTACTAAACTATATTTAATTATCTTAATTAATATCGTAAAAAGAAATTTAACATATTCGTTCCTTAACTTTTCTTTAAACAGAGCAATAGTAGCTACCTGAGATGAAATAGGTTGGCTAATTTATTCTACATCACCTAGATCTCGTAGACCTTGTAGTCCACTGTAGCTGATTTTTCCATCGAAGTTAGAGCACGTGATGGTTAATTTGCATTCGTACTAGTACGGTAGTACCTAGTGTGTGGTATCATATTGGCCGAAGCGGAAATGACTAAAAGGAAGCAAGCTCGAATAGAGAAATTTTAGTGAGGCTCTCTCTTTCTTCTAGACTAATTGCACACAGTTTAAGATGGTATTCCCCCATTTGAAAAGAGACTCTCTTTCTTTGTTCTAGCTGCGAGGTTGTGTGGTTGTGTGGTGGTTTTTCTCCACTGGATTGACCCTCACGCCACAGCGCGTGATGCCTCGAACGCCCTTCTCTTCACTACATAGCACTTTAATAATCTACAGTTTATGGGTGGTACGAGTATGTGGGTCGTGGTATGCTCATACAAAGTTGTCGCACAATTTTCTAGGTAAAAGCAGACTAATGGCGTGACGAAAATGATTTAATAGCACGTATGAATATTCCACTTCTAGGGGGGTTCCGATCCAAAAACAACAATAATCATTGAATATTCTTTCTCATAAAGACTATTTCTATATCCCACCTGTTTCCATTTCCATCCCACACGTCATAGTAGTTTGGCACAGTCTTGATAGGCGTGTATCCCCGGCGAGCATACCAAGATTCATTTGTGATCTGTAGAGAAGGAGTAATTTAATATAGATTTCAAATATGTGCCTCGAATGTATGTTCTTACCTTTGGAATGCTTCCGTATGTAGATAATGCGAAGTCTTCTCGGATTTGATGTTCTTTCGTAACCGTGTCAAGCATAAGAGTCTGAGCCCAGAGTGGCTCTCGAGTCGCCATATCTTCGACTGCGTCCATAGCTGCACGTCCAATCCCCCCACCCTGAAGTGACTGCAAGATAAAAAAGCTCTTAATCCAATACACTCCATCAGAGGGCATGTCAATACCAAGTCTTTCCGCATCTTTGTTCTTGGGATCCAAGGAGATGTGGCCAATTGGGACAAAGGCTACCCTTAATGCACGGCGTGTCTTCCCGTTGACTGATTCTGCTGTATCATGAAGCACTTCTTCATTCACATTGGGAGATTTTGCACTTCCCAATTCTGACTGACGGACCTATTAGCTCAATTAGCAGATATCCTTTGCTCAATTATGTAGCAGGAGATAATTGGTTGAACTTACAATCCAGTACATGCATTTCTCACCTCTAATTTGTTGCTGCCTCCATTCTTCCTCGACCTTTTCATGGTCCCAATTGCACTGTATCCTCTGGTCATAGAGCCATCGTCGATGCGTTACTGATTCAGCATCCCAAGGGATTAACGAAATCTTCAAATTCGAACCCATAACTTCATCTACTAACCCAGGACCAGGAGCAGAAAGATCTTTCATTAGAGATTTTGTTCCTTCTCCGACGGGTTGCATGCACTGCTGAGTAAATCATCAAACCAATCAGAGTGATAAATTTTAACCTTTGAAGAATCTGACATGCCGAAGACCCACACCAGATGCCGACCCAGAGACCCACATCAAACGCCGCAGAGTCCGTTAATGTCGAAGCTGCGGGAGTTTTTACATGCCAGTAGGTATACAAGTATAGATGTAAATGAGCTATCCTACGGCGCTCGTTAGGGCAGGGTGGTCAGAAAGTGTATATCAGGGTATTTCAGCCGGTAGAATAGGCTAGGTATGGTATAGTGGCATAGCAAAGGTTTCCGAGATCACTATCAGCGGTATTGATCATGAATTTTCCAGAAGAGATCTTCCAGACCTTGTATATATCCACGAGTATTATCCTACAAGTAAGTCGCTGCAAAACTATTTGAGCTATGAAGCTAATCATACTGTATCCCACTTAGACTTACTAGTAAGGGCTTCTGACATTCTTCCCACCACTCGCGAGTAGGATCCAGCACCCTTTCGAGAAATTACAAGGAAAATGATAGCGTTATTTTTGATCGCTCGACTCGCCCCCGAGGAATCCAGGAAGGCAAAGTACACATACAATACAGTGTTGGCGTGGGAGTCTTCTGTTGACTGATTTGCGGTTCCACGGAAACTTCCGCGGAAATGAAATCCACCCCAGCACAAGCAAGTTAAGTAGGGAAGTCCACCGACGACATTTTCGATATTCTGCTGGTGGAGAATGACGTAAAGCAAGTTAAAGTTTCCCAAAGAAGCCAGTCTTAGCAGAAGAAGTTGTCGCTATCAGGAATTTTATTTTATTCGGTTAGGCCCTCCACCGCTGGGCAGCCTCATCTCGAATCTCAGCAGCAGCAATCATGGGAGAGACTCACAGTCTCCTTACGGCAACCATTTCGCGCCTAGCGGAAGTGTCAACAATATGGTGGGCCGGCTTTTTGTTACTCGTTATTTTCACAAGGTTGTTCTATCGAATGTTTATGCACCCACTGAGGAAAATTCCCGGGCCGACGCTGGCAAAGATAACAGAGCTATGGCGGACCGGTCGTTATTTTCGAGGGAAATGGCATGAGGATATTCTCGAGTGTCATCGGAAGCATGGGCCTGTTGTCCGGCTCTCCCCAAACGAAGTCAGCATTGTCAGCCCCGATCTTATCAAGACCGCGTTTGGCTACAGCACGGGGACCGTCAAAGTGAGCACGGCGGCGTCGAGTTCGATATAACGCAAGGATCAAGGGGAATACCTGCTAATCAGGGCTCTAGACTAGTTGGTATCATACTTGGATAACTCTAGGAGGCACACAAGCCGGTTCATCTATTTCGGTATGCACCTCTGCCCGTGGGCCGTTTGTTTGTTTATTTATTCTTTCTTCTTCTTCTCTTCCCTTTTTTCTACTTGCTGGTACCTTTGATGTTGGTCGCAACTAATTGGTGAATGACCCAGTTCTTTGGGGCTACGAACCCAGCGCAACATGGCTTTCTCCGAAAGCGCGTCTCCGCTGTATACAGCATGTCCGCCGTGGTCTCGATGGAGGGCAAAATCCAGCCTGTTCTCAGCACTACTTGGAAAAGATTCGACGAGTTCGCCAAGCTGGACCAGCCCATTAATCTGAGCATGTGGACATCGTATTTCACTTACGATGTTGTTGGTACACTGTGCCTCAGTGAGCCCATTGGTTTCCTTCGCGATGGGTATGACAAGAAGGGCTTCATTTCCGGGATCCACAGAGCCTTTTACTGGGTATCCAATATGGGCTATCTCCCCTGCAGAGCAGCTGGCTGCTGAATCCGGTGATACACAAGATGGCACGTCTCCTCCATCTGCGCATTACCGACTATGCTCGCGCGTTCACAAACTTTTCTATCGACAAAATCATTCAGCGGATACACGAGGGTTCCAACAAGAGCACCGATCGGGACATGCTAGATCATTTTGTGGACATGAAGGGCCCGAGCGGGGACCCTGCACCCCCTGGTGATATTCTCGCCGAGGTTGGAAATCTTCTTGCCGCAGGCGCCGACACAACTTCTGTAGCCATCAAGGCTGTCCTTGGTCCGCTTTTGCAAGACCCTGATCGGTACGCCCGGCTTCGAAAAGAGGTGGACGCAGTGTTTGAGGCGAACAATGGCCCAGTTGAAGGAAGTGGAGTACTATCGTACAATGTAATTAAGGACCTCCCATTTCTCACTGCGTGCATTAAGGAGGGAGAGCGGCTGCATCCAAGCATTATATACCAGCTCCCAAGGTTGGCTCCAACAGATGGATTCAACATTGAGGGCTACTACATCCCTCCTTCGGCCACCATATCCATGAGTCCACTTGCTCAAAACCGTTGCCAGGCAATATTTGACAACGATGCCGACACATGGAGGCCGGAGCGATGGATCCCTGGAGAGGGTACTTCAGCTGAAAAAATCAAGGAAATGGATAAACAGAACGCGACGGTGGGTGATCTCTCAAGCTGGTCCCTCTGGAGCTTTGTGAGTTGCTGACGAATAACGATAGTTTGGTTATGGATCTCGGACCTGTGTTGGTCGAAACCTCGCTACCTTTGAGGTATATAAGTTCGTCGCGCAATTGATCACACGGTACGATGTTGAGCTACTTAACCCCTCGAATCCCTGGAGTGTTCGTTCGTCGTGGTTCGCCGAGATGGATAATTTGCACATACGGCTAAAACATCGAGTGTGACCGTAACCGCCTCTTGTCTCTCAGAAGGCTACCAGCGTATTTTAATTGGGCAGGATCGAAGTATTTGAAGCGCCAACCTTGGAAGTGTCCTGCATTTTATATATATCATGATGCCCAGGTAGCCAGATCGCGATAGCGACCTAAAAAGGGTAATATATGTGATACTCATCGTTTCTCGGTGGTAAAAGATAAAACTAAACTAAAACTAAAACCGACAGGCCATCCCACTCGCAAATTGTCCTACAGTATTTTATGCCCCTGTTGGAGAAACTTGGAGAATGCCCAGATTTTCGCTCGAGTACATAGGTGCACACGACCGGGTCCGGTTTTCTTAGTAAGCGGGCTGTTTTATCTCCGTCTTCCGATGACTCCATTCGAAACCCTAAAGTATACACTAAGTCTCAGACCTAGCCAATCCGGATTTACCAATTGGACGATCATGCGGAGGCCTCTGTGGAGACTGCGGGGAAGCAGGCTCAGCTAACCCCTGCTCGTCGTCAAGAACCCCAGAGCTGCCATCTATCTGTCGCCCATTTCCCTCCAATCTACGCGCCCTAAGTATGAATTCAACAAATCAGCAACAATCGACAGGAACCAAGCGATCCCTAGGGACTGCCATGGAGTCTCGGCCTCGCAAGCGGGAGAAATATACCCGGATGGCCTGGTAGGTGTTTTCATCTAGGGTTTTCGCGTTGGTCACCTCGCTCAAAGTCTACAGTACCTCCTGCAAGACACGCAAGGTGAGATGCAGCGGCAATCAACCCTGTAATCGGTGTGAGGAACTTCAGGGCGAGTGTGTCTACAATGACCTTCCCCACCCCGACACACAGTATGTCCCACCCACTGGAAGCTCGGGACGACCTGTGACAACTAACCGGCATATAGAAACAACCTTCCGCACTCGACCCGCCTTGATCTAGACCTGTCGATTTTGCGAGTAAATAAAATCTGCGAACAGATGCAACAGAAATTGGCTCGCTTCGCTGACTCGCAGCCGGGTCGACCATGTCTCCAACGCCAGCTGCCGATTGATAACGGAATTCTTCGCCCTAAACCCCAGACACCAACCAACTTTAGGTACACTCTGAGTCTTACTCACTTCACCCTTACCGGAGGGCGAGTGCTGTCGCATTCTTCAAATTCCCCTCCTAAGCGTCCTTGCCATGCCGGAGACGAGCTGGCATCTGCAGATGTCTTGATCTCCTTGCTCCAGGCTGCCCACCCAGTCTTAGAGCTAGGCCACACAAAGGTTACTCAGCTAATCACAATATTCAAAGACGAGGTTTATCCCATATTCCCATGCGTCAGGATTCAATTGGGGCATCATATTGTCGATATCCTCTATTCTCTCCTGAACCGTATTCAACACGAAGCGACGTGGAACCTTGAAGTGATTGACGTCGAGCTCACAAAGACGATGGTGGCTATTGCCATGCTGGTGAAAAATGACACCCAAAGTACCTTGGCTGCAGACCTGGAGGACCATCTGTTGTGGAGTGTAGACTCGTGCTATGACCAGGACCTCCCCCAGATCGAGGATATCATAATGGCAACCCTGCTAGTAAGGCTCCAAGCCCTGTTTAATCAACCAGAACTAACCTCGGCTCTCTCACCCAGGCCCTGTACTACGACCTCAAACAGCGACCGGTCAAGGCGTGGCGTCTGTCTGGAGTCGCTGCTAAGCTATGCCTCGAGCTCGGCCTTCACCGAGAGAGCTTCTTCTCCGACACACAATTATGCCCAGACCGGATTGCTGATTGTAGACGCTTGTTTGCCTGTGTGTATGATATCAACAGGAAATGCAGTTTCTACTCCGGCCTTCCCTGGACCCTTCATGACAGAGAGATCGACCTGTCTACCCTACGAGTAGTCCGTCGCCACAAACAACAATTGCCCTCAGATTCCGCTCGCTGACACCACTTACCTCCTAGGAACCGCCTGATTCCTACTTATCAGCCATGGTCGCCATTGACAGAAGCGTCTCTGAGTCCTGGGCTATCATCAACAAGCCAACGCCACACTCAGAGAAGACCTGCGAACACGCCGAGTTCCTCAATTTTCAACTACAGAAAGTCGTCAGTAGCCTGCCGATGTCGGGATTTACGCCACCTCATCCGTCCGTCAATCCGCCACCCTGGCTGGACCTGCAACTCAAGCAGTTCTGCCAACTCCGAGTGCAACACATCAGGCTACTCAACTACATTGGCTCGTTCAAGTCGCTCACAGATCTACTATCAGACCCGCACGATGCCCGCAAGCTCCTCACCTCCGCAGCTGAGTCCATTGAAATCCAGCAGGGAATTATGATGAGCGCCGCTGCGCAAGAAGGCGAGGTCAACTCGGGGCCCAGCGTCAGTCCGAGCCCGCTTATCCTCCCCTCGGCAATCAAGATACTCCTCTCTTCTGTCTCGTTCATGCTCCTCGCCGTTTCGCACTACACAGCCGAATACGCCCCGCTGTGCAGTGATTCCTTCTATACAGCCATCGAGATCCTTATAGCTGCGCAGGACACAGTAAAGGACCCCGATCTTGACATTAGTGGTACATTAGAGGAGTTGCAACGGATTGCTGATAGTATCCACTTCCCGTCGCCGCCGCCCAAGCGTTCAACTCCCAGCTTGCCTTTGCCTTTGACTTTGGGAGACGATGAGCAGCAGGGATCCGCGGGCCTTGACGCGTTTCAGAGCCTGCAGACGCCCGATACGAGTATTTTCTCTGTTTTGGATGACGCTAATCTCATCAGCACAGATATGTTATATATGGACAACATATTTGGTTAGGCAAAATGGGACGGATGGAGAGGCTTGTTTTACCTCCTTGATTAGCGTAATAAACGGTCGTGCTGAGGGTTTTCACCCGAACTCCCTAGCCTCTCCATCCAACGCGTCAAAGTTCGACCATCATAGTTCAAAATTCCTCTTTTCAAATAATTGCAAGTCCAAATGGCGATGTGGTCCTACTAGGAAAGTCAAAATGAATGCCGCAGCACCGTGTGCTACTTAGTATTAAGTCATCCCTGTCACAGTCCACGGGAGTTTCTACACAATAAACGGCAGAAATATTGACAGTGCTTTCTCGCCGAGGATTGGGGTGTTTTATAAGCTTGATTTTGTTGCCAAATGACGAGACCTGAGGAAGAAACATGATGCTAGTGAAAATTAGATCATATCGACTGCCCAAACACCGGAAATACCTTCCAGCAGCGACAATAATTATGCACTACATGGGCACTGAAAATATATTCATGGGCCTGACGAGGTCACTTGTGGGGACGCGGCGCTTAGCGAGAGGCACTGCAAGCTCGAGCAATCTCGTTCCGCGGAAGGCCCGAGGAATGGTGGCATTGGCTCGTAAACTGGTTGAATCATAGGCATTGCTGGGATTCCTGTCTGGTTGCCGGTCGCCGATAATGCGGCAGGAATCAATCAAACGCCCTGGCAGCATGCGGTTTGTGGCAGGAGATCCTCTGACTTCCAGAACTGCCTCTTGCATAGCTTTTGATATTCCGCTTCTTTCCGGATGTCCGCCCCGCATGGAGCTATTATCGGCGTACAGAGAGACGAATTCTGTAACGGTGATGTGGCAGCTTGCTAAAAATCAAGGGCGGATATGATGGATGTGGGTGAAACACAATATCGCGATGGCGCTGAGCATGCGGCGGTCATCCGTGCACAGTATTTAAGTGGGGTATTAGCCAATATTTAAGCGGGGTATCAGTTATCATATTATGTACCTATCCACGTACCTATCCACCCTCAAATCATCCTTCATTGCTTGAAGAATGGCATCTGTATGGACCCTGGTTCTGCTCGCCGTGTTCGGTCTGGCAGTTGCTATCCGCCATGGCAGAGGGAAAAGTCCTCCAAGCGGGTCGAAACGCCCCCCAAGCCCCAGATATGGTAGACAGAAGACTCTTTAGACTTTGTTTCTTTTTTTGGCATGAATCGTTCCAGGCTAATGAGTTCACACGTCCAGGACTACCTATCATCGGCCATATATTGCAAATACCAGCGGTGCATTCATGGCTCAAGTTCAAGATCTGGACAGACGAGCTCGGGCCCATTGTCAGGTTCCGCATGTTTGGAAGGGAGAACATAGTAATTTCATCCGAGAAAGTGGCCAACGATCTACTACGAGAGCGGGGATCGCGCTACTCCTCTCGAGAACATTTGATAATGGCGTCCGAGTATCTCTCTGCGAATCTTCGTCCGCTTCTGCTGGGCTACGGTGGTGGGTAATTCCCATCTCCCGAAAGAGAGCCTCCTTCCAAGGGTTTTCGTGGCAGCTAATCAATATGCTTTCTTATGTATGATATAGACCGGTGGCGCCGCGGACGAAAAAATGATGCACCATCTCACAATGGTTAACAATGCGAATTCGTATCAACCAATGCAGTCCTTGGAGTCCAAACGGATGCTACATGACCTCCTTCAAGATCCATCTCGTTACGAGCTGTGGTTCCAGCGTTACGCTAGTGGACTGATCTTCCGACTTGCGTATGGCAAGACCATTCGAACAGGAGAGGAAAGCCACGTGCAAAGGATTATTGATGTTAACCATAATCTTGAGCGCATAGCCTCCCCGGGTATCTTTCTTGTGGACTCCTGGCCTATTCTGAGATATCTGCCAGAGTGGCTTGCACCATTCAAGAAAGAAGGGCGACGGCTACATGAAGCCGAATTTGGGCTTTTCCGCGCGCTTCTAAAAGATGTCGAGGCCGAGGTTAATGCTGGTACAGCTAGTCCGTCGTTTGTTTCCACCTGGCTGGAGAACAAAGAATCATTTCCAATGGCGGAGGATGAAGCATCGTACGTCTTTGGGACCCTTTTTGAGGCCGGGACAGGCACTACAGCTGCTGCCATGATGTCCTTTGTACTTGCTGTAGTTCTCTTTCCCCAGTGGCAGCAAGCAATGTGGGATGAGCTTGATGAGGTTGTGGGTGACCGGATGCCTGAATTCGAGGATGTACCCAGACTCCCAACGTGTCGGGCAGTTATCAAGGAAGTCCTCCGGTGGAGGCCTGTTACTAGTGGAGGTAAGTGCCTTTCCCACGGCTCTCATTGCTTTACCTGGCTAAGTGACCTCGTGTAGGTGTGCCACATCAACTAACAGATGACGATGTCTATAACGGATACTTCTTTCCGAAGGGGACCACGGTCCACGCAAATCAATGGTAAGTCTTGGCTCGCACAACCTGGCGCACAAAGCTTCATTCTTAACTCACGGTGCCAGGGCCATTCACCGAGACCCCGACCTGTACCCGGACGGCGACACATTCAACCCGGACCGGTGGCTTAATCCCAAGTACATTACGTTCCGAGAACCACTAAGCAAATATCCATCGCTGCAAAATTTCTCCAGCTTCGACTTTGGTCGACGAATTTGCCCAGGAATGAACATTGCCGAGAGGTCGCTGTATATCCTCTCAGCGCGTATCATGTGGGCCTGCCGAATTACCAAAGCAAAGACTGCTGATGGTGTGGATATCACACCGCCGTCGTATGATTATACCACTGGGTTCAACGCACAGCCGAAGCCGTTCCTGTTTCACCTTGAGGCGCGCTCGGAGCAAAGACACCTGGCAGTTGAAGAGGCGTGGCGAGAAGCCGAAAAAGAGGACCCGCTGGCTTGGACGGCGGATTATAGATTAGGACATTCCCTTGAGGGAGAGGTCAAATCTTGATTTTTGAAAGTATTATACTGATTGGGAAGCTTTAATTCACAGTAGTTTTTATCCGACTGCTAGTTCTACCAGTCATAAAGAAGGAAAGCCTACACAGAGGAATCGCTATAGAAGAGCTGAATCGGAATTTGATTACATGAGAACTGCACCCAAGTGAAAGCTGATTAGAACAGCAAAACTTAGGACCATTTTCACATAGGATGGCTTTTTGTGTCGTATTTATTCCGTCACCTATAAGGACGCTTCATGCAGCTGCAGCTCGAAATTCACTCAGGCTTAAGGGCTTTTTCATTAACGTTTACTGCCTCATGGTTTGATCATGGCACTAGCAAATGTCCCCCTTGGACCAAGGTTATCCAGTAAGAGAGCAGCCGCGAAAATATTAAAATTGCCCTAAACAGAATCAGAGTTACTTGAACAATACCCATTCTTAAGATCGTCTGTTTCATGCAGGTCAGCATTATCGCCTAGACTATAGGTGTTATTAGGGCCACAACATAGGTCTATACTGGACCAATGGGCCGTGACCGAGATTGATTGGGAGAACGTGTGAAGGCGAGGTATTGGACGAAGAGAGTTATAGGGCTTCTTCATTATATCGAGCAAGGGATCAATGTACATATCCGCTAGTTAAAGGCAGTGCCCAAGCTTGAACCGCGTCAAATTGGGCTCTTCATCAACATCATCAGTCTCGAGGGAAAATTCTATAAAAAATGCTGAGCAACTCATCCACTCAAAATTAACGCCCGTATTGTTACCCTTTGACTGGTGCAAGCCCCACCAGCCCTTGCAACCTACTACTATTCTACCGGTAGCCCTAAAAAACAGCATTTAACGGGCGGTTTCATTTACTATTTTTTTAAAAGATAGGTCTAGCATAGGATGGTTCAAGCTGTTCACGGAAATCAAGGAGTAGAAGAACATGATTTCGCTGGGTAACACCAGTAAGGTAAAATAAACAGTAACAATGATATCTTGTCTGGCCATTCCATGACAGAATCTTGTAAAAATATTCTGTTGGAGGGGCAAGTGGAAACGCAGAGGTGGGCCGCTTGAGGCTTACTGGTAGATAGCATTCCGCGGACCATTCCGTACCGGCGCGAGGCCCCATAGATGGAACCAATCTACTCGACCTGCATGCTACCTGGTATGTTCAAATAAGCATCTACCTGAAGCTGAGGGATAATTCGGCTTTCTAGTTCCTTGTGGCCTGCTATGCGAAATTCACCTGATCAGCGCCCTTCCTCTCTTCTGCAGTAAGACCTCATATTGTTCTCCCGCCCAATTTCAGCACAAGACGGCTTTGGCTGTCGACGATCCTCCAAAGAGACGAAGAATATCCTCCATACATCCACCATGAGTCTAAGAGAGTACGCATACAAGCAAGTGGAAGGAGGCGATCTAGTCGCCAGTGTCTGGTACAAGCTAGGGCCCTCAGAGGCGGCGAAACCCATCGGTGAGCACATACCTAAGCCGAAATCGGCACATAATTAACCCAGGCAGCACTCTATTTCCATGGAGGGAACCTGGTCCTCGGTCACAAGGACATGCTCTCCAACGGCTACATTCAGCAACTCCTAGACTTAGGATTCGGGGCGGTTGTCTCGCCAAACTACCGACTTGCCCCGACGATTTCTGCGTTGGAAGGGCCTGTCCAGGATGCCAAGGATAGTTACCTATGGACTCAGACGCAGCTGCCTGAAATTTTAGCCAAGGATACGAACATTCGTCTTGATGGGGACAGGATCGTGACCTTGGGCCACTCTGCTGGAGGGACCCTGGCCCTTTTAATGGTGCGTTGAAACCATTCCTGTCATCTCCAAGGATGTCGGTACTAACGGCCAGCCACAGGCTTCGCTTCCCCATAAACCACTTGCAATCCTTGACATCTTCGGTCTCAAATACTTCAAAGATGATTTCTATTCCAAGCCAAACCCCGCATTCCTCAAAATACCGGACCTGGACCAAGCACTGGTGAATAAAATCTATGAAGATGTTCCAGCGCCAAGTGCCGGCCCCCCCCCATGGGACCAAATGGGCCCGACCTTAGCAATTACCGCGTTGCTTGGCTCTTATCTTCCTTCAAAAAGGGAACGTGGCTGAGATCTATCGTACCAGATGGGAATTATAACGGGATTGACCCAGCAGCGCTCTTTGACCCTTCATTTCCTCCAACATACTTCCTGCACGGGACGGCGGATACACTCGTTGGTGTTGAGTTCTCTCGAAGGGCATTTGAGGAATTGAAAAGTAAGGGCGTTGATACCAAACTCGTCGTTGAGGAGGGAGCACCGCATGGCTTTGATGCCGGGGCGAAGCCAGGTGAGCATAAGTATGAGCTCGTGGCGGCGGGTTTGAGGTTTCTCGCTAGCCATGCTACTTAGTATAATGGGGAGATTAGTCCGCGGGTATGAAATAGCGGCGTGACTAAGGACTCATCTGTACAAGAGTATTCAACTTGCAGATAGTGGTTAATCAGACTTCTTCTCCTCTTCTATCCATATGTCTCCTCTCTATACCCCCACTGCCCCCAGCAGTGGACCTGGTTCGCAAACAGCACCCCGCTATACTAGGCAGAACTGCAAAATTTGAAAGTTTTTTGGGTGTCCTGCCGAACATGTACAGACGGTTTGTACTTCCTTTCAGGCTTTGTATAACCTATTTTACGGAGTACTGCATGAAGAGTCGGACGAGCGAGAGGTTGCTTCGATTCGTTAGAATAAGAGACCATCTTGAACCGTAACTAGTGAGCACTTGAGCGCTTGGAACAGTAACAGCATACAGACAAGCTCTATGGCTCGCCTGCACCATTAAAGGGAGAAGAAAAAGAGAAGAGAAAAAGAAGAAGAAGAGGGGAAAAAAGGTAAACTTGATTGCTGGATAACAAGACATAATCAAAATCGTGCATTATATCAATGGCATTTCCTTACTAAACAAGACTAATGAAGCACAATTTATTACGAAGAACTTAGCGCTAACCCCTGTGGTTCCAGCTAGATATCTACGCAGAAGATCCCTATTCCCCCATCTCCCGATCAGAAGCCCAGTGCGCAAGCCTCATAACTCGCCATTTGAAAGTCGCATGACGGATCCTCTTTCCCCACACGTAGAGCGGAATCCACAAGGCAAGGACAAAGAAGCTGATGCCGGCCATGGTGCCAAAGGCCCCTGTGTACCCATCGCGGTCGACCCAGGGGTTCGTGTAGAAGGACATGAGGAATGCGATGACGGCTAGTACGCGATCCACTGATTAGCAACCAAGTTCTTTGAGATAGCAAAGAAGATAGAAAGAAAAATTAAGTAATAATAGAAAGTGGAAATGTGTCCGTGCCAGGGAGGCGGGCGAGATGAGGTGGGTGACATACATTTAAAGGCAACCTGGCTAACGACAACCTCACCTGCAATGGCTCGGTAACTATCGATCGTGTACGTGACAGTCACACCGATTGCCGCACTACTGCCAAAGGAAACTGTATTGTTTCACAGGTTAATCAGCACCGGTGGCTTTCGTAGTATCCAAGCATGCGGAGAAGAAAGCAACGACCGCCCTACTTACATAAAAAGAGACCAAGAGTAGGAACCATGTAGTGTACTCTGTAGTAGATTCCAAGGCCGTAGAGGAGGAGTGAGCCCGGATAGCAGAGCATGGCCACGCTCACAGCGGGAAGACGCATCTCGGGCTCGCGGATGCCCCCGTTTTTCGATGTTGAGCGATTCGCGACATAGTCGGAGAAGTAACCCCCAAAGGGCATCCCGAGCAGATTCCCGATGATACTCGCAATCCAAACCAAGCCCACCTGCCAGACGGTAAAGTGGTATACCTGCGTAAGAGCGTTGGCCGCAGTCGTGCCCATGACAACGAAGATTCCGATCCCGACACCGAAGGAGACGGTGGACCAAAGGACAGGGGAAGAAGCACGAGGACCACTGGACGGAAAGCAATCTTCCAAATCGATTCTTGGGTCAGAGGAGTGGATTGGAACGCGAGACGCTGGAGAGATGATTTTTTGGACACGTTGGATGCGAACTGTGGCGGGACGTGCTCCACCTCACATACATTTGACGCTTTGGATGTTGACTCCGTTGTTGCTGTCTCGGGACTGTTTGCCTCTCGCTGGAATGCGGTTTCGGGCATGGTGAAGAACATCAAGGTGGTGGTGGCCAGAACCAACGCAGCACACAGGTAATGGAAGTTTCTCCAGCTCTGCGAGATAGACATGAGGCCCGCAATGAACGATCCAAAGGCAGCACCCGTAGAGAGCGAAGCAGAATACATCCTGTCAGAGAGCCGTAAGCATGACCGGAACCAGAAGATCGTTGATGATAATGGTTAACATACGCAGTCATTGTCCCTCGCTCGTGCAGAAAGAATATATCAGTAATCGTAAGTGGAGCAACACACTCGGTGCTCCCAGCAAACCACGCTCCAATTATTCTCGAAGCAAGTAGACTGCCGTAGGTCGTCGCCCGTGCCGACCAAATGCAACAGACCCCAAAAGCCAGAGAGGAACAAGTATACACAACTCGACGGCCATATTTGAGAGCAAGAGGTACCCACAAGAGGTTGGACACACCAGCAGCGGCGGAGGCCGTAGAGAAAAGTAGCGCGGCCTTAGTTACCGCGGACGAGAAACTTGCAATGGAAGATGGAGACAGTGTGGCGGGATTGGTAGGGTCAGGGGGATACGTGCCAAAGAGATCGATGACAATTTCGATCAACACAGTTGATGGGCCAGCTGCGAAGAAATTGACCCAAATCAACGCAGTACAGGTGAGCAGGGCAACGTATATCTTGAAGGCTCTCGACCTGTTGAATATATTAGATCCGAGGACGGTCACGGAGATTGGATGGTTGTCACCGACCAGTTCAAGGGGTCGTTGGGGTCGGACGATGGTTGGGGCACCAGGAGCGTGGCACCGGTGCCATCCTGAAGCCGGACGCGACCCGCCATTTCGGGTTGATTGCTTACCATTGTGGAGACTGGGAGATTGTAGATCAGTGCGGGGGATGCAGGTATCAGACAATGCTGGGGTCGGAAGATGAAGTGATATACCCACAATATGAGGCCTAGCGAAGGACGTTCCGCGGAGGCATTGCGTTGCCTGTATAGATCCAGACGCTTCGGTGGCGCATCACAAGTGAGCCTGAGAATGTGTGACTTGGCCTGCGAATGAGGGGCTAGCCAGAAGTATATTGCTCAGCGAACTGACGACGATAATTGCCGGCACGTTAATGGTAGGAAATACACCTTGCGCCACAAAGCATAACTTGAATATATGTGAAGGAGAGCAGTGTATCGTGGTTTAAGTAACCGTAATAATCAACCTGAAGTCCCGCAAAGCTCCGATAGAGTGCAAATTGACCCAACCACTCGCCTTGGGACCCCATAAGAAATCATATACGAAGAGATGAGTGAGAAATGGTCAGGAATCCATTGGATCAAACTCTTCGGGGAAGCGGATTGAGAAATAAAGGAGACGCAGCAAGAAACTCGCCTTGTCGAAGCCTCCAAGGTCCGTGTACCAGATGCACAATTGTGCACAATAAAGTATTCCCTCTCAATAGGTCCATAAACTGCAAAGTGGCTAATTACCAAAGATTGGATGGGCGAAGAAGTACGTAGAGGATCATTTTCCACTGAGTGCCGCAGTCTTGATACCTCGGAAAAGCGGTAACTGGTACCCGCGGTGTAACTTTACAAGTTCTTCCAACTGCCTGGATCGTGGCGCAACAATTCAGATATCATGCAGGGTTGCAGGAAGATTCCGCGGAAAGTGTTGTATGGCCGCAATCCCCGGATTTCTCAAAGCTCTGTGGGGTAATTTGGTTCAAGCCCCAACAAGGTATAATATACTACCAGACCAAGAGCTTTGATCTGCATCCTTCATAGCTTGAACGTGAAGAAAGCGCCGCTCTAGGCTTATATTCAACCATAACTCCTTTACACATTTGTCTCTACACCGAACAGCCTTGAGTTCAGATGAGAGAAATGGCAGTGCTGGAGTCAAAGCCTGTGCAGAATGCACTGCATGTACCGACCAAAAAAGAGCCCATACGGGCTCACTTCGCCATGGGAACATTATTACCAGCCCATTGACACCACACCGCAGGGCCGCTTCGAGTGCGACCTCGATGAAATGGTTGTTTTTGGTGACATACCCACGACGATCAGCGGAACCTGGTACCGCATCCTCGTAGACCCTCACTTTTGCCCGCAGCCTCGCACCCCCTTTGTTGATGGAGACGGGCATGTCTGCGCGTTCAGAATACAGAATGGGAGAATATCTATGAAGATCAAATATATACACACCGAAAGATGGCTTTTAGAGCGCCAGGCTGGACGCCGTCTATTTGGCCGCTATAGGAATCCCTTTGACATACACCCATGTGTACGGTTTGCAAACGACAGCACGGGAAACACCAACATTATCTATTGGGGTGGAAACCTTTTAGCGCTGGCTGAGAGGGGTTTGCCATACGCACTGGACCCAGACAGTCTCGAGACTAGGGGTGCGGATCCGTTTGGGGGCCAGACAATCGCAAAGACATTTGCGGCGCATCCCAAGGTTGACCCGCATAAGAACGAGCTTGTGACTTGGAGCTACTCTGCAAAAGGGCTCAGCACTCCCGATATCTGCACCTACTCAATCGATACGCAGGGACGCATCGCCAACGAACATTGGTTCAAGCAGGACAAGCCTGGGTGGCCGCACGATGGCTGGATTACGGACAACTGGATCATCTTGTCCAACATGCCCTTTGGAGTCAATAGCGACGAGAAGATGCAGGCTGGCGGTGACTACTGGAGATTCATCCCCGACCAGCCGTCCGAGTTTCTCGTCAGTCCACGCTACGCAAACACGCCGAGCCACCCAGACTGGAACCCCGGCGAGCTTCGCAAGTACACCGCGCCGCACGGCCTAATTATCCATACCGGCAACGCTTGGGAAGAGCAGGAAGGCGGGGTCTTGAAACTCGAGAGCCACTTCCTAGGCTTCAACGTATTCCACTTCTTCAATCCGGAGGACTATGAGAGCCCGCAGCCCAGTGGCGGTTGGCTGCAATGGACGCTAGATCTCTCCAAGCCGGACGGAACCGCACTGCCACCACCAGAGACGCTGTTGACGGGCATATTCGACTTTCCCATCTTCGATGAGAGAATGACTGGTCGCAAAACGAAAATCCTGTATCTGGGCGGCATGGTGACGCCGGACGGAGGATTCCGACCTCAGTTCAACACGATAATCAAGTTCAACACGGAGACTAACGAAAAATCCACCTTTTACGCTGGGGATGACGGAGGCGTGGCGGAGCCAGCCTACATTTCTCGGGGCCCAGACTGCGAGGAAGGCGACGGCTGGATCATATTTTACCTGGAGAGAGACTCGTCGCCCAAGGGTGAACTAGTCATCCTCGACACAAACGACTTCTTGAAGCCTGTCGCAATCGCGCAGTTGCCCTTCAAGACGCGTAATCAGGTCCATGGAAACTGGGTGCCAAATCCTCACCCTGATCAGCCCCTACCATTTATGTCAGGACCCATCAAAGAGGTCATCCCGAGCATAAAGTACTCTCAGCTGCATAGGCTGCCTTAATTGAGGCGTTTGTAGAAAGAGTACGACTCAATGATCAGTTGCTTGCGTTCGTACCGGGGCATGTGGCCTGGTCACCTGATATCTCATAGCCTCACATGAATAGTCACTCGTCACACCACATACAATACTACGCACTTGTTAGCATTTCCATGACCACTACTACTAGTAGTTCTAGTATTTCTTACGCATATTTTGGCATATCTTTTAGCTGCGATTATACAATCCACTCCCAACGGGGAACTTACTCATTTGACACGCAACCAATTCCAGGCGATGCATCGCGCGATACTCTGAGATTAGAGTTTAATACGGCCATAGGGCAGCTTCGAATCCTGGCTGTGGCTCCTGTGAGCCCTGTTGCTGTCGTGATTTCCCTCGCCTTGAAATTCATCGTTCACAGGAGAGTGTCGTGTCGAGGAAGCATGCAATTATGCCACATCGGATGCATTTGGCGCCGAGATTCTGTGCCTTGGGCCGGGCATCGCCCTTGTTTACGCTCAGGGTCCCCAGAATTTCCAGGATTTCCCAATCCGTCAGTGCTTTGGGTCGTCAAGGTTTCCCCAGGTTCCCGCACCGCGGGAACTTCCGAACCTTACTGGCTTCTCCACCGCATCTCGGAACAAGCGGAAACTCACTTGCTGACATGCAGACTCATAAACCGCAAGGCACATATTTCGCTAGCTCGGACGAAACACGGATGGCAGCTGCATTCTAGTTTGACCAATATTCCACCAACAATGATTGCGCAACTCACACCCGTGCCCTACGGCGTTTCTACGCTTGTTGTTGCCTCTGTGGCCCTTTTAATTCTATACTATCTACTCGGACCCCTTCTCAGCCCGCTACGTGACATCGAAGGGCCGGCGTTTGCACGCTACACGCGTCTCTGGGAGCTGTACCAGAACTGGCGCGGTCAACTTGAGCATGTCACGGTCGCTCTGCATGAGGAATATGGTACGTGGCTATCGTGATGCAAAATCGGTCATATGAGTATGAAAACCTAACTACTCTGTCCGAAAAGGCCCCATAGTGCGCCTGGCGCCAAATCGTTACAGCATCAGTGATCCCTCGGCGATTCGCACAATATACGGTGCGGGTTCCAAATTTTCCAAGTCAGACTACTACGACTCATTTGGTTCCCCATCCATGGCGCACCGAGACGTCTTTACTCAAAAAAGCAACGAGAAACACGCCACGGAACGCCGTAAAACCTCGAATCTATACGCCATGAGCTCCATGGTCACCTACGAACCCTTTGTAGACGAAGTAAACGCCAGATTCATCGCTGCTCTGGCGGACCATGCAAGCCACGGGCTTGACTTTGACCTATTTACTTGGATGCAGTTCTATGCATTTGATGTCATTGGAGAGATTACCTTTGGCCGATCGTTTGGTCTAATCGAAGCCGGGTATGATAAGGATCGTCTTTTACATGCCGCCCACGTGGGTTCGATTTCCTACGGGTCAATGGTTGCGTTGGTGCCAGAGATTCACCCGTGGTATCTTTGGTACCAGAGACTGTTCCCGTGGACAGCCACTGGCGGGTGATACAGCGGGTGATAACGCGCGAGATCGGAGCGAGGGTGCAAGGAACAAGTTTGAGCAATCGTAAGGACTTCCTGGAGAAGTGTGTCGAGTTGACAAAGACCGGGAAGATGGATGAGTTTGTCATGAACAATGTCCTTGGCGCCAATTTAGGCGCGGGCTCAGACACCACTGGAATTAGCCTGACTGCCGTCATCTACTTTCTTATGAGGAACCCCCATTGTCTAGAGAAGCTCCGGGGCGAAATTGAGAGGGCGGCGCAGGAGGGAAATCTTTCGGATCCGGTCAGTTTCCAGGAAGCTCAGAGGCTTCCGTACCTGCAGGCGTGTATTAAGGAGGCGCTGAGAATGCATGCGGCGGTTGGTCAGATCTTGAGCAGGGTTGTTCCAGAAGGGGGTGCTCAACTTGCAGGGAGGCATTTTCCAGAGGGGGTAAGTTCCAATTCATGACAGCCAGACAAGATCTACAGCCGGAGTCATCGCCACTAACTGTTTTCTTCCGTCATAGACTGTCGTCGGGGTCAACGCCTGGGTGATTCACAGCGATGCGAGCATCTGGGGTAAAGATGTGGACCAGTTTCGACCGGAGCGCTGGCTGGTTCCGAAGGAGGAAGTTGCACTTTTGGAACAGAATTTCCTTGCAGTAAGTCTATACCGCTTTTTGATCGCATAATACTCGTCCTAACTTATTATATAGTTTGGGGCTGGGGCAAGAACTTGCATAGGGAAGAATATCTCTCTCCTTGAAATGACAAAACTTCTGCCGCAGTTGGTGAGGAGGTTTGACTTTGTGCCTGCGGGGAACAAAAATTGGACAACAAGCAGCGGATGGTTTGTCAAACAAAAAATCCAGGTTAAGCTTATTGAGAGAAAGTAGCGTGAGCAGGACTTGTAACGAGGATCGAGAGATAAATTACTCTGTAGCATAACGAAAAAGCGTCTGCGTCTACTTTCAGTTTCTATACTGCAAATTGCGGCTCTACAATGCATCTAATAGCTCAGGCGCTAACTCAGGGTAAGAACGAAAGCAAGCAGTTTAAATAGGATAAGAGCCCCTAACTGCGCACACAATCTACGTCTATCAAGAAGTCGGAACACGTGTGTTTTAACCTAGGGAACTCACTAAAGAGTCTACCTTTCACATATAAATGGTTCGGGTCATAGTGTTTAAATATTGAAATGGACTTAAGATCAGGACACATAATAGAATGGATTAACATATATGATGTTCTCAAACTGTCTGGCTGAGCTCTAGATTTGACCTACTGCTCCGGTAGAGCAACAACAGGAACAATAATCCTCGAAGCATATTTGCCACCAAAATGAATGATGTGCTGACCCTCGTTAAGGTTGTCCAGCTTCTGCTCGATATGGCTGGGGAAGTCCGAGCTGGTATCGACGAAACCCTGTACACGGAAGAGAAGACCCTCGCCGGCCTCGAAGTGTATGCCCATGGGCCAAAGTGCGATTTCAAGCTTCACAATCTCCCCAGCAGGTACCTTTTCCTCATCGTTGTGCGGGTGGAATGGGATCAATTCGGTGCTACGTTTCGGATCTTGTGCGCGACGAGACGCGCGTAGAATGCCAGTTGGGCCGGTGTACTGTGCCACAGGCGGTTAGTCCTAATATTTTCTACTTGGGCTGAACAACTCACCTTCACGGTTTGGGTCATTGGTACGTCGTGTTGTGTATTGACTCCTTCCGGTAGGGCCTCCCAAGGAACGTTGACGTGCTCAAGAACTTCGCCGCTCTTGCTCAACTTGCGGATGGATACGTAAACATCCATGTCGTTCTTCTCGTTACAAGACATCCAAAGCTCGGCCTTTGAGTGGCCAACGAGTGTGGTTGTTTTTTCAAATTTCAAGATGAACTCGGACGGCTTTGCGCGGTAGCTGTCTGCTTTGTGCGCAACAGAGCCCTCGTTGGCTTGCGGCGATGGCGCCAGCCTGCCCTCCCCGTGCAGATAAAGCGACTGGTATTCGGTGGATGGAATAGGGTAGTCCGAAAACGGGACGTCCAATTTGGGACCCTGGATACCCATTAGTCTTTGTTTTTTCTTTTTTTTTCCCCGATGCTATCAGTACTACAAGTCTGGAGAATTGACAACGTACCGGCTCAAATCGATTCCCGTATGTAAGAATGGAAATCCTTGCTCGTGGAGTTTGCTCCCAGCCGTTCTCGATTCCCTTTAGGTAACGGTCAAAGAAGCGTTGCAGGTCATCAATATACCTAGGGGTGTAAAGATCGAACCACTCCTGGGTTGCATGGAAGCGAATCCATTTCTCCTTTGATGCGGCATTTCTCCATCCTCTCACGGTTCCAGACCCATGATTCCCAGAGGAATAGCTTGCCAACGCATAGATGGGAATTGTAATGCCGCTAGTGTCGTATACCTTGTCCGCCCAGTATGCATTGAACAAAGGCCATTTAGCAAGCGCTCCTGCAATGTCCTCGCGCTGGGTTCGTCCGCGGATAGTTTTGTTGAAGACGAAGCTAGCAAAGTTGGTTTTGGGCACGCCACCACGGCAAACCAAGTCACGGTACTTGTCCGTGAAGGCTTCCCAGGGCGCAATGCACTTAAGCGAAGGAGGCTGTTGAATTGCCGTTGCCCATTGTTCTGTTGCCAGCCATGAATTGCCGCACATGCTGACGGCACCGTTGCACCATGGCTGCCCAGCGATGAACTCAACCGTGTCGAAACCGTCAATGCCTGCTATTGTTAGTAAGTGATAGTATATTGGTGCAAGAGCTAAGCCTACCCATCTGGCTTCCTTCGATATAAAGATCGCCCTCACTGTCCCAACTGCCTCGAATGTCCACATTGACAACCACGTAGCCACGTGGGCACCATTCTACAGGGTCGGGTCTGCACTACCTGGTCAGCACATCTAAATGCACACATAGGGACGGGACAAGTCAGGGCGATGAGTACCCTTCAAACTTCTCTAACCCCGAAGTAGAGCTCTCGGGAAGCCCGAGCCGGAAGGGGATATTGTCAAAAATACGGAAGCCTGGCCACAGTACCACGATTAAAGCTGTTCTACCTAGGTATCAAGTCAGGTGAGCAATCGCCTACCATTTCCGTTCTTTCCATATGGACTTATGGCCAATATCGCTGGAAGCTTTGTATCCGTGACAGGCCTGAATATGTCGCAGTAGATCTGACTCGCCCGTTAGTCTGTCGTTTCATTCGTTCTCTTATTCACCCTGTCTTTTATCGCAGATCACCGACTGACCTTGACTCCATCCCTGAGCGGCACTGCGACGTGTTCGTCGAATATGATCTCCTGGTGCAGCGGGCGTCTTCCTTTGTTGAACCTCCAGCCTACCGGAAGAGTTGTGGTGCCTCTGTTCTGCTTTCTGTAGGGATACATTTCGGTCTCATCTTCAGGGCGAATGGTGGGAACCCAGGGGATGGGCAGCCCTTCAAATTCGAGGTTCGGTGCGGTCATGGTGGATATCCTCAAAATCAAACTTTCAGCGTACTAGTAATTGTGACGCTGAATATATACGCTTGATTGTCTTCGCGCACGGTATTTATATGCTGTGAGCATCACTTATACTGCATTGTGGGGAACCCCGCAGCAGCGCTAAACGTGGAGTGAATACAATGTTTCCTTCCAAGGTTTCAATGGCATTCCGCGGAATAAACCGAAAACAGCCAACCCTATTCCACACATTCGCGCTGCCGTGCTCACACTATGTGTGGTGTCTAACAAGTTTGGGTAAAAGCAGGTCTGGTACACGCAGCCTACCCGCCTCATAGTCCTCATATTCATGCAGCTCAGCGGTTCTATGAAGTCCCGAGGTCAACCCCTAGATCGGTTTATCTAAAAATGATCCAATTTAGCCAACGCATCGGAAGCGACCCGCGGTAGGGCACCACACCATCAAAATAATGATCCCTTCAAAACCACCAGTTCGTGCTCAATTCTTTACACATTTAACTTCTTTTTTATATATACCGTGACATAGAGCAAAACATGGGCCATTACCAAGCCTGCAATGCCCCACTAAAACTACATGCAGCTTTTATCGTCGCGGGTGAGAACAGAGAAGAGATGGATCAAGATAGTAGACAAGAAGATTTTTTATTTATCCTCTGTGATCTCTAAGTGGCTTACCTAGGCACGAGATGAGAAGTAAGCCTATGGAACCTAGCGAATAGCCTTGTAATCATCATTTATATTTGCTGGAATGTCGACCTGCTGGGAATAATCGTACGAATTAGCCCCCCTCTTTCCCCGGGAAGATTCTTGCGTCCTTGGTGGCGTTAATTCGGAAATCGAGTTCTTATGGGGGAATAGCCCGACTATCCAATCGATAAGACATCAAGCCATTAGTCCATCACAGAGAAAATCATGCTTTCACCTGGGCACGGTGTAGTTGTAATGACGATCCGAAAGATCTTCCGTACTGATTTCACTATTTTCCAGCCCTTCATGTGGAAGAACAAGGCCGCCTCGCATACCGTGAAGCCAGTGAAAGCAAGATCCTCAGTTAATTCCCAAGAACGTGAGTGGCATGTCGAGGACGAGGAATCTTATATGTATTCTCATTGGCAATTGCCATCTCCAAAGCTTCATCCATGAGAGCCCAAGAAAACGTAAGAGAAGGGGCGCCCCTCTTCTTCCTGAGAGGGGGCACATTCCACGCTCCTACTTTCGAAGAATGCATGCGCTTTCATAATCAGCCTTAAAGATTTCTCAACTCCCGGAGAAGGCGAAGAATCATGGATAAGTATCCATCGCTGCAGTAGAGCATGCAGATGCGGGCCCAGTTCTACCAATGCAGCTCGGCGGAGCTGTGCCATTAGTTGCGGGTGGCAGAAGCCACCCATAAGAGTCAACACTGCGGTCGCTAGCCTGCACGTAAATATCCAAATTATTAGCCTTAAGAATACAGTCAAAACTCTTGTTCTATAACTTACGATAGCGAGCACAGCCATGTGTCAACCATCACTGTATACGGGATCTGTTTCAGATGCTGCAGCTTGGAGAGGCAAGTGTCCAGGGCAATGCGGCATCCATCCAACACACGGAGATCGTTATTGAGGTCAAACGATGGGTTAGCTAGGGCCCATTCTAGGTACGGTCGGTATATCACACTCCGACAGCTAAGATACCACTGTCGGAGGTATTCGCTGTATGGGTCGTCGGCGGGCTTCGCATCTTGTGGGAACTGCAAACTGGGCGGTAATGTTTGGTACCAATCTTGCAGCTGGCGAGCCAATTCTTGGTTGACAGAAAGAAAATGATTGGAGTATATTTGGAGCCCAGTTTCGCGATCGTACATCATGTAGTGGGCTCTGTTGAGAAGCCGGCGGAGGGCAATGGTCGCGAGGAGGTAGAATGTGGACTTTTCGCCCTCTTCGGGGTCTTCGTGAGTGCGGAATTTCCCGGGGAGGGAGATCATGGATTCCTTTTCCGCATTGTAGTTTTGCGGGAGCGATGGTAGCTCTGAGATGTAGTTGCTGTAAAAGGTTTTGTGAGTAGGCGGATTCAATTTTAGCTTTGGGAGATTGCACACCTCTCTAGTACAAAGCACGACCAGAATACTCGGATGATGATTTCACGGTCGTCACGCTCTGAGTTGTCGAAGGTGCATTGCAATAAAAACCGACATCGAGTCGCTGCGCTATTAACGTGGGACCATGTTTGCAATGGTCTCTGAAGGAAAGAGAAATAAAGGCTATAATATGCTGATGTCAGTTTCGAGCTAGCGCATTCGGATGGTATATTCCCATCTTACCCAGTGAGTAGAAGACATTGGCACGCCTCCACGCTCATTTCGATATGTGCCAGATGCAGCATCTTCATGGCAGCATTGAACCATGCCGAGCCTCGTTGTTTGAGCTTCTGAGACTCGTCAACTGAAATGTCTTCGTCTATCACTGAAGCCCCGATGCATCCCAAGGCCATTACCAGTAATGATAGGCACGATTGGGAACTAGGCTCCAAGTCTTCATGTGATATTCTCAATTGGATAGACTTGAGGTTATCCAAGCTCATCGTCGGAAACCAAAAGTTGTATGTTTGTTGAAATATGCTCACTATCGCTTTGACTTCGGACATGCTCATGCTGGGAAAGACGGCATAGCGTGCATTCTGGAACTGCGACCGGCTATACTCCAACGCCAACAATGATTTATTAACCTCCTCTCGGATTGACGGTTGGTCCAGAAAGATAGGCCACTTCAGTAGCGACTCTGCGGAAGAAAGGTGGCCAGATGACAGGACGGCACTCTCAGTGAGGTCCCTGGAATTGCTAACAGTTGGAGGATGGCCTGTATCTTGAGACATTGACCCAAGTGTTGACATCGGTGATGTCGAGCTTGCTTGTGCTTCGTTCACTCCATTGGATCCTCTGGCATTGAAAACCTGGGATTTGTTCTCAGTGAGGAGAATCACAGAGAGGAGGTACAGGCATGCGCTTACCATCATATTCTTGAGCTCATCGATTGAATTTTCCATCCGTAACACTGTATCCAATATCATCTCACTTTTCCCTCTTCTGATTTAAAATGAGTTTCTGGTCATCAAGAAATTGGGATCAAACACTTACGAAATAGCTTCCGTGCCATATAAACACGTTACATCCAAGCTAATGCAGGGTCCACAGGGATCTCGGGCATCACATCTGGAAAATATGTTACTAATTATGCAGCAATTTTGTTAGTAGTTGGTTTCAACGAACCTTGTTTTACGTTGGCGACATGAATCGCACTGCGAGTCATGTTAGTCCCCGCTCCTGGGGTGGACTTGCTGGAATGTGAGAAGTAGGACAGGACATCGTGAGACAGACCGCTCGTGCCGCCCGGAACCTCTTCATTTCCAATGTCTGCGAACAGTCTTGGACGCAAAGGCTTTGTAAAGTCAGGCAATGGCTTTCATCGGCTGCAGTATATGGATTAGAGTGTAGAATGTGTAGAAAACTAGTCGTAAAAACCCACGCGGAGCTGAAAGTGGGGTTGCACGTGACGCTCAATCGGCGGAGTTTCTATACATCAAGTTAAATAAATGTTCATCATTTTGTTTTGCTTTCCCCAATATATTTAATTTTAGAGTTAAGATTTGGACAGGTGAAATGGTTGAAGGGCCTTCAAGAACTACGGCGCTCGATAAGTGCAGGGTGGTCAGTAGTTGTATATGGGGGTATTCTACAGTGGTGACGCAAAAGTTTCCAAGCCCTTGTTGACGCCTGGTCTCCACCTTTCTGATGCCAGACTAGCTACCTTGTATGGAATACTTTAGCCAATCTATTCCATCTCAGGTAGCTACTAGTCTGCCATTTGAAGTCGGTCGAAATTGGTGGGCAGTAGGGAGTTTCAAACGTTTGAAATGCCATTGTAAAGTACTATATACGACTACTGACCACCCCGAGCTTATGGAGCGCGGTAGTTTGCTGAGGATGCTAATGCCCATGCGGGATCTAAAAGAGTTGTGCGTGTATATTTACGCTAAGGACAGATATGTTTTTAAATTATATGTAGACATTACGGGGTATGTTTCATAATGTCAAGCCCTGGAGGTGAAGATTGTTGTATCTTTAGAAGCGTAGTAAGGTAAATTTCGTTCGTTATCTCGTTCAAAGAAGCGTGAGATATCTCAACGACGGTGGTGCATATTCATTTATTCTTTCTAAGATATTGATCATTCCTCCGTCCTCTGACGATAAGTATGAAACTTGCGAGCAGGGATTTTCTGCTCGAACATGTGATCAAGCTCCTCAAAAGACCGGCCCTTCGTCTCGGGCAGATAGAAATAAGTCCAGATGGTGGCAATTATGGAGAAGAAACCAAAAATAAAGCCAGTTTTGCCTCGGAGATTCCCTTCGTCGGGATTGATCATATAGGGCACGGTGATGGTCATAATCAGTGTCCACAGGTTCTGCGTGAAGAATCCAATGCTCACTACATGAGACCGCAATCGAGTAGAAGACATCTCTCCACAGATCACGTATCCCAACGGGCCAAGAGTGAGATCGTAGAAGAAGTTCCAGACAATAATCAGAGCGGATTGGCCCCAAGCGATCGAGTGGTTGTAGCCCGGGACGACATCCAGAATAGCAATTACAAATACAATGACCGTCAAAACAGCCATTCCTGGGACGAGAGACCGTCTTCCAATAACGTTGATGACATACCACGAGCAGATGTTTCCAACCACACCAACAGCAGTCACACCTACGCCCATATCAAAGGAATGGGAGGTCGGAAGGCCGGCAACTGATCAGAGAAGAGACATTAGCTAGGTAATATAGGATATCAAGATGAATGACATACTCTCGAAGAAGTAAGTGGAGTAGCTCAATACGAAGTTGACGCCACTGAAAGAGTTGATTGTCCAGACGCCGAAGATAATCAGGGTTCGACGTAGATCGGTTCCCCGGAAACAATCGATGTAACCTGCAGAGTTTGCCGATTCTTCTTCCATTCGAACGGTCTCTTGGATCTCATAGAGCCATTGATCGACATTCCCGCCAATCTGGAATTTCTGGAGAGACTTCTTGGCGTCTTCAATCCGGCCTCGCTGCACATACCAGTAGGGAGATTCGGGGCAGAACCACACCCCGGAGAATAAAATCAACGGGAAAAACCACTGGAAGGCAAAGGGGATGCGGCAGGCAAATGTGTCCGATCTATCCCCAAAGGCTTTGATCAGACAGTTTCCCAGCAGCTGGCCAATGACGACAAAAAAGTTCACCAGAGCGGTTGTGAGACCTCGAATCGCAACAGGACTGGACTCGGAGCAATAGGCGCATGCAGTGACAAGAAACATGCCAAGTGCAATACCATTGACCAATTTTCCAGCGAGGAGGACTCCACGATGGAAGGCGAAGAACTGCAAGAAGATGGCACCTGAGGATATGACGCAGGCGAGAGCCAAGTTCGACTTTCGGCCGATGTAGAACGAGAGAGGCCCGCACAGGAGACTTCCAATCATGCCACCCACCGTTGCAATCATATTGAAGGCAGCTTGCCATCTTGCAGGAAGAATGGTCTCGCCATCTGGGAGCGTGTATCCAAAGACAGCACGAAACTGGGGCGCTGCAAGAAGGCCACCATTGACCTGCATATCGTAGCCCCATAGGACTGCAGACATGCAGAAGAAGATGCAGTAGCCCATGGACCTCCAGTATTTAGCAATGGCGATTTTCATGGCGATGTCATGCTCTCGGTTCTGCATTGCCCTGGACTGCGCGAGCTTTGCATCTTCCAGACCCGTCGTGACCGGCGTGGATTCCACGTGGGCACTGTCCACCTGTTGTTTATCGGGATCCATGACGACCAAGACCCGCGGGCCCAAGAGGAGTAAAATAAAAAATGTAGGATAGATGAATTTGACTTGTCTTGTCAGAATCTGATATTGCTCAATGGTGAGTCTCGGGGAAACAGGGGCTTTAAGCACTTCGGATCTCGTCTGATATTGCTCTTATTCCTCCGCATTTCTCAATTCGGCCTCCAGAATCTCCACCACTGGTCATCGGGAGGTCTGCATCTGGGGAAGCTAGCCGATCAGAGCAGAGGCGTGGGGTAGGTTAGTTCGTTCGCACATTGCACTTTGCTGAAAATGTACTGGTGTAGCGCAGACGGGAAAGGTCCATAAAGCAAATTGACCCTCCGGCCCCGATACACCCGGTGCCGCTAGCCCCGGCACTTCTGATTGGTCACTCAGACAACACCTGCCGGCCCCGATTGACCCGGCTCAGCAAAACATCCTAGGATCGTCACGATATCGCAAATATTGCCCCTCTCTATGACCGGACTTTCGTTGACCAGAAAGAAAAATGCAATAAAAATCATGTAAATTCCACTCGCTTTCCGAGAGGGCAATTCTCTTCTCTCAGGTTGTCCGGTGGGTATAAGAAGAATGCAGTCCCGTTGATTTCACAAGCTCAATCCACTCCAACGGTGAACCACTTCCCTAGGAATTGGACGCGATCTTCAATTACAATGGTGTCTCAACAGATCACACAGCTGCCTCTCCAGGCCGACTCTGAGCGGCCAGACTACATGAATCCTGGGATCTTTCGACGAAACTGCCTCCCTGCGCGATCGTATCACATCCCTCCAACATCGATGCTGCTGAATGGAAACTGGGAATTCCACATGGCCAGGGCCCCGCTGGTAGCCCCAGTACCCGGCGAAGAAGATATCGACGAGACGTGGTCCAAGATCAGTGTTCCGGGTCACTGGCAATTGCAGGGCTGGGGTAAGCCCAATTACACCAACACACAATTCCCAATTCCAGTGTGCCCTCCATTCGTACCTACCGAGAATCCTACTGGAACCTACCGCCGTCGGTTTCAAGTGCCAAAGGAATGGGATGCAACCGACGAGATTCGCCTGCGCTTCGATGGTGTCGACAGTGCATACCACGTTTGGGTGAACCAGAACTTGGTGGGCTATGCACAAGGCAGCAGAAACCCCTCCGAATTCGATGTTACACCTTATCTTCGGAAGAACGGCGACAATGAGGTTTTCGTACGTGTTTATCAGTGGTCAGATGCGACTTACATTGAGGATCAAGATCAGTGGTGGCTGTCCGGTTAGAATGACATTGCGATCATATGTAATAGGAGAGGAGCATTCACTGACACTATGTTACAGGAATATTCCGTGATGTGACGTTGATTGCATTCCCAACAAATGATCGGTTGAATGACTGGTTTATTCGGGCAGACCTAGATCCGACTTACACAGACGCAACACTGCTCGCAACGATCGATTACCAGGTATCCAAGCAAAGTAGCCTTGAAATCCGATTGATCGACTCGATTGATGGCGCGAGAAAGACGATATCATCAGCAGAACGAATCTTGCAGCCAGAAATTTCCAAGGTCGAGTTAAAAGTGCCAGTAACTGCTCCTCAGAAGTGGACTGCCGAGCGGCCTTACTTATATGAGGTGGAGATGATCTTATCAGCCCCGGGCTCTGACAAGACCTCGAAGACTACTCAGCGAATTGGTTTCCGCAAAGTAGAACGCAAAGGTGGTCTGATCACAGTCAATGGGAAGGCCATCAGGCTTCGTGGTGTTAACCGACACGATCACCACCCTCTTCTGGGCCGGGCGGTGCCGCTGGATTTCATGAGAAAAGATTTGCTTCTTATGAAAGCCCACAATGTCAATGCCCTTCGGTGCAGCCACTACCCTCCTGACCCTCGTCTTCTAGACATGGCAGACGAGCTGGGTTTCTGGGTCATTGACGAGGCCGACCTTGAATGCCATGGTTTCTATGATGCAGTAGCTCGCCCGATGGACATGGATGAGACGCTTGGCTATGAAGAGCGCAAAGCCCAAACTTTCCCAAAGTGTGGCATGCACACATCGGACAACCCCGCTTGGCGAGAAGCCTACGTTGACAGGGTGCAAGCACTCATCCAACGAGACAAGAACCATACCAGCGTCATCATCTGGTCCATGGGAAATGAAGCGTTCTTCGGTAGTTGCCATCGCTCGATGGTTGAGACTGCCCGGGCCTTTGACAACACGCGTTTGATTCATTACGAGGGTGACATTCACGCAGAAACGACCGATATGTTCAGCTTCATGTATCCTGATATTGAACGCTTGCGATCACTCGCAGCTACTGAAGATGTTGCCGATGACGGTACATTTGACAAGCCGATCATTCTTTGCGAATATGCCCATGCCATGGGCAACGGGCCAGGTCTGCTGGCAGACTACGAGAGATGCTTTGATGAAATCCCCCGCTTGCAGGGTGGCTTCATCTGGGAATGGGCCAACCATGGATTGTGGGTAAAGGGTAAAGACGGTAAGGGCGGCTTTTATGCATACGGTGGAGACTTCGATGACTATCCTAATGACGGAACCTTCGTGATGGATGGGCTCCTGAACAGTGCCCATGAGCCGCTCCCGGGCCTCCTGGAGTTGAAGAAGGCTTTCGAGCCCGTCAAATTGGAAATCAAGGGACAGGTTTTGTCTCTGAAGAACAAATACGACTTCTTGGATCTAGGCCATCTTCAAGCTTCGTACCAGCTTGAGGCATTTGGCGAACAGTGAGTGTCACGGTTCTTACTTAAATGATATCGAGAAGACTAATACGCTATCTTAGAGCCAAAACTCTGGCAACCGGAATACTTATACTACCTCATCTTTCAGCCGGGCAGTCTGCGGAGGTTCCTATCCCAGAAGAGCTCTTCCAGCACAACTTTCACCCTGCCTTCTTGACCATTACATTGCAACAGCGAGAGAAAGTCGAATGGGATGAGAATCATTTTACGGTTTCTTGGACGCAAAAATTGGTATCCGCCCCTTCTGAGAAGCCCTCTGCCATCGGCGTGAGCTCTAGTCAGATGCAAAACGCCATCAATATCAACACTGCCAAGACCACTGTTTCCATCAGCGGAGCGGACTGGTCCTTTGAGTTTGATCGTATCCACGGACATCTTAGGAAGTGGGTTTTTAAGTCGAACACGATTCTCGAGTCCAGTCCAGATGCCGGGCCAGCCATGATCCCTGCCTTCTGGCGTCCTCCCACGGACAATGATGTGCCTTCCGCTGCGCCGTACTGGAAGCGGTTCGGGGTGAACGATATCACGAATCAACTTCGCTCATTCGAAGTCACTTCGTCTGAAACAGGCGGTGTTTGTGTCAACAGCGACACATTCCTTTCGCCGCCGGTTCTCTCCTGGGGCTGGAAATGTCTCGCACAATACCTGGTCAATCCCGACGGGTCATTGTCCGTATCCATCAAATTACAACCTAAGGGTGCTGCACCCACCACTGTCCCACGAGTTGGTTTGAATCTTCGCGCCAGCTCTGATCTGACATCTGCACGTTGGCTCGGGCTTGGACCTGGGGAGTCCTACCCTGACAAGAAAGCGGCGCAGAAGTTCGGTCTGTGGAATGTTGACAGCATTGACTCTCTACGGACTGAATATGACGTTCCCCAGGAGAACGGCAATCGTGTGGACACAGCGTGGGTAGAGCTCGTTTCGTCGAATGGAACTGGTTTCCGTGCAACCCCGCGGGAAAGCACTTGGTTGACTGGAGGTGCTAGTGGGTTGAGTTGGACCGCCAGCTGGCACTCTGACAAGCAAATAGAAGATGCCCGGCATCCTTGTGACTTGGTCGATGAAGGTGTCTTGTTCGTCAGATTGGATCAGCAGGTCGCGGGAGTTGGAACTGCGGCGTGTGGTCCGGGACCTATAGATGAGCACTTGATTTCTGTGAAAGATATCGCGTTTGGCATGCTGTTAGAACCCGTCTCACTATAGGATGTGAAACATCATGATGCCAAGAAATATATATACTATGTAGTTCAAGTTTTATCCTCAGGTGTCGACCGTAAACTTGGAAACGATCCAATCACATCCAGTCACAACTGTCCGCCATAACCAGGCGAGTCATGGTCAGGTTGAAGCCCGAATAAACCCCGCCTAGGTACAAGAACCAACCCCGGGTTTGCCCCAGCAGAAACCGCAAATTACCAGATCTTCCGGGGTGCCGAATCTTCGGAGCGTTGTGCCTAATCGGGACCGATCCCCTTCGCCCGGCCCCGGATCCAAGGAAACTCTTTTTTTTATGTTTTTATGTTTTTGATTTCTGGAGTCACGCGAGTTTGAAGATTGCGCAAATGAAACTGCAAATGCAAATGTAAATGCACTTGGCCGGTTTAGAGGGGCATTGCGCTATGACGAATTATCCACTCTTCCCACCCCCCTCTTCTAGCTCTAGCTGCTCGATCGACCTTCCCCCTCCTCGTGGCAGGCCCGCTCCCAACGACTCTTTGGGCATCTCGCGAGGGGTGCAAGCACCGGTCGGCCATTTTCTGCCACGCTGAGAGGTCAAATATCAAATATTAGACTGTCGGCATTCCTCCGGACGTGGGGGAGGGGTGCTGTCTTCCCCCTCTAGCTTTGCAAGCCACAAGAAAATCCCTGTAACACTGTTGATTTGTTCTTAGCTGAGCTCGGACCGTATTCCTTCGCCAACATCCGGGATGATGACCGAAGGTGGGACACTCCGCATTCCACAATCCTGCCGCCCTACGGAGTCTTCCTTTCGCTGCCAAGATTTCAATACCGTGGCTCTGGCTGCATGTCATCGCACTGGGTACTCCGGACTTTATTGTGTCCGCAATCGCGTGGAAAACTAACCACCATCGAGAACCCGAAACCCCCTGTTCTATGGGTTTCGCGGAGAACACGCAGACCAGTAATTTCAATAATTGTGGACAACACTCCTTGCAGGAATGTTTGAAAACCCACCAACACCACACAGCCCTTGTTAGCCTCGCGTTGATCGGGAGGCCATCTCGGCAAGTGTTGCGTTGGCCTAAGCTCCCGGCTCGGCTCCTGCGAGTGGCAGATTGGTACATCCGTAGCGCCAGCTCCTGCAGGGCTCTGACACCCTTAGATTACTCTGACTTTACATACATACGTGATCCTGCTGCAAGCGTAAGGCAGCGATAATTAATCCCGCAACGTCTGCAGGATTTGCAGTCACAAGGCTAGCCCAAATATCGCCGCCACACAAAGCGCCCAGATGAATGAGTACAATATATCCGCACGTATGCTTTGTTTCAGTCCCTTGAGTCGGTCCGGATATAGCGACACGGAGTACAGTACCTGGACCAAGTACAATACGAACAGAGCCGGTGGCAGGATTTCGGGCCCTGACATTTCCCAGGTTCTTGATTGGGGCCACCGGATCCGCTTTGGAGCGCGTGAGTATCTGAATTCTCCAGCAAAGCTGACTTGAGTGGACTCTTGGTTCCATTCTCAGCCCTCGACAAAGTTAGCAGTCCCCGCAAATCCCCGATTGTGGCTGTTGTTGGTTTCCCCATAATGAATTTCGTCATTTCTAGTTTTTTGACTTGGGTTGTTAAGGGGGAAAATCCACCAGGAAATATTATTGTGCGTGGTTCTGGATGAGCCTCCTAGGTGGATCTATCCAGACGAGGTATGATTTTCATTGATTTTCTAAAGAATTATTGTTTCCAGACCTGTTTTTTTGATGTTCACGATCGGAACTGCAACTATGAACTGCAAGTGCCTGCTATCCGCCAAATCCGACAATCGGCACTTCTCTTAAATCACACAAATTATGCACAAGTATTGAGCATCAAGCAAAAGCGTACATCCCGAAATGGTCGGAAATTATGTTGAAGGGCCGGTGGCCGAGCCAGCTGATTCTTGCCTAGGCATCTCACAGGAATGTACCTAGGCTTAAGGAAGTATAATCTGGACCGTCGGACCGCACGGCTCTTAAAGTTTTCAAGTGAGGGTTGGGCTCCGGTCCTCGGCAGTTTCGGTTTGTCACGGGGGCCTATCAGGGGTAAGATGGAATTCTGGACTCTGTGGGGAGTTTCTGAGTTCCGTCGAGGCCGTTGGCATTGGCGTTCGTGTCTGGGGGTGAGACAGTCGTGCCGTCGGTTGCATTGGGCTAGACCCCGCTCTTAATAATAAAATAATCGACATTGATTGAGGAAGCCTGGAATAATCTAATTAGAAATTGAAGATTTATTTTCCAATAAGATTATTCTAATCCTCAAATTTGTAGTAATGTACATGCAGTATAACCACGACGGGGATTTCTTGTCGTACATAGTCTAGAGTACTAGAATTTTCACAGCTCTGTCTCTCTCCTCTCTCTGTAAAGTACTCCCTATATGCAGCATATTCAATGTAACCATTATGCACAGCGATCATCACAGGAATCAATGCTTCGACGGTTTTATTCCCGCAGTCAGTGGAGTACACAACAGATCAGCGGAATAGGTAGGCGCAGATCAAGTCATTCTCCAGGCCTCCTGAAATAGGTAAGCCTGCGAGAGACGCCTCCACCTGGGGGCCCGCTTCTTCTCCGCCATCGGCGACTGGAGACACCCGTAGAATGCTCCAGTCCTGGCTGGACTGCTGGACTGCCTCTTCGAAATAGTCCCTCGTCCGTCCCAAATCTCACTAGCGGCTGTGATCTTCCCTCAGGACCAGCGGTCCGGTGGCTACTGTGCCGCGGGACCTTGGGGAGTCGGCGTATTTCGGGGAATTTTGGGGTAGTGGAGATTTTTTTCTGTGGATTATTTATGTTGTATCCCTTTCTTCTTTGTGTGAAGTTTGGTTTAAATATAATAATAGTGAAGAGAAAATATAATGGCAATGAAACTCAGATAGGAGAATCCCAACAGTTTCACCCTAAGAGGATTATCATGGAACTAGTTTCGTTGTCTGTTCCATATAGCCGACTGTAGCCACCCCCATCGGTACGGTATTGCATTACATACCGTACCGGACCCGGTCGCATTTCCTTGACGGGGGCTCCACTCCAGAAAATTCAGACTCAGGGGATTTCTTGTTTTGCAAGATCTAATACATCATATTAAATAGTAGAATCAGTTTGAAAAAAGATAAAGAGGCAGAGAATTTAGTCTACAGATACCATGTAGTACTATAGCCATAATCATACTATTCATGCTCTATACATGGTAATTCTCTCCGAAATGGCACAGTAACGTGACCGGGCCGAGGACCAACGCTAACCCTAATTCGCGGCCAGTGACGCAGTACTGCCACCCCCGGTCCATCCAGTTTACAGTGAACTAACGCTTTAGTCACAAAGGAGTGCAAATGCCTCTGGTGTGGGGAAGGCGGCCCCGGTTGGACGAATGACCACCACTGGATTTGGGGGGTTAATTTGGCTGGGTCTGCCCCAACTGGAGTTCGTCAAGTGGGACCTGGGGGGGAAGACAACCCATTGAGAGTCAGTCTTGCGACTCATACTTAAAATGCATGTGCCCCCTCATCAGCGCGCGCCTCCCCCGGTTTTTTTCTTGTAGTTCTTTGACCCTCTCCACTCTCCTCGCCCTTGTGGCATCTCATGCCTCTTTTTTCTTGTCTGTGATTTCGTCTTGTTCTTCGATTCTTCGATTCTTCGAATGTCCCTCCATTCGCCCCCCGCACACACATCATGAGTAGCGCCACCGCGACAATGACTGAAGAGTCTGGAAAACGAAAGGCCTCCGCCGCCGGTATTTCCGCCAACCGCCCCGTGAAACGCAGAGCTTCCAAGGCCTGCTGCTGTTGTCGGGCCCGCAAAGTCCGCTGTGATGTGGTAGAGAATGGCTCTCCGTGTACCAACTGCCGACTGGATCAAGTCGAGTGTGTTGTCACGGAAAGCAAACGAAGAAAGTTCGTCTTAGCTGCAGAAAGAAACAAAAAACACAATAGTCTTTTATTGCGTGTCCGAATAAAATACTAATGGTAAAATCTGCGTGCAGAAAGTCGCGTGTCGAAGTTGAAAATTCAGCTCCGTCCGAATCGCCCGAGGCGTCGGAGGAAAATCCGCTGCACCGATTCGATATGGGCATGCCTGACATGGCTCCCACGTCTCCTTCGCAGGCCTCCGTCGATGCTGACAATGCTCAGCATATGCCGCATCTGCTTTGTATGTTGCCACAGCTGCCAATGGCTGACAATGATCTACCACTAACAATGTATGGCAGATCAATCGCAGGCAACCCGCATCGGCTCCGATGATCGCTATCGTCGTCGTATGGCTCCAAACCCAGCTGTTCCCTCGACAATGCCTCTGGCGAATGCAACTCTGCAAATTCAACAGCTGCTTGATCCCAACTTTGGCAGCCCACGTGCCACCGCCAGCGGCTTCTTGCCGGATTATATCCGAGGCCTTCCCGCTCGACTACAAAAAGAAGATATCGACTATCTGGCCGCAAAAGGTGCTCTATCGATTCCTGACGTGACTCTGAGAAATGAGTTGCTCAAGGCCTATATCCACTATGTGCACACATATATGCCTCTACTGGATCTCGAAGAATTTCTGCAAACCATCGTGCAAAACGATGGCATCCATCGCATTAGTCTTCTTCTTTTCCAGGCTGTCATGTTTGCTGGAATGGCCTTTGTGGATATGAAACATCTGCAGGCAGCTGGATACCAGACTCGAAAAGCCGCGAGGAAAATCTTCTTCCAGCGGGCTCGGCTATTGTACGACTTCGACTACGAGGTCGACCGCATCTCTCTGGTGCAGTCGCTTCTTCTGATGACCTACTGGTACGAAACCCCTGATGACCAGAAGGACACCTGGCATTGGATGGGCGTCAGTCTGTCTCTGGCCCACACCATTGGTCTCCACCGTGATCCCGGTAACTCGCGGATGGATCTTCGGCGCCAGCGGATGTGGAAACGCATCTGGTGGAGCACGTATACTCGCGACCGACTGATTGCCCTAGGCATGCGACGACCCATGCGTGTGAAGGATGACGACTGTGATGTCCCGATGTTGACGCTGGATGACTTCGAATTTCAGTCCTTCTCGCCTGAAATCGTTCAGATGGTGGGAGACTCAGAGATTCTGCAGAACGTCAGCTATCAGCGTGAGCTAGCACTGATGTTTATCGAGAAGGCCAAGCTCTGCCTCGGTGTGAGCCATGTGCTCTCCGCACAATACTCCGTTCTCAGCCACAAATTCGGCGGTACCATGGAGACTACCATGATGCTGGTACCGAAGAAATCAACGGCTGAGAGCTTCGAGGTGCGTCATTGCGACCAGGAACTGGAGAATTGGCTGGCCAATCTCCCGGTGGAAACCCAATATACGCCGTCCGGAGGCGCGAAGCTCTCCGAGGCCCAGGAGGTGCTTCACTCGCATCGTGCACTGTTGAAGATGGTCTACCTCACTACATCCAGTGCCTTGCATCGCCCGCAGGTCCTTCCCGCCATCCCATACCCATCAATGGATGCCGAATTGCAAGAATTGTCCCGCAACAAGGTGCGATTCGCCGCAGTGGAAATCACCAGTATCGCGCAAGACCTCCATATCCTGGACCTGACTCGGTACTACCCAACGACGGGCGTGACTGTCCTACTCCCCGCAGTGATCATTCACCTCCTAGATATCAAATCCAGCGACCCCGCCGTACGAATGACCAGTCTTCAACGCTTCTACCAGTGCATGCGCATCCTGCAACGCCTTCGTGAGATCTACGCCTCCGCCGACTTCGCCACATCATTCCTAGAAGCTGCAATCCGCAAAGCAGGTATTCAACTCACCGTCGCACCGCAAGATGTCCAATCCTCAACCTCATCCTCCCGCTCCCGCTCCCAGAAGCAGCAATCCACCAGTAACGACCCCTTCGATGCCCTCATGCGCAGCCACACCCTTACACCACCTCCAGACTCTCTCGCCCAGAAAATCCCTGATCTGACCTACCCCAAGGCGGCCCCCGCAGGCGGGCGAGCTGCCGCCGCCGGAGGAATCGGAGACCTCTTCGCCTCAACACCACCACAGTCCGATGGTAGCGAAAACGGCAGCACTCAAAACCTGAACACAAAATATAACCCTCGCCACGACGCATTCGCGATTCCCGATCTGAATGCTGACCTCAGTCTCACTGAGCTGATGGACCTTGCCAACGACGCCGAAGTAACGCAAAATGACTTCGACGCGCTAATTAACTTCGAAGACGCGGGCAACGACTACTTCGCAGAGGAGAACGCGGCTCCGCCTCCGCCTGAGGAAAAATCCGGCTTCGATTTCCATATCGATAATGGCAATATGATGGGTTTCGACACGGATCCTAAAGCAATCGATTTCGCAATGACTGAATCTCGTGCCGATCATCACCATGTGGGTGGTGCCTCGGCCGAGGCTCAAGCGCGGCCCGGTCTGACGGCCGATCTTGACACGGATCTTGGAATGAATCTGGATGAATAAACACATGCACCAGTGTATGTGGCCGTGTTTTGTTCTTTCATGTACTTCATTTCCAGATTATGCTCATGCTTATGCTATGCTTATGCTTATGCTTTTGGGAATTAGCGGGCACATTTTCTTTTTCTTTTTCCGTTTCTTTTCTCTACCCCTTTTACTAATTGTTGGCAATACGGAGCCTGAAGATTCGAAAGAAAGGCACAATCGGTGTTTTGGGAGGGTTTTCTTTTCATTTTTTCATTCCCTTTTTTTGGTTTACTGTTCCGCTCTGATGACCAACCACGACAAACGTCCATATTATCGATAGATGGATCTGGATTTGGATTCCCAAAAGCATGAGCCCATGTGAATAACGGTTTATTCTCAATTAACTCAATTTCATTGAGATTTTTCTTAAATTTCGTCCCTTGATCGAACCTCCAGTATTCCGTACGCCAGTACTTACACCAGCTATGCAATGTACATAACTAGTCCCTTTCCATCCATACGCCGTTCAGTTCCACCACCCCGGGTCTTCAGTACTAGTACTGCACACCGCTACCATGCCGGTGGAACTATAAATTAGCCTTTTAATTAATTCTCCGATCCTGGTTTGGTTTGGTTTGGTTTGATTCTCTGGATCATCGGCGTCCCCGTGGATCGACGGGGTTCGGTTCAGACCGATCCCCGGCCTCCGACTCCGTCTCCGATGGTCAATATCGGTATCACATGCATCCATTCCATCGCACACACCGCACTGTCATCTTGCATCGGCGATCCACTAGTTTAGTTAGTTTACCCTAGTTTCGTTTCTTTTTTCGAGTGCACGAGGTCAATTTCGTCATCGAATTTGTATGTACCCCGTACCAACGGATGGCTTTGGTCGTGATGGTTGTGATCGACAGGGGGTTGGTATGGCCTTGTCTAGCCTGGCCTCTTGATATACCTAGCACAAATAAAGATTCCAGCAAATTTGGTCTTTCACAGGTGCTGTAGTACTAGTGGAATTGGGGCTACGTTATTGAGTGTTTTTACAGTTCCCTTCAAGTTGTGTTTTTGGTTCAGGTTCGAGGCTGACGATGATGGCTCGAGTCTCCGACATGAGTCCTGGGTTTTTATACTAGTAGTGCTACTCATCTTCCACCTACCTTACTATCCAAAACACCTGAATGCACAATACCCGAATATTACTATATTCACAATAAGAATAGAATTATTACACGTCTCAATTCAAGTCCAAATCCGGACTCGAATTTCATAACACATCAAAACATAGACATAAGCATAAACATAAACATAAACCTCGTAGACAAAACAAAGAAAGGGAGAAAAAGAAAAGATAATCACATCAGCGAATAGGGGGAATCAAAACCGAAACAACCAAGCAGAGGGAACAAAATCCCCTCCATATCCATACACAAACACAAATAGCGTCTAGCATCTGTTTAAACTAAACACCACCACGACCCATCCTCTCAATCGAACTCATAATACCACCACGACCAGGAGTGTACATCGCAATACCGGACTTCCCACCACTATTTCCACGAGAGTGGCCAGCGCCAGCCGGTGCACCAAAGCGGGATCTCTTCTCACCAGTCACAGGAGGACGAATACCACTTGATCCAGAACGACTCACGCTACGGCGAGAATTGTCGACAGGCTCGGCGGATGAAAGATATTCTTCTCCGTGACCATGACCATGACCATGAGCGTAACCACCGGCAGACGAGACGGAAGGTTCGCGAGATTCGCGAGTTTCCTCGTGTCGTTGAGGAGGTGCGGATTGGGATTGGGCTTGGGCTTGGGCTTGAACCTGTTGAATAGCAAGCCATTCATCAACAGCAGCAACAAGTTCCCCCTTCTCAAGGCGCTCGGATTCAAGATCAGAGCGAAGGCGTTCGCTATCCTCCTTCAGTGAAGCCATCTCGTGCTGCAGACCCTCAATCTGAGCCTCGAAGACACGCTTCTCAGCATCGTATTCGTCGAATTCACGCGCAATCATGCTAGCGTTGGCATTGACCATATTGTCATTTTGAGCAGTATCAAGTTCACCGCGTAGACGGTCTTGTTCTTCATTTGCGGCAGTGAGTTTCTTCTCCACTTCCCGTAGGCGTTTTTCCCAGCGAGACTCGTAGCTCTTTTTCAGTGCTGCAACCTTGGTCTCGTGCTTGCCCTTGTATAGGGTGTGAAGCTCGCGAGCAACCTTCTCCACGGCATCCTGCACTTCCCGAGCAGTGGCTTCTGCCGATTGAGAGACCTGGCGGGAACTGGAAGAGGTATTCGATCCCGAGGATACCGCAGAGCGTGCGGCGGAAAGTTGGCTTTCAAGTTCAACAACTCGGCCTTCTAGCTGTTCTTTGCTTTTATCCGCTTCGTCTGCTCTCCGAGTTAAACGCTCGCGCTCACGTTCGCCGTCGACTAGTTCAGACCGAACTGAACGCAAAACGCTTTCCATCTCGTTTCCTCGGCGGTCCCATTCAGCCTGCTCCATCTCCAGAGCTTCCCTGCGACCGGCCTCATTGCGGACTTCCTCCAATGCCTCGCCGACACGACGCTCAGCATCTGAAATTGCTGTCTTCAAACTGGCAACTTCGGCATCTTTGCCGCTCAGAGTAGCTTTCAGTGAGGATATTTCTGACATGAATCCAGATTTGAGAGACTCCAGCTCTCGCGGAGTGATGCTTGGAAGGGAGCGGGGCGTCGGCGCTGGTGCCATGTCGTAGTCCAGGTCCAACAGTGAGGAGAACTTAGATGGAGATCTGATAGATTGTCGCATGGGTCTCATTGGCGAGCGTCGAGACGGGGAATAGCGACCACCTTGTTGCACGGACTGATGAGGAAAGAAGTTCACCGAATCGCCAAAATCGAGCAGATTGGGCCCTGCGCGGGAGTTCTCAAAATCGCGAGACGGCCGACGTCTGGGGGTGGGGGATCCAGCAGGGGATCCGGTATCAAGCATAGCACTCGCCCTGTTGTAGGGTCGTCGAGCAGTACCGGGAGTACCAGGAGTACCAGGACCAGCGCTCTGTCGATACATCTCGTTTCTCTGAGATTGACTGTGTCCGATACTGCCGCGCATCGACTTAAGAGGTGAATCGGATCGTAGCTTTGCGAAGGAAGTCATGTCGGGCAGAACCGAGAAGTTACTCAAGCCGGTCTCATCCATAGAGTCATGATAATCATCTCCCAGCGCGGAGTTTTCGTCCGCACCAGCGTTTTCATCTTGGATAAACGTTGACATTCCCTCGTTGCGTCTATCTTCCATCACGCTGTTTGCGATAGTAGACTGGTCTCGCGTGGCGCTTGTCATGGACAACAGACTCTCGTTGTGAATGACGCTAGATTCGTCATCGAGATCGACATGAATATCGGGTACATCTGGCCGGCTGACCATGCCCTTCTTGCATGACTCGTGGGCTTGCGCTTGCGCTTCTTCCTGGCCTCGCGGGGTCTCATCAAAAGATCGCTTACGAGGAGTAGCTGCAAATGATTGTCGCCCTTCAAGGCCAAGCGATGTACGGTGTAGTGAGCGGCGCGACGAACGGAGCTTCTGCACCTCAAGCGGTTCCTCGGGAGATCTTTGTTTAGATAGTGAGGAGCGTGCGGCAGCTGGAACTGGAGGGGAGTTCTCGACGCGTCCAATTGATTCGCGAGGGCGAGGAGCTTCGTACCGCTCTTCGGAATCGGGAAGAGCTTGGTTTGAATCATCTTCCACATTGCGTTGGACTGGCGAGCTTTGTTCCCCAACCGGCGAGTGTTGCTTGATCTCCCCGATCGACTCTCGTAGCGATTCGTGAGGACGCTCTTCGGGCTCGACATCATCCTCCCGAGCATCTTCTTGAGCATCCAGCTGAACCGGAGACTCATACGCAGCAGCAGGAGTTGGAGAAGGTGATAGTGATTGTTGGACACGACCAATAGACCGGCGCATGTCCTGGCGATCATATTCCTGCTCATCAAAACCATCACCCTCAACCCCATCTTCCTGCATATCCGCTCTAAACGGCGAGCTCTCCGGTTGTAATTGTCCACCAACATCAGGCGAAAGACGTTGCATCTCACGCAATTTCCCAAAATTAACAGTTTCATCTCGCGCATCAGGTCGGAAGGGTGAGCTGGCCGGATCCTCAAGCGCAAATCTCTTATCCAGGCCCGGCGACAAGGGCTCGACGTTTCTCAGTCGGTGGTAGTCAGCATCAGCGTCAGCGTCGCCGTCAACCGTCTCATTCTCATTTTCATATTCATCCCGCGCATCAGGTCGGAACGGCGAGCTAGCCGGATCGTCAACGGCAAGTCTCTTATCCAGACCTGGCGATAAAGGATGCGCTTCGCGTAGTTTTTGAAAATCCACCGCTTCGTGCTCGTTTTCGTTTTCGATATCATTTTCGTCCTGCGCATTGGGTCGGAAGGGAGAACTCATTGGATCCTCCGGCTGCGCGAGGCCAAATCTATGCCGTGGTGTCGTTGCTGTTGCTGGTGTCGTCGCTGTCGCTTGTTGCTGCTGATATTCACGTAACTTTTGAAAATCAACAGTATCTTCGCGGGCATCAGGCCGGAAGGGCGAGCTAGCAGGTTCCATCTCCGACTCCAGTTCCAATTCCTGCTCTTGGAAGTCGTCGCGGTCATGGTAGTCATTATTCGCGTGAAAGTCGTCAGGGTGGAAGTTTTCTTCATTCTCGTTCTCGATCTCGTTCGGGTAGGAATAGTTTTGCTTCGGGTTCGGGCTTTGTGTGTTGCGATCGGTCCAGGTTTGTTTCAGAGGACTTGAAGGAATTGTAGTCTCCGGGCCCGGGGCCAAGGCTGAGGCCGAGGGTTCTGTGAGGAAAGGTGATGAGCCCATCTTTGGAGAAGATCGGGCTCGTGAATTTTGGTAGGAGGGTGAAAGGGGTGATAGTGGATTTGACATGGTGGTGGGTGGTGTGCTAAGAATCCTCAGCGTTGTGTTGTGCGGAGCGGAGTTTAGAGACAAAAGTCTTGTGTTTCTGTTTCTGTTTCTGTTTGGGTCTGGACGGCCGGCGATTGTGGAGGGCGTTGCTAGGTAAACAAAGCTAACCCCGATTGGGAGGGGGAAGTATAGCGCCCGATTGGGAAGGTGTGGGGGTCAACAGCGTTCCTTCCACTTGAGTTATTAAAAGTCAACTAATACTCTTAACTTACTCAGGGTAAATAGTAGGAACGATTAAATCATAACTAATTTCATTTTCATTAAGTTGCTCAGAAACAAATGCCATGATGCGCTCGCGCTCGCTATCGCTGAAATGCCCATCGCTAATCTGGCCAGTGAAAAAAGAAAACACTAACAAACAGAGCATCAACACGCTTGAAAACAGATTGAATAAACCAGCAATTCCCCCTCTTGCTTTTTGCAACAAATTATGTATGTTCAGTGAATGTATGATCAGTATTTAACTGATTCAGTTGAAAGTCCCTACGCATCTTCCTGCGCCGCGGCAGCGGCAGCGGCAGCGGCATCGGCATCGGCACCAGCACCAGCACCAGCATCGACATCAGTCACAATAATGTGAATCGATTCCTTAGGCGGTTCCGGAATAGGAACATAATGACAAGGAGCCGCCGCCTCAACAGTCGCAGTCGAATTTTTCTTCTGCTGAATGAAGCAAAGCTGAGCAGCCCCCATAATAGCGACTAGGCTACTCGCCCACCAAGCCACACCCGTGCATCCGAACCCAGCACCAGTGCTGTACAGATAACCAGCAATCGGGGGGGGCAAGGGTACGGGCAGCGGCTCCGGCGGAGGCAGCTAGACCGTTGATCTTGCCAAGAACAGAGTCTGAGGGACTGGCTTGTTTGAGTAAGATCAGGAGCACGGGGTAGTCGATAATAGAGAGAAGATTCCGGATAATTAGGCAAGAATAGATGCCTGTGAAGGTGAGGTTTTGCGGGAGGAAGACCAGGAATGGAACGATGAGATAGGTAATTGGGTGCAGGATTGTCACGACGACGAATAGTTTCCATATGCCTAGCCACCCGGCCAAAGCGGGGAAGATGAGACTTTGGATGACGAGGGCGATTATGCCGTCCGTAGACATTATCACGCCCACGGTGCGGGTTGAAAGGCCCAGACCACCGGGAATGTCGAAGGGCGAATGAGACTTCGAAAGGGCCATTAATCCCTGCGGACCCTTATCTTGGAGGAAGATGGGTAAAAGATGGTCGTATGTCATTGAGTGGTAGGTGAAGATAGTCAGCGCAAGCACGAGCATAATCACCCGCCAGGTGAATGCTTTCGGCTTCTGTGGCTTCTTCCAAGCAGGCATCGTGCCATCGGAGTGAACATTCCAGATCTCGTCTTCGTGTAGGTGGACTTGATTGAAGGTGCCGTATGATTCGGCTCGGAGATCAACTCCCGCATTAGCGGTTGCGCCAGATGTGGCCAGCAGGGGCTGTTCGGCAGATGTGTGCTCGAAGAAACGGTGTGTGTTGCCGGGTTGCATGTCGGGGTGGGTTTCTTGGAGGAATAGCCAACCACCAATGATGCTGAAGAATAGGAGAACGGAGCAGACGAGGTTGGGTAGTAAGTATGGAAAACGGCCGAAGAGGCCGTCGGCGGGAAATAAGGGAGGGAAACCCATCTGCTGGTCTGGCAAGTAGACCTCCAATAGCTATGTAAACCAATTAGTATAACGCCCATCGTTTGTGTTGATGCATGAAATGACTCGGATATTCGCAACGTACCAGGTCCAAGGATAGTACCAATTGACCAAACAAACGGCATAACAGCATAAGCCCTAGCTATAAAATTGTCAGTAATGGCCCTGATAAACCCAGGTTCCTTCCCAGGCTCGGATCGGATAAAAACATACGCTCATGCTCAGGCCGTCTAACCAACTCGCCAACCATAGTCTGAATAACGCCAATATTCCCATTCAACGCGCCGCCAAAAGCGCGCCCAGCGAGTGCAACCCAAAAATTAGGCGCAAACCCGACCATAAGCAACGAGAGCATTGTCCCGAAACAGCCAGAAAGTAGAATCGGCTTCCGGCCCAGTCGGTCAGAGAGACTACCCCAGAACATGCCAGTTAGGGCCTCGGCGAGCGAGAAGGCGGATATCAGAATTCCCGCGTAGAGGGATGCTTCGGCCCCGCTGGCCATATTGAAGTCTTTCACCATTACCCATGAGTATGGGAAGATGGATGTTAGGGCGATTGGTTCGGCTACGCGACATATCGCTGAGAGGAGTGGGTTAGCTGAATGGCCTTGCAAGAGATGGCGAGCAGATGGTGGAGGAGTGATAGGGTGTGGGTGCGGATGCAGACGACTCACAGAGAAGAAATAGCTGCGTGGTAGGGAAGCCATCGTGGGAGGAATGAGATCTTTTCTGTAGTGTTAATACCATCGTCCTATAGAGACAATTTAGACCTTACGACAATCCGCCCCAGCAAAAGTAAAAAGTCAAAGTCGAATCTGTCTGTGCAGGTGTTTTGCAAACTTCTGGCAGTGGCGAGTGCACGAGGGCAAGCGGAGCTGAGCTGAGCAGAGTGGAGCAGAGCAGAGCAGAGCAGAGTAGAACAGAACAGAACAACGATTGAGGACTTGCTCCGTGCGCGTTGTGCAATCAAGGAGATGTAAGTGAATGGATGGGGGAGTAGGTAGGTAGAAGGAGAAGAACAAGAAGAGGGGTAAGGTAGGGTAGATAGAAAAGCCAGCGACTCGGAACCAAACCCAAGTATAAATCTCCTACCGGCGGGTTCTGTTACCCAACTTTGGTTTAGACCGGGAGCGGCGCTAAGACCCCAGCCCCCCCTCTGATAAGGACAGCCGTGGCCATGGCATGTCGCCGAGTCCGGTGAATATCCCTTGTTTAGGCTTAGAGAGGGGGAATTTAATATAGTAGTAGTGCATACCCTAATACTGATCTGGCTATTCCGAGATCGAATATATTCACTAGTAGTAACTGCCGATGCATTGTGCAGGCAAAAAAAAAAATCTGCACTGTCATGTGGTACCTTGGATGGAAAGTTCTAGTGGCGACTCAGGCACAAAAAATGTTTAAGTTGCATCGAGCTCGGACCACTTGACTTATACTTCGGTGTTAGGCGCCCTCCGGGGATTTATGCATGCCATGAACATGGTCAAAATACTAGTATTTTGCAATGTACATCGCAAGGGCAAAGGTAATTGATTCTTCGAAAATTATTTCTAAAAAAAAATAAGAGGAATACGCACCTCAGACCACGCGATCCATTGTTTTGAGCCCTCCCCCTCTGAGTCCCTCCCCGCGCTTATCCACATTTGTACTTACTTAGCGGCCGCTGGTGGGTTTCTTATTCACCAATCATCCAATCACAACCTTGGGAACCTTGCGGGTTCCCGCAGAGGTGGAAAGAAATCACAAGATCACCGTTGATATAGGTTAGGCTCGGCTTATAGCCTAGAGAGCTAGCTCCAGATTCCTGGCTTTGCTTGTACTAGTACTAGTGGTATGCGAGCACCCTTGGAACTTTGAGACTACTGCGGAAATGTATTCCCAGGACTTGAAAGAAGAATCAAGTACCTAATGCTCCATGTCAAATGTACGAATACGGAGTAGAGTACCCTCAGACCGACAATTCAACCACGGGATTGAAGCTAATTTATTTCGAGTCCAAACCTGAAAGTATCAAATCAAGCAGAAAAAAAAAGTCTCTATAATGATCTCGGGGCTGAAGATTGGATGCTATGGATGACAGAATAGTCCCGACACGAGCAGTTGAAGGAATCACAAAAAAGAAATAAGAGGAAAACCGTCTTCACTCCACTCACACCACACCGAGGCCCGGCAGGCAAAAAACAAAACAAAAGCAAGAGAATGAAATGCTACTACCAGTTCCAACTGCGCCAGCTAATCGATTTGATTCCTTGCGACCCATTGTGTCACACAAACACAAACATACAATCAAGGAAAAAATTGAAAGAGCGAGAATGTAAGAGAGAAAAAATAAGAAAAGAGAGGGTAAAATGATCGTGCACAACCACAACCACAACTTATGAAGTAGTCTCTGTGTTCGTGGCGGTATTTGTAATTTCAACCGAGCGGGTCTCCAACTCCTTGGGTGAAATATCCTTCGAGGCCTCCTTTTCGGTATCTTCGACTTGAGGATCCGAAACAGCCGTCGGTTCTATCGGCTCGACATTTCCGGTATCAGATGAGGGTTGGTGTAACGAGGGATTCGCACTCGAAGAACCCTCTCCCTCTCCCTCTCCACGATGGCGAGAAGTATCTTCCACATGCTCGGATTCATTACCCTTCTCCTCGTCGCCGATGACAGCGGCGAGACTGCGGAAGTTGAACATAGGCTCCAAAGACGTGTTGCTACCGTCAGCAGTGCCGTGGCCAGGAGTCAGTTCTTCTGGAGTATGTTCCATGAGAGAGGAGGCTGAGGAAGCTGCGCTCGAAACGTGTCGGAGCTGAGACTGTTTAGATGGTTCGCCTGCGCTTAATAAATTGTTCGAAGGGGCTGTTCCATCTTGCTCGCCAACTGCAGAGTTAGGTCCCCTTTCCACGCCTTTGCCCTTGCCCGTCGTGGCCGTGGATGTTGATGGCTCTTCTCCAATGGACGAGGAGCTGCTGGCAACTTTTCCAAAGAAAGTCTCTCCAGCTCCGGGGACTTGTAATGCCGCGCTACTGGCATTGGTGCTAGTATTATTACTGTATAAGCCGGCCTTGCGAGCCACCTTATCAGCCTTCTTGGCCTCCTTCTCCCTCCTTTTGGCCTCCTTCCTCACCTCCTTCTCATCCCTTCTTCGTCGGTCTTCTTCACTGGCTAGACTCAGCCGAATTGCCTCCATCATCATCATTTCTTCAAGATCATCGATTCGGGTGCGCCTTGAGCTGTCACGAGGGGGCGCAATATTTCCTGCCCCTGCCCTGCCCCTTCCTCGGCGGAATCGGTATCGGGGGCGGTGCCCGGGGCCGGGGCGGGAGCTCTAGGTGTTCGGTCTTGTCGCTCAGTCAAAAACGCCAGCGCATTGAGAGCGGGGGATCCGGACCGGCCGGAGTCCCCGTGGGTAGCTCTTCGAAGACCCCTTCGTCCTAGACCAATGCCACGGGAGTCGCTGCCAGAGCCAGAATTCATCAAATAGGCTGCAGTATGAAGGGCGGTTGCAGCCGCCGAACGACGTGCGGCATGTGCTCGAGCATTGGCCAACTTCTGGGCCCAATCTGGACGAATTCTATCTGTTGTAACTACAGTGGGATCCGTAGCGGATAGTGAAGTCGCACGGCGGCGGCCAGGTATTGGAGCAAGAGTCGCAGAGGCGAGAGAGGAGGTGGAGGATACTGGAGAGGTGATATTGGGAGATGGGCGGGCACTGGCGTCAGCTGCGTAGGTCAGACCTCGCCGGAATGTAGGCGAAGCGTAGGTAACTCCAAATTCTGGCTGGACACAGAAGGGGCAGGCAGAGGGTTCAGAGACAAGTTGGCTTTCTTCTTGCTCGGGTCGTTCGCCGCCATTCGCTGCTTCGGGAGCGTTCGAGCCAGGCTCTCCGTGCTCCGGGGTATGGGGGTCCGGCCGCTTAATTTGGACGAAACATTCGGAACAGATAGGTTGGTCGCAGCATCGGGTGCGGTTTAGATAAGGTGGGTAATACAAAAAGCAGATCGGACATTCGCTTGCGTCCTTGTATAAGTTGACTTCGATTGGTTGGCCATTGACGAAAGGGTCTCGTGGAAGCTGTAGTTCCCGGGGGTGAGATCGGTCTGCGAGCCATGTTTCGATGTGGTGAGAGCTGCTAGAGTCTTTGCGCGTGTGCGGAAGAGAGGTGACGCTGATGTTCCGGATGCAATCGGAGATACCGCCGACGGTAGCGATTGGGCGGGATTCGAAGCTTGGGATATATCGGAATTGTCGGACTGCGAGCGGGATGTGATGGGAACGGTGAGATGTTGGATGCTAGCCATATCAACCGGTTCTTTCCTCTCGGTGGCCTTGGGAGGTGTATATTCTAGCTCGGGCGGAATTTCATCCGCTGGAGGTATAGTCATCCCCCGAGCTGCGGCCATTAGCTGATGCTCGGCCCATGATTCGGAGAAGTCATTCAAGCCTCTCCAGAAAGGCGCGAGTCGGCGCTCGATCTAAGACCGGGATTGTCAGAATCGCAATGCTCATATATAGGAACTGCGGGGGGGTTCCCCGGAAGCTCACCATCAACTGTCGAACCACTGCCTTATTGAAGTCCTCGGTTCCCACGTAGACACCTTGTGTGACTAGATATCCGCCATCGACATGCTCGTCTCGCATGCTGCATTCCCTTTCTTTGACCCGAGCCACGCGCTCCTTCTCTAAACGACGTGCTTCACGTTCCTGTTTGGTTTCTCGTCGATGCTCGAGGGTCGCCACGTCACGATCATGGCTGCTACTGCCGATGCCCAGCAGGGACAAATCAGGCCGACTGCTTCTGCCCGACCGAGGTCCCTGGTATGGAGCACGCGCGGGGCATCGGAAGTGCCCGATGACCATTGTTGACTCCGATGGCGCGGTGTGGAGGATCGCGACTCCTTGGTTTGGGAATTCCCCATGGCGATATGGGATGGTTGATGGAAGGAGGGGTTTAGCCGACGTCAGGTCCCAGAGCACACGCGGCGGCGTAACTCCGATCGGAGCGGAGAGGAAAGGGCCCCGAAGGGGGAGGGTCAAGGTGGATACTTTGATATTGGGGGAGGGGAAGGGAGGAGGGTGGGGATGTTGATCAGGCTAAAGAGAAACACCGCACGAATGCAGGGGAAAACATCGGATAGGTTGGGGGGGAGGGGTGGAGGAAAGAGGGTTTGGAAGCGGGGGATGAGATCTGGGGAACGGAAGAGAGAGAGAGAGGGAGGGAAGGATAACGGGAATGAGGATGGGGATGGGGATGAACTAAATCGGGTACGTAAAAGTAAAAGAGACCAGATCTGCCAGGATCGGAAGTGGCGGATACTCGTACGAGTAACTAGAGAGCCCGTGTCTCTGACCTTTGACCCTTTGCTAGTGTTCTCTAGTCTCGAGCAACTGAGGGACTATCAGTGTGGCACTGGCACTGCCCCTACACTTACTCGTCCAGATTAAAGTGAAGGAAATAAGGCTGGTCTGGCCCTGGACTCATTTGGTGTTGTCGTGTGCTGGTCTCTCGTCATCACCAGATCATTTACTCGATTACATCAGCTCAGACCTCATGAGCTACTGCAGCTATCTACAGTGGTACCTACCGAGAGAGGTAGGTCGGTACTTAGGTTTGTAGAATGATGCATGACCTGCATTGTTGTCGATCTAACGACAGAAGCTATTGTGGCACCCTGGAGGGGAGAGTACTTGTAATCAAGGTATCATGTACCGACGACGGAAGTGACTGACTGGGGCCAGTTCCTTAGTACCGGGTACATCTGCGCTAATCTCTGTACAGTAAGGCACAGCAGTGTAGTACCCAGTACTCCGTTGTAGACTAGCGTTCTTATGCTGACTACCGCTAAACTCCATTGGGACTGCCTGCAGTTGACCGTGACCCCGGTGTCCCGTGACTCCCGCGTGACCTCCGTTTGTTAGTGGCCATTCAGGCAGGCGGTGGCAGTATTTCTCTCTCCTCTGCGGAGGTTCCAAGAAAAAAAAAGTGCAGGCCTACAATATAGACCATGTCCTACAAACAGTCGGATCTCCCCCTTCCATAAAATCAGGGAGATTCAAATCCTCTCTGCGATGGTCGAGCCAACTCCAACAACAAGACTACACATCACTCCTCTCACTCCCGACATCCTCCCCTCGGTCCTGCCCCCATCAGTCCGACCCTCGGCCACCGACATTTCCTTTCACCACATTCCCACATTCCCCGAAAACGACTACGGATATATCACCTTGCCAACAATGGAAGCCGAAAAGATCCAAAAGAAGCTAAACGGCAAGATACTCAAAGGCAAAAAGTTCAAAATCGAGACAGCCCGTCCATCCAAAAGACAAAGAAATGACGCCGAGATCGACGCCGACGCACCTGCGGAGAAGAAAAAATCAAAGAAATCCGACCCGGAAGATGGCGTTATCGAAGGCTATGAACTAGCCCCAGGCCGTAAAGTAAAGCGTGGCTGGACGGAATCTTCCAAAAAGGAAAAACATCGGTCATCGGACAAGAAGCGAAGCAAGGAAGACAAGAAGGAAAAACCCCAACCCAAGTCCAAATATACCGACAAGTCGGAACTTCTCTTTCGAACAACGCTTCCACCAAACCGAGTCGCCAACGAAACCGACGACAAAAAGGCTAAGAAGAAGAAGTCTTCCTCGTCCCGGGAAACCGTTGTGCATGAGTTTGAAAAGACATATACCCAGCCGAGTTTCTTGCGGTCGAGTGGAGAAGAGACTAAACCCTCGACTGCATTCGATGAGGAGAAGGGTTGGGTGGATGCTTCGGGGATGTGAAGGAAGCTGCCAGCAAAAAGAGTCGGAAGGAGAATTATCGACCGGGTCAAATTGCTGGAACCAAGGAGAAAGCACCGAAGAAGGCTAAAAAGAGCAAAGCTGAAAAAAGCTCACCTGCGCCAATTGAAGCTGAAGATTGGACTTCTTCCAGTGGTTCATCTGATGAGGGCTCTGATTCTGAAAGCGAAAACGAGAGCGAAAGCGATAACGACTCTTCTGATGATTCGTCCGATGATTCGTCGGACGATTCCGTCGTAGAGGCCTCCAAGGACCAAGAACCCGCAAAGGAAACAAAGCCCTCTAAGGCCACGCCACCCACTTCAGACGATTCAGACTCGGAATCCAAATCGGCGACGAAGTCGGAGCCGAAGCCTTCAAGCAAAGAGGAGGGAGTCGTGGAGGAACCTACACCTACTGAAGTCCACCCTCTCGAGGCTCTTTTCAAGCGAGCCGCTCCAACTGATTCCGAAAACAAGCCCGTCGAGGACACAAATGTTGGCTTCAGCTTTTTCGGCGGCGGTGATATCGAGTCCGAGGACGAGCCCCGCCCAAGCTACTGAACCTCAAACACCATTCACGCCATTCACCAAACGAGACCTTCAAGACCGTGGTTTGCGAAGCGCAGCTCCGACCCCGGACACCAGCCTGATCAATCGGCGCATGAATTGGGAAGATGAGGGAGATGACGAGATGGACGACGATACTGCCGTCGATACTCCCGTTTCCAAATCCCGGAGCACGAAGCTGGATACTAAGGAGGAAACCGAGTTTACGAAGTGGTTTTGGGAGAATCGTGGTGATAACAATCGTGCTTGGAAGAAGAGGCGGCGTGATGCTGCTAAGGAACAGAGACAGAGAGAGAACAGGAAGAAGGGAATGAAGGGTAAGTCTTGATGTTGGTGATTTAAAGCAAAGCAAAAGCAAAAGCAAAGCATTTCCGGAGCGATTGCTCCGTTGTATATTGCATAGAGCATAGAGCATAATCTATATAATGGTACCATACCTAGTTATACGATAAGATTCAAGTTGATATAGACTTAGGCTGTCAATTACTATAATCTAATGTAGACATGTTTTAAATAGAGCCGTATACTTCGAAGCGGAGCTGACTTGGTTGATATCTACGTAAGAAGTCACGTGCTGACGGATAGCTGTGATAGCCACGCAATGAACATAGGACCGATCAAAGCTGGCGTCATCACAAACAACAGTCGCGATGCAGCCTCTACAAAATGCGCAAAGTGGCAGAATGCACTGGCTGCTTCTGCTTCTTGCGCTTCTCTCCTTCACATCTTTAACAGCAGCATCCAGTAAGTCCAGGCATAGATGGGAACGAAACGAACCCGCGGCGCGGAGACTCACGATTCGCGACTCCGACCTCTCGAGGATCTTCCCCCGTAGTACTGTCGTGGTGTGATGAACAGATGGGCAAAACACGATACAGCACATGACTAACATGATCCTTTTCTTTACATTTCAGCACCAACATCATTCTGCAAATGCACATGTTTCTCCAATAGCACGATCATCCCCCTCGATCCCGAGAAATCCGGCTCCGATCCTCTAGACAGTGTGGTGAATCTGTACCATCGTGCATTTGACAGCGCACTCACCGACAGCGACAGCAACAGCGACAGCTCCGAGCCCGTGCCGGAGTCCGAAAAACAAGCAGAAACAGACGATCTACCTAAATCCAAACGCGCCAATTCATACCGCCAACTAAACTGCAACGACTGCAATCGCAAATTCTGCCTTGACTACGAATTGCCGACGTGTAAGGGTGCTAAGGAGGATGATGTTGTTACTACTTGCTTCCGTGAGTGATTGATCCGCCCGCGACAAGCGCATCGTATTGGTGGTTCGCATCGCAGTCCTGCCTACGAATACGGTTATTTGCCTTCGGAGTGACGGAGTACTCCGTCCATCACACCGGGGAGGATCGGCGAGGTTGAGATGCGATGCGATGCGACAGACCACGAATACGAACTCGAAGTGAATTAAACTAGTTGACTAACTATTGAAACCATCATGTACGACAGAGCGTGATTCACGAAAAGACGAAGCAGTTGTTTTTATTTTTATTTTTGCGACTGGTGGATTGCTCGCTTGGGCGCTTTGCAAGCCTTGGATTGAGCGATATCTCGAGGTAAGAACGGCCCCGGGCACGGGTGAACGGTTGCCTTTTGATCTGCGTGGATGTGACTAACGGTATTGGATGTACAGGCAGCTCGAGAGCGTCGATCGTATATGCCTGTTAGTGAGGATAGATAGGTTGATGCTGAATGGAGGCTATTGTGTATATCAATAGAGTACCTGTACTCCAGAGTAGAGTCTCTGTAATCCAGGGATATGTACTTTGTACTCCGTAGAAGCTCAAGTTCAGACTCCAGCTCAAAAATCAGTAAACCTTCAAGTTAGAGACAATGACGATATCAGATATGATATCCTCGGCCAAGTCCGTGCTAGGAAGGCGATCTCCAATGAGATTGGCGTCATTGGGCACCTGTGGAATGCCGGAGGATAAAGCGAATGAAGTCCCGAGTTGTCCCCGTTGTACCAATGGTTTCAGGGGAGGACGCCATCCACCGATCTATTTACACTAGCGCTCCTCCCAAGCCAATTTTCTGATGGGTCCAATCGCCCCCACTGCGCCTTGAAGATATGAAACACGATGAATTAATGAAGAGGCAGTCCAGTAAGTACCAGTGGGTGGTGAGTGCCCCCAACCCCACCACAATCGTATCAATCAAATTGCCCATTCCGGCCGCCATGGCTGATCGCGGCCAACGGATGAGATGTCAAATTCCCAGTCAGATTCCATGACTGGGATCGGCCGATTTGCATGAATGCATCATTGGGCATGGAACAAATGGACGGACGTATGATAGCATTCGGTCGTTGACTCGTTGTTGATCCCTGATCGGACTAAAAGAAGTTTGGATCCAAGAGTGGGTTCGTTGGTTCAGGCACTGCGAACGAAAACTTGCTGCGTTTCCCCCGAATTAAGATTACACCGGAGGTAGAAGAGGAGGGGGGGGGGCTCATTTCAAGTTTTTTCTCTTTTCTTCTCACTGAACTCTCCTTTCTATTCTTCTATTCTTTCTCTTCGTATCTCATCTGACCTCTCACAAATCTATTTGCATCCTTTCCACGTCCCGTGGAGATCGTGATCGTCCTCTTATCTCCCAGTGGCGCCCGCGATAACCTCAGCTAGGCTTAAGGTACTCTAGGCAATCTAGGTACATACCTCATTTAGCCCACCGGACTGCGCGCTCCTGGTCAATTGGCTATTTGCGCCGCTCACAATGGCCATCTTCGACTCCGAAAAACGCCCCCGTGGTCTGCGCGTCCCATCCCTCACGGCTATGAAAGCCGGGACTGCCGCCTCAGTATCACAATTTTCTTTCCACCGAACAAAGTCCAACGAAGCGCAAACTCCGGAAGAGAAACCTGCTCCTCCTCTGCCTGTGCAAGTGCCAGTACCCTCTTCCACTGGCTTCCCTGCGCCTGCACCTGCTCCTCCTCCATCAAAGCAACTGCCAACACCCCCTCAGGGCAATTCCGGTCCTAAGAAGGAGCTCCCGCCGCGGCCGCGCATCACTTCCAAAGTTCCTCCGCGCCGAGCTGTCGGAAGCACCAAAGGTCGTCCTAGTGAGACTTCTCCTACCTCTGCCACATCTCAGGGTCAAGGTCAAGGTCAAGGAATTCGACAGGCTTCGTCTTCTATCACTCCATCTTCCCCGCCAAATAAAGATCAGCCATTGCCGCCGACCCCGTCTCTAGGTCTGCGCCAAGCTGCTCCTACTACCACTCCAGCTCCGACTTCACCTCAACCAGAGCAGGAAGCTGCGTCGCCTGCTACTATTAAGGCTCCCAATCAGGGTCTACGACACGCGGAGCCCTCTTTTTCTTCTTCTACTGCCACACCTACCTCGCCTCAGCTGTCCAAGCCGCAGCCTGCACCAGTACAAGTACAGCAAGTACAGCAACCACTCCCACCAACTCCCCCAGTCGGACCCCAAAGTACAGGGTCTCCAGAACCGACAGCTCCAGCTACAGCTCCAACTGCATCCCGATCTCTCCCCACACAATCCCACCAACCACCAATCCAGCAAAACCTCCCACCAACCCCACCACCCGTCACCCTCTCCCCACCCCCAACAAACGCAAACGCAGAAGCAGACGAAGAATCCGACGCCCTAACACCACTGGAAGACTTCATTCCAACCCCAGATGGCGCCAGCACCCCACTAGACCTAGAACAAATGTCCAGCAACGAAGCAGCAGGCCCGCCCGCGGCTTCAGGCCCGGCGCAGCCACCCTCTTTGAACGATATCGTCGATATCCCAGCCCCACCACTAAATAAAGTCCACTACGCCTGTTTCCAAGACCATCGGAATATGCCGATTGCGCAGAATGTATGGTGTCCTGTTCCGTGTATGACGTGTCATAAGAAGGATCAGGAGATTCGGCATCGGTGTGTGTTTTGTTCGTTACGGGTTTGTGGGGGGTGCTTTCGCGAGTTGCAGAAGGTTAAACGGAGGGATTTGGGTGTGTTTTTGAAGACGGTTGATGTGGAGAAATGAGCTTTTTTTTCTCTTGTGGTGAAGTGAAGTTCTACCGTTGAGCTTGTTTTACACATTGTTGGTGCTGTGTGGAGTGAAATGGACCGTGACATGCCTCATGACTTGGGCGTGTTGAAATTGGTCTGCATGTATACTAGTGAAGGTGGACTGGACTGGACTCTGTTTTTGCATTTCTTTTGTTATTGTCGTTGTTGTTTTGTGTTTTGTTTTGTTTTTTTCTGTTTTATGATACCAAGGAACAAAGTTTTGTGTATACTAGGATTAACCACGGAGGATAAGGTGGGAGTCGGGCATATTGATAGTCAATTTTATGTTATGTCTCTGCGGAAAGCAAATTGATATCTTGAGACTTGTATATTCAGTTTATCATGTTATTTTGTCTCGTGGTGGTTTTTTTGTAGAAAATAAAAGAAAACTCGTAAGGCGTAGCGAAGTGAGGCGAGGCGGATACAAATCCGGCCTCCTCTCCTCTGCGCATGAGCACGGAATTATCTGTTCGTCATGAACATCTTCGTCATGTATGCCTTCTCGGCTTGGGAGAAAAGAGGTGTGAGAGGTGTGCATGACGAAAAGACAGTTCCCATGTCCATACGCAGAGAGAAACCAGCCCGGGATAAGACAAGACGTTGACTTCAGCGGTATATCCAAAGAAACACATCTCTGAACAGCGCGTACTAGATTATATGCACTACACTCAATCAATCATGATCCTCCTCCGTAAGACCAGGACACCCTCCAACTCATCATCCCGCTCATAACGATACTTACACCAAAAGCAATAACGATACGTTTCCCGCAAGTACAGCACTAACTTATGCAATCTCTCCGAAGGCGGCAGTTCATTAAACGCCTCCAATTCCGGATCTTCCTCTTCAAGTTCCTGCTCCACTGCAGCGGTGTAAGGGTCGAAATCGAGTCCGAGTCGTGTGCCAAGAGCCTGTTCGTCTTCTGGATCTCGCTCTAGTTCTGATTCCGAGAATGTCGGAAGACGTTGTTTTGGGAAGAATGATGATGGGAGGGATGTGTGGAGCGCGTGACGGGCTTGTTTGTCCCGCTCGTGGTTTTCTCTTTCGCGCACGAGACCGCGATATAGGACGTTGATTTGGGCGGTTGGTTTGTGTTGTTGTTGGTGTTTGGGTTTTTGTACTTTGGGCCCGGTGCTTGGCGGGTAATCGGCGTTGGGGTTGGGGTTGGTTTTAGCGTCGTTATCAGTCACACCACCATCCTGGTCGTTTGCTTTGGACTGCGTCTGTGTGTCTGCGTCTGAGTCCCGGGCTGAGTCCCGCGATGACGATGCAGATGCATCTGCAGATGCAGCACTAGCGCCAGTGCTAGTGTTATTCTCCTCCTCAGTATCCAGCCTCTCGACAACTTTCTGTGCCGCTCGTACTTGCGCCTCAGTGCGTTTCAATTCCCGCTCCTCTCGGACCCGATCGCGATAATCGCCTTCATCACGTTTGATTTTTTTTCGTAGCTTCTTCGGCCTGTTCGCGGATTTTGCGCTTCTTTTGCTCATCCATTCCGATTCCGCCGCGGTCTTCTTTGAAAATAAGATTCAGGGGCTCGGATCGGGTGGCTGAGTTCTTGGTGTGCTTGTTGTCCTTTTGCCTGTCCTTGTCGTCTTTGTTCTCATCACCTGGTGCCTTGTCGGTGTCGGTGTCGCGCTTGCCAAGAGATTGTCCCGGTTTGAAGCCTAGCTTCGCCATCATTTTGAATCCCTTATTCGCTGGGTCTAGGGTACTCTTTGATAGAGCTTCTTCGCGGCGCGCTGCTTCTTCGGCTGCTCTTTCGGCTTTGGAGGGGACTTTTCCCCGGGCCTCTGCCTGGATTTAGTGAGGGTGACGAGGTCAGCGGAGATCATCATGCGGGCGCGCGACCAGGGGAGGGGAGAGGGAGGGGGAGGGGGAGGGAAGAGAGCTACTACTCTCACTCAGTACTCACCTCACGTTGTTCCCGACGCTTCCTTTGGGTAAAAGTTTCCTTAAACTTCGGCTCTTCGATTACCATAGACATGTAATCGTCCTCTTCCCCCTCATCGGTGTCTCCATGATTGGGCGACATGGTTGTAAGATGCAAGTTGCCGTAATGAGAAAAGCCAGATTGGGTTGGAACTTTTTGCGGGGAACAAATTAAGGTGGGCCCGAGCTGAAGCTGTGGACTGCTGCGGGCAAGCTGTGGTGTGGTTAGTACCACACCCGGCATTACACTACTGACTTCCCTTCCCGCTTCTTTGCTTGTTTTCTCCTCCATCCGGCAACTCCCCCTGCACTCCCCCTGCACGCAAGGGGAGAATCCGGACATTTCATTTGTTTCTGGGTATTGGCATTGGCCCTTGTCCAGTCAAGATGGTCGCTCCTTTGTTCCGCGAGGCCTGGGGTCTCGTTCTCGCCCTGCTTCGCGCCCTGTCTGGTGATTTTGATTTCGGCTCTTCTTCTACTCTCCGTTCTTCCTTTATTACCTGGCTATGCTGCCGTTTTCAATCCCTCAAATCTGCAATTGACTTCGTCATGGAGCTCTTCTATCTCTTCTTTTGTCTGTCTTTGACTGTCGCTCAATCCCCCGTCGTCAACCTAGACTATGCCAGCTACCAAGGACGCTCCTTGCCAAACGGAGTTTCCCAGTGGTTAGGAATGCGCTTCGCCGCTCCTCCCGTTGGAGATTTGCGTTTTGCTGCTCCTCAAGATCCGAGGACTCAGCAAGGGGTTCAGAACGCAACCAACGTATGTTTGAACGACACTGTCTACGCAGTCTATAGAATCAAACGACTCTTTATACTGACCTAAGCTAACCTTTCGTTGTTGCTTATAGCATGGAAATCTCTGCATCCCTGTCGCAGGCAGTCTAAACACCCCAATTGCAAAACAAAGATCCGAAGATTGTCTCTTTTTAGATGTTTATGCGCCCACAAATTCAATCAGGGCAAGCACCAACAGACTGCCGGTATACTTCTTCATTCAAGGTGGAGGCTTTGCCGACCTCTCCAATGCAAACTATAATGGATCGGGCTTGGTTCAAGCCTCCGGTCGAAACATGATTGTGGTCACATTCAATTATCGCGTGGGTCCTTACGGCTTTCTCGCCGGTGATGAAGTGGAGAGCGGAGGTAGTCTCAACAATGGTCTGAAAGATCAAATTAAAGCTCTGCGGTGGGTCAAAAAGTATATCAGCAATGTAAGATCGACAACACAGCTTTCCAACCACCTTCCACGCTTGCCTTACTTACTAACTTGACTCAATTAGTTCGGAGGAGACCCAAACCGCATCGTCATCGGCGGCGACAGTGCCGGCGGCGCATCCGTAACCCTCCTCCTATCCGCCTACGGCGGTCGAAACGACGGCCTCTTCATCGGCGCAGCAGCCGAATCCCAAAGTTTCGGAACAATGCTCAATATCTCCGAAAGCCAATTCGCCTACGACAGACTAGTAACCCGAACAGGATGTGCCTCCGCAGACGACACCCTCGCCTGCCTCCGCAGTCTAGACATAACGACTCTACAAAATCAAAACATCGGCACCCCACTACCCGGCCGCACAAATAAACCCTTATACCTCTACAGTCCAACCATAGATGGCGACCTAGTCCAAGACCACACACTCACTCTCTTCCGCAAAGGAAAATTCATCAAAGTCCCCGTTATTTTCGGCGACGACACGAACGAAGGAACAATCTTTGTTCCGAAAAGTACTTCCTCCCTCGCTGCGGCGGATACTTTCATCAAGGACCAATTCCCCAGTATATCCGCGTCCCAAATGTCAAGGGTAAATAGTATATACCTCACACCCAACCAAACAAAAATCTACCCCGGTTCATCAGCCTACTGGCCACCAACATCCACCGCATACGGAGAAATCCGCTACATATGCCCAGGCATCGAGATGAGTTCGATCTACGCAGCCGCAGGCGTCAAGAGCTGGAATTACCATTTCGCCGTCCAAGACCCGCACTACGAATCCATTGGTGAAGGGACAACACATACCGTCGAGGTAAATGCAATCTGGGGACCCGATTATGTGAGTGGTGTTCCGCCGGATTCGTATTATACGACGAATGCGCCTATTGTCCCGCTTATGCAGGGCTATTGGACGAGTTTTGTGCGCGATTTGAATCCGAATACGTTTCGGGTGGCGGGGAGTCCCGAGTGGGGCACTTGGGGGGATTATAGGAGGATTTTTATTAGGACTAATCAGACTGCTATGGAGAGTGTTCCTGCGGAGCAGAGGGAGAGGTGTAAGTATTTGGCTAGTATTGGGGTGGATTTGAGGCAGTGATTTAAGGGCCCTAGGGCTGTGGGTGGGATGGGATTGTTGATCTGATCAGTACTATATACGATTTGTGCATATCTTAGTCAGATACCCTTGTTAGCTGAAGTTCTGCTGGGTCATGAGAAATACATTGACTGGTTTTATATACATTTGAAGTAGGTTATCAATATTTGCAAAAGACTCGGAGGGTGTTTGAAGTATAGAAGCAACATATACTACAACCACAACTTGAAGGTACTAGGAGGACCACGCTACAAACACTGTTGGTATTTAAGGCTAGAGCGTGAGATGGATAGATGGTTCATTTAACACTCAATAGCTATAGCACTAGTATATAGTTATTAAATACCATAGGATTAATGTATCTTGACTAAAATAGAGTTGTGACAATGGTATTAGGTTTCGGCGATCTTTAATGTGGCAAAACTGCCTGCTTGGCCGTTTCTGCCCTCATTCTCCGTTCAACATAAAGACGACCATCGACTCAACGCGCTCCGAAGTCGAAGGAACTATCGCCATTTGATGTCACAAGCATGATCGCTACCTCTTCAGACACCCCGCCGACAGGGCCAGAGGGGATCGAATTGCAGATGCCGATTCGTCGGCTGGACGATCGACGGGTACTTTTCTCAACCCATTTCTCTATACCGCGGGTTTCTTTTTTTGCGACTCCGGTTGAGAAAGGTGCACTTTCTCGGATTTTTGCGGCTGTAAGCCCCGAGGCGAAACACGGGCAGTATTATGGGCCTATCGGTAAGGTCGAATCAGGCTCTGGGCTTGCTCAGGGTCGTGATCTTCAAGAAAAGTTGTTCGGTGGCCAGGGCGAACTTGCAGGACATGATGTCGAGAATATTTTGTAGGATTCTATTTGCTTTTGCAATCAGTTTGTTCTAGTATTTATGTTTTATTGTTTTATCTATTTGGCCACGGTTAAACTTTGAAACGGACCGCGATTTTTAGCATTTGAACTCTATCAGCCCTTGCTTTACCAGAATAGGTCTGGGAATGATAAATTATATTTCTAATGCGTTATTCGGCAAAACTGTATAGATGGTCGGTGGATAGTTGAAATCTCTCATAAAAGTCACTCGTTCTTATTGCGGCTATCATCTTCTCCGTCTCCGCCCCGTCCATCGGATCAAAGTCTCCATCCGTTACGTGCCAATCGGCGATGCATTCCTTTGCTAATAATCGATTCTAGGAAGCAGTGTTGGAAGTCAACATTTGCCGATGAAAGCACTTGAATCATCATTGAAGATGCTGCCAGATCTTTCTGACATCGAACGGAGGTGATGTATGTCTCTCGGTCTTTCAGGAGAGTAGAGCATGCCGACATGTCGATGTTCTGGAGTTGAAGGAAACGGGGGAAGCAGGCTGCCTGTTGGAAAGGTACCCTCGATGAAAACCCCCAATCGATTATACTTCAATGGTAAGTACCTTGAAGTCGACCTGCGAAGATCGTTACTTACCTACCCTGACCCTGTGACATTGTAATATGCATCTATGATAATGTTTTGTGGTGATAAATCACCGTGGGCAATGGCGAAAGGTGCTTCATCTAGATCAAGCAAAAGAACATCGGAAAGAATCTTCATCTGCTCAGAGCAATCCTGATATGTGATTTCTGGAAGAAGACCCTCGCGAACCCGACGGGTCTTGTTTTGAATTATCCGGGTAAAATGCTTTAGAGAAGAACCCCCTGGACTTATAAGCAGGGTTCAATTTAAACGAGGTATTCAACATACGAGCCTGCTTGCTACATTCAATCAGTGATGTGTGCATCTTCGCAACTTGATCCAAGATTTTATTTCGAAGAGCTTGCGTCGGAAAGCTATCGGACATATAAGCTGACTACCGGAATCCATGTCAATGCGATAAAGGGGTATTTGATGGCATTGTCGAACGTCAGACTGCAGCCCCGAAGCCTTGCGGCCCATGAGAACCCTTTCAATTCGAACTCCTGGAGAATTCGAGCTTCGGACTCAAGAAGCTGTATAACAATGTCCTGGGAATCATGACGGACAAAAAGAGGTACTCTTATTGCCCGGCTCTCGCCATCCATGAACGTTACCCTGAATACGCGACATTGACCACCGTCAAAATACTGATGCATGGTAGGGATTTGCCCATCGTTCCGGAGATCAGATTTGGCGATAGGAATGTTGCTCTCGTAGAAAGACTGTTGCTGCATGATTGAAAAGTGAATTTAGTGAGCCCGAAATGTTGTGACCCTCAAGCAATTTCTTGGTCGGAGCATCTGAGGATAATCGCTTGGTGACCGCTTTGTTATGCGGGCCGGCTCAGCCGCACCAACTTGAACTTGAATCTAAACCGTCCCGAGCCAGGGATAATCGTCAGACTAAGCTACGTAGTACGTAAATATACTGCAAGATTTCCAAATGTATACACAATTGCGATTGTGGCGACAGCTTTATGCTTCATATAATGGATTTTCTTTTTCATAAAAACAATATACATATTTGTATCTCTTATCATAAATTTCTCTATGTACAATAACAGAGTTCTGGGTCTTTTCGACTGCTACTATTCTTGATGATATCAAGTCCAACTAATTACTTTCGATCCCAAAAAGCTATTTTGGAATATAAACGGTCAAAAATCAGTTCAATCACATAGTCTATCTACCTCCAAGAATCAATCCTGTTCTAGAGATCATCGCACTGCTATAATTTGTCATTCGTGCAGTTCAAAGGTGGGTCAGTGTGGGTTGTTCATTTAGCCCGCAACTCGGAATCGTCACCAACAACAGTTAGTACTTAGGTTGATGGGTCTGCTATAGATAGGCTGATGCATTCGCAGAACTTAAATCATTCTAACTGTTTCTGCAACCTATACGCCAATTGTTGTCCTGTTCTTCCCTTTCATTTGCCTATCCAGGTTGCCTTTACTTCTCGCCATATCATCATGTCCTAGGTTAAAGTCTCCGAATCCCGATGGGAACGCCCAGCAAACGGAATGGAGAGTTTTTTTTTATCTCCATAGAAAACCTCACAGCCTCGCTTTTTGAGGGTCGTCATCAATACACGATCAATTCCCGGTTGAAGGTTGACTACGAGCTTCCGCTGTCTCAGAAGGAGAAGACTTTGCGACATGCCTGGAAACAGCTTAGATATCTGCAACCGCAGGTCACAGCAACAGTTGAGGGTGTGAAAAAGATCTATGAGATTCCCGACAATTTGGCTCTAGAAAGCTGGCTCGAGAAAACATTTATCATTTCCAATGCCGGCGATGCTGAAGAATTGAGTCGCGATGTATCTCCTATTCTCCAGGCAACTCTCTACTATCTGCCCCGATCATCCGAGCTCGTAATCCGAGCTCCTCATTCAGTCATTGATGCCTTGGGGATGATAATGCTGTGGTATAGTTACCTCACTGCCCTGACTTCTCCGTGCGAAATAACATTTGGCGACGAAGTGACTCGCCTGCCCGACTCGCTGGAGACCCTACTTGGCCACCCTGAGCCGCCTCGGACAGAAATGATGGCCAGGGCACAGGAAATAATCAATACTTTCGTCACAACGCCAGGCGTTGGGCCTAAGAATGAGGTGGGCAAGGTGCTACCCGGTCCTACCCAAAGGCGCGAGCTGGCATTTTCTGTGGACTCCACGCAAGCTATCATTCAAGCCTGCAAGAACAATGGGTATAGTGTCACTGCTGCCGTCCATGCAGTCTTCATTCAAACGCTCGTGAAACACGCATATCCTGCCGGTGATCAGTCCAAATATGTCACTGCAACCAATTACAACCTCCGCGATATTCTACCCGAACCTTACAGCTCGAGCGACTATGCTGCCGCCTTGTTTTACACGCCTTGGACCTTCAGCCTTGATCCGCCAGAGACTTTCAGTGAGACGGTTCGAGCGCTAGATAGTGCCTAAAAAACCGCTTTGAACCCTGAGAATGTTGAATTGAGTGGTTCTATAACTCGAGCCCACTATGAAAAGATGCAGGACCCAGAAGTTCTCGCTGGCCCGGTTCCTCGCGATGCTCAGGTCAGCAGTCTGGGAGTTCTTGAGCGTCATATACAGCACTCGTATGGTGCTGGTGATGGCAATGTTGTCATCCGTGATTTCAAATTCGGCATCGAGGTCGTGGTAGGCTATAGCATGTTTTTCTTCACCTTCCGGGACCAACTTCGATTAATCTATAGCTTCAATGAGGCATCTGGTGACCCTGAAAATATTCAGACTTATCTTGAGGATATGCAAAACACCTTGGAAGATAAGTTACGGGCGCAGTAGGGTCAATCTTACCCGGTACACAACCAAGCACACTCAATTCACCACCGAACAAGGACTTATGAAGAACGGTTTCTTATCGGAAGTTTTAGGACTTTTTGACCGCTCTTGGGTGAGCTTTATTATATATTCTTTTTGTCTACCTTTGTAAACGGGCAAAAATTTCTACTAAATAGAATCCCAAGCCCTCATTCGGCAACTTCTATTTTGCTTATTGACCTCAGGCAGCCTTCGGGACGGTTAGGTAAAATAGCCCTATATACAACCATTGAACACCCTTCGCTTATGGAGCGCCGTAGCTCGGCTCCTACTAGCGAGATCTAGATTGGATTGAGATCTACAAAAAGAAAGGTCTATTTCGCGTACTTTCATTTTTCAGAGGCGATTGGGATATATATTGCAGCGTAGTCTCCACAAGCACTAGTATACTGTACACTACCCCACTAGCATCGCCGAACTATCTGTCCAACTTCAAGTTCAAGTTGCACCTATACTAGTCCAAAAGCATAGCCCCAACCACGCCATATCAAAGTCAATCTTAAGAGCGAATAACAATATCAGTTAGATAATATTGTGTCCTGTAGAAATTCGTGGTAATTGCTGGTATGATGCGTCTGGGATGTCACATTGCACAGTTTGGGGCTGATTAGGCAGCACCCAATTCAAGATATCTTTTTTCCAAATGGATAAGAATATAGACCTAGTAGTATCTCGTATATTTATGATTACCTCATAAAAAAGCCAATGTTGCAGCCGGATTTATCCATGCCATTATCGATCGTAGTATTCCAGGTTAGTTAGAATGACGACATAGTGGATATATCTTTAGCACTGCTGCACCGGATTTATTATGTACAAGTAGTTCGTTCGGCAAACAACATGCAGAAATATGATATGTAGCATTGAATTGCTATCGCGTATGCGTTATCATGCTAGTAATCTATTATGCAAAACGAATCTGAGATGCGTCGGTAGTTGCCTATCGGAAGATGCGGGGAATCCCACCTCAAGTTTGACCTCTCTACTTCATACATTCACTCTACTCGGTACTCCGAATCTACCTCCAGATCACAAATTACAACCCAACTGAATTCCACACAGTTCAGTTTGCCTCTTTACAAGTCCATTGAAGCTATCGATTTTCCCTCGCCAGGCAATTCCCTGGTGTTTGAGCATCCCTGAACGCACCCCACCCAAACCAACCAGTCAGCCAGTCCGCCTCATGCATCAATTAGCGCTGCCGATCTTTCCCCTCACTCAATAATGGATCGGGGCAATCAAAACTCTTGATCCTCTGCAGTGCCTCCTGGAGCCTTGCCAAGCCTCTCCAGGCTGTCATGATTGATTGAGACCCTCGTATGAGGGAGGTGGATGTGACCCTGGCCCGGAGCTCCTGCGGAGATGGCTGGTGTCCCCACGATATGCAGCCGTTGAGCCTGTCCACAAGCGTTCTCGTTGGCTCATGCCCATCGACTCCTCTTATCCTCCTTCTACTTCAGGGGGAATGATGACTGGCGATCACGACTCGCCCCGGGGCGGCTATCTCCGGTACAGCATCCTGGTCCCTGGTTCTCTGACTGGATATGCCGTGCCATGGCATACGATCTAAACAATGTAGCCTGAGCGAGCTGTCCCCTCATTTGGGGTAGATTCTTTAAGTAGCAGTCGGCAGCCCCTGGCCCACAAACAAAGCGTTTTCCTCCACTTTCGACGCTGCTCTTCACTTCTTCATTGCAACGTGGAGACAGAGATACAGACACACCATGCGCATCAACACGTGGATCCCGTTCCTGGTGCCCGTCGCGGCAGCCAGCTTCATCCCCTTTGGCACCGAGTTCGCCCGTCGACAACTTCCCAACGAGCCTACGGGTGTAAAGACAATTAAAACGGCCAACAATGTTACGATTCGCTACAAGGAGCCTGGGAAGGAAGGTGTTTGTGAAACAACGCCCGGTGTGAAATCATATGCAGGTTATGTGGACTTGTCGCCGACAGAACATACATTCTTCTGGTTCTTCGAGGCGCGCCACGATCCGGAGAACGCGCCAATCACGCTGTGGCTTAATGGTGGTCCGGGCAGTGATTCGCTGATTGGCTTGTTTGAAGGTGAGACGATCGATCTGACAGTTGAGGATTTGCTTTTTTCAACTGTATGGAGTGAACTCTACTGACGAATCGTGTTTTAGAATTGGGCCCTTGTCATGTTAATGAGAAGTTTGAGACTTATGTTAATCCCCACTCGTGGAGTGAGGTTTCAAATATGCTCTTTATCTCGCAGCCTCTTGGCACCGGTTCGTAATGACTTTGTGCTCTGATAATGTGACATATCACTGACCTTGATGATTCAGGATTCTCATATGCCGAGAAGGAGGCAGGTTCCCTGAACCAATTCACAGGTGCCTTCCAGGGTGAAGATGTCGCCGGTGTTCAGGGTCGCTACCCTGTTATTAATGCTACTATGATTGGTATGTTAGCTTTGCTTACTTGCGTTGGAGGAACTTAGCTAATTGCGGTCAAGACACAACCAACCTCGCTGCCGAAGCCACCTGGGAAGTCTTGCAGGGATTCCTTGGCGGACTGCCAAAGATGGACTCGAAGATCAAATCGAAGAGCTTCAATTTGTGGACCGAGAGTTATGGAGGGTAAGCAGTTCCGAAGATGGGATCTTTTTCCCTTTGTTTCAATACCTGATGCTAATAATTAAAATAGACACTATGGCCCAGCTGTGAGTATCAACTAATCATCAAAACGAAATGCCGACAATGTCACTAACAAGCAAAGTTCTTTGACCACTTCTATGAGCAAAACCAGAAGATCGCCAATGGCTCTGTGGACGGCATTGAGCTGGAATTCAACACACTTGGAATCATCAACGGAATCATTGATGAATCTATCCAAGCTCCCCATTACCCCGAATTTGCTGTTCACAACACCTACGGCATCAAAGCGGTAAGTTCATCATCCTTTTTTTCGTTCCTAGATTCCATGGCTACATACTAATACGAGCTAAATAGGTCAACGAAACTGTCTACAACTATATGAAGTTCGCAAACGAAATGCCCAACGGATGCCAGGACATGATCCAGAACTGCAAATCCACCAACCGAACCTCATTGACAGACTACGCAATCTGCACAGAAGCCGGCAACATGTGTCGTGACAACGTCGGTACGTCGAAATTCCTATATACCTCCCCCCCCCCCTTCCTCCTCTATACATCCAAATCACAAACAACCCACTAATCCACCCCCACAGAAGGTCCATACTACGTCTTCAGCGGCCGAGGAACCTACGACATCCGCCACCCATCCCAAGACCCAACCCCACCAAGCTACTACGAAAAATACCTCGCCAAAGACAGCGTAATGAACGCCCTAGGCGTAGACCTAAACTACACATCCTCCAATTCCGAAATCTACTACGCCTTCCAACAAACCGGCGACTTCGTCTGGCCCAACTTCATCGAAGACCTAGAAGATATCCTCTCCCGACCCGTCCGCGTGGCCCTAATCTACGGCGACGCAGATTACATCTGTAACTGGTTCGGCGGTGAGGCTGTCTCCCTGGCTACAAATTACACGCATAGCAAGCAGTTCCGCGCTGCGGGGTACGCACCCTTCCTGGTCGATGGGAAGGAGTATGGTGAGACGCGCGAGTATGGGAATTTCTCGTTTACGAGGGTTTATGAGGCTGGTCATGAGGTTCCCTACTACCAGCCTGAGGCTTCGCTGCAGCTTTTTAATCGCACGCTTAATGGGTGGGAGTTGCCGAAGGGTGAGAAGAAGGTTAAGCCGGATTTTGGGTCGAGTGGGCCTAAGTCTGCGACGCATACGCAGGCTTCTGTTGCGTTGCCTACTTCTACGGGGGCGGTTGGTTCTGCTCGGGCTGTTCCGTGGATGTGAGGAGCTGGCAACTTCAAAACTTGAAGCGGTGTAGTGGTAGTGGTGTGTCAGTGCATATATATATGGCTGCATGGAGGATTTATATGGAGTAGATTTGTATAAAGCTCCAGGGCTACTCCTACTGCTTCTCTCATCTGAATGCTCAAGTAAATACAAATCAATATTATTTCACTTGAATCTAATCTGTTCAGATTATTCATAGTAGGGTAGGTAGGTATGGATCGTCTATCCGGGTTTCATATCGCACAACAATTCCACGAGTCCCACACCCACGGTGTGCAGACACGGACCTAGACCTAGAACATGAAAGGACGCGCCTCGTAAATGCATATGTTCGTGGCAATCAAGCCAAGGAGTCGAACCCATCAAAGGTAAAAGAAAATGCAGGAAAGGAAAAAAAATAACAAAAGTGATGATACAGTACAACTGATTGATACCTTTTGCTGTGGTATACCGTATATATCAATATCAATAATCAATTGTTCACGTTCACGTTCACGCCTTATCCGAAGCATCTTCGTGTGCGCGAGGCTTCTCGGGGAGATTAATTCCCTCGCCGGTCTCACCGAGGATATCGGCGGCGGTTTCGTCGGAGAATTTCAGATCCTCTTCGACGTCGGTGCTATCCTTCACCTTGAAGAAGACCACAGGTGTTGCGACCAGCATACTGCCGAGGAGAAGACCCCAGCAAGAAGCGAATTCGGTCATGAAGGGAGTCTTGACGGCGTCCAGGCTAAGATATCATTAGTAAGGAAACATAACTCGGTCAATGCATATGAAGGAGGAAAACTTACCGCCACATTCCAGCTGCACCAGCAGATTGGATACCCTTGTAGAAACCGGCAAAGTTGGCCAGCTTGCGAGCGTTGTTGGAAAGGGAACCCATGTACCTGAAGAATCACAAATGAAGGTTAGCAGATAATCTTCAGAAAGCTAGCTAGCAAAGCAAAGCTCTCGCGGATGTTCCTTACCAGTAGGTGCAAGTCTGGAAAGCAGCATCATAAAACCCATAGAACATATACAAGAACATCGGCCCAATATATCCACTATCCGTGAAATCCATATCGGCCTTAACAGTCTCACGCGTATACCTCGTCTGAAAAGCATAACCACCACCCCAAATTCCCAGCGTAATAGCAAAAAGAATACCAAAATTAATCTTAGCACGCATCGGACGCGAAAAGCACTTCATATCAAGAAGTTGGCCAAAAACAAAAGCACCAACCATCTGCATCAACCAGTAAAGCAGACTGTTCAAGGCACGAGTGCGAACAGTGAAATAGGCCAAATTGACCGCGTTGAAGTGATAGCCGTAGAACCAGTTACTGGCCAAAAACATGGGGAATAGCCACACGATGTACGAGTCGCTGAGGAGCGTCTCCCATAGGCCGAGGAATTCGGATTTCCAGGTCGGATTCTTAATCACGATTACGCGGGAGCCGTCTCTGCGCTTGATATATTTGGAATCGGCTAGGGCCCAGCATAGTGCGAATCCTACGGCCATTAGGACGAGGAAGGCGATGTAGGTGCCATTATTCACGTTTCCAGCGGTGGAGTGCATGTTTTGACCGAGGGGGACCTGTAAAGGAGAAAAGGCAATTGGTGATTAGCTTAGTTCAATGCACCTCTCTCTCGCTCTCTCTCTCTCTCTCTGTCTCTTCTGCGACTTACCAAACTGCCAATAACACCACCCAAGTTGAAAATAACCCAGAAGATAGCAATATATTTGCCCTTCTCATGCTCCAACGGATAACTCATCATAACAGCACCCTGAGCGCACCACAGCAAACCAGCACAAACACCCAGCAAAGCACCAGCAAAGATCAAGAAGCCCGCATTCTGATTAATGTTGTACGAGAGCAAAGCGGCGACGTAGAGAAAGTAGCCAAAGCCACCAAGCGACAAGGTCAGGCGAAGACCAATCCGGTTGGCAATAGAACCGGCGAAGAATCCCACAACGGCAAAGGTACTATACAACGCGGTGTTGGCGTTGTTCACATCGGTCGCATTCACTTGGCCACCGCCACCGAGTCCACTGACCGCATTGTACATGCCGGGACAGAGGAAGCAGACGAATGAGACGAGATAGAGCTGTGTCTCTGGCGATGCGAACCAGGGTGCTTGCCATTTGCCAATTTTGAAAATTGGCTTGTACATCCAGTCTGGGCCGACGACGGCGTCGTCAACGGCGGGTTCGCCTTGGACGGAAGGCATGGTCTTTTCTTCCAATGATTGGGCGACCGGGGACTCTGTGGTCGCCGGTGCAGGCGGTTGCTGCTCCGGCTCGGGGGACATGATCTGGGGAAGAGCAGGTGCGAGTGGGTTTTGAGGAGTGTAGATCGGAGATTGGAGGAGATGATGGGGGGGGTCAGATCAACGATCTAGAAAAGGGGTGGCTCCAATGGGATTGCGATCGTTGGAATGGAATGGAATGCTTTCCCACGTGAAGATAACCAGGATCGTCAGGAAGGGAAGAATGAAGGAGGAAAAAGGCTGAGTTGAGCTGAGCGAGAAATTTATCAGAGCTGAATTCGGGGGGCCGACTTTTTTTTTTAGTTCTAAAAAAAAAGAGACTATATCCCGTGGACCTATAGTAGCCGAGGCTAGCTTATCGCGATGTTTCACAGATAACACAATCAGTACGGGGAGTACGGAGTATACCCTGACCGTGGGGTAAGGTAATTATAAGTAATGGAGACGAATGGCACGATAATGGGGAGAAAGTGGATTTATTACGATATTTTTTGCTCGTCATGTGGGCAGTGGGCAGTTGCGGGGATATCGATGATGGGGGGAATTTCTGGAGATTCTGGAGCCGCTGGAGACTCTGGAGAAGGATTGAACGAACCACAAAGAATAACCAAGGATGGGCAGTGATAACCAGTAACAAGCAGTGACATGCGATACCCGCTCTAAATGCGACCGAAAACAGAGTTGCATCCGCTTGCAACCACCACCAGATACCAAAGATACCAAAGATACCCTCCCGGTACTGAATTACATCCCCGCATGCGGTTAATACGGTAATGACAGTACACTCCACAGTGTGATCGCGGTAGACTGCAACTGTAGACTGTGGAGGGCTGCGTACAGCCAGTATTAGCCACACCCGTCACTACTGCAGAGTATAACTGCAGTGGTAGTAGTATATACTGCCAAGTACAAAGTATAATGACTAAAGTACTACTACTACCGAATTTGGTACCTACCACATCGGTATGCCGAACCCAATGTCCAATGTCACCTCGCAAACAATCAACCGTTACATCATTACTTCCTCCCCGGCGCGGCCAGATCTATTAACTTCTTGTTTTCCCCTGTTCCTGGTGCCTATTCCTAATTATCCATCGTCATTGACCTGGCCTGACCTGACCTGACCTGATCTGATCTTGACCTTGACCTCAACATCAACGTCAACATCACCATCACCATGCCGGGCAAGACCACCCCCGCTCCCCGCATCACCAAGTTCACCAACTGCCGCTTGGTACGCGGATCAAGCCTCATCGAACAAGACCTCTGGATCGACTCTCTCACCGGCAAAATCCTCAAAGACCAAGAAGCCTTCTACGAATTACATCTTTCCCCCGATGAAATCATCGATCTCGGCGGCCGCATTCTGGCCCCGGGTCTCATCGATGTTCAGCTGAATGGTGCCCAGGGCTTCGACTTCTCCGTTCCCTGTGATACAAAGGAGGAGTATGATGAAGGTCTGCGAATGGTTAACCGCGGCCTCGCACGCACTGGTGTTACCTCATACCTGCCTACCCTCGTTAGCTCGACCGCCGAGGTTTATCACAAGGTAGGTTTACTTCAACCTTTCAAACATCCCGAGAGGAACTCTCTCTCGTCCCAAAGCAAAGCAAAGCAGATCAGAGCACAGCAAAGCTAACATCCTACCCAGGTCCTACCGTCCCTAGGCCCAACAGCAAAAACCCACCAACCCACCGACGGCGCCGAATCCCTCGGCGCCCACGCCGAAGGACCCTTCATAAGCCCCGGCCGAAACGGCATCCACAAATCCGAAGTCCTCCGCGCAGCCCAAACCTTCGAAGACCTAATCACCTGTTACGGAAAGGACAATCTGGACTCATCCAGTCCAATCAAAATGATAACCGCCGCGCCAGAAGTAGGCAACATGATGTCTCAGATCCCCGAAATCGCAAAGAGAGACATAATCTACGCAATCGGCCACTCAGACGCAACATACGAACAAGCCGTAAGCGCAACCCACCAAGGCGCAACAATGATAACACACCTCTTCAACGCGATGCGACCATTCTACCACCGCAACCCGGGTATCTTTGGCCTTTTGGGCCAGAGCGAGCGTCGTCGTCCTTATTATGGCGTTATTGCTGATGGGATTCATTTACATCCTACCTCGATTAAAATCGCATACAATGCCCATCCTGAGGGACTTGTTCTTGTCACTGATGCCATGCGCCTGTGTGGATTGCCCGATGGTGTTTATGAATGGACAAACGGCGAACGAATCGTCAAAACGGGCGCGAGACTTACGCTTGAAGGATCGGATAAAATTGCCGGTAGTTCTGCGACGTTGATTGAGTGCGTTAATAATTTTCGACGGTGGTCAGGTGCGTCGACGGCGCAGGCTATTAATGCTGCTACGGCTGTTCCCGCGCGATTGTTGGGGATGCAGGGGGTTAAGGGGTCTTTGGATGCGGGGGCGGATGCGGATTTGGTTGTTTTGGGAGAGAGTGATGATGATTATTCGGGGAATACTTTGACGGTTGATCAGGTTTGGAAGTTTGGGGCTAAGATTTTTGATTCGGAGGTTAAGGGTGGTGGTGCTGTTGCTGTTTGAGGACGGCTGACTGAAGATTAGGGCTGGTGTGGGTGGTTTTGCTTTCGTCTGTTGTGTCTGCTTGTGCTTTTCTTGTTTCCTGTTGTCTTATTATCTCCTGCTTTGTTCTGCGTCTGCTTCTCATGATATCTACTGGTGGGCGAGGGTCTGGGCGTTTGAGGATGTTTTATCTTTTTTCCTTGCATCGATTCCTGCGGCAAGCATCTAACCTTACTACGCATTGTACACGCATCCCGAGCATCGCATCGAACCTTTATCTTTATCTTTACTTTTGATAGACTTGAAATTTATGCTAGATTCACTTGAAACTGATGATTTGCTATTCTTTGTAGTTCTTAATTTTGTATTGATCCAAAATTAGTATATATAGCGGGGCGGTATGTATCAAAAGTCTAAGAGCGTATACTGCTGCTAGTACTAGACAATCCCAGCCTACTGACTAACTAGCGCAGTACTAGTACGTCAAAACATTTAGAGAATCATTTTAACGTCAATATACTCAGTAATATTTATTCAAGTTTATGTATCCAAGAATCCAAAAAGAAGACCAAGACTTGGACCCCAGGGCCTACTAACCACTATACTATACTAGATCAATCACGTTGACTAAAGGGGGGTGAGGTTATAAAATCCCCTCCCACCACTTTAATCTCACGGAGCTAGAGCTCTGCTCTGCGCCGCTCGCTGAGATGCTAAACAAAAATTTCCAAAATACAACTTTTCAGACATACGGTCATGAGAAGAGGGAACAGAGACTCAAGTCGACACAGTCAACTGTGCTGTATGTTCCCACGCCCTCGCCCGCACTAGGCAGGCTAGGCTTCGCTTCGCTCTGCACCTTACAGACGAGGCTGAGAGCGGGTCCAGCCAGCCTCCTCGGCAATAAGCTCAGCAGCACGCTCACCAATAGTCAAAACAGTAAGCATGGGGTTGATGGAAGGCATATCCGGGAAAACACCCGCATCAGCAATACGCACACCCTTAAGACCGCGAATCTTAAGCTTAGGATCAACAACAGCCAGCGGGTCCCTGGCCACATCACCCATCTTAGTCGTACCAGCCGGGTGGTACACAGTGTGCGCGACACGACGACCATACTCAGACAAAGCCTCGTCGGAAGTCACCTTCGGGCCGGGAGCGACTTCGCGCTTGATCCAGTCCTTGAATGGGGCTTGCTGGGCGACCTTACGAGCGACCTTGAGTCCCTCGACGATGGTTGCGGCGTCGTAGCCCTCGGGATCGGTGAAGTAGCGGAAATCAAGCGCTGGTTTGACGCTCGGGTCCGAGGAGGTTAGGTAGAGACGGCCTCGGGATCGGGGGCGGGGGATGTTGGGGGTCATGCAGAAGGCGTTGATGGGTTCGTCGTAGCCTAGGCGGGTTGTGTTTAGGGTGAAGGGGATTTGGTAGCAGTGCATCATTACGTCTGCGGCGCGGCCGTCGAATCCTGCGGCGTCGGGGGCTTCGCGACGGAGGAAGATTCCTGCGTCTGAGTCCATGGTTGTGGCGCTGTGGTCGACGGGGCGGTTGAGTTCCCACATGATGATTGATTCGGGGTGGTCGATTAGGTTCTCGCCGACTCCGGGGAGATCCTTGATGACGGGGATGTTGAGGGAAGATAGTTGCTCGCGGGGACCGAGACCGGAGAGCATGAGGAGACGGGGGGTGTCGACGGCACCGGCGCAAAGGATGGTCTCCTTCTTGGCGCGGAGGGTGTGAGTTACGCCGGACTGGAGGGTCACGTTGACACCGGTGACGGTGTCGCCTTCGACGTTGACCTTGGAGACCCAGGCGTTGGTGAGGATGGTTAGGTTGGGGCGCTTCTCATCGCCGCGCAGGATGGGGTGGATATAAGCCACACTGGCACTGCTTCGGCGGCCATCGTCAGGGTTGTAGGAGACGTTGAAGAAACCGACACCCTCGGTCAGTTCACCCTTGTTACGGATGTCGTCGTTGAAGTTCTCAATGACGGGGATGTCCATGGCACTGGAGCAGGCGGAGATCCAGTCTTTGCAGAGCTGGTTCTGGTGGCGGGCGTGCACGGGCTGGATGGTGTTGCGCAGGTTATCAATGATACGGGTGAAGGTCTCAAAGTCCCAGCCCTTGCAGCCCTTGTTCACCCAGTTGCGGCAATCGTACTCGAAGGGACGGAAGGAGATCAGAGTGTTGTGGCTAGAGCAACCACCGAGGACCTTGGCGCGGGAGTGGCGGATGTGGCTATTGCCTACGGGGAGTGTTAGTATTCTTCCATTCTATTTGACTGAACATCTTATAAGGGCGGAGCATGTGGGCTGTAGGGCTGTGGGCTGTGTGCTTTGGGATGAATGATGCAAAGGAAAGATTCAGGCTCAAGGCTGTCGCAAGGGAGATGAAGTGAGAGCTGTCGTACCCATGGGCTGCTCAACGGTGGGATAGTCGTAGTCCAGCTCGCCGCCGAGGAGGTTGAGCCACTCCTTCAAGTTCAGAACGCGATCATCCATAAAGTCACTAGGACCGCCCTCGATCACGAGGGTGCGCTTGTTGGGCAAATACTGGGCAAGACGAGCAGCAATGACACAGCCGGCGGTGCCGCCACCCACGACAATGTAGTCGTAGCTGTTGACATCGATGCCGGGGAGATCGTTAGTGGTGGCCATATTGGAGATAATTGGAGATTGGAGATTGATGAGGTCGGAGGAGAAGGGGGGAGAGAGAAGGGGAAGATCTCTCTATTTTTAAAAGTAAAAAGAAGAAGAGGAAGCTTAGAAAGACTGGGGCCGGTGGTATGATCCAACGAGCCAATCCGTCTCAATCGAGTGCCTTGATTCGGTGTAGACGCGGTTCAACTTTTTTTTTCGCTTTCTTTTTTTTTTCTGCCTTCTTTGCGTTGGGACTGGGGCGAATGAGTGGTGGCGATCGTTCGAAGTGGAGTCGAGAAAAGAACAAATGACCCACTCGGCTGCCAACGGTGTTTCGTCGATAGTTTTTGAGACAAAGATAAATGAGCGGGGAAGAAGGGGAATCGAATAAGATAAGGGAAATTCCAACCGGATTAGGGGGCTGACTTGAGTCCGGACGAGACCGAAGGTGCTATCTCAAAGGAGGCGTCAAAGGACACGAGAATCTATACGTCACCAAGGATCGCGAGGGGAGGAAAAGAGCCCATCGTGCCCGTGTTTAGTGCAGTTTTCCCGGTGGGTCCTTCTCGAGGAATCTGACCACGGATGTTCGATGCCGCGCTGCTCTAGCGAATCTGCAGTCGAACAACCCCGCAAATCCAGAGGAAATGAGGCTGGTTACGTACAAGCGCTGCTCCACTCGCGTTTCGTCGGCCCAAGTCCGGCAAGGCGGTGTGCTGAGGGCCTCGGATGCTAATGTAGGATGTAAAAGTAAAAGATTAAGATACACTTACTGGCCTCCTACTTGCACTCACCTTATCAGAGTCTAATTCATTTCCCCCTCTTCGCAATCATGTCCCTCTCATTCCCTCCCCGTCAGCTCTATTACGACGGTCAGACTCGTCCCGCCTCCTCCGGCAAGACCTTTCAAACCATCAACCCCGCCACCGCAACCCCGCTGGCAGATATCCAGATCGCCTCGAACTCGGATATCGACGCTGCCATTGCTGCCGGTGATCGTGCATTCCCTTCATGGTCCCAGACTCCAGCTATTGCCCGCGCCCGTATCCTTCACAAAGCCGCTTCTCTGCTCCGCGAGCGTAATGATGAGATCGCCCGCGTCGAGACTCTCGACTCCGGCAAGGCTTTCACAGAGACTAGCACCGTGGATGTCGTGACCGGTGCCGATGTCCTGGAGTACTATGCCAACTTCATTGGTGGTGGTGGCCTGAATGGTGAGACTACACAGCTCCGTGAGGATGCTTGGGTTTATACCAAGAAGGCTGCTCTGGGTGTTTGTGCCGGTATTGGTGCTTGGAACTACCCTATTCAAATGTGCGCCCTCTTTTCCCTTCTCAAAGGACAGTCTATTTTTTAAAGGGATTGCTTTGCTAATCAACCCTCTTTTAGTGCCCTGTGGAAATCCGCCGCCTGCCTCGCCGCAGGAAACACAATGGTCTACAAACCCAGCGAATTCACCCCCCCTCCACGCCCAAACTCTAGCAGAGATCTACACCGAAGCCGGCCTACCCGCCGGCGTCTTCAACGTCATCAACGGAGCCGGTGATGTCGGCGCCTACCTAACCAGCCACCCATCCATTGCCAAGGTCTCATTCACGGGCCAAGTAGCAACAGGCCAAAAGGTCGCCGGCTCAGCCTCCGGTAACATGAAATACGTGACAATGGAGCTAGGCGGTAAGAGCCCATTAATCGTGTGCCCAGACGCAGATCTAGAAAACGCAGTTGACGGCGCGATGATGGCAAACTTCTACAGCACGGGTCAAGTCTGCACGAATGGAACTCGTGTCTTCGTGCCCCGATCTCTCAAGTCTGCTTTTGAAAAGAAGCTTCTTGAGAAGATTTCTTTCGTTCGTGCGGGTCCGCTTTTCGATGAGCAGACTAATTTCGGCCCGCTTTCTTCGTCGCTTCATCAGGAGAAGGTTATTGCTTATATTCGTCATGGTATTGAGAATGACCGCGCTACACTTTTGGCTGGTGGTCTTGGCAAGCCTGACGACGTGCCTAAGGATCTACAGGCTGGATTCTGGGTAAAGCCTACCATTTTCACGGACTGTACTGATGACATGCGGATTGTTATGGAGGAGATTTTCGGACCCGTTATGTCGATCTTGTACTATGATACCGTGGAGGAGGCTTTGCAGCGGGCTAATGCGACTGAGCTTGGTCTTGCGGCTGGTGTCTTTACTAAGGACTTGAATCAGGCTCATCGTCTTATTGATCAGCTTCAGGCGGGTATTACTTGGGTCAATACTTGGGGTGAGAGTCCTGCGGAGATGGCGGTTGGTGGGTGGAAGAAGAGTGGTTTGGGTGTTGAGAATGGTCGGAGGGGTATTGAGGCTTGGGTGCAGAATAAGAGCACCCTTGTTGATATGAGTGGGGCTGTGGCTACTGTTTTTGCCAAGCTGTAAATAATAATGATCGTGATTTTTAGTTTACTAGTACATGACCGGAAAAGGTCGGATAGAGGGTGCATTTAAAAAATTATGACAAGTTAGCACATGGATTCGTTCAAGTTCTGTTCTCTTAATTCTAAAGGTATAGGTACAGCTAGTACTATGAGTAGTAGTTCCTCCCATTTTAGAACTAGTGTATTTTACTTAACTAAAGTGTAACCTAGACTCGGAGTGCATGGATCACAGAAATGCCAAGTCATGCATGATGTTACTATGCATGATACTAGTACGAAAATGGCACCTACACGAAGTATACACTACACTACACTACGCATTACAACACAACACAACATAAAACTGAACAAATTGAATTCTAAAAGTTATCAATCTAGCCATACCCTATTGCGCCCCGAATTATGTGATGCCGTTTATTCGCAGACGCCTAAATGACATATCGAATGCAGATTCAAAAACAGAGAAGAAGGATATCATATCCACCACAGCCCATTGCATCCCATCTATCAATTAACGATTGAGGTGAAGAAAACTTGAAAAAAAGGAAGGGAAAAGCACAAACGCCACAACTTTCCAGGAAACGGAGAGAATTCCACAATGCAAGCGATGACCCGAGAAATTATGAGATGAGGAAAAGGAAAAGCGGGAAAGAAAAGGAAAGAAGCGGACTCGAATCAAGTCAAGACCTCATGGACCTCTCACTGAGCAGTCATACGAGCACCCATCCGATCAAAGATCAAGTCATTCTTAAGCGCACCATCCAACCCCCCAATAGCCGAGTCAACCATTCGCGAAGACATACTATCAGGCGTAAGCTCATCATCCTCCATAGTCTTATGGAGCTCCGTATTAATCCGCAAATCCTTAGGAACCTTCACAGGTGTACGGTCAGGAGTAGGTTGCTGACGCGGCGGAGCCGCAGTCCTCTTCGTAACAATAGGCGCAGGCATATAAGTACGAGGACGATAGACCAGCGCTGGCCCCTGAGTTCTCGCATCCGTACCAGCCGACTCAATCGATTCAAAGTATCGCACCGTCTTGACCTTAAGTTCAAGCGTGGCGTCCCGATCGCAAACAACCAATGGGTGAGGGTGTAACTGGAGTGCGGAAAGTGTCCACATATGATTTACGCCGTCTTCAAGACCCTTTTGGAGGGCGAAGGCTTTGTGGGCTCCTGTTGCGACGATGACGACTTCGCGGCTGTCCATGATTGTCTGGATACCGACTGTCATTGCCATTCGGGGGACTTTGTTCACGTCGTTGTCGAAGAAGCGCGAGTTGGCTAGGATGGTGTCGTAGGCTAGGGTCTTGACGCGCGTGCGGCTGGCGAGGGAGGAACCGGGTTCGTTGAAGGCGATGTGCCCGTCTGGTCCGACGCCGCCGAGGAATAGCTCGATTCCGCCGTGTCGGGCGATGCTGGCGTCGAATGCGGCGCATTCGGCGGTCAGGTCTTCCGCGTTGCCGTTTAGGATGTGGATGTTTTGGGGTGGGATGTCGACGTGAGAGAAGAAGTGCTTGTACATGAAGCTGTGGTAGGATTCCGGGTGGTCGCGAGGTAGGCCCACGTATTCATCCTGTATAGTTGTTAGGATATTGAGTATTTTGGGATGCCGAGGTGCCCGCGGTGGCGATGGGGTACATACCATGTTGAAGGTGACGACATTCTTGAAAGAGATCTCGCCGGCGCGGTGGCGCTGCACGAGGATCTTGTAGATGATCTCGGGGCTGCTGCCGGTAGGAAGGCCCAGGACGAAGGGGTGAGCTTCGGTAGGGTTGAAAGCCTTGATGCGGCCTGGGTGAGATTTGTTAGTATGTCTTGTTGCTGGATATATGGTCTGCAATGCGAGCCAGCAGACCCACCGGTGCCTACTCACTGACAATGTAGTCGGCGATATACACCGACGCCTCTTGAGGGTCCTCGCGAATGATAACACGCCTGTGATGGGGTCAGCTCGTTCCTTGCAAAGAAAGGAAGGGAAGGGAAGGCAAAGGATCAGAGGAAGCCATACATGGTGGATAGTTACGTCAGAGGTCAGAAGTAGATGAGAGTTGAGTAGAGTTGAGGTGTATTAGGATTGTGAACCTCTTGAGGATAAAGAGATTGGGGAGGGTCAAGGTCAAGAGAAGAAGGAATTGAAGAGAGGAAGATAGGAAGAAGAGATTAAGGAAAGAGAAAGAGAGACGCCTCCCATGGATTGGTTACGTCGGGGTTGGGTGTACGACAGTGACAAAAGATCAACCGTGTCGTAGTAGATGTGGCTCCGCTCTCAACGTCCAGATCGACTACGGTTACTACATCCCACATCGCTAACAGGTGTCAAGTACAAAGAATGGCCTCCGCAAATGTCATTGTTGTAATGGGCCATGTGGGCAGGCTGTTCACGTTGGTACGTGTATCCAATGGATGGGGCTATGGCTATGGCTATGGCCCATAGGGCCCGTATCTGGACAAGGAAGCAGGTACCCTCTACATGGGTCGATCTTTTTGCTGGAAACATCTATACCATGTGGCCAACTAGCAGAGGAATGGGGAATGACGCAGTGGTAAGGTGGTCAAGAACGAAGAATTAAGATTATGATTGGCAGATAACCCTCCTGGGAAGTCTCCAAGTCTCCAGATAGAGCGGAGCCTGGATGTCATGCTGGCATGAAGGTGCCATCGGGGGCGATGAAGAAGTTGCATCCGGTGAAATCGGCAAAAGTGAAGAGGACGAGGTAAGTGGAAAAGCTGGGGAGAGGAAGAGAAGAGTGCAACCTTAGCGTCGCAACCAGCTTTGGTTTTGTCACGTATGGTAAAATAAGGCCCCACGTGATGCTGACTAACAAATGTCATGGTTACTCCAGCTTCCCCTCCCAATCATTACTTTACTACGCATTACTAGTACAATGTAGGAAAGGGCATAGAGTAGGGTCAGTGTGTTTCCCATAAAATTGAAAAAAAAAGATCAACAGGTACTCCGTACTCCGCGCATCTGGGGAAGACCTGGGGAAAGGTGAAAACGTGGTGTGGCGTGGCGGTGGCTCATGCTCAACCCCAGATACAGCATACTTACTAGGTAGAGTAATACTATTCTGCCAATATACCAATACTAGTCTTAGTATACCGTACCTATAGACTTTACTTGACGGGCGGAGAGACCCGCTGCTGGTTATCTGACTTTCCCCCCCGATTGCGGCTCCCCGAGGCCTGGAGCTGCTCTCATTTGTCGCATTCGCATTCCCTTCTTTCCTCTCCTCCTCCTTGTCACCTGACTGCGAACTCGGAGTTTCTAATCTCATCCTCCAGTTCTGCTTGCGGCAACCGTCTCGAGCTTCGAACACATCTTTGCGCCTTGCCCTTCCGCCCTTCTCCAGTTGGGCTCTGTTGGCATTCCGCATCCCCTCCCCCCCAGGGCCATGGCCCCGAAAGAGGACATGCTGCCCCCGGGCTGGGAGGATCCCGATAGGTATGTTGATCGCCTTCTTCCGGTGCACCTATCCCAGTCACCGGTGCACCACCACATCCACCACCCACACCTCTCCCCCTTTCTATCACCATGCCCATCGGGCGCTGTGGAACCCCATCGATCCCCCGCCATGCCCCCCTCCTCGGGACCATTTAGGCTATTTCCCCTTCGGGAAGCTTTGACATCTGCAGAGGAGAGGCCATAGGGCTGGCGAGTGCTGGTGAGGACGTGTGGAGGTGGTGCTGCTGCTGGTGCTGCGTGCAACACTAAACACACCAATGCTGACCTTGACCTACCACCCTACAGGCAAATGGGCCAGCTCTTTATGATGGGCTTCGATGGCACCACGGTCAGCCCTCAGATTCGGTCACTCATCGAGAACTACCATTTGGGATCGGTCCTTCTATCGGCCAAAAACCTTAAATGTATCTACTTCTTCTCCTAGGGACTCTATATCAGCCCAGCCCGGGCACAACCTGGACCCTATCCTAATATAAGTTACTGATCTCATCACCCACAGCTGCGGAGGAAGCTACCCGACTGGTCCTCGAATTACAGACCATTGCCCGCGATGCTGGTCACCCAGTTCCACTGATGATCGCGTTGGATCAGGAGAATGGCGGCGTCAACAGCTTATACGATGAGATATATATTCGCCAATTCCCCAGTGCCATGGGGATCGCGGCAACGGGGTCAAAACCCTTGGCTCATGAGGTTGCCGTTGCCACGGCTCAAGAGCTCAAGGCTGTTGGGGTTAATTGGATCCTGGGTCCTGTCTTGGATGTACTAACTAATGTCCGAAATCAACCCTTGGGTGTTCGAACCACTGGCGATGATCCCCAGGAGGCCTCCCAGTATGGTGTCCAATTTATGAAGGGATATCAACAAGCGGGGCTTGCGACCTGCGGCAAACATTTCCCATCTTACGGAAACCTAGAGTTCCTCGGCTCCCATTCCGATGTGCCCATCATCACGGAGTCTCTTGAGCAGCTAAGCTTGAGCGCACTGGTCCCTTTTCGTAATGCGATCAACCACGGCTTAGACGCGATGATGGTAGGTGGAGTCTCCATGTCATCGGCTGGGATGAATGTCATGCATGCCTGTTTGAGCGACCAAGTTGTCGACGAGCTTCTGCGGAAAGATTTGAAGTTCCAAGGAGTCGTTGTATCAGAGTGTTTAGAGATGGAGGCACTGACGCATAATATCGGGGTCGGTGGCGGAACAGTCATGGCTAAAAATGCCGGCTGTGATGTCGTTCTTCTTTGCCGGTCATTTCCCGTGCAGCAAGAGGCGATCAACGGGTTGAAATTGGGCGTTGAGAATGGAATCATCGGCCGCGCTCGCATTGAGCAGTCTTTGCGCCGTGTTCTGGCTCTCAAGGCTCGCTGTACCTCTTGGGAACAAGCACTGAATCCTCCCGGTCTTCTTTCGCTCACACAGATGCAGCCTTCCCATACCAACCTCTCTACTCGTGCTTATAACGACTCGATCACCGTGATGCGAGACAAGAATAATCTCCTCCCTTGTCCAATATCATTAATCCAAGCGAGGAGCTTTTGCTCCTCACGCCACTGGTCAAACCACTTCCAGCTTCGGCAGTTACTCTTTCTGTTAATGAGACAGCACATGGTGGCCTCGACTCGTCATCCTGGGAAAAGACCTCTTCGGTGATGAGTGGGGAAAGTGTGTTTAAGGAACTCGGCAGATCACTATCTCGCCAACGAAATGGGCGTGTGCTGCATACTTCTTATACGGCCAACGGCGTACGGCCCATCCACGAAGATCTCGTCAAGCGCGCGAGTGCTGTAATTGTTGTCACAGCAGATGGATATCGCAACAAGTATCAACAATCATTTTCGAAGCATATCTCATTACTTTGTCAATCGCAATATTCTTCAACCGGAGAACGATTGGAAAAGCCTTTGATTGTGGTCTCTGTCAGCTCACCCTACGACTTTGCTACGGACTCTTCGGTTGGAACTTACGTCTGCACATATGACTTCACTGAGACAGCACTCCAGGCGCTCGTCAAAGTTCTCTATGGTGAATTAGGCCCCTCTGGATCATTGCCCGGGTCTATCAGTCGCAGTCAAAAAATCCATCAATCCCGACAGCACTGGCTGGTCGAGAACTGGAATGAAGAGCGTGACGGTAATGCCCTGGATGCCTTACTAGATGCAATGCGGGAAGACTGTACACAAGGTCAACGCTCCGAGCTCCTCGGTGCTACCTCTAGCAGTTTCCTTCTACGGAAAGAAGATATCGACGAAGCACATTTCGTCGTTCGCAACAGCAGCACACAAGCCCTGTACGGATTCTGTGCAACCTACTTCTTTCAATCCTCGGGCACCGGCGTAATTGGATGTTTGATCGTCGACCCAGCCCGTCGCAAACTATCAATTGGACACTCCCTCCACAGCCGAGCAATTCGCTCCCTAGTCCAGCGCAAAGGAATGAAAAGATTCCAGCTCGGCTCCCGACTTCCCGGAATCTCTCTCAGGTATCCCTACCGTCAGTCCCGTGGAGCGCAAACGACTACGGCAATGGTTTGCCAATCTCGGATGGAACACTTCGCTCGCGCGTCCGGTGTGCAGCGTCGTGCTGCGCAATTTGACGAGCTGGACTCCGCCGGAGGGGTTGACGGTAACGCTGCAGAATGCCGATGCTGTATACGACTTGGTTTACGGGTGGGACTTTGCTCGCACGATTCTTGATCACATTAAGACCAATGCTCGGCAGGGCGTGGCGGATATCTACCGTATGGCTTTGGGCGGGGCGCCGAATTGTGGGATTATTCGTGCGAAGCGCTCGACTGATGATATGATTTTGGGAAGTGTTGTTGTTTACAATGAGCGGTCTGCTTTGGCTGAACATATGCCGACTTTACGAGCTACTAATACTCCTGTCGGTGGTATTTCGTCGCCTGTTATCTCCCCAATTGCGGATGATTATTCGACTGTGATGCAGGGCTTGATTCTGTTGGCTATTCGTCAGATTCGAAAGCTAAATGCCAATGCTGTGGTCATGGATTGTGTACGGTCTATATCCATTCCCCTTTCTGATTTGAATCACGTGCTAATTGAAACTAGGTGGATGGCGACGGCAATTTTGACTGTCTTTCTTCCATGGGATTCACCATGCTACACAGTTTTGAAGAGGTGAATTGTGATGCAGCCACATGGTCGATGATGCATCCGTCGTGAACGATAGATGTGTGGTTTGTGTGTATGAATGGGCGCAATGGGCGCAATTCTTCTCTTTCCCTCTCATTTCTCATTTGTTCTGGGCCTTTAAGAGGGACAGGAACTGCTGCTGCTGCTGTTGCTGCAGCTGCTTATTTTTATTTCTTTTTCCTTTGTTTCTGCTTTCCGATTTGTTGCATTTATGATATCCATCTGGCATTTTGGCTATAGGCCCGGGTCGTGCCTGTTTTATTCGTTCTGGAACCGGGTCTAGGGTTTGTGATGCAGGTACATGCACTCCCTCGAGGAGTTTCCTGATTGGCGTGTCTTATTATTATTATTTTTCGTTTCTTTTTTCTTTTGTGTTGCCCTTTCTTTCTCGTGTGACTCGGCCCCAATGGGGGCCGTTGCGCCCAGGTCGTTTTGTTGGTTGTTGGTGGGTAGGACAGACAGGCTGCACGGCGTCATCTGGACCAATCTTACATCATTTTTTGTGGATATATGGTATGAGTATGGCATACACTAGGCATAGTAGTTTTTTTTTTTCGGTCGAGGAGTGGGAGTGGGAGTCGGCCTTGTCGAGCTTGAGCGTGAGCGTGAGTGTGAGTGGTCAAGAGACAACTTGTCGATCACGGGAGATCCGCACTCTGTTTGCGCCCGGGAGGATATCGATGTGGATTTGGATTTTCAGTTCAAGGTTTTTATTATTTATGATTATTATTTATTTTCATGATATTATTATTATTATCTTTTTATTCCTAAGGTTTTTTTTTTCACAACCCGCGAGGCCCCCTTTAATTCGTATCCTATCTTTTGCCTTTCATTATCAGGACCTTGACCACCACCAAATATCACCAACACCTCACCAATAGTAAACCCGAACCAGCGCCAGCCTCGGCTCCAACCGACACCGCCCAGCCCAACATCATGCACATATGTTATGCGCGGAGAGGAGTGGAGCGCCTAACGAGGCACCAGAGTATTCATGGCTGATGATTGGGCCGGACGTCCGTTGGTGCGTCTACCTGCTCCGTACATTACTGGAGTACGGAGTACTGCCAGTGGGTTTGGAAGCTAAAACTCGCTCGTCTTGGTTCTTATGGAGAAGGAGGTAGGTACTTTTTATCAAACTATCTTCGGGGAGAAATGTGGACTGGACGGAGCGGACGGAATGGACTGGGCTCCGCTTGGCGCCGGAGGCGAAGAAAAAGAATACTGACTGGAAACACTGGACATACCTGTACTCCGTACGGAGTATCAGGGAGAAGAGGCTAAAAGTCAAGCATCCACTTTTTCTTCGCACGGAGAACAATAAAAGAGGCTCGAGAGACATTTTGCAAGGTAAAGGAAAGGAAAGGCAAAGAAAGGAAAGCGGGTTGGTTGGAACTTGAACCGACCGACACTCGTTTCCAATGAATTCAAATTCGGTTATCGAAGCGGCCGACGTTTTAGTTTTAGTTTTAGTTTTAGTTTTAGTTTGTGCATGTTCTGCAGATTCTAGAAGAGAGTGATCTCCCAATACGAAGGATGCAGGGCGGAATGCAGAAGGACGCAGAAGGGACGCAATGGAAGAAAGAGAAAAGGACGCTAGGCTAGCACCGGAGTGTCGGGGCCACATTTGCATCCGGGGGGGACCCATTAAAGCTGCCGCTGCCAGCAGGACTGGGGGACTCGGGTACTTGAGACTCGAGACTCGGCCGTGGTTTGCCTTTAGGGGAGCGTTTTCAATCTAGTAGAGTTTATTCTGGGTGGGTTGATTGGATTAGGTGGAGAGATTTTTGTTGGTCTTGGTCTCCAGGCGCTTTTTTTTCATGTGGGAAATCCCGCAAGTCGTACAGCTTCCCTTCTTCTGGTCCCATCTTCCCCACTAATCTCAATTGGATCCGTATATGGCCTAGAAGGAGATGATTTCCACATTCCTTATCTTCGATCCTTGGGTTCCCGAGGCCATCCCATCCCCGCCCGCCCGCTCTGGGAGCTCCCAGCGGATGCGGACGGTCGCAGATGCGGGCCGGTCTTGGAACGACTGACTTGACTTGATTTGACTCCCTTCAATGATTGCACGGAACCTTTAGGGAGGGGGGGAAACTTGAAAAGACCTGATACTGAAAAGAGTCAATGGCGTATCTAATTCATTCCATCTAGATCGCATCGATCGACCTCGGTGATCACCGGGAGGTACATGTACGAGTACATGTATTCCTGTTCGTCGGGAAGTAAATCAAAGCCAAACCAAAAGTAAAGCTTGAGAGAGGCTCTCGGGGCTTGAACTGAACTTGGACTGGACTGGACTGGACTGGACTGAACTTGTTCTCAGGGGCGACGTAGGCGACGCATCGAGTAAGGCGATCCAGTGGATGGATAGGATGGGACGGGGGAATGAATGGGGACTTTTGTGGACCGAAGCAAGTTGTCAAAGACCCTGAGGATCCACACTGACGGTCAAAGGCAAAGGCCAAAGGTCAGGCAAAGGTCGGACCAGCCACTGAGCACTGGCAGCCTAAACTGCCTGGCCTTGCTTGGCTATGATCACTAGCGTAGGTCGAATCGGGTAAATGCACAAGGGAGATGAAGGGTGAGTTCGACAGATGATCCTCCCAAGCTTCTTTTCTTTGGCTTTTTGGCCCCCCGCCACACCCGTCAAGGTGGTTAACAGTGGACTCAGTCTGGTCGACTGGATCCCGCTGAGTGTTCCACATGCTCGTGATGCCGTTTCGGAATTACACAAGCGAATGTCCTGGATGCATCATGTCGCGAACCTGCAGCAGATCATGGTCCTTTTACGTCTTTGCGTAGAGGAGAGGAGAGGACGTGGACGAGGACGGAGATGGCCGAGGCCGAGGGAGAGGGAGAGGGAGGAGGCCCACAATCCTCAGGTCTGCCAGTTGGGTGAGTTGACAAAGGCACACTCCATATCGTATGCACACCACAGGGCAAGACAAGGCAAAGCAGGGCAATGCATGGCATCACATCACCACTCGCCCATTATCCTATCCTGTCCTGTTCTGTCCTCACTCACACTGGACCTGATCTGACCTGACTGTCCCGACTGACTGATTGACTTACTTGACTCCTGACTCCGACTGGATGCGTGCGGATGTGGACTCGCCCGTTCACAGTGGGACCCCGATGAGACCAATCAGGTTGGTGAAATCGTTAGCATCCGCTAGCATTTCTAGAGCGGAGCAACACGATCGCAGTCACGCAAGCTCGGGGCCCTGGCCCTTTTATTATCATTGGTCTAAGTGTCTTCGCGAAGGCACTGCATGTCAGACGGGGCCCATGTTGATCATCGATCCTTTTTCGAGGGGGTGTGGACCGTGAGGTGAAAGAAGACCCTCAGCATGATCGAAGTAGTGTAGTGTAGTGAAGTAGTGAAGTAGTGTATCGTACTCGATGTGTGCAAGTGGAGAGATACCATTCCCCATACTGGTAGTGGATGATAAAAGAATCCTTTATGATATGATATGATAGTACAAATACAAGTACAAATACTCGTAGTTAGTACTCCGACTCCGTCCTCCGCCCTCGTAATTAAATTATAATTATCATTCCCATCATAGCTACACTCCGTACTATACGAGTACCCCCTCCGGCTTTGATTTGCCTCCGTTCTACTTTCGTTCGCCCCCCCCTCCCTCTTCCCACTTCCCTATTTCCACTTCTTCCACCTCCCCTCCTCCTCTGATTAATTCCCTTTAATTTAATTAACCCTCCTCATTCGGTCATCCGTGGCGTTTTTCAGGGTTTGGCGACTTATTTCAGTCTTCTGCACTGCATGATCTTCAGGGCCTTTTAGAGTGCACACACTCCCCTCTTTCTCATTCCCCTCCTCTTTTAGTGCCGAGAGCCGGTGGATCGCCCCTGGAGTGCCCCATTTGAGGAACGGCCAATTTTTCTTTAAACCCAGAAAGTAAACTACTTTCGCGTCGACCCGTCAGACCCAGTTCTGGTTCTGGTTCTGGATCTGGATTTCTTAGTCTCTGGTTCACCTCTTGTCCTCTTGTGTCCGTCTTCGTCGCTTCTCCGCAAAAACTCGCGGCTCCACTTTTCCCCGAATCCGTCGGCGCATCCGCAACGCATTCCATTCCACCTCTCTCTCTCTCTCTCTCTCTCTCTTCCTCTTCTCCCCTCTTGCTTGACCCCCCCTTAGCTTTCTTTCCCTTGTTCTTTACTCTTGTATTCTTGTCACTGCTTCTCTTGTTCCTCTTCCTCCCTTTTCCCTCCCTCCCTCCCCCCCCTCCTCCTCCTCTCCAACCAGCTTCGTCAAGTCTATATCCCTCGCCATGGAGGGCTTCGACACCATGGCCATGCCGCCCTATCTGGCTAGCCCGTTGTCCCTCGGCAATCTTCAGGGTACCGATTATCTCAATGCTATGCCCGGTCTCGATTTGCCCGATCACCGTTCCAACTTTGATTCCGAGACTTTTGTTAGGTATGATCTATCGATCCTCCTCGTGCCTACTCACCTCGTGGTCGGAGACTAATCTAAGGCGCGTTCTTCCGCCCTGCTTCTAGCGATGATCTTGCCTTCACCACTCAAAATGGCCTACCACACACATTGAACCGCTTCCCCTCGGGTTATGATGATACCTTCACCGATATGGTCGCCCCATTTGATCCCGTCCCACCTGAGCAGCCTCAGGATTCCTCCATCGATCACAACAATAAACTACTGAGCTTCTCATTGCCCGCCTACCATTTCACCTTGCTCGACTACTCCATGCGACGCACCTCATTGTCGGTTTCCGCGCAACTTCATGGGATGTTCTTTTTGGCCGAATCTCCATATACAACCTCCCCATCGGAGAACGCCCCACCTCAACAAGGTGCCGAGCTAACATGTTACCGCCGGAACCTCTTTCAGATCACTGGCTCCGTAACCCTACCCCGAGGAATGCGCTATATTATGACCGACCAAGGTGATCGGATCCCGATTCTCGCACAAGAGCTTACCGTGTCGGCGACGGAATCAGTGGAAGGAAACCCAGTCAAGATCATATCAGTGCCGTGGAAGACGCCATCAGCCGCAGCTGCCAACTCCGGGACTGCTCTCGACGAGACGAGCACTGGCACCGCTGCCAAGATTGAGAAGGAGCCCCCACCAATTCCCCTCGATATCATGGCTGGTCAGGATTTGGATACCGACTACGCGACCTTCCCGATTGCCTGGAAACGCTTGCAATTCCGCGTCGCGACGGCCAACAATGGACGGCGCAAGGAGCTGCAGCAACACTTCGTCGTTAGGCTCAAGGTTGTAGCAACTCTCTCGACTGGTGCCAAGATCTCCATCTCCGAGGTTCAGTCGGGTCCTGTGATTGTTCGCGGCCGCAGCCCGCGCAACTTCCAGTCCAGAAAGGATCTCCCACTAAGCGGCAGTGCCGCGGCCTCGCGAAAGAACCAAGCCAACTCGGCCGCTGCGCTCAACCGCACGCCGACCAGCGACTCAGTACCACGCCGCGCCAGCGTGACTCCAGCGAAAGCGAAGGCCCCCTCAACGACCGTGCAAAGTAGCTCCCCCGAGACAACCTCCGTTCCACCCCCGACAATGATGCAACAACCCACCGACTGGACCCCTATCCCGCAATCCAACAATGCCATGATGTCCCACGCCCACCAATCCATCTTCCCCCACTCCAGTCCAGAGCAACAGCTTTCACAAGCGGCCGACTCCCAAAGACGCGTCAGCGGCCCAACAGCCGGATCAGCAGCGCCGATTAATCTATCCCTCTTGGACGACGAAGACCGAGGTGATGTTGGAGGCCTACAGCTAGACCAAAAGATGATGACATCCTACGCCAACGTTCCGGAAATCCCTCAACAAAGATCCATAAGCCTCGACCAATCCGCCGCACCACCTTCAAAGATGCGCAAGCTTTCCCACGGCATCTCTCAGCAGTCCCAGACTCCCTCTCGAAGCGCCTCCTCATCCATACCCCTAATCGAGACGGCCAACCTACCCCAACAATTCGTGTCGTCACTGCCATTCCCAAATGAGAGTACCGATTTTCTGTACGAATACTTCCCTCTCGGACTGGATGACTGGCAAGCCCCCGTGGACGCCGTTTACAGGCCCCACGTCGTTCATCATACCAATATGCCTGAGATGAAGTTCGTCGCTTCCCGGGGTCGCAGTAAGAGGTATTTTGCTGCTGAGGACGTGTTTTGAATGAAAGTTGAAAGTTGAGATTATACCATTGGGTTGGGTTTGGCAAGGTCACCGGCGCTAAAGTGGCGTTTTGTTTTTTTCCGTGCTTTTTTTGGGATCTGCATCTGCATTTACACTGGGATTTGGATGGGGTTATTTTTGGCCTTTGAGCTTTCTCGTTATGTTATTAGACGCTTTTTCTTTTCCCCCCTGTTCTGGCTGTTCGGGAGAAATGGATTTTTTTCCCCTTTTCCTGATAATATGCTAGGGTCGAGTCTTTTTTCTCTCTTTTGGTTGGCTTCGCAGCATCGTCTCTGGAGATCGGATCACTCACGGTGTTGATCTGGATCTATTTTTTGCTCATTGCTCTTTTTCAGGAGGAGGGGTTCAGGGTTTGGGGGTGTCTTTTTTTCGAATATCAATGTTGCCAGGTTTGCAGCAAAATCGGCGATCCAGGGCGGTGTTTTGGAGTTGTCTTTTCTTTTGGGCGATTCGCCATATCCTTGTGGATGCTTCGAACAAGTCTTTTTCTTTCCCCCCCATTGTGGGGGAGGCCTTGTCGAAACTAGGCAGGCTTTGGCTTTTGATTCTTTCATTGGTCACGGTCACTGGATGGACTTGATTTGATTTCTACGGATTTGATTTGATTTGATTTCTATATGCTCGGTTCGGATCGGTTTTTTGGTTATATCCCACAATCGTGTTATGATGCTATGCTGCTATTTACTTTACTGCGTTTTGATCTGGTCGATGTTGAGAGGCCACTCTACTCTACTCTATTCCTAGCAGCAGGGAGGCCAGAACTGGATCAATACTTTTCAAGAAGAATAAATTCAAAAAGATACCAATTTTTTCCATTGCTTTTCTTCATCATACATTGTGTGGTTTTTGATAGTATGCATGTATATGAGACTGGGAGGTGGAAGATATCGTATCTTAGCTGCTGATCAAGAACGAGAACGAGAACGAGGTCGTTCCTCTAGACTAGTTACTAGTAGACTATAGTTACTAGACTAGGCTAGATCTATGAACATAAGTGCTCCGTGAAGAAATCATGATCTTTCCATACATTTTCAACTATGTAGTACTCTCTCCCTCTCTCATTCATTCATTCTAAGCCCCCCCTTTCCTTCCTCTCACATCATCATCACATTAGAGATACCCCAACCCATCCCCCCCCAACAACCTCCAAATCCCCCCCTAATCTCCCACTCACTAGCCCCAACCCGTCCCGCAATCTCAGCCTGCCTCGTCCTGCCCAGATTCAACCACTGTCTAACCAAAGTCCCATCAACCATTCCCCGCCCACCACCGCCATCACTCTCAACAGCGCGAAACGCGCGCGGATTCAATCCGCCCGCGTGCTCGATTGTGTTGATTAATTGCGATTGCAGCGCTGAGAGGCGCCGGTAGGTATCTTCGGTTATGGGGGTTATTAGGCCAATAGAGCCGTTTTGGGATGTTAGGAGGATTTGGTGCGTGGATGTTTGCGGGGTGGTGGTGTCTAGGTCCATGTCCATGTCGGAGTCGGAGTTGGATGAGGTGTTGTTGGTGAATTTGAGGAGTTCGGATGAGACAGCTGTTCGGGGAGGAGGTTGACTGTTGTGGCGAAGTTTCCGGTGTGGAATTTGCTTCTGTTTAGGAGGCGGTCGCCGTTGGAGGATTTGGGGTCTATAAGAGGTGGTGGGTTAGTTTGATGGTTGGGTTTGGGTTGGCTGGGCTGCTAGCTAGCTAGATGCATCATAACGATGGCGATGGCGGTGGTGATAACATACCTTCAGGGTCGTATTGCAGCACATGCAGGTTGCAGTCACTGTCGGCAACCAAGAAATACAATTTATTCCCGTCCGGCAGGAAATCCGCGGTGACAACCTCGAGGTATTCCGGGTCCTTGCCGAAGAGGGCCATTTTATATGGATCCTCCTGTAGTGTAGATGGTCAGCTCATGTGTTCAAATGCGTCGTGGCGGAGAGAAGAAGGCCTAAGCTAAAAGAGTGAGGAACGTACCGAGTAACCCGCAAACCAAAGACCCTTCATAGCATCCCCAAGTAAAACCATACCCGTGCCCTTGAGTTCCTTCGTAACACTGACATAGCACTGCATGTCCATAAAAGCAACAGGGAGAAGACTTCCATCTTCCTTCAAGCCTCGAACCATGGCCTTTTGACCCTGGGCCACGATCACGAATCCCTGACCACCAATTCCCGATAGCGCAGTCACGGCACCCTTGACGGTCTCTTTGCCAATTAGCTTCAACTTGCGACCTGTTTCGGGCCGGTCCGGTTCAGGAACCACTTCAATCACGTCGAATACATAGATGCATCCGCGTGCGGGGATATCTTCGCCCTTGGCCATGGCCGTTCCGACAACTATGAGGTCTTTACGCTCGTGCGTATTCTCCGAGACCTCGATGTTGATGTTTTTTACGGCTGTTACATGCTCCGCCAGCTCGAGCGGGTAACTGTCAACAACAGTCCACGACTTGGGACTTATGACTTTGATCGAGCTCTGCGGGACCTCGGGCAAGAATGATACGCCTTCGGTCCGCCATTCTGGGTGCAATTCGTCGTTCTCGGGAAGCTTGAACTCGGTCTTGACGCTGGTGGCCACGACATAGGTTTCCGAGGCGGTGGAATAGGCTAAAAAGTCCACTTGTTCATGAAGTGGAACTTTGCGCGTCGTCCATGAATGGTCGAATTGGGTCTCCAGTGCGAATTGGCATGCGCGAATCACATTCTCTGAATCGACATAGATGAAGCCTTTCTCGCAGCCGAGTGATGCACTGTCAAAGCCGTCGAGCCATTTCGTGAAATCTCCACGGAGACGGATTAGATGTGGGGAACTTGCTGATGTTCGAAGGATGAATCCTGCAGAGACGCCGGGTAGGAAAACTCCGCTGAGCCCTGATATGTCGTTGAATTTGCGCAGTGGCCTTGCGCGGCTTTGCATTTCTTCTGATGGTGTTTTGGAAGATATGTTCGAGAGGCTGTGATGGGCTTCTCGGAAGAATCGGAGCTCTTGGGTCGGTTGGTCCCCGGTTGTTGTGGAGATTGTGACGGGCTTGTAGACGATGATTTCGTCGTTCTCGGTTCGAGCCTATTCTTCAGATTAGGATTTTGTCAAATGTCTAGTTAAGGTGACAGTTCATACAATTAAGTAGGGTGAAGTACTCCAACGATCACCGAGGTCGGTAATAAGGATTTCGTTGATGGTTTCCTTCGTATTGGATCGTCGTGGTGGCTCGGCTGACAATATCGGCTGTAAGCAGTCAATGCCATCGATCAAAAACAGTTGCTTCATGTCAGGAAGATGGATGATCTGAAAGAATGAGTGTTAGTCAGAGCTCGAGCTCAAGAAGCATCGCGTTTTGCATCAATAATTTACCAGAATTTTGTAGTCTGAAGTCAAAACAAACAGAAGCGTGTCACCACCATCCACAGAATCCGATGCCGAAGTAAATGTGTGGTTTTTGTCCTTGTAGAGACAAATCGAACGACATTTGAGATTCGAAATGTCATCCTGTAGCGCAACTTCATCTAGATCGCCACTTTCATCTGCTTGAAGGAGCAAAAGAGAAGCATCGTCTCGAAGTATGGCAATGAAAGGATCCATTAAGCTAGCGCTGACAGCGACTCGTTCTTCATCGGTATCTTCGTCCCAGATCGGATATATCTGTGCTAAGCCCAGTTCTGGAGAAGTTTCTCTTGTAAGCGTTCCATTTCAGATTGCCCCAATACTCCAAGGTTAAAACTTACCAGAGTCATAACTTCGAACTTCGTTCTGTAGGACTTGGACGAGACGGGATGATCCGGCCAAAGGCCCAATGTCGATGGTGTGATCCTGGTTAGGGTTGAAATCGGGGGCCTTGTAGGGTTGCAAGGCTGAGTCCTCGACTTTCAAGACCTCGGACACTTCATTGATCTCTGTCTGGCATGAAATTATCACATATTGATTGGCAGCTTCCTCCTTGGTGAGAATGGTAGCAGACCATACGGCGTCGGCTCCATCGATGTTCACGGAAGCTGCCACGACAGGGTCTATTTCACGCTTCATGACGACCAAGCCACCAGCTCTGTCGGAACCTTGTGATGCGACTAGCTCCAAGTCGGCGGAGACTTCCTTATCGGATGGATTTTCCTGATCCTGATCCTGGTCCAGTTTCTTGGTGGCAGTGAAGGTTTTTCCCAGTGTCACATCTCGTAAAGGCCCAATATTAGAGAGTCGGTCATTCAGATGGAGGTGATAGTATCCAGAGGTTGTATTATCCGAGCCAGTGCGTTGATCGGTTCGAATGGGCTCCGGTACAGAGGAGTAAAGATCATCATCTTCGATCTCATCATCGTCAGAGAGATCATCCAAGCCATCAGCTCCTTGTCTCGATTCTAGTCTTGCCTTCTTGAAGGAAGCAGTCGAATGAGACCACCCAAGAAGAACTGAATCCGCATCTTCGCTGCCAATAAAGACATTCCCGTCGCCGAAGCATGCAGAGCAAGAAGCTGCTGAGTTCAAAAGACTTCCATCTGAAGGTGCTGGTAGGCGATGAATTGACATTCCTGAAACGGATCGACCATCAAGCTTAAATCGGATCAAGGCCATATCCCCCGATGCAAGTGCGAGAATTAGATCACCACTGTCTCCTCCGAGTCGCTCCACAACACAGCCTTCCAAGCGGAAAGCTAGATCGGATTGGTCGCTCATAGAGAATGACGAAACTAGGCGAGCAAATTCGTTCACGCCCACTGCGTTGGTTTTCCCGGCTTGGTCCACGTGCACAATCGCATTCGAACCAATGAGCAATGCACCTCCCACAGGAGGTGGAAGAGCCACTACCTTGAATAAATCACTGGGTAGCTTAGAAACAGATAAGAGGGTCGTCGAAGCCCGTTGCTCGAGATCCAGAGTGAAGACGGTGTAGAACATCACATCTTTCCTCTCGTGAACCAGGGCACTCGAAGTTGCAATGTGAGAATACAAGATTCCAAAAGTCGGCTCCCTATATTCGTAGAGGAATTCAAGGCTGACTGGGTGTAATAAAGAAGGGTCAAAAGCCGTCAAGGACAGGACAAATGAAGCTGCGTAAGGGGTTTGATATGTTGTTCCGTCGTTATTCTTCCCAACAGCCGGGCGCTCTCCATCAAACTCTGAATCATAGTCATCCATCACCAGATCATCCCCCGCTTGATGAAAGGGTAAAATTGCGAGGTTGCGGATCCCGAAGTTGAACACCGCGCAGCGACTACTCGGGTCCACGCTGAGAATGCTGCTACATCGGCTCAGATCAGGTGCCCAGGGGCTTCTCGTCAGATCATCTCGCTCGTAGTAGTGAATGGAGACGGTAGAGATTCCATGGCGTTCGGGATCCCATTCGATCAAGGAGAGCTTCGCGTTGCGGACCGCCAGAAGAATGGCCTCTCCGCCACTTTTCGAGTTCAAAGTTTTGACGCGGCTCAAGTCTGTGACTGTTCCAGGCAATTGATACTCCTTTTCCAAGAGTAGCTTCGTTCCTGATGGGTGAGATGTTGACGGGTGGGTCTCTGAGACTTCGCCTTCTATTTGAGTGGAGGCTTTGATGAGGGAGAACACCTGCAACAGGGAAGATCGCACCACGATCAAATTTTGTGCTGTTGCGGAGATAAAGGGCACCGCCAATGCATGGGTGACCCCCGTTGGGGGTAGCAGCTCCGTATAGCACTGCATTGGAAATGGTCTTTCTCTTTCAGGAGATGTGGTTCCAATGGTCTATTTTCTGCGCTTGATATTGTCGATAAGCATTGCAGCTTCAACTCTGACCAGATTCAAAGCTTCTCCGTTCCCGTCGGAAGTGAAGTGAATTTGGGAAATGCAGATTTATGTCACTTGGATATCTCTCAGATTGTTTGTCGCAGGGCGGGTCGAAAGAGATGGCACGTGATCCAGAGCAAACAAAGTCACGTTATCTGCTTTCCCAAACCGGGTTAGCTTATGACGACAGACGCGGTGTCAGTTTACTTCGCGGCCTTTGGGAATGAAACTTGAACTTGGACTTGAATGCTAAGCTTGTTTCAATAAACCCGGTGGTTTCTATCTGTCTCACGCCAGTTGAAATTTCTGCTTCTCATGCGGAATCACTTCACTTCAACATGGCCCTTCTTCAGACATCTCTGATCTGGATCGTCTACGGAGCCGTGATAGCTGTCTTGCTTGCGGCGGCTTCGGTTTTCATTTATGTTTATCAGACTCCTCGAGATCGCTCGCCGTCTGTAACTCTGACTTGTATCATCGCAATCACCAGTCTCCTTGCTACGGTGCTTCTGCTTCCGGTGGATGTCGCACTGGTGTCGTCAACTACTTCATCCAGACTAGGCCAACGGAAAGAGTGGGCAACCCAAGAGGCAGTCGACCGCATCACCTATGCTCTGACTATCATTTATTATATTCTCTATTCCCTGGATGCACTCTTATGTCTCCTGGTCATCCCATTTGTCTACTTCTGGTACGAAGAATACGATGAAGTGGCCACTGAGAGTGGAGAGCAGACATTGGGGCAGCGCTTCTGGGGCGCTTTCAAGTACACATTTTCATTCATTGCAATCGTGATTATCCTTTTCCTCGTGGGATTCTTCGCTCCTATTTCTGACAATAAGAGCGACTTGGACTTTGATTATTTCAAGAAGTTGCTCACTGAGAACCGTGGGTCTTGGTCACAATCCACGAAATTGAAAACGAGACTAACATTGCTGCAGATGGGGAGCGTGCATTGACATTTGCCCTTGGTCTGCTTATGACTCTTGGCCTCTGTCTTTATGTTCTATATACTTCGTCCGGGCTCGCGCTGCTCCCGATTGGCTTGATCAAGACGGCTCCCTCGATATCCAACCCCACTTTGCGTGCGAATACTGCGCACCAACTTGAGACAAATCAGGAACGACAACGCCAGCTGGAGGGTCGCTGTGGAGGAAATCCGGAACTCTTATCCTCCAAGGACCGTCGGGAACTTGACACTCTCATCCGAGAGGAGAGAACTCTAATTCGACGTCAACGTCTAGTCGATGAAGCCCAAGGCGAAGGACGAAGCTGGCTCATACGGTTCTGGTTCAAGATCGAGGCCGTCTTCCGTCCATTCAAGTTGCTTGGAGGTATTATCCTACTCTTGGTAGCGCTCTTAGTGTGGGTCTCAATGCTCCTTACGGCCATCGACAAAGCAAAGAACTCGATCTGCAAGCACCGCTGTGGATATATCCTCGGACATGTCAACATCTTCAATCCCGTGAACTGGGCTTTGGTTCATTCTGCCAAGGTCTTTCCAGTTGACTACGCTATATTTACGGCGTTGGTGTTACTGCTATTCTGCAGCTCTGTCGCTGGAATTGCCGTGGTTGGTATTCGGTTCCTTTGGATCAGAATCTTCCAAATTCGAAAGGGTCATACGTCACCGCAAGCTCTGCTCATGGCAACTTCCATGTTGATGCTGATTACACTAGCGCTGAATTACTCCATTTCCATGGTAGTCGCTCCGCAGTATGCAACTTTTGGCCCACAGACGTTCTGCGACAGGGAACCGATTCTGCCTTTCGGGCAGCCAGACTGCTCCAACAGTGAGGAGCTCATCAAGCCATGCTCTGAACTGGCGAAGAACCCTGCCGCGCAGCGGGTATGCACCCCCTAGTGTTGTCAGCACGTTCCTAAACCGCATCACTCTCAATTTCCCTTTCTTTGGTGTGGTGTTTTTCTGGGCACAATTCTTCTTCCTCGGTGAGTATCCCTATCCCACGGTCTTTGTTAATGTGTTTGCTTCTTGGACTAACACCCCTTGTCTTCAGGTGTATATCTAATCGTCTTCATTACTACTCTGTTCCGATCGCCGAAACTGGACGAGAGACAGCTGGATGAAGATGCCGAGGAAGCCGAAGAAGAGGGTCTCCTCGCGAATACTGGACGAAGAATCAACGCTAACTGGCAGGATATTACTGGAAGAAGTGCCCGGGGTGGACGATCCGGTGACTGATAGCTGCGGCCTGAATCGGGCGGGATCTTGATTTTTCTGGAATTCTAACTGAGACTTTTCATCATATTAATGTGTTAACTCTGTGATGTATACGATGTTTGAGCGTTCACAGAAATTGATTAAACAAATTTAAGGAATACATGGAAATCTCCATCTGGTGAAACTGATCACCGCCGCATATCAATTGATAGGGTGACTCGGCATCCGCCAGCGGAGCCTGAGCCAGAGACTTGTAGTTTAAGATAATCAAGATTAAGCCTTCATCTGCTCGTTGAGCAGGGCTAGGGCGCTCTGGAACGCCTTGACAACATCATTGTCTGCATGCAAAAATTAGCCCTTTCTCCAAGACAACTGAAGCACCATCGTCTCACTTACAGTGCTTTTTCTTATTCTCCACGCTCACTTCGGAGTTTTGTACGTGCTGCATCTGCGTCTTGAATCTATGGAATTTTTAGCTATCATTTTCATGGCCGTGGCCTTTGGAGGCAGTTTCCTGGAAGGGGAAAGGTTTCATACCGTTTTAAAGCTCGCCTCTCGTCTTGTAAGACAGTCGTTTGGGACCAAGCTGTGAAAACCTATCTCATGGTCAATATTTACATATATCACATTCGGGTGCAGGGATGAACAATTACCTCTAGCAATCTTGCGGTCTCGACGCGAAGCTCCTCCTCTACCCGGCTGTGCTCATCCATGGCATCCGTGTATTTTTCTTGCAGTTGGTCCCAGTCACATTCAGCGAGTCCTTGGGTAAGACGGGTGACGATGGGAAATTCTTCCACTGCAGCTGGGCTGTGTGTTTGGCCAACCCCTATGGATTGAGATGTCATATTAGATTGGGCACCGCCCGGCGATTCCATGGTGACTCTTTTGAAGTGGTTGACACTGGTTGTTCGAAATTTGGAAGTTCAAGAAAACACAATGGCCAGTATTTGAATGAGTTGGTGGGCAATCAATGCATATCGGAACTTCCCCTGGTTGTACACAACCGTTAAAAGGGCATAGGCAGATCCCGTGAGATTACATGGCTGGGTCCGCGCCCGAGCGTCAGGTGACGACATCACAACGCGCCCTCTCCGACACCGCTGCCACCTTCTTCTCCTCACCCCTCATCCTCATGGTTCTCGGCGGCAGCTCTGGTAGCTCCTTCGACATACCGTGGAAATGCCGCCTCTGAACTTCCGTTGAGAGCTATCAACCATCTGCGATGAGCTGCCATATATGCGACTCTGCCCACTCCCGCCTCCCACACCTCTGTCCGACATGTGCCCGCAATCGGCTCTATCCTCTGCGCTTGGATACCACACGGGCTCTTCTAGAGAAGGAAACCCTAGCGAACCAGATTGAAACAGCCGTTTCCCATGGAGCTCCGAAAGATCAACACCTCGGGCCTGGAGAGCAGTCTTCAAGATTGAGCCATCCAAGTACGAGTACGAGTACTTGGTCTCTCCAAACGATCTCCAGCAAACAAGTCGCCTCGGCTTCAAGGAGGGACGACCTGTCCCGAAATACCGCAGCCCTGAAAGAGGATATTAGGGTTAAAAAAGCTGACCTGGCGGAACGAAAAGCAACTCTGGCTCGGAGACGCGCCGATGCTGAATCTGCCCAGTACCAGCTTGTGGAGCGGGAAACGGCTAGTCTGACGGCTGTTCAGAATGCAACCAAAAGAGCTGAGCATCTTTGGCATTCTTTGCATAGTAAGACGGCGGAGGCAAGGATCTTTCTTTGTCGAGAAGCTGCCCATCTCTATGGCTTACGACAGAAGACGGCGAGGAAGGGCGATCCTCGTCAACTATACGTGCTAGGAGGCATGCCCATAGTGGATTTAAGGGACATGAATGGCAAGTCCTCCACGATGGGTACAAGTATTGTGCGCCCACAGTTTACTGACATCTTTGAAGGTGCCACGCCCGCTCAAATATCGACTTCCTTCTCGAACGTTGCTCAGCTTCTTGTCCTAGTCTCACACTACCTCTCTCTCAGGCTACCAGCTGAAATAACCCTGCCTCATCGAGATTATCCGACCCCGACCATATACCCGCCTGCCTCCTCATATGATTCGCGTGGAATGACTGGGAAGAATACCGCGCACTCTTCACTGTCGAGTCAAGCCAGCTCGAGAACGGGAGATGCACGTACCCAGTCTCGTCCGCGGCCACTTTTCATTGACAAGTCTCTTCAACGACTGGCAAAAGAAGACCCTGGCACATATGCGCTCTTTCTTGAGGGAGCGACATTGTTGGCCTGGGATGTGGCTTGGCTATGCCGAACCCAAGGCATCAACCTGACATCCGACTCTTGGGAAGAAGTTTGCGACATGGGAAAGAGCATGTACCAGCTACTAGTTGCTCCACCAGCCCAGCCTTCCTCTCTGATGCGAGCTTTTGCAAGTCGCGATACACAGACTAAGATCAAGTCCACCAAGGACTCCCCGCAAACGACGATACAACGCAGGAAATCATTCCCCATGCTTGGACACTATTCACACGGCACGGTGCACTCTTTTCTAGCTGGATCCGAAGGATCCGAGTATGTGCGCACCTGGAAGCTACCAACGCCCACGAAGATCGTGGATAAATTAAAGGCCAATCTACTTGGAGAGATGACCAGTGCAGAATGGGAACTGTTAGAAGAAAATGAATGGGACGATGGGCCTACAGAGCCTGATCAGCCACCTTTCATACAGAGTTCCAACATCTCGAGCTCACCTTCAGTCCCCATCCAACCAAATGAAGGGGCAAACAATGAACCATCCAGCCAGGGCCAGGGCCAGGGCGCAGATGAAGGCCGTCGCTCGAAAGGCAATAGCGGCTGGATGAAGCTCAACAATAGATAGAAATATGCGCATCGACAACAACAACGAACATATTCCAACCACACTTGCTAGTTTAGATATTAAATACAATTACATTCTGCAGAACGTCCTTCTTACGAGTAACTCAACATCCTCCACCTCCACCTCCATCGGTAAGGCTGCGGGATGGCCCCGGGATCCGCGCGGTTAGTAAGCTGCCGAGATAAGATGGATAACACGCGTGCAAGGTGGCCCGAAACTCTCCGCTTTGCTTTGCTTCAACGATGCGCCCGAGATCGGGATCGGGATCGCCTATACGGTGCTAGCACATTGCAGGATATTGTAACGCGAATCTGATTGCGTGATTCCAGCCTTGGCACCCGGCGGAACTCTCCTCTCCGCCCCCCGAATTGATCTTCCGAGCTTGCGGATGTGGCTCGGGCCCAGCAGCATCGAGTACACACCCCGATCAAAAATGCAGAATGCGCAGGCATTGGATGTAGGCGGGAGATCTCTTGGTGAGCAATCCATTCCAGCCCCAACACCAGCCCCACCATACCGGGTGAGAGAACTTGCTTCTGACTGTCTATCAGATTTCGCCCTCGACGCCCTCTCGCAACTCCCCGAATCTCTCCTACAAGCTGAGCTTAAACGACGAAATGGGAACTTTGTACGAGCTTCGGACACTGATGATGGATCAACATGTGGCTCCGGGCAGCGGGGTGCGTATAACACGCCTCTGCATGTTATGGCGCTCTTCCTCATTCTCGTCTTGAGTACATTTGGTACGTACCACCTCCTTTTTCTGTCTGCGTCAGGATAGTGTCCAGCAAGAGATCGTCAAATAGTTAACAATCTCTTTCTATATTAGCATGCTCTTTCCCAGTCCTTGCTCGCCGTTTCCCCGGTTTACCTATTCCACGTCGATTCCTTTTCATATCCAGACATTTCGGGACAGGCGTTTTGATCGCTACAGCATTCGTACACCTGCTTCCTACAGCCTTCATGTCATTGACAGATCCATGTCTGCCCAAGTTTTGGAGCCACTCCTACCGGGCCATGGCCGGGTTTGTCGCGATGATGTCTGTATTTGCCGTCGTGCTGGTAGAAATGTTCTTCGCGATGAAAGGAGCAGGCCATGTTCACGGAAACGATTATGATACATTAATGGGCGATATTGGCCGTGAATCACTCGATGACTTCCGCCATGGGACTCAGGACTATTTACTCGACCATGACCGGGAAGCATCGGGCAATATCCGCATGGAAGGCCTACGACAAAATAACCCGTTGGACACCACTGAGCCTGCTGCCTCGCTCGAATACGAATCCGAACACCCACATGCTATCGGCTCCCAATCAGATAAAGGGGAGGAAGACGAAGGTGCTGATATTGAAGGTCTTGACGTATATGCAGACGACACTACCCCTATCAATGGACAACCCCGTTCCCGTCCCTCAGCAGTGCACTCTACTACTGCTCGCCGTCACCGGCCGCGATTGAGCGAGCACTCCAACATGCCAATGCAAAATCCCCAACGGCAACTTTTGCAATGTCTCCTCTTGGAAGCGGGGATTTTGTTTCACAGCATTTTCATCGGTATGGCGCTTAGCGTTGCAACGGGGACATCGTTTGTCGTTCTACTCGTCGCTATCAGTTTCCATCAAACTTTTGAAGGTTTCGCCCTGGGTTCGCGCATTGCGTCGCTAATCCCTGACCTTTTTGGTCCCTCTTCCATGAAGCCTTGGCTCATGTCGCTTGCTTATGGAACGACTACACCTCTTGGCCAGGCACTTGGTCTCATTTTGCATAATTTTTATGACCCTGCGAGTGCGACGGGTCTGCTTATGGTGGGCATCACCAATGCTATTAGTAGCGGGCTTCTTCTTTTTGCGGGTCTTGTTGAGCTTCTTGCTGAAGATTTCCTTAGTGAGTCTAGTTATGAGACTCTTCAGGGTAGGCGGCGAGTTGAGGCTTGTGTGTCTGTTGCATGTGGTGCCATTTTGATGGCGCTTGTTGGTGCTTTTGCCTGAGAGCCTTGGAAATGAAAATGTAGCATTAGTTTACGCCATCTTATGCCTTGTTACTGTTACTTTTTACCTTTAGAACAATTTGAATGAAATATTTTCACCTTGCATGTGAATAACCCAATTCGATATCAACCTTTGTATGCTTTCTGTATAGCAAAGCCAATAATTTGAGCTTTTATATAGCAACTACTGCAACTAGTTTGCATTGACACTTAAACTACCACACAATATACTAGTATACTAGTACTTAAGTCGAGTTTGAATATTCATAAAAATTAAAGTTTTGTATTTCGAAATTTTATTCGGTTCGTAAACCCAGGTATCTACTACCAGCTATTCACGCAGTGGTATCTCACACGCAGTGTTGAAAATCAGTTCATATCCATACATCATTAATATCCATTTAGAGGAGCTCGAGGACGAGGGCGCTAGCACCACCGCCACCGTTGCAGATACCAACGCAGCCGAGCTTACCCTGCTTAGCCTTGAGGACACCGATCAGGGTAGACAGGATACGGGCACCGGAAGCACCAAGAGGGTGACCAATGGCAACAGCACCACCGTGAATGTTAACCTTGTCCTCGGAGAGGCCGAGCAGCTTCATGTTGGCAAGGGAGACAACGCTGAAAGCCTCGTTGATCTCGAAGGCATCGATGGACTCCTGAGTCACGCCAGCGTGCTTGAGAGCCTTGGGGATAGCCAGGGCAGGGGCGGTGGTGAACTTGTTAGGCGCGTGAGCGGCTTCACCCCAGCCGAGAATCTTGGCGATGGGCTTGAGACCGAGCTCCTTGACCTTAGCCTCGGAGACCAGGACGTGTGCGGCGGCACCGTCGTTCAGGGGGGGAGGCGTTGGGGGCGGTCACAGTGCCGGTGCCGGGGATGAAAGCGGGCTTCATAGCGCGCAGCTTCTCCGGATTGAGGTTCTTGGGCTCGTCGTCCTGGGAAACGGTGACACCGGGCTTACCGCGGAAACCGGGGATCTCAATGGGAGCGATCTCGAAGTCGAAAACTCCGGCCTTCTGCGCGGCTTGGGCCTTTTGGTAGCTGCGGATGGCGTAGTCGTCCTGCTGCTCGCGGTTGAAGCCGTGGTCCTCGGCGCACTCCTCGGCAGCGAAGCCCATGAGCTCTTGCTTGCCGTAGGCGTCCTGCAGACCGTCCTTTTGGATTCCGTCGACCAGGCTCTGGTTTCCGTACTTGGCGCCAGTGCGCATGTTGGGGAGGTAGTGAGGGGTGTTGGACATGGACTCAGCACCACCGGCGACGACAATGTCGGCGTTTCCGGTCATGATGGTCTGGGCACCGAGGATGACGGCCTTCAGGCCGGAGGCGCAGACCTTGTTGACGGTGGTACAGACGGTGGAATCCGCGAGGCCAGCACCGATAGCGCATTGGCGGGCAGGGTTCTGTCCGACACTGTTGTGAGGGAGTTCGTTAGTAACATTGTCAAATGGGAGCAATTATCCTGGCTCCGGTATCCTCAACTTACCCAGCAGACAGAACGTTGCCAAAGAAGACCTCCTCGACATCGGCGGGGTTGATGCCCTCAGCACGCTCGACAGCGGCTATAGTTCTCTGTTAGCAATGGGTTCAAGGCGTGTCTTAATGATTGTCATGAAGGATTGGACATACACTTGATAGCATGGGCACCGAGCTTGGGAGCAGCAAGGGTGGAAAGAGAGCTGCTTCCTTGTTAGTTTTATCGGAAGCGGTAACCAAATATTGAGGGGCAAGTATATATTTACCCAAGGAAACCGCCCACAGGGGTACGGGCGGTGGAAACAATGTAGACGGGAGGAAGGGAAGACATGGTGCAATGTAAAAGGATTGAACGGAACTGAGATCAATTGATGAAAAGGAGAAGATTCCACCGAGGGGTGCGGTTCTAATATAGTGGGGGGGGGCAGCCGTGGAGTGAGGAGCTGTACGGTGTAGGCGGGGAGTACTTGAGAACGCTCGGACCAAGTGAAAGTTGAGAATCTTCCAACTTTCCACTCCGGCGTCACGCCAGCACCGAATCGGGCGGATCATCTTCACTTTGCGCCCATTCCTGCCATTCATACCCACCATGGAGGATCTTTATGACGAGTATGTTCTTTATATTCCCCCTCCTACCTGACTGCGTTTTCAATTTCTATTCCCCTCTACCAAATGCGCAACGCGTTCTAACCAGGGGCCTAGGTTCGGTAACTACATCGGCGAGGCCGACTCCGACGAGGAGCAGAATGAGCAGGTCCCCGAGGCCTTTAAGTTCGATGAAGCATTCGATGATGAAGAGGAGGAAGAGGATGTGAATGACCAGCAGTTAATGGAGGTCGATGGTAAGCTTTGCTGCTCTGCGCCGCGCCGCGCTTCGATTTCCAATTCCGCTCCCCATTCGCTAATCCCCGTGTCGCGACAGATGGACCTTCAAACGCCGTCATTTTGCACGAAGACAAGCAATATTATCCCAGCGCACAACAACTATACGGTACCGATGTCGAGACCATGGTCCAAGAGGAGGATGCGCAACCTCTATCGGAACCTATCATCGCCCCCGTCCAACAGAAGAAATTTGCAATCGCCGAAACAGAGCTCCCTCCCGTTCATTTCTCTCGCGAATTCATGTCAGATCTGCTCAACTTCCCCGATCAAATAAGAAATGTCGCAGTTGTAGGCCATCTGCACCATGGAAAGACTGCGTTTATGGATATGCTGGTCCGACAGACACACGACTTGACGGAACGTCTCGAGAAGCGCATCGGTAAGCGCAAGGAGGAGCAGCTGCGATACACTGATGTTCACTTTCTGGAACGCGAGCGCGGTCTTTCGGTCAAATCAGCTCCGATGAGCTTGGTTCTCCAGGGCACCAAGGGCAAATCCCATCTTCTTAACATCATCGATACCCCCGGACATGTGAACTTTGTGGATGAAGTTGCCGCATCGGTTCGCTTGGCAGATGGTGTAGTCCTCGTTGTGGATGTTGTCGAGGGTGTTCAGGCCAATACTGAGCAGATCATCAAACATGCAGTGCTGGAAGATATTCCCATGACGCTGGTTGTGAACAAAATGGACCGCCTTATCCTGGAACTCAAGCTTCCGCCCAACGATGCCTACTTCAAACTGAAGCATGTGATTGAAGAAATCAACACAGTTATTGAAAACGTCTTGCCAGGACAAGGTGAACGCCGACGATTGAGCCCTGAGAAGGGAAATGTTGCGTTCGCTTCTAGTTCGATGAACTGGTGCTTCACATTGCAATCATTCGCCAGGATGTATGCAGACACCTATCCCCGACTTGACTCCACAGAGTTCGCCGCGCGACTCTGGGGAGATATCTTCTACAACCCCCGAAGCCGGAAGTTCACCCGCAAGGGCGTGGAAGAGAACTCCAAACGGGCTTTCGTGAAATTCGTCTTGGAGCCTATTTACAAGCTTTATTCTCACACCCTTAGTGAAAGTCCCGAGGACCTTAAGGAGACATTAGCTTCGGTGGGCGTCCACCTGAAGCCATCTCAGTTGAAGTCGGATGCAAAGGAGCTGCTTAACCTGGTTTGTGAGCAATTCTTCGGCCCTCCTAGTGGTTTCGTCGATATGGCGGTGCAACACATCCCTTCGCCAGTCGAGGGTGCCCAGCGCATGCTGGAGCGGTATTATACCGGTCCATTGGACTCAAAGGTTGCAAGCTCAATGGCAGCCTGTGACCAAGATGGACCCCTTGTGGTTCATGTCACCAAGCTTTTCAGCACCACTGACGCGACTGGCTTCTACTCGTTTGGAAGAATTCTGAGTGGTACAGCTCGACCCGGTCAGCAAGTTCGTGTCCTTGGTGAAGGCTATACCCCCGAAGATGAAGAAGATATGGTTGTCGCAACGATTTCCGACACATGGATCGCAGAGACTTGCTACAACATCCCCACAGATGGTGTTCCTGCTGGTAACTGGGTTCTCTTGGGTGGTGTGGATAACTCTATTGTTAAAACCGCCACCCTGGTCCCCCTCAAGCTCGAAGAAGACGAAGAACCATATATCTTCCAGCCCATTAAGCACATGACCGAGTCGGTCTTCAAGGTCGCTGTGGAACCCGTCAACCCATCTGAACTGCCGAAGATGTTGGACGGTCTGCGCAAAATTAACAAGAGCTATCCTTTGATCTCAACCAAGGTCGAAGAGTCTGGCGAGCACATCGTGCTGGGTACGGGTGAGCTTTATATGGACTGTGTGCTGCACGATCTTCGTCGACTGTACTCAGAGATGGAAATCAAGGTTTCCGACCCGGTGACACGTTTCTGTGAGACTGTCGTTGAGACCTCTGCGATCATGTGCTACTCGATCACCCCAAACAAGAAGAACAAAATCACCATGATTGCCGAGCCTTTGGATGAAGGAATCGCCGAGGACATTGAAAGCGGCCGGGTCAGCATCAAAGACCCTATCCGAAAGGTCGCGCGCTTTTTCGAGGATAATTACGACTGGGATAAGCTTGCCGCTCGCAGCATTTGGGCATTCGGCCCGGACGAGATGGGCCCCAATATTCTCCAAGATGATACCCTACCGTCTCAAGTGAACAAGCAACTTCTTGGCACCGTCCGAGACTCGATCACTCAGGGTTTCAGCTGGGGAACCAGAGAAGGGCCACTATGCGAAGAACGTAAGTCTTCACTACTCTTTCATTTACAGGCATCGATACTAATGTTTTTACTTCCAGCCATTCGCAACACCAAGTTCCGACTCACAGACGTCTCCCTTGCCGAGCAAGCAATCTACCGAGGAGGAGGTCAAATCATCCCAACCGCTCGTCGCGCCGTCTATTCTTCATTCCTAATGGCTTCCCCCCGTCTCATGGAGCCAATCTATTCCTGCACAATGACCGGACCCGCTGACGCCGTGGCCTCGGTTTACACCGTCCTCTCTCGCCGACGCGGACACGTCCTCTCAGACGGTCCTATCGCGGGTACACCGCTATACTCGGTCCGCGGTTTGATTCCAGTAATTGACTCCTTCGGTTTCGAAACGGATCTTCGCATCCACACCCAGGGCCAAGCCTCAGTGAATCTGGCCTTTGATAAGTGGAGTGTTGTACCCGGTGATCCCTTGGACCGTGATGTCAAGCTGAAACCCCTCGAGCAGGCCGGTGCTATGGCCACGGCTCGCGACTTTGTTCTCAAGACGAGACGTCGTAAGGGTTTGGCGGAGGATGTTACTGTTAGCAAGTTCCTGGAACCGGAATTGTGGAAGGGATTGAAGGAGAGTGGTGTTTTGGACTCATAATTTCATTCATCGAGGAAGAAAAAGAAACGCAACGAGAAGGGTTTGGAGAACTATGGAGTCATCACCGATGCGCTGAGCGGCGTGGCGTGGCGTGGCGTGGCGCAATCGCTTTATGTATTTCTACCCTAGGTAATGGTCTCACAGTCAATTATACACCGCATGAGTGTTTGCTTCAAGTTCATCCAAGTTCTTCTTCATTGTCGTAGACCGGCGAATTCGCAGAGACGGTTCAGGTTTGGATGGGATTGGATTATTTGATTTTGTCATTCATTTCAAAAAGTCCTAAATCCCAGCCCTTATAAATATCCAAATCCATATCCTTGGGTACAGTAAAATCCATCGGTATCAAATTCACGTTCACATTCACTCATATTCAAATTCATAATCATATCATCGACAAGTCTCCATCATCTTAGCAATAACCTGCATAAGCGCCCCATTTTCCAGCGCAGCCGCAACACGCTCCTTATCACCAAGCTGTTTATTCACCTCATCACCAGTGCTATGAGTCCCCTCTTTAATGCGCACATCCATCCGGAAGCGCGGGGGAAGAGATTGTTCCAGTCGAACGCGGACACCGAGGCCGATGACCGTTGCTAGACTGCAGTGTGTGATTGTGGGTGTGATCAGGACGGTGACTGTTTGGAGGGGAGAGTTGGGGACGTTTGGGAGGGTTGGTTTGATTGATATGTCGGGGAGGGAGACTACGGCTAGTTCGCCGAGGGAGAGGGGGTGTTCCGGGTCGGAGATTAATTTTATTAGATCTGGATGGGATGGGGTTAGGACTGGACTGGACTGGATACATATAAATGCGCATGCGCATACACACTAGTTGGGGGCACTTACCGAAGATCTCTTGCTCGTCGATGGGCTCCTCTAGCAGATCGTCGTCTTCTGAGTCGGAGGAGAGGAAATCGGCTGGGTTGGGGACGGCGGCGAAGATACCGGATGTATAATCGTAGTCGCCGGATTTCTTGGTGGACCTGGATCTTGTGGGAAGATCGGCCACGTTTAGGATCGTGGGGTTTGAGTTCTGTACCTCCGCCATCGTGAGTGATGTGATGTGAGGAGTATACGAGCAAGTTGTAAAAGTAAGTGACGAGGGGCAAATTGAAGATTAGAGTCGACCCGATTTGGCAGTCCGTCCCACTCGGACCGATTGCGTATCAGGTGGGTTCACGTGATCAGAACATATCCAATATGAGGTATGAGATCACGTGAGAAGAAGCGGGACAAATGGATACACGCATAATCACGTGACCAGGACAAATGGAAAATAAATGGACCCGGTGGACTGGATCGACTGACTAGTCAAAGTTACAGGGTACTCTTGGTGGAGGAGACTGCAGGATGTAGGATCCTGTAGGGGTAAAGGGAGAGGGAGAGAGAGGGGACTGCATGGCCAGAGTCTGAGACATTACGTCGATTAGACTCCGGTCACGGCAGAAAATGGAAAGCTTCTTAATATTCAGTTCGGTACTTGGCAATTTCTACGGAGAATTTCCATTCTGTGTGTATCTCCATCTACCCTTATCCTTATTCCCGTTAAGGTTCCCAGTCGACCCTAATAAACCTTCTCCAAATTCTCCAACCTTGCGTAGCCAGTGTAAGTGTACGAGTACGTGTGTACGAGGACTCACTAGGTACGAATTCGGAAGAACCTCGGCTCAATCGAGTCGAATTTGATCGCCCGGCTCCACGCTGACTGACAACAATTTGCCTCCTTTTTCCTGCTTTTCCTTTGCTTTTTGCTTTTTCTCTTTTATCTGTGGTGCTTTTTTTTTTTTTTTTTTTTCTCTCTACATATGTGTTCAGCTGTCCATCCCGAGCTGAAGATTACATACTGCACATCATCACTCCTCACTCGTAGTGATCACCCCCTAAACTCCCCACGTCCCGAAAGCTTGGATTAGGTTTGGCATAGTTGGGCAAGGTCGGGTATTTTCACTTGGGCAACTTACCGAAGTCGATCAGGATTACTGCATGGGCCTCCACCGGAAGAACCCAGCAACGCAGTTTGTAACCATGGCCGTTCCAGTTCGTGGGCTTCCAGAATCTCCTGGTCCCCACCCCTGTGTCGTTAGCTCTGCATGTCTCGCGCTCTTAGGGTTTGTGAAACCCAGGGCACCAATCCCGAGAACCAGGGAAGAGCGGGAGGAGGGAGAGGGTTTGGGGGTGTTTCAACTGAATGAGCTTTGCCTTGACTTTTTGTCTTGATTTGCCTCAACCGAGGTCTATCTATGTCTGGTCATTGCTTTGTCTTTCTTGGCCGGGGTTAGTGCCAGTGGGATGGGTTCTGCTTCTGATTCTGATTCTAATACACTACACGTGTAGGAGCATCATGGAGTACGGAGTAGATAAAGCAATGTCTAATTGAGTGGGTTACTCTATTCCTTACACTGAGTATACCAGTATGATACATACAAATCGCCAGATTACGACAGAATCAGAGTCAACCTTAGGAAGAGTCTCGATATATGACATCCACTTAACCTCTCTGCTTCCACCTCGGGCCGTACTTAGTCAATAATTGGCCATGTGTTTAACCCTGGAGTTCGGGATCCGTAGATTAACCCCCCTAGCCACTAAGTGTATTCCGGGTAAAGGTAGGGCTATTATTACGGAACACGAGGCAATCTTTGATCGCCCCCCTTCTCCACTTTGCAGTGGAGGAGTGGGCGCTATTGGATATCCAAGGATGTCCACTACCTTCTTGGCAGTCGAAAGGTGCACCTGCACCCCTCTTACACACCACTCACCACTCACCTCTCACCTCTCAGCTTCCTCCGCCATTTTCGATCCTCCCCCTCCTCCTCCCTAATCCAAAGTAAATTCCCCTGTCTCCACCTTTTCGCATTGCGCATTCATCATGCTTGTTCCTATTGCCGGTGTCGCCGTGTTACATTTCCGACTGACTGTTCTATTCTGAATCTACTAAGTCTAAGTACCGTCTCCACGTCTTTCGGAAATCCTTCGATACTTCCAGATCGCATAACTCGCTAACCTGCGCGCAGTCTACACAAAGAGTCTTTTCCTCTCTCTCTCTCTCGCGCCCAAACAACCTTTTCCTTCTTGTCAACCCGAACCCCCATCAACTGGCAATTGCGTGCGCGCGCGCATGGTCCACGCTTACAGATCCGCCCAATCTCTCTATCCCGGACGTGATCAAACCCGCCGTGCGGAGAGGCTGGTGCGATAACCCCGAACTCGCGACTTGCGCCGGCCCATAGCGCCGGCATTGTCTGATTCCACTATTCGCCAGTAACAGTAAACCCCCCCCTGCTGTTAGATATTGCACGGACGATCCTCGCGCTTGCTTCCTCTCGAAGTATCCCCTGTGTCGTTTCCGCCAGCTGCCGCCCGCGACGTGGCCTAGAGTTCATTCGGTGATATTCACGAATCTTCTTTCAGCTCCAACCTCTGTTCCTTTCATACCACACACACTCCCTCACACGCTCCCTCACACACTCACTCTCTCTCTCTCACACACACTATTGTTTTCGGTTTCCCAAGGCAGGTCCTTGCAAGTTCCGATCGCTTTCTTCAGGTCGCGGGTTTTTTGAATCGTGACGTGACCCATCAACTTATACTTATAATTCGACCTTCCTCACCCCCCTTTTCAGAGAGCTTGGAGCAATGCAGGGTTACTCATTCGCCCCTCCGTTGGGGCCTCCTCGAGAAGGCCAAAAAAGTAGATTATCCCGGATATTAGTCCCCACCGCAGCCCGATATGAAACGCATGCTGATCTTTGGGCGTTTTAGACTATGTGTTTGTTGATGAACATAACCGACACAAGAGACTGAAGGGTTTGTAATCCCACTCCCATCTGTTCCATGTTCTACCTCGACTTAGATGCTAATAATTGATAGTGATGCGAGCATGCAATGGCTGCCGGAAGCGAAAAATCAAGTGTGATGCTGCGACCACAAATACATGGCCCTGCTCGGCATGCACGCGTCTGAAACTCGTCTGCGTCCCTCCCACTATCGGCCAGGACGGTGAATTCCTTGACGGTCCTGGTGGAGAGCCTGTCGATATGGGAGGCCCTTCCAGCGCCCCCGAAGCCTCTCATCATTCATTCCCGGTACCTCCGACGTATAGAGATGGCAATCAGCCGACGATGACACCCTTATCTTCTTATGACTCAATGGGCATGTATTCGCAATTTGTTCAAGCACCGCCAAATCAGCCCGCGATGTATAATGACATGCGGTCTTCTCCAATGGTCATGTCACACCAACCCTATCAGCAACAACATCAACCCCAATTGTATCCGGGGGCGCAGCACCCTTCGCTTGGTGCCGCGGACCGAGGAGTGTACGCTGAGAGCGAGCCATCCACAGCCGAGAACCTGAGTGATGTTCTTGGAGAATTGAAGATTGATGAAACTGGAATTGGTATGGCTTTTCTTCTTCTTGTATCCCAGTGAGGTTACGAGGTTACTAATCGATCACAGCTCCATATATAAGGAGACAAAGAGCAGATCGCGCCGAGCCCGATGTACCGGTTCAAGATGACGTAGAAGAAAAACTCCCGCCTCTCAGCACTGGCGCTGGCGCGTTGATCCGAATCCCACCCGAACTTATGCCCGACGAAGACGACGTGATGAACTACTTCAAAATTTATTTCGATGAGATCCATCCGTACCTGCCCGTCATACCACGTGCGCATCTGTATTATCAATGGCAGAATGACCGTCGCTCCATCTCTCCCCTCCTACTGGAAGCTTTGTTCGCATGTGCAGGACGACTGTCTGATGAGCCGGCCGAAGGTGCCCAATGGCTTGCTTTGGCAAATAGTAAGTCCATCACCATGACCCAACACAACACAACCTTTGGCTAATTTCTCTCCTCCAGGGCACGAAACCAATTTCATGGATGTTCCGCGCTTAAGCACGATCCAGGCACTGCTACTCTTATTGAAAGCACGGGAGTCATTGCCCAAGAAGGGCTATTACTACCGGTCCTGGCAAACCGTCAAAACAATCGTATCGATGGCCAAAGATTTAGACATACATGAACATTACAGCACTCACGCCGAAGGTAGACCCTGTGACCTGAGTCCGATTGAATGCCTGGTCCATACTCGGGTTTGGCAGGCTATCTTGGTAGTCGAGGTCATGATTGGTGCTCCTCAAGGTAAGTATCCATTTTCTATCTTTCGATAATGCGCTTGAAAGAATTCAGTTACTTACCATCTTAGGTCGCTCGGACTACGGCGTTGACATCGAAACTGTGGACATGCGCCCTACCCTGGACATCAGGGGCCTTGATGCATATGAATCGGATCGTTCCAGGCAATATGCATATTTTGTTCGCAACGCGCGCCATATTCGAATCATCACAGACATATATCACAAAATCAAAAAGCAGAAAGACTGGGGAGCCAATCCCCAGTTTGCGCAGAAGAATCCGCTATTTGCAGATTGGCTTCGCAGCTTGCCGCCCGATCTTCAGGTCAATTACCCAACCGATGGCTCTCCGCCATGGATTCCGTCTCACTTTGTAGGCAATATGCATTCTCATTGCCACTTGGCCATTATCTTGTTGCATCGCCCGCAACTCGTGGCCTCCCAGTCCTTTGCGGCTGGGGGTGACTGGAAAATACACTTTTCCCTGTGTTATTCCTCAGCAAAAAGTATCTGCCGTCTGCAGGAAGCCATTCTTGAACGATTCGGCCTTTCTGGCCTTCTTTATATGCAGCGTGGAATCAACTTTGCCATCTACTGTATTCTCACTTGCACCATGTTACACTTGGTACGTGAATCTTGATCCCAACCCAACCCAACCCAATCGACTCTTTCCTAATCCAAATCCAAAACAGATTGCTATCACATCTCCAGATCCCGAATTCAACTCCGACGCGCGAGAGTTCTTCACGCGGCACATGCGCATACTGGAACGCTGCTCAACCGCCTGGCCTATGCCGGAGATCCAGGCCCAAATCGACTCACTAAGGCTCGCATTTTCCGCAGACACCCATCGACCATTTGAATTGAAGCCAAGTTTTCCATACGGAAGCCCGTCGGAGCCATATCAGCCCAGTCCTCCCATGGACGCGCACTATCATCCGCATCTAGGCAATGTCCAATCCAGAGTGGGTCTCAACGCACATCCAATCACCCCTCCGATTTCCGCTGGTGCTGAAGACTCCAAGTCCGACACTTCCTCTCAGTTGCAGTCCTTAGGAATGGTTCCTCATCAACCGCCCACAACGCATCCCCTTGACGCTCCCCTGGTGGACGAAAATAGTTGGGACCCTACGCGCATTATCAAGTAATTAGCCCCACGTCTTCCCAATGGTTCTCACCCCAGGTCTAGATGTCTGCGTGGTCGATTGCCCATACTGTTGAGTGCGAATGCTAATATCTCCTTTCTTTGAAATTTACAGTCAATGGGACATGGCCTTCTCCGTCAACCCATCAACCGTCAGCACAAACTCACCCCCCAATGCCAATGAACACCCCCCAACCACAACCAATCGGAAACATGGTGAATCAACATCAACATCAGCAATATCCCATGCAGTACGAGTCGCCTTCAAGAACCGTCCCATCAACCCAGTCCGTCTCCGTTTCTCCTCCGCAATTCCAGGCCCCGCCTGTCGTCTTTAGCGCCAGGGACTGGCAACAAAGTGTGGCCAGTGTATTCGATCCTCAGGGATTGAAAAGGCGGTGGAATTACTCTGTTGATATGAATGCCGATAATAATATGGCTAAACGACAAAGAGGATGAGATGAGCTTCGAACCTGTCCGATCCGATAGTTTCACAATCTCCATACCATATTCACATCCACCCACATCTACATTTTCCTTCCTTTGTTCATGTTTACCATTTTCATTTTCTGGTCTGGTGTCCATACTACTTACTCTACTACCCCCGGTACTGTGTCCAGGAACTACGACTACGACTCGTGTATAAAATGTTATGGTTATGGTGATGTGGCCAGGTCCGAGTCGTCTACGAATCATTCTTGATTTATTCACTGATGTCGGTGTCGATTGGCTGAAACGAAAAAAATTGGATTTCAATAAATCCACCCCTTGTATATCATGACAACAAACTATGCTTCCAAATCCCTATCTCATCTCCTTTATCTTGAGGAAATGAGATTCGGATGGCCTTTTTGGTTCATATAAATCTTCCACTCAACGCTTCCAATTCGTGTATAGATAGATGTAAATAAGCCTTGCAGGTACGGGGCCAGGCCAGTCGAATGAGTGAGAGTGAGAGTGAGAGTGCTTGGGTGTTGTGTTGTGTAATGCGTGCGCAGTGTTTCGGTTTCGTGTTCGTGTTCGTGTTCATCGGCTCAGTCGTGAAATAACATAACCAATTAAATGAAATAAATAGATGGCAGAATAGAATAGAATCCCCAATCATCATGAAACCCCAACCCCAATTATATGGCCGTGCATCGTTATCGTTGTTCGTATATTATTCTCAGACATTTTGCGTTTGCTGAAGCGGAAAAGGAAAGCTCGTGGCCAAGATCAAAGAGGAGCGTCCAAGTTCGTTTGTCAATGACGGAATGCGATGCGATACGATGCCTCCAATCCACCCAGCACAACGCCATAGTACTCGTACGAGTTTGTATATCATCCAGGCCATCCATCACATCACCCCTGTCGTCCAAGACCAATCCTCTCCTCGCGCGAACGGACAATCCTCGCTTTATCACCGGGTAACGGTTTCAATTCATCACTTGGATCGAAGCCTGTGTTGTTGTTGGTGTTGGAGCTGCTCTTCCTTGCTCGGATGTTGCGTGTCTGCTTTGTTCTTCTTGTTTGCGGAGTCGAGACTCTTCGAATGAAGCGATGTCTTCCATCGTTACTGTTATGGCGGTGGGTTTGCGGCGGAGCATGTTGATTGTGTAATTGGGGTATTGTTTTCTTTCTAAGATTGAGAGGGAAAAAGAATGAAATAGTGGTCGTTAATCGTTGAGGTTGTGGTTGTGGTAGCCCGCGTTGCGGTCAGGTGCGGTTTTCTGCCGGAAGAATAAATACACGGGGGTGAGCATAGAACTTGGCAAGGTACCTCTCGGCCATTCATGCTTTATTTATTTCTTTCTTTCTTCGCAAAGAAAAAGATAAAAGAAACTAGTATCTAGCATTCAGTCATTATATCATTGAGCAGAAATAAAAGCAGCTTCCTGGACATTGATACAGTCAATCTACAAAGTACATAACTTCAAGATAGAAAGGCGGCATCCAAAGCGGTGAATCTCGACGCGGCCCGCCGAGTTCAATCGAGTCTTTCCCAAAAGTTGAGTTGGTCCCGGCCAGTGGGTTCGTTCAACTTTCCACCATCCTCACCTCACACCACAAGATGATGCGGCCTCAGCTCAGGCAGCTCGCCCGTCACACGGAAGCCGTGCGAATTAGCCTCTCCGCACCCGTGCGTCCCTTCTCCGTTTCCTGCGCTGCGAGAGAAGGCGAGAGCAAGCCATCCGGTAGGTTCAATCCGGTCCTTCACATACAATCTACACCTTAAGGGCTATATAAGGCCCCAATCCATGAATTGGACTACCAATGCTACCCACAATCCAAGTTTACTGACATCTTTCCTCCCCTGACAGCTCCAGCCAACCCACAACCCCGACAGAATGCCCAGACCAAACCTCGCAGACCTCCAACACAGTCGCGTGGCCCACCATCCGGCGCCCCGAACAGACGCCCGACCAATTTGAAAGCAGTTGATGCCCGATCATTCGCCGCTCCCGCCGCAGGATCCGATCAACCTCGCATCATCCGCAGCCCGCGAGCCCGCAACGTCCGACCCGGCGGCCAAGGCCAGGGTCAGGGCCAGGGCCAGGGTCAGTTCCAACGCAAGCCCTTCAACAAAAAGCCCCTCGCCAAAGCCAAGGGCCGTCGTGAACGCCGACCCCGCGACGCTAAGAGGGACGATGGCGACGAAACTCAAGAAGCCGCCGAAGAAGCCGCCATTGAAAAGATCGAGCAGGAACAGGCATTAAAGGAGCGTCCTGTGCCGGTTCGCTATGAGCCGCGTGATATTGATTTCTCTACATTGAAGGCTACATGGCCTTCGCTTCCCTCGGATGCAAACTCGCGTTCTGCTGCTGTTCTTGAAAAGCTTGCGAGTCTTGGAGGTCGGTTTGCGAATGGGTATATCCCTCCTCATGAATTGGGGAGACGGATGTGGAAGGGTGAGAATGTTTTGTTTGAGAATGAGGGTGAGCGGATTCAGGCGCTTGAGGAAGTTAAGCGTCTTTCTCAATTGCGTGCGGATAAGATTTCGCAACGAAAGGGTGAGCTTGTTGAGCCTACTGAGGTTAAATTCGGTGCCCTTAATGCTGAGGGTACGAAGACTTTGATGGAGAAGTATGCTCAAGGGAAATATCCGGCCCTGGAGGCGGTTGGTAAGGATCAGCCTGCTGCGATGGGTGATGTGGTGCGGAATCTGAGGAACAATGGTACTTATGAGACGGCTGGTAAGAGGCCTCAGTTTTTGGCTAAGGTTGAGTCTTTACTCGCTTCCAGCTCTGGTCGTGTGAAGCGCGCTTGAGAATATTGAGATGAGATGGGCTTGATTTGATCGTCTCATTGAAGCGTGTGGATTTTGTATTATACATGGGGGGTTTTTATTTCCTTTTTCCTTTGCTTGCTTTTTTTTAAATCCCTGGCCTGGGCATGTTTTTTATGGCGCCCTTCACAGGCTCTCAGACTCTCTTGTATCTAAATTTACATTTTACATTTGAAAAGTGTTACTACTATAACATCACATCACCATGCAAAAATCTCCTTTCCTCGGGCTCTTAAGGAATCCGCTGAAGCTTATGCTTATGCTTATGCTTATGCTTATGCAGTTTCCAACATCTTCCTAGCCCCATCAAACAAATCCTTAACCTCCTTATGACCCTTCTCCGTAACCTTCTCCATCTGAACCGTAGCATTGCGCACATCATCCGGTCTCGCAGTCTTCTTCTTCTGCATATCCTGTAGTCGTTTGTGCATTGAGCCTCGCGCATCACGAACGCTAGTAGCTGCCTTTTCAAAAGCAGCCTTGGCAACTGTCACGCTTTGGTCTCGGGATTCTTTTGTCGGGGGCGGAATCGGGATGTTGAGTTGGAGTGGGTTGTGGGGGTCTGCTTGTGGGGTTAGGGATAGATTTGATGAGATGATTGATGATGAGATGGGTTTGATGTGCTATGAGTAGAGTAGTGGTTAGCTTAGCTTCACTTAGCATTCAGTCGAGTCGAGTCGCATCTCATCTCTTCCATGGTTGTGAACAGAAACTCACCTCCTCCTCAGCAGCTAAAATAGTAACCATCCGCCCACCCTTAGGCACGACCTGAGCCAAATCACCCAACTTGAACGAATCAGCACTATCCTTGCTAAGCTGGACTTTCAATCCTTCCAATGTGGCGGTGTTGAATCGGCCCCCGGCGCGAAGTTTCGAGAGATCATCTTTCAATCGTGAAACGGCGGTTGATATGCCGGTTTGGAGGTGGGAGAGATCGAATGGGTCTGGACCTTGGCCTTCGGAGCCGGTAGTGGAAGGGCTTGGTTGTGAGTCCGAGGCGGAGGTGGGTGTTTTCTTGCTGCTGCCCTTGTCTTTCTTTTTGTATAGGGTTGGTGAATTGGCGAAGGTGCGTTGGTGCGGATGCGATTGGGGCGTGGTCAGGTGAGGGAGGAGAGCTGGTTGCCAACGCTTGAATGGAGGGCGGGATTGAGTTGTAAGCCTGGTTGGTAGGCGAGTTGCAAGGCGTAGCATTGTGGGCGGGGTTAAAGGTGTTAGTTGGAAGTAGAGTAGAGGAAGTAGAGTAGAGAGAATGTGAGGGTCTTGCTATTGGGCCCTAGAGGGCAAAAAAAGTTGGGGAAAGCGGAGAGCCTGCAGCTGGAGCTCCAAGCGCCAAAAGCATCAACTTGGGCAGTTCAATCATACCACTCATAGAGAGATATTGAGCATCAAGTTGATTACTCGTATAAAGTATGACTACTCGTTATTCTACTTTACTCTACTCTACTATACTCATACTACCAGCACCAATGACACGCAGAGAAAAGGTCGTCACACATTAAATTTGCAACGTTAAATCTTCGTCTACAAGAACCGTACTTTTTAAAGACAAAATGGAAAGGGGTGACGGGTGACGGGTGAAAAAAGAGAAAATACTGCGCCCAAGTGTGCCCGGCTTCAAACACAAAAAGCAAGGGCCAACGCTGCCCCTAGATCTATAAGGCTGCGGCAGACCTTCCATTATCCGAGGAAGGGGTTCATATGTTGGCCGATCCTATGTTCATCGCTATCGCTTCGCTTTGTTCGCTTAGCGGGTAGCCATGGCCTTGGTCATGAGACGCTTGAGGGCCAGCTCCTTCTTCTTGAGGTCCTCGGGGGTGGAGTCCTCAACCTCCAGCTGGGCCATGGCGTCAGAGAGAGCGGACTCGATGCGCTCCTTGTTGCCACGCTTCAGCTTCATGGCCAGGGTGGGCTCGGAGATCATCTCCTCGACACGGGAGATGTAGGACTCGAGCTGCTGGCGGGACTCGAACTTCTTGGTGAAAGCCTCGTCGCTGGTCTTGAACTTGGCGGCGTCCTCAACCATCTGGTCGATCTCAGTGCTGGACAGCTTGCCGACAGCGTTGGAGATGGTGATGTTGGCGGTACGGCCGGAGGTCTTCTCAGTGGCGGTAACCTTGAGGATACCGTTGACATCAACCTCGAAAACACACTCCAGAGCGGCCTCACCGGCACGCATGGGGGGGAGGGGAGCAAGAGTGAACTCTCCCAGGAGGTGTTGTCGGCACAGTTGGTACGCTCACCCTGGTAGACGGGGAACTGGACGGTGCTCTGGTTGTCAACAACGGTGGTGAAGGTACGCTTCTTGATGGTGGGGACGGTCTGGCCACGGGTGACAACGGGGGCGAAGATGTTACCCTCCATGGCGACACCCAGGGAGAGGGGAACGACATCCAGAAGGAGGAGGTCAGCGGTCTCGGCGGAGGTGGCCTTTCCGGAGAGGATACCGGCCTGGACGGCGGCACCGTAGGCAACGGCCTCATCGGGGTTGATGCTCTTCTCGAGCTTCTTGCCATCGAAGAAGTCGGACAGGAGCTTCTGGATACGGGGAATACGGGTGGAACCACCAACAAGGACGATCTCATCGACCTTGGACTTGTCCATACCGGAGTCCTTCATGACCTGCTGGACGGGGTCCAGGGTGCCGGAGAAGGCCTTGGCGTTCAGGTCCTCGAAACGGGCACGGGTGATGGAGGAGTTGAAGTCCTCACCATCGAAGAGGGAGTCAATCTCGACGGTGGTCTGGGTAGCGTTGGACAGAGTACGCTTAGCACGCTCGCAAGCAGTACGGAGACGACGAAGGGCACGGGCATCGCCGGACAGATCCTTCTTGGTCTTCTTCTGGAACTCCTTCTTGAAGTGGTCAAGGAGGTTGGTGTCGAAATCCTGACCACCAAGGTGAGTGTCACCAGCGGTGGCCTTGACAGTGAAGACACCACCCTGGATGTTCAGCAGGGAAACATCGAAAGTACCACCACCCAGATCGTAGATGAGGACGTTGCGCTCCTTGTCAGACTTGCCAGCACCCAGACCGTAAGCAATAGCGGCAGCAGTGGGCTCGTTGATGATACGCAGAACGTTCAGGCCAGCAATGGCACCGGCGTCCTTGGTAGCCTGACGCTGGTTGTCGTTGAAGTAGGCGGGAACGGTGATGACGGCCTTCTCGACCTTCTTGCCGAGCTTGGTCTCAGCAACCTCCTTCATCTGTTTTATTGGTTAGTATATTGCAATGTGTTTCTGTTGGGGTTTTTTTTCAGGAAAAAACTTGCCTTCATGAGGACCATGGAGGAGATCTCCTGGGGAGTGAAGGTCTTGTCCTCGCCGAGGTAGGCAACCTGAACGGCGGGCTGGTCACCCTGGGCGACGACCTTGAAGGGCCAGGACTCAACATCCTTCTTGACGATGGGGTCGTCGTAACGGCGACCAATCAGACGCCTGTGAAAATCCATTGGGTCAGAATTTTTGTTCCGTTCAAAGAAAAAATTCATTTCTTCAGGAATATCCAAGTGGATCCCGCAAAAAAAAAGAAAAGAAAGAATATCAATGGATCTTGATAGACTCACTTGATGTCGAAGACGGTGTTGGCGGGGTTCATGGCGGCAGCGTTCTTAGCGGCCTCACCAATCAGACGCTCCTTCTCGGTGAAAGAGACGAACGAGGGGTGGTGTAAGAACCCTGGTCGTTGGCGACTGGGTGAATTGAATGTTAGCATGGTAATGGACCGAAATGGTGGTTTGTCGAGTGAGAACGCACTGATCTCAACGTTGGTGCCCTCATAGTTGGCAACGCAAGAGTAGGTGGTACCTGCGCACAAAAGAAAAAAAATTGGTTAGCGGACGAAACTTGGGAAGAATGGAATTGGAACAATCATACCGAGATCGATACCGATCGCACCGTCGTACACCTCAGAGTCGGCCATTGTGAAGATAAGTGGTGGGAATGAAAGAGTGGGAAAGGATGGAGAAGAGGGAAGGGGAGGGGTCGAATTTTTTTAATAAAAGCCTGCCACAACTCGGCAGGGCAGAAATTTTTCGGGAGCGGTAGGTCACGTGTTATGGGGGAGGCGGAAACGAGGGAGGCTTACCCGATACGGTAGGTGATGAGATATAGAAAAACTTTAGGTGAAGGCTTAATCTCCGAGTAGGGGCGAGATGATTGGTTTGATATTATGATAATGACCAAGACAATAACCAGAATAAAAAAAGAACAGAAGAAAGAGGCAAAAGGAAGAAATAGAAAGGGGATGATACCTCGGGTGCTTCGTGCTTCACCGTCCTCTATCATACCCTCCAAGAAATGCAGTATGCAAGAATACACTTATCCAAATGGTATACAATAAACCTCATCGCAACAAATTGAAAAAAATAGTAACCCGCTCATAGTCCACTTCCGAGCCTGGGGGGCCGGATTTCGGTGCCCCCCTTGGCGGCCCGGCAATCGCCTCCAAATCAACCTTTGTAGTACCCGGGTGGAGTTGGATGTCGTACGCCAGCGTAGCTGTATCCCCAGATGGGTGAAGTCGATGTGTGCCCATAACAGCGACCAATTTGGTCTGTTTCTCTGACGTACTAGCTACCAGTGTAGGCTTGACCGTCAGGATGCGATGCGATGGCGGAAGGCTGATTGTGATAGCTTGTTGGCGGATAGTTGGCGATGGAGGGATGTCCAGGCACAGATCTTGTTCTAGAGCAAGTGATGGGTGGGTCGAAATTTGCACATTCTGAATCAAAGCAGAGCTTGCATCTGTATCATTATCAGTGACTATTTTCAATCTACTCACCCGATTTCTCGATTTGGGCAGACACTCACCTTGATCTGGGCGCCTCCATATTGAGTCGAGAGGTGACAATGATTGGGGGGCGGGTGAGGAGGAGCTGGGACTAAATTAAACAAGGTCAGCGCAATTAATAGCATATGGTAGGGTCGAGGGGTAGCGCCACACCATCATGCGGAGCGACTCCACCGGTAGACTCGAGGGCAGCGCCCTGGAGAGCATGAGAAGAGCGTCTCTCAGGATGCTGAGACGGTGCTACGGGCGTCTCATCCTTGACATGTAGCCCGTGCGGCTGCTCAGAAGCAGAAGGAGTGGTGGCGACACTAGATCGGGGACTGCCGATCTGTCGTCGAAGAGATCTTGTTCGAGGAGAACGTGGTGCATCGGCATCTTGACTTTGACTGGCCGATCCAGTCCTCACAAGCTCTTGTTGTCGTTTTAGGGAGTCGTTATCAACAGCAACGCCGGATGACGGAACATCCTTAGGTGTCTCGGAGGTCTGTCCAGACATCTTCAATGTTAACCTTTGCGCTGCGGGCTCTGAATCCCTTGCACCCATCTTCAATCGAATCCGAGGCATTTCGGGGGCACCATCTACCTGAATGGAATCGGGCACCAGCTTCTTTGCTTCAGTCACGCGCCGATGGAAATACTCCTGGGTAGTCGTTAGCATTAACACAAAGACCAGACCAGATTTACATGATGTGATGCGATTCAGGAAAGACTAACCTCCAAAATCCCCGCCAGAACTACGATGTCGCTATCGTCTTCGTTATACTCCCTCGCATTTCGCCAAAGATAGCTGACCTCTTCTTCGAATGATTGCCAGGTAGGAAATGCGGTCGTCTTGGAAGGATTTTTGCGGCTTTCAGTGCCGCGCACCTTCTGCTGAATACTTCGTATTGACACAGGGTGATGGATGAGCTCGTAATAGTCGCGGTATAGATTTCGGTCGGGCTTTCCGACAAACGGATATGCCACTTCTTCACCACTGCGGAGGAAGGTTGGTTAGCTTCGCGTCATCCTCCACGTTCCATGGGAAGCGAAGATGCCTACTCGGAGTCCTTCAATCTGGACAGTTCAGATATGATCCTATCCTGTGCCGATTGAATAGTGTCGCCCTCAAAGTTCGCCTCGGACTCCTCTTCCTCTTCCTCCTCCTCTTCAGGGTCCGAGTTCACATCGTCCGCCTCGTCTGCCAGCTGAGTGTCTTCCTGTTCCGGTAAATCGTCATCCTGTCCCAAAGCTCGAAATATTAGCGACACAATTCAATTCGCCCATGCGACGTAGAAGCGAATGAAGGGAGGAAGTGGAGATGGAGATGGAGATGGAGATGGAGATGGAGGTGGAGGGGGTGCGGGCTCTGGCTCGTGGCGGTCGGAGCTCGTCGCACAGCTCCGTCGCAAAGCAGAGTCGCATGAGCGGAGCCCAGCATCCCTGCTTGGAGGAAGATCAATGCTAGACTGTCCGCAGAAGCGGGCTTCCAGACGCGCATCGCAGGTACAGGCAGTCATCTAAACAGGAGGAACGCGCACGATTACTTACAGAAACTTTGCGCCGCTTTTGTCTGCGGAGCTCTGGGGAAGCCGCAGCCGCTGAGCGCCGTTTTGAGCTCATATTTGGGTCGGGCAATTGAAGCGCAAGGACTGGATAAGGGAAAAGTAGTCTTGGACGAGGGATTCCCAGTTCATACCTCGAGGGGTGCAACCGACGCGCGCGCGGCGATCTGCCCCGGAGGGCCCACCCGCCGGCTCGCCGCCTTGGGTAAGTCTAGCAGGCATTGGCATTGGCTGATGAGTAGGCAATTAGATAGTTATTAAATAGTAATAGTATATATGGTAGCTTCTATATGAGTTTAGGAGTTCAATAATATCTCTAGATGTATTAATTGTAATTAATAATAGTATTGGTTAAGGCATTTAAGTTAACATACTATCGCTGTTAAGCAGGATGAACCATGTGATATATATGCACTTCACACATACTCCGAGTATAATCACGCCAAGGTAAAAGTCAAGGTGAGCAAGTCTCGAGAAGTGCTGGATACCAGTAATTATTAATAAAATTGGATACTAGTTTTACTAGTACTTTCATTTATAAATTCCATTCGAGCGAAATAGATATCCCACTACTATATCTCCTTGTAATAGTTATACCCCATCCCCTCGTCGCCTGAGGCATCAACAAAGTCCACGCCGACCCCTCCATTTTCGTCCCGAAAACAAACCCGCTCTTCAAAACGCGACCCCATCTTTCTCTCTTTCCCCCTCCCTCTTTCATCTTGGTCTCCACTCCAAGGACACTTTGATAAAACTTCGATTTCTCAATCAATTCCGATCCGTGTCTACTCTCGTAAGCTGCCCGGCGACACCCACCCTCCAAATTATTTCTCGCGGAACCCCCGACTGACCTCCGCCACGTGCAGCTACGGATTCCTCCACCACCCATTCTCCTAAGACCTGCACTTTTCACCTTTCACAATGGATATCGATCCCATCCGGCGAAACAAGAAACCCCGTCTCCTGCTGGAGTCGGAGCGCGAGCGTCTTGACGAATTCATTGACTCCATTCACTACTCGGCCCGGTATGATATTGAAATTGATGCCCGGCGGTTGCTCGGAGGTCCGACTATTTTTACATTCTTTACTGACTCGACTCGGTATCAGGTATTCCGATGACGCATTCGAGTATCGCCATGTCCAGCTGCCTAAGAACATGCTCAAGAAGATTCCCCAAGATTATTTCGACAGTGCGAAGGGGACGTTGAAGTTGCTCTGGGAGGAAGAATGGCGAGCGTTGGGGATCACACAGGTGCGTTTAGATGGAGGTGGAAATGGAAATGGAAATATTCCTCTGCAGACCTCACTGACACGTTTCGTTTACTCTAGAGTCTGGGCTGGGAGCATTACGAAGTTCATGAGCCAGAGCCTCATATTTTGCTATTCAAGTCCGTCATCCTCCAACTCAAGCCAACTCAACCCCCAAATATATTTGCTGACCTAAGTCTCTGTTTCTCCTAGGCGTCCTCTCAACTACCAGCCACCGATGGCTCAATAAGCTCCCTTTCCTCACAAATTGATGCTGTTGCAGTTGGAAATCTTACCTTACTCCCCCTCCCATACCATACCATACCATACCATCCCCTCCTCCGTTCTCACTTCAAATGCTAGGCTCGACTGTGGTCTTCCCCATTTTGTTTCCTTTTTTATTCTCCTTTTCTTATGATCGCATGAACATGCATAGCTTGTTATGTTCACTAGGGCCCACGGCAGCTTCGTAATGGAAGTTCCGGAATGAGATATGATTCACATTTTCCTTCAATTTTCTATGAGCATGAACATGAACATGAACCGGCAGCGGCAGCGGCCTGGAATATCTAATGCATTGGGCAGAGATGGGGTTGCTCCCAAGACCTAGGTAGCACAGACACAGACACAGATGCGCGGCCCTTTGAATATTTCTGTTCTGGTCATCAGACCACGTTCTTTGCCAGCCATTCCTCCCATTGAGCTGTGCTGAAACCACTGCTTATTCCACGCTCTTCCACTCCCTGGGCGGTGTCAGTGATTTGGTTGCCTTTTCTTCGAGAGAGGGGTTATGCCTTACATTGAAAAATACAGTTGGTGATACGTGCACCCCAATCACTCGGCCCGTCTAGATTTGTGTCAGTGGGATGTTTCTTCCACGTCCAGAGGTTCTTCCTATATTGGGGGAGGGGTTTGAAAAACAAAACTAAAACAAACCTTGACTATCCACTTGATATCATTCGTGACCTGATTACCCATATTCAGCGCTCCATCCGGGCCGGGCGTATCAGGAATCTTCAATAGATCCAACACCTTCCCCTCATCAACACCAACGGAGCCTGCAACCCGAGCCAGGCGCTCGTATGTCTGGTTACGGGTTTCATTGACAACGCTCACGTCGAAGAATTCACCCTGGACCTTGAAAAGTGCCGCACTAAAGGCCCAGAATTTCTCGGGTGCGAGCCGGAGAACGGCGGCGCCGGCTTCGTGGGTGAGTGTCGAGGATGGGTGCCAGGGTTGAATATGCTGGCGGAAGATTACTTGGAGTCGTGGATTGTATCGTTGGGTGATTTCGGGACTCAGGGAATAGAATGTATTGAACATTTTGGCTGAGAACTGAATAGCGGGTTTTGAGGTTTAGCTGATATATCATATCAAACCAAAGGTGATACCTTAGGAGGCATGTAAAGCAAGGATTAGGATTAGATTAGACTAACCGGGCACACATAGTCAAGGTCTAGATAAGCTGGTCAGCATATTTTACCACGAAGAGGATATAAATCATACATACACAATTCAAGAGTATGCTGTGTCTCTTCTTTCTTACCGCCCGAGAGCTTGATACCGGCAAAGTTAGGAGGAACAGACATGGTGATGGTGATGGTGATGGTGATAGTAGTGATGATGGTGGAGGAAGTAGTAAAAGGGATGGTCGTGAGGCGGTCGTGGATCTGGCGTCATACTAGTATTTCCTTACCCCGCCAGTGGAGATCTGGGCCAGCACCGCCGAGCTATACCTGCTTATAACGGGTCAATGGTAGTACATAGTACATATATACTCATGACCCGCTCCGATGACACCATGAACTACATTCAAGTTTTTCTCGGCTTCATGCCCAGGTACGTAAATTTCACGGGTCATCTTGCTTTGGTACAGTGATTATCACCAGGATACCTGAACGTGAAGTAAATTTACAATGATATTGAGATTATCTTTTTAATCTGATATGCAACCTGCTTGAAATGGGTATAAGAGTTATTGTTGGCTATTTTCAGATTCTGTGTACGTCCTTTGGCATGCGGTCAAAAGAGTTCGAGCTCGAATAATGAGGGCAACACAAGAGAGCCGAGCCGACCCGTCAACAGTCACCTCACCTGAGCGGCCGTTGCTTATGATAACTCAAGTCTTTGAGTTTTACATCCACAGTTCGCCATCCAGGCTTCGCTGGATCATACTCGCCCCGCACTTCAAACCTGCAAGACCCATGCGGCCCCTGTACCCCCACGGGGCCAGAAAGGAAGAATGAACCTCGCACCGGAGTTCGAAGAAATTGAGTCTCATGGTCATGCAGCCTTAACTTGAAGGCTATAGATGCCAAATGTAGATCGGATCCTGGGCCGAGGTCAGGCAACGGGAGCCGCTGCAGTGTCGATATGAAAAATGATGGGTGGAGTTCGGGTTCAGCGTTGGATGGGATGTTCTCCGTAGAACGGTCGGATATTGGTGGCTGCAGTTGAGACTTTTCACGGGTGGTCATGGGATTCGGTTGGCTTGATAGGGTAAACCTCCCGTTCAACAATTGTACATCGTTCGGTTGACCGTCTGGGTTCATTAGGCGGTCCATTTGCCTCCGGTATAAGACATAATAGGCATCCCAGATTGCGAGTGCCACGTGCGTTGGTCTCATGAATATCGACAGTCTATCACCGATCTCAGGATTCATCGGTTTTGTCGCCCACGATATCCCGTCATCTGTAAGTTCCATCCTGTGTATGATTAGCGCGGATTCATCAATGATAAATGATGTAACTGGAGCGAAGCATACCCAGCGCGCACATATTCCGGCGGAGGACGAGACGGAAACTGTGGTACCAGCCAAAGTCCAGTTAAGGATAATGGACTTCCAAGAAATGGCGAGATCTGCTCAGAGGCACTCTGGAGGATAATGGCCGCAAGTTCATCTGGCATTTGTTAGTGTTGGCTCGATTCCGGTGGAATAAAGGAAACAAAACGAACCTCTCAGTTTTTGCAACTTCTCGCGATCCTTTGATATCTTCGAATACACCTGCCACTCCGGGTCTGATGCGGTGTAGAATTCACCCTCCTGTTCTTCCAAGTACCAAGTAAGAGGGATGAATACGGGCTCATCCTCCTCTACCTCCTCCTCTGCTATTTCCTTATCTTGGCGCTTGGATTCAAGTAGTTCCTTTTCTTTGAGAACTCGAAGTTTTTTACTTCTTTCCAACCTTTCATCGGGGTCCTCGTCCCAGTTATCGTTGGTGTAAACTCTAACCATGAGAGTCCAGGCATGGAAAGTAACACCGTATAATAAACATTTTCCGATAAAGGACCTATTTCATAAAATAGTCAGTGGAAAAATCCTTGTGAGAAAACCGATATAGACATGAGCTTCTGGTCGCCCGGCGAATTCCATCGGGGCTGCTGTGATTTGTTGCCATTGACACAGGTGTCTCTTCAAGTAAGGCCTGCGCTGGAAGGAACCCAGAGCAGCATGTCTGAAGCCGAGAAGAATTACCGGGCACCAGTAGACCATCTTCCAATACCCCAAAGATATAACTTGAAAGCACTAGACTCACCTGAGCCAGCGTCGTCGAAATCTCACATGTCGAACAGGCGTGGGAGCGGTGATCGTTTGAGGCCCAGTATAGAAGCGTGAGGGACGTGCTTTACTTCGAAGTATCTGCCGTAGCCAAAGCATTGAGAAGATCCGTCCAGAAGAGATCCTCAGCCACAAGAAGCACCACGGGGTATTGATATTGACATGGAATGGGTGGGAAGTCTTGGGGTCGAATGTTAAGGAACACGCCGATCGCGGGCGCCGGCTGTGGCCACGGCCACGTGACGCGTTATCGCAATGGACAAGTTCCCGCTCGGGAGGGAGCTACGTTGTTGCTGTCTCCGTTCTGTCTTTGACCTTCTCGACTGACCCCATTCAAGACAGTCTCTTGTCGGCTCAGTGAATAAGGGCTCTTGTATGGCTGTCACGCCCACGACCACGACCACTCCTCGCCCAACCTAACCCAACCCTTATCCGTCTCGAACCACTTGAGCTTCTCCCGTGATGAACTGGCTTTCGAAACTCCTGGCCCTGGCGGCCACGAGTGCAGTGGGGACGAATGCTTTCGAGTCCTCAATCTTCACATTCCATGCGGACAGCCAGGCCTCCGCCGATTCCACCGGATCACAGACCGTCTCGGAAGATGTTGCTCGACTTATCCTAGAGCTCCGCATGAGGTCGCCTTTACATTCAAAGCTGGGAAGCATGGAACCTGATGTTGTGGACAATCTTGATCAGTATGCGGACTCCCAGTACTCTCTTTTTGGAGGCTCGGATGCCGGGGACAAGCTCGGCCGGAGCATCATCTTCCTAGAGGGACTTGATGAGGAAGTTGGTATGTTGATTGGAACTCGTAAACCGATTTAAAACGACTCATCAGCTCACCATTTTGCCCTTTTATTATAGTTTCAACTCTTCGCAAGAGTCAAGATCATAGCATTTTTGTGCCCCATGCTTCGTCAGCCCTGGTCAATGATGCCCTGGAGCCTCTTATGAACAAGGCCAATGGAAAGCATTGCACATATAGCCAGCAAGACGGCGCATCCCAGAACTCTCGGGTATGAAAGCTTCCACTCCATTACTGGAATATATGCAATTCCCTTTGCTAACAATTGGCTTTTAGTCTATTCAAGAGTGCCTCGCCTACAACCCCGTTCTCTCTCACGGCAGCGGCTTATCTGATCATGACATCCTCGGCCTGGTGGATTCAATGGAGACATTCGTCAGCAAGAACACAAAATTGACTAGTTCAAGACTGGTATTCGAGGTAAAAAAAAACAAACACACATACGCAGCCCAGATTGAATAATGGCAGCTAGCTAAACATTATCACAGACGAAATCCGCCAAGACTGCCCAAATCGCCAAGTCTCTCGAAGCTACCTTTGGCGACCTGGCCAAGACAGCCCAATCAACCAACATTGAAATCACAATCGTTGCTCTCCCAGCAATCGACCACACCCAGGAATCCGCGCCAGTCCAACGACGCTCCGTGGAGACTGTATCTCAAAGGTCCTCGGCATCAGCGAGCTTCGAGCACACAAACCTCGCACCAGTATGCCACGCCTCGAACTCTTCATGTGAAGACGCAACAAATAACTGCTCCGGTCACGGATCCTGCTTCTTGAAGTTCGGACCCGGTAACGAGGATGCCAAGGGTAACTGCTACGCCTGCAAATGCCGACAAACGACCGTTAAAGGCAGTGATGGCTCTGTCAAGAAAATCCAGTGGGGAGGTGTTGCCTGCCAGAAGGAGGATATCAGTTCTCCATTCTTCCTTATTGCCAGCGTTACCATTTTGGTTATTCTTCTCGCGGGCAGTGCTATTGGAATGCTTTTTAGCATGGGCAATGAGAGTCTTCCCAGTGTTATTAGTGCTGGTGTGGGAACTTCAAAACAGCAGTCGTGATCTGATCTCATCTGATCTGATCTCATCCATTCCCCATATCCCCCAATGGGATGGGGAATTTCGGTGTTTGGTTTTTTTATTATCTTGTATGTGAACTCTGTTAATTGCTTCTTTGGACATGACATGTATTCCAACTGCTTAGAATCTATCCTATCATTCGAGTGTTTAAACTCGGGATTTCTGATATCATGCTTTTTTGTTTTCGAAGTCGAATTACTAATAGGAGCGTTAACTAGTGTCACCTTTCAAAGTGACAGCTCCTAGTCTCTTGGACGTAATAATAGAGACAAGAACTTAACTTTCATATATTACAGTAGCTAATATTTACTTTCCTTTGGCAAAAAAAAGCTGGACATAGTATGTAGCGTAAATCATCATTACAGGTTGCGCGCCAGAGAAAGAAAGGGTGTGTTTCCCAGAGTTGGAAAACAAATACACCCAAAATCTCTTCATAAATCAAACACAAGGAGGAAGGTTCTGCAATGCCACTCTGCTCACACGAGACCAGACCCGGTCATAGGGCTTTGAGATGGGTATTGAGATGTCTTGCAAACGCGTACAGGACCGAGAGATCGAGATCGAGATCGAGACCGACTAATTACATAAAATAGATAAAGACATGGACAACGAAGCAGCTGCTTTACTTCGACCAAACATTCCAGATGTTGATCCAGCATTGCAAAAGGTTTTTTAATATCAGTAAAATCGTATAGTCCAAAAGACTAGGAAAATCGGGGTGCAAAATTCATTATGTGGTACCAGCCTCAAGTTGGGCTGGGGTTCGACTATCTCCGGCAACGAAGCCCTGTGGGCTACTGTTGGAAGGCGGTTGATGTTCATTTGTTGAAGATGTTTGTGTCTGCGAAGATGGATTCGAACGCAGACGAGAGGGGATGAAACGCGACCATCGCGACTGTGATTGTGATTGTGATTGGTTCATGTCGGACGGCGTTGGTTCCGGGCGAGTTCCTGCTCGCGGGGAGCTATCTTGGGGTGGGTATTCAGGTGAAGGGGACGGTTGGAAAAACCGGCCAGGCAATGCCACCGGCATCCGGAATAGATTCGACGGGCCCCCAGGTCGTGCTGCTCGAACAGGCCTGGCGAGGAGATCAATACGACTTGTCGCAGCACGACGTCCGTTACGATCTGCACCAGCAGCCCCATCGGGCGCCTGTGCGCGAGGCTTAGGAACATAGTAATCGGCCTTGCACAAAGGACAGCAAGCCCTTCGACTAGTTAACCACGGATCGACACAGGAGGCATGGAAAGCGTGTCCACAGGTCAATCCACGAATATCATCATCGTCCTCGATGATATCCAAACAGATCGCGCAGGTATCACCAGGGTTTGGCAATAACTCGGAAGGAACGGCTTTTCGAATTTGATCGCCGTCTTCCTCGTCCTCTTCGGCCTCGATACCTTCGTTCACTAAAGAGTGCCGCCACTTTTCTTCCGCATCGGCTGCATCGTCGTGGTGAACTACGGACAAGCCCGTTGCAGGAGAAGCTTTCTCGTCCGCTGGTCGTGAGGTTGATTCGAGATGTGAAGTAGGTGAAGAATCACTATGTGTTTCTCCACGCTCTCCGTGTTCGACCGAAGCCGGCGAGGTTTCATCCGTCATGGGCGCAGGCGCAGTTGCAGTCGAAGTAGTGGCGGAAATAACACCACTTTCATCAGCCATACTCGGGGGTCTACTGTTCGGAGCCGTGATGCCCCCCTCGGTTGGAAGGCCCTGGTTAGCACGGGATGACCTCCACACCTTGTATTTCACCAAGGGGAATCGCTCATTGACCTCATCCATCGACATCAGTTTCTTTTCGCGTCGTCGCCGATGAGGACGTGGCATGGCTACCAGATCGATTGGGTCGCCTGTCTCCTCGCCGCGCAGCTGGCGGTTCCGTTGATTATATCGGAAACAGTATTTGACACCGACAATGATCCTGTAAACCGTGTCAGTATTGGGATCAGTCGGTTCTTCACGCTAAGAGGGCGCAACGGCGCAGTTTAGTGATGATCCAACATACCATAAATTGGTGAAGACGACGCCGAATCCGAGCGCGACGAAAAATAGTAGCGGCGAGCTTGTGGCGCCTGAGCCCCCGCCGCCTCCGCTACTGCCAGTTGTGGTCGCAGCACTGGCGGCTGCCGTGGTGGTAGAAGGTGCCATTCTGATCAACAAGGCAGGGGGTTGGCGATGGGATCGTAGAGACGTAGGGACGTAGGGATGCAAATCAAATGCTAGGTCCCACTAGGTGTTAGGATTACAGGGCGTCCGTAACCATTCCTCCAGGTGCTGGATCGAGAAAGCGCACGATGCGTAGATGTTCACTTGTCGTGCTTCCAAGGGGGGTTTGGGTTTGCGGGGATTGGAGGAGGAGGAGAAGGAGGTTGGTTGTTGGGTGAGGGTGACCGACGCTTAGGTCAATGCGAGCTGCATGCAAGCCGATCAGACCAGGCAACGGAAGGGTAGAGGCGTTGCGGGATAAGAATTTTGAGAAGAGGCTCCGAATAGTCCACCAAAGGGATCAGCCAAGCGAAGTACTCATATCATCGTAAGGTGGATCTTGTCGGGAAAGCAAAGCAAGAAGGCTGGACGCATGCGGAGGAGCAGAAGAGGAGGGTGTCGGTCACGGGAACTCGGCTGGGGCTGAGAGGAGTGAGAGAGGGGGCTGGCAATCAATAAAGGGAAAGGAGAATACGAAATACGAAAGTAGAGAAAGAAAAGAAAGTTCAGGCAAATTGTAAGGGGCCAGTTGAATAAGATTAAATTAAATGTAGATCAATATGAAAAAAAAAAATGTTGCGATAAGGGAGTGGAGTGGAGATGCGGTGCGGGTTCGGCGCGGCGATGTGAAGTGGTGTGTGGTGATGCTCGTCGGGAAGAAGATCCAACTCGACTACCACCACCATTATCACTTACCAGCACCTCCGCCACCACCCCGAAGGGTCACCATTCGGCTATATTTCTGCTTTATTATCTACCTCCAAGCCCTCCAATACAGTTCGCCCTCCCTCAAAACTGATCATGGCCGAATCCATCACCCCATCAGAAGCCACCAATCCTGTGGTCTTCTTTGATATTGCCCTTGCAGGTAAGGGCGGTGCTGTCAATTCCAATCCTAAGCAGGATTTAAATTCCCTATTGCATAAATCGCTAACCCCAATCATCTAGGCGAGGCCCTTGGCCCAGTGAAGATGGAGCTATTTGCCCACAAAACTCCACGAACAGCAGAGAACTTCCGCCAATTCTGTACGGGCGAAACCAAGTCCCCCAAGGGTCAACCACAAGGTTACAAGGGGAGCAAGTTTCACCGCGTTGTACGTGTACCCTTTATTCTAACCTCTGGAGTTTCCTCTGGGTTTCAAAAATCGCTAGCCTAGATATGGTTGGTTGATAAACTAACCATGCGCCTCTTGTGCCTCATTTCCAGATTAAAGATTTCATGATCCAAGGTGGTGACTTCATCAACGGTGATGGCACGGGAAGTTGTACCATCTACGGCACTCCCAAATTCGCCGATGAAAATTTCGAGCTTCAGCATGATCGGCCTGGTCTGCTCAGTATGGCTGTAAGCAAAAATCCCCATTTATTATTTTCCTCTTGATTATTTCTTTGCATCTATTGACGCGATCAGAACTCCGGTCCAAACACCAACGGCTGTCAATTCTTCATTACAACCACCGCAACTCCATTTCTAAACAACAAACATGTCGTCTTTGGCCAAGTCATTGATGGAATGGATGTGGTTCGTATGATTGAACACACTCGGACCACCAGAGATAAGCCGAACCAAGATGTTTCCATCGTGCAGTGTGGAGAGATGTAAACATAGCCCTACAGAAGAAAAGAAGTTGGAGGGGGAAATCAGGTGGCGATATTTGTGAAATGAAATACAACTTCATGGGATGCTAAACATTTTGATCTATTCTGCCTATAAAACGCCACCTCTTAAGAGACCCTGGCCTGGGATGGGCAGGCCACCGACAGGAACTTTCGAAAATCGAAATCTCAAGACTTTTTTTTGCCTCCAATTTGATATTTCTCGAAAATAGAATAAAATACCCCCTAGAGTCCTAGAGTAACATATTGCCTTGCATATTGCCATTCAATACCATTGTCGAACCAAACCAATTTAGATCTTGAATTTGCTCAAATATTCAGTTGCAAGCGAGACAGCCTCGTCAACTTTGTCTGGGTTGGTACCATTTCCAAGAGAGGTTGCTCCTTTACCTCCAGCCTTGCCTCCAACGGCGCGGAAACGACTGCGGCCCATTCTGTAGCAGATGCGCCTTGGTCGCCAAGTTCCTAAAATTAAAGTATTAGTTTAGTGCCCTATCAAAAATGATTGTTTCTGTTTGTATAAAGCAACTCACCTTAGACATGTGGCAACCATGAGCAACGCGGGTGTGCTCAGAGTCAACAGCCATAACATACACGTTCTTGTTCTGCAATTTCGACTTGACGTGGTTGATAGACTCGCTGACAGCCTTTGCGCTAGCTGGGTTGGGCAGCTTCACGACAAACCATGAGGAATCCTTGTTCGCGGGGTCTTGGAAATGGGAGTTGATAGCGTCAACAGCCTGCTTAACTTCAAGCTTCTGTTGAGCCTTTTGTCCATCAAGGACCTGCTTGTTAATAGCAGTGAAACGGGTACGGAATCGCGCCTTCTGCACAGCAGAGATCACAAGTTGGTTGAGGTCCACTTGGATTTGCTTGGCGTCACGTTCCTTCTCGGCTCCAAGAGGCAGGCCATCCAATCGGTCAAGGCGCTGTCCAAATTCTTGGGCTAGACGCTGGACCTCGTGGGCCTCTTCGCCAGTAACGGCGATAATACGACGGATGCCCTTGGCGATTCCGCTCTCTTCCAGAATGATCAGGTCCTTAATATCGCCGGTCTTCTGGACGTGGGTTCCACCGCAGAACTCGATGCTGACCTGGTTCCAGTGGGGATTCTTCACATCACGCAGGATTTCTTCCAGCTCAACGCCAACGGAGACAA